TCCCATCTCCAGTTGCATCTTCTTCTAGCGCAGCCAAAGAGGTGCCTTGCAGCAGGCCGCCGGGAGGCCGTTGCAAAGATTGCCAACCCACTTGCGCTTCTTCCATGGATCAGGCGTCTGGCTCAAACGGTAGTCGTCATTCTTCAAAGGCTCCAGGCGTCTCGTGATATCCTCAATAACGATACATTGAATCGTAGCTGCCGTGGCCGTAATTGCTGCCTAGGTAACTGTCGTAACCGACGCTAACGGGGCTGACTGCAGGTCTGACGTAGACAGGACCTGGCCTGTATGATCTAGAAACTGTTGTGAGCAGAAAGAATGGCCACATGCGGGGAAATCTTACCTTGGGTAGGTGTGATTTCGATAATAGGGTGTTGGCACATTGTTTCGCCATGCGTGCTGGTATGCCCGTGACCACCTGCTTCTCCGAGGCTCGTACAATACATTGAATCTGAACATGATGCGTCTATGTAGCTTTGATCTTGTGGTCTTATTCTCTTTTCATTCAAGTGAGCAGCTGCTGCCACTTTTATACCCTATTCTACACCAGTCGTTGCGTGTAAGCGCCAACCCTTTCTGACAGACTCTTCATAGGTAATTGAATACCTGGCATCAATCCAACGCTGAATATCAAACAGAAAAGGCGCTTATACATGGGCCGCTGTCTCTATCACGGCGTGAGTGTTACCTGAGCACTCAGTTGTCGCGTTGGCAGTCCAGCAGCTTCCAGTGTTACCGTTTTAGCTGCCACTATTGAACTAGTCTACAGCAGTTATTCAAGACCTGTACTACAGCGAGCGATGCTATTCAGTGAAACGGATATGGCAGTTGGAGAAATGAGGGCTGCTGGGAGCGCTTAATGCCGGCGCTACAGACTGGGCGCCAAATGCCACCCAGCTGTGTAGCTGAAGGACAGATGCACAAGCGGTTCACCCATCTACCTATAGTTACTTGGCTGATTTGTAGCTCCGTTGCCAGTCATGCGCATTTTTCTCAAGAGAGCTCTGAGCACCCAATGAGCTGGCAGGTTCGCTGTCTCGTAGCGTGGATGTTAGGTCGCACCGAATGCTACCTATACCAGTCCTTCAGACGGTCTGTTGAACACGAGCACAACTACGTCATAGCCATAGCTAGTTATTCGTACCTTGCGACTTACGAACAGTGTATGTCTTGGGCTTCCATCGATGCTGTTTCGGTCAAATTAAGTCGTTGGTGGAAGGCGACATCTCATGTCTGGAAACAGTATTGCGTAGTACGATGTGAGAGTTGGCTGCGACACAGCAGTTTAGACATGTTGAGCATTGTGTGCAGCTTGAAACATGATTCTTACAGCAGCATTCGCCTCGCGTCCCCGCCACTGCACGGAATGCACCCTCCGAGATCAAGAATCTCCCCACCACCCTTTGCCTAAGCCTTTTCGAGCCCATTGGGGCACGGGTCAACGAACTGGGGAAACCATATTTGCCATGCTATTTATTGTCTTATTTCCGAGCCAAGCGGATGTATATTTCCAGTATCGTGGTAGCCAATCCGCAAACTCCCTGTCCATGATGGCTTTCATCTTTCCATTCCGGGCCACGATGTTGAAAGGGTTCAGTCGTCGTGTGTAAACGCCCGGGGGGGATACGGGACTCGTGTAGCTAGCTTCCCACGCAGCTTTCTATGTCACCTCCAGGCGGCAGAATTGCGCGCATATACTCGAGCACAAAGCGAAGCTGGAAGGTGATAGCTTCGCGCCCTGGAACGGACAAGGGAGCCGAAAAGGGTGGCAAGGCGTCGGCCAAGGTTTACCTCGAGAGGGCGCTCCATGACGATGTACGTCATGCTTTTGTGGATGAAGGCGCAGTGTACTCGTCGCACCAGTATATGTGTGTGAGCAGCGACGAAAGCTAAGGATCGCCACCTCTCACTGGTCAACATTCTTGCTCCTTTTGAGTCTCGATCTGTTGAAGATGGGAACACGGGACCGTCATGTTTGTAGAGCCGCGGCGTAGTTTTGATCGCAAGCCGCGTGGGCAACCATCAAGGCGCAATATGATTGGCGAAGATATCGGGAGATTAAAAGCAGCTAGTTCTTTACGATGTGCCCTCACGATGGCTGTAGATGGCTGGATCTGTATGTGCTGAGCGAATGATTTCATGCATTGGTTCAGATCAGACATGGGCGCGCCGCTAAGACGTCGCCGGGCGCCAGGGGCTTGGCTGCTAAAAAAAAGGGCCCATCCAGGGCCAAGCACATGTCAGAAGGAGGGTTTCATGCGCTCAAGTGGGCAGGCCAAATATCAAGCACCGCTGTCATCTTTGCACTCTTGCTTTCTTTCATAGCTAGTAGCCCATTTTCTTGACTCGTCTTGCCCGCATTGTTTCCATTGTTTTCTTTCCTGGTATTTTGACGGCAGAGCGAGTCTCTTCATCACGACTTTACGAGCCTAAAGGCACAATTACCATCAAAACCCGAACGGCCGGATACCGAAGCGTTTCGCCATGGCATCGCCCTCGTCCCGCGTGACCTTCCCACAGCCGCCGCAGCCCGAGTCGTGGTTCGCGCCGCTGTCGATCGATCTGCTGGTCAGGGTGCTCAAGGTGACTGTGTTTCACCCATTCGTAACAGCGCTGGTGCCGCTGTGCCTGCGCGCGCGCGCGATGATGTGGGAGGCGCCGACGATGCTGGCGGCCTTTGCGTGGGCGGCCTTTGTGTCGCTGCTATGGGTGGCGTCGGCGGTGAACCAACGCATCGCGCACGGCATCCCGCGACAGGTCGATCTTGGCGATGAGGTCATTGTCATCACCGGCGGCGCGAGCGGCTTGGGCATGCTGGTGGCCGAGGTCTACGGCATGCGCGGCGCCACGGTGGCGGTGCTCGACGTCAATGAGATGGAGAATGGCGAGGCTCGCGGTGTGACAGCTTACAAGTGCGATGTGAGCGACTACAGGCAGGTTGCGGCGACGGCGCTCAAGATTGAGGAAGAGGTAAAGGATCATCTACGTCGCTGGAGCTGTGACAGTGCTGACATGCAGGCAATAGCTCGGAACGCCTACGGTGCTCATCAACAATGCCGCTATTGTGGTCGGTAAATCGCTACTCGACCTTTCCGTTGACGAAATCGATCGCAGCCTGTCGACAAACCTGCTCGGCCCGTTCTACTGTCTAAAGGCATTCCTGCCCGCCATCATCCGCAGCGGCAACGGCGGCACCATTGTCAATATTTCGTCCGTTATTGGTCACCTGGGCGCCGCGAAGCTCAGCGACTACGCTGCGGCCAAGGCCGGCCTGTCGGCCATGCACCGGTCCGTGGCGGCGGAGCTGCGCGAGTCGCACCCCGAGATCAAGACGGTGCTCATCACGCCGGGCCAGCTGAGCACGCCGCTATTCTACGGGGTGCAGACGCCCAGCAGCTTCATCGCGCCCGTCGTCGAGCCCGTCGAGGTGGCCAAGGAGATTGTGGCGGCGATTGACCAGGGCAAGGGCGCTACGACGGGGATGCCGCTGTATGCGCGCTGGGTCGACTGGTACGCGGTGCTGCCGGCGGGCGTGCAGGTGCTGGCGAGGAAGATTTCAGGCGTGGACAGAGGGATGCGGACTTTTATCGGGAGACGCGGCGCTGCGGAGGGTAAGAAGCAGCGATGATGGACAAATGTGCTCGGGAATCTGTTTCGATGCTGGCGTCGGAGCTCCCAGATATTGCAGAAAAATGGGGTGGAGGGCGGAGACGGCGCATACTTGCATGAATGGTGATCTATGTCATGTTCAATCTCTCTGTCATTGTATTATTGTAACTGCCTATGAAGAATATGATGATAATTCAAACAAGAGTGATGACGCCGCTGCAATATCTTGAAACGCAAAGCCTACTCTAGGCGATCAGAGATGATGCCGTGGTAGAATGATTGGGGTGGCAGAGTGGGAGTGTTATGTTACAATCATAGGCAACTGTGCTCCTCTAATTATGGATGATACCGGATTTTTTAAAAGGCAATTGAAAGAAAACCTGGAAATAACATGCAAGGAAAAAGTGATGCTCCCTCTGCAAATCAGGGCAAGGTTTGCCAGGAGCTCCTCTTTGCGGAGAAAATTCTCCGAGCCCAGCCAAGATGAATCCTTGTATGAACGTATATAGGGCCTAATTCACCATCAATGAAGGAGTGGATCTGCATTTTTACTACACACATCCTGCCTGCAACGTGAGCTGCGGCCTACAGCTTCGCCTTCTCGCACAGAGTCGCACCTCTGGAAGATCTGCGCGTTCAGTGGTCAAGCACATTGAAAGTTATCGTGAAGACTTTGTGGCAGTGACTGCTTAGCGGTAGATGTGAAAGTAGGGAGGCAGCGACATTAATTACCGCGTTAAATAAGTGTGCCAAAATCGGGGTCAGATTCAGTCAGGGGACAAAGGCTATTACTTGATCTGAAAAAACGGGAACGCATATAGGGGCTGGAGGCGATGATTGTTGAAATAAGCCTGCTTTGTCATTCGAGATAGGCCGTTTTCTATTACTCGTTTCCTTTTTTTCCCTGCTGTTTTTTTTTTCTTTTCTTTTTGCTAATTTAGAATGGTCGATATACATATCCGTACTGTGTCATACTCGGCCGAGACACGGAGCTGCTAATAAGCGTTGGGTAGGCAAGGGGATGGCGGCGGATAGGTAGATTTTAGACTGACCGGCCTTGGCACGTTTGCTAGCTCATGTTAGAGATGTTGTCACTTTGCGTCTGCCTTGTTTATAATTAATGCATCTGCAACAACAACAAGCGTGGAGCTCGCCATTGGGAAAATCATGCATGTCACGGAGGACAATATGAGAGGCTGGGTAATTTTGACCGATAGTGTTCAATACAGACGTCCTACAGCCTGTCGCCCAATGACAGACTCAGAGTCTCGTTTTCACTGCTACTACACCGTATCCGTACTCCATAGTGCGACAGCGTATCTGGCGCCAGCTAAAGCTTGTACCTGCATGGCGTCATAGCACCCGTCACCCGTTGCATTTAGTCTAGTTGAGCGTTGAAAGATTCTCCCCCCTCCTTCTTCTCTTCGCCTGGTTTGCAGATGTCGACTTGTACCTACTTGCCTACTTGAGGTGATATGACGGTGACGGGTGTCGGCCATGTACCTTGCTTGCATTAGGGCTTGCTTTTGCTTCATTACATCACCCTGCAGGCGCCACGGCAATCGCCAACCACTGCAAGCATAATCTACCTAGTTATTTCACGGGCAGCCTTGGGCCTTGTTTCTTCTCGCCAAGGCAACGTTGACATACTAAGTAATTACCCCCTGGTCGAGCGCATCTCTAGCGGCCTCGCTAAATCCAACCATTGGACACATGGCGTGGCAACATGGCTTTTCTCGTGTTCCGTTTTGATGCACGTATCCACCATCCTGGCTCGGAGGATGGCAAGTTGGGGAAAATGTCTAGCCTTGCGGGACATTGGCCACACATCCCACCCCATCTTGGGCAATCTTGGCTCTTTGCCGGCCTTTTACTGTGGTCCTGGTTCGTCTTGTGTAGACTCCGTTGGTGGACGGCAGGCAGGCAGGCTTTCGCGGAGCCCCGTCAGATCCCAAACGACGCCCGTAACTCAATAAAAGTAAACGAATCCCGACATTACCTTGTCGCAGCATTTTGCCATTGTCACCTTCCCGTGCGGCAGTTGCCTTTGTTGATTGTATTTCTGCGTGGTTTATACTTCAAAGGTCCGAAAAACGCCTCTACTGCCTTTCCTTCCCTTCGTTTGTACCTATCCACATCGCGACTTCCCAGTGCCCGAGCCAACTTTCGCTTCCGCCAACCGACGATCATCGTTCTCAAGATCCCTGTTTCTACACGATAGCACAACTCGTCATTCACAACCATAAACACTTGCTTTGCTGCGTTTGCTCTCCGTGCAGCTGTCATGCGCTTCTTTTCCCTCGGCCTTGCCCTGTTGGGCATGACTGCCGCCGCTTCTGCGCTCGACACGATTGAAGTTCTTGGCAACAAATTCTTCAAACAAGACGGCTCCCAGTTCTTCCTCAAGGGTTTGTTCGATGTCCAGTTGGATGTCAACATCTCTTTAAGTGCTAATTTTCTTCCCAGGTGTTGCGTACCAGCTTGTCCCAGATGATCCCCTCATCGACACGGAGCAATGCCAGCGAGACGCTGATCTCATGAAGGAGCTCGGCGTCAACAGCATTCGTGTCTACCATGTCGACGCCTCTGCTGACCACGATGGATGTATGAAGGCATTTGCTGATGCTGGCATCTACCTTCTCATTGATCTCGACACCTTTGACACATACGTTACTCCTGTGAGCCGTGGCTTTTCAACAACTCCTAATCAAATGCTGACTCTTCCACTAGGTCGACCTGCACTGGAACCAGACGCAGCACGACTTGTATGCGGCTGTCATGGATACTTTTCACAACTACGACAACGTCCTTGGATTCTTTGTCGGCAACGAGAACATCGCCAAGAAGGAGGACTCGGTCGCCGCTCCCTTTATCAAGGCCGCTGCCCGCGACATGAAGGCTTATCGAGACAAGAAGAACTACCGAAAGATCCCCATTGGGTACTCCGCAGCTGACATTGTTGAGCTTCGCCCTATGCTCCAGGACTATCTGACTTGCGGCGGTGATTCTGCTGATATTGTCGACTTTTTTGCCCTCAACTCGTACTCGTGGTGTGATCCCGCTGATTACAACACGTCAACTTATAATATGCTCGAGTCCTATGCCAAGGACTTTCCTGTGCCCATCTTCTTCTCCGAGACTGGCTGCAACACGCCCGGCCCCCGCCTGTTTGCCGACCAGGATGCCATTTTCGGCAAGGACATGATCAATGACTGGAGCGGCTCCATAATTTACGAATGGATCGAGGAAGAGAACCACTACGGCCTCATCAGCTACGGCCCCTCGGGTGCTGATGCCTCCAACGCTCATGCCGCGGGAGGTTTCATCCGCAAGGGTACGCCCACTCCCGTCAGCCCCGACTTTGACAACCTCAAGAGCAAGTGGGCCACCAACACGCCTACCGGTGCTCAAAAGTCTGACGTTGACCCCAAGACACTGACCACACCTGCGTGTCCAACTTCTACTAACGGAGGCTGGTGGGCCATTGAAGGAAATGTTCGTCTTCCTACTCTTGGCGAGGCCGTGGCCAAAACTTTTACGACTGTGCCAAGCGCTACTGCCGACAGCCAGCCTCAGAGTGCTGGCAAGGGCAGTAATGGCAACGATAATAATGGCAACGACAACAATGGCAAGGGCAGTAATAGTAACGACAACGGCAATAATGGCAATGACAATAACAAGGATGACGGCAAGGGCAAGGACAACAAGGGCAATAGCGCCGCGTTCAAGGACAAGCAAATCACTGTTCTTGGACCCATCATTGCAGCTGTTATGCTGCTCATTGCAGTAGCATTGTAAATGCATTTTTTACTTCTAGAGTGTTTAATTCTTGCTGGTAATTTATTTCATACACATTGTTCACATTTGAGATGGCGGACGAGACCAACAGGCTCGCGTTGGTTGTACTCCACACTTTGTTAACATTCTGATTGTCCGCGACGCAACTCGAACGCATGTTGTGGCAATTTAATATATTGTTGCTGACAATGTGCTTTCTTTTGGTCTGTAATTACATTATACCTCATTGGCAGACCTTGAGATTTGCTGAATTTTATCTGCTTGAAGTGTAAAGCGTAGCTTCTTCGGTGCTATTCAATCCCAAGTTAGCTTGAATCAACTGAAGCCTCCGCAAGTGCCTATTGGGGTTCGAAGGATAAATGATGGCTCTCCATGACTTCGTGATACTTATGTTTAAATTTCTTGAAAATTTAATCATCTAATGGCATCTTGGCATCAAACTTGTATTCCTGACGGCTCCAAATGCGGCAAGTGGGTTATGCAATGCGCTAAAAATCCAATCGGGTGGTTGGGGTCTTGGAGATGCCAAAAATTTGCGCCGGCTTGCTTGTGAAGTCAGTTCGCAGTAGCGCAGACATGAGTCTTTTGGATGCAGCAGCAAGAATAAGGGAAAAACTATGCCGATAACGATAAGAAGACTAATTCGAAGCCACTCATCCACCCAGCCCACCAAAAAGTCGTAAAACAAATCATTGCGATTTTGGCCCTTTGCCACTGAATCAAATCTTGCTTCTTGTCAAACGTGATAATTTTGAATTCTTGCTTCTCGATTTATTTTCGGTCCTTTGCCTCTGTGCCTGTTGTGTATCGCTCGTGGCGAAAAGTTTGGGGCAAGAAATAAGGGCAGCGGTGACGACTGACTCAGCAAATTTTCTCCGCGACTGCCCGCATTCGATCGCCCAGCCAAAGACTGACTGTACGACGAGAAAGAAGGGAAATAGGAAAGCACGAAAGGCCAAAAGCAAACGCGCTTTTGCTACCGTGCCAAGGGCCGACATTTGATTCTTGTTGTTCACTTTTCACATCACTTTGCCTCGTTTGGCTTCTCTTGCGCCCGCATCTTCACATGCGCGGCGCGCTCTCCATCTCGTAATCATGGCTGAGCCGGCGCAACCTGAAGTATCGGGCGGCGCACCCTGTACGTCGACCATGCGCTCCTTGATGATCATTATTGCCCATTGTCTGGTCACTTCCGAGGCTTTGCGGTCGGTTGCGGGGACAATTGCGCGCGACTGACAACTCCGGAGCCCCTCAATCGCTAACGGAACCCTTCTGGTGTAGATATTAAACAAGAGCACGACCTGACAGGTCTCGAGGGCCTCGAGGGCCTCGACTTTACTCTGCCGCCCGAATTGACGAACACGAAACGACCGTACGATGTCGAGGGCGAACCACATCAAGACTCCGAGACCAAGAGGCTGAAAACTGAGGAGGACCAAACTGCGGACCAGCCCGAGGATGACAACTCACTGGAAGATGGGCTGGCGCTTCTCGTGCAAAACGCCCTGTCTAATGTCGGCGATCTTGTGCCGCAATTCAATGCGACAAACGACGGCCATTCTGGTGACCCCATGGACATTGACGCCGCTGCGCTGCTTGAAAGCATTACGCCGTCGCCGACATTCTTTGCCGACCCTCTGAAATACGTCCGCAATGTGCAAGCCCATACATTGGGAAATCTAGTGTGTTGGATCCTATTGGTGCCGATAGAGGTGTATACTAATCAAAGTATCAGTCATTTACCATTCTCTACTCCCTTGTTCACCACCAACCTATAGACGACGTAATCCGAGCGCTACGAGACGCGGATTCAGATCACGGGCGGACTTTTCGCCGTCTTCAAGATTCACTAGAGAGCATATGGAAGCTCTTTACCGACAATTCTATAATGTCTGCCGAGGACATTAGCGTCGATAGCAACGCCGACACTTTACTCGAGATGGCAAACCTGGCCAAGTTGTGCGGCTGGATTGTTCAAGGGAGCGCCGAGTCTTACTCAATAGCCGACTCGAAACTTTTAACAATTTTCAATTGCGAAGTCTCGGATTTACCTATTGATGCCACCGAACTGTACCTTGGAATCAAGACGCAAAACTGCATACAGCAACTAATCAGCAAGGCCGATGAGCAGCAGGCCGAGCAATTGGTCACTCAGGCCCTCACAGAAGGCCTCGGAGACAAATTGAAAGCTCAACATCCGGGGGACGAGTTGCACAATGCCGATCAAGCTTTCATTGCTCTAGCGACAGTTCGCAAGGACGACCTAATAGCTGAGACCAAAGAAAAGATTGACGCAGATGCGTTGAAGAAAAGATACCCTGCTGATGGATTATTACGGACCTTTGCCACATATGCAAAGACTCGATTAGCAGCAGTGTCCGATATCGGTAGTGCTTATGGTGTTCAAATGCACTTGGAAGTCGACACTTTGGAGTCAGTTACATTTGGCGATCTTGGTGGCAGTGCAGACATCGACCTTGACGATCTTTCTTCCTTCTTTGAGAAGACTGCCTCTGGCCTCGTGCAGGACGCGCTTGCAGGCCTCACAGAAGTTGAAGCGGCCCCTTTGATTGTCATCGATGCTCCTGACAACAATGACAATGCTACGAGTAGCGCCAACGATACCAATGGCAAACTCGGTACAAATGGCAATGGCACGAATGGCACAAACGGCACAGACAGCGCAGACGGTACAGAGAAGCCAGCGGTCACCACCGGCACTAGCACTGGCACCGGCACTACTCCTGCTACAGGCAAGATTGATTTGATGACTGACTACAAGGAGCTCGAGGCACTGGTTGCAGAAAGCACATCCAACTATGTCAAGACTACTCTGAACGGATTGTCGCCAGTGCCATATCAACCAACCGTTCCCACAAGCACGAGTGAGAGCATGGCGTCACAGCTGCCTTTTCTTAGTCATCTGAATCAGCAACACGGACAGCATTACTTTAATTATTCTCAGCCGATGGTGCAGGAACCGCCACCGCCACAGCCTGTATCCGGTGAGAATTTGCCTCCAAATCAGACGTGTCCGAGCGCCATGCTATATGATAAAGCTCGCCAAGCTGCACTTTCAAAGTCATCTGCGCATACGAGGCGAGAAGGTCTCCATTCCACTCGTCGACCTTGGACGCAGGAAGAAGAAAAGGCGCTCATGGCTGGCCTTGACATGGTCAAAGGACCTCACTGGAGCCAGATACTCACTTTGTTTGGCCAAAGTGGCACAATATCGGATATACTGAAGGATCGGACGCAGGTGCAGCTCAAGGACAAGGCGCGTAACTTGAAGCTTTTTTTTCTAAAGACCAACTCAGAGATGCCATATTACCTTCAGGCTGTTACGGGTGAACTCAAAACTCGAGCACCTACCCAGGCTGCCCGAAAAGAGGCCGAGGAGCGGGCGAGGATGAACTCAGAAGAAGATCAGGCCAAACTCCAAGGAATCATGGCGCTCGCAGGCGGGTTGCAGCATCTCCCTCACGGGCGTCCCGGAGCGGCTGGTGTTGGTTCCGGCGTTGTCACACCTGCACAAGCAGCCAGCGCCGCTCAAGCTGCTCAAGGCCGAGGGACGCCTGGTCTATCAAATATTCCAAGAACTGTCGCCGCAACTATTGCACAAGCGCGGCAAAACCTGCACCCCGCAACACAACAAACTCTGCAGTCCATGTCCCAGCAGAGTCCTCCGCGACCGCAAGGCCAGGCGCAGCTCCCTCCCCATGTTCCCCGACCTCAACCTCAGCAGCCTCAGCATCACCTTCCGCAGCAGCCTGCTCAGCAGCGTCCTCATCCCATTGCTCCGCACCAGGTACCGCAACCGCAACAACAACCCCAGCAGCAGCACCAGCAACCGCAACCGCAACAGCAACAGCAACCGCAACCGCAGCAGCAACCGCAACCACAGCAGCAACCGCAGCAGCAACCGCAGCAGCAACCGCAGCAGCAACCGCAACAGCAACCGCAACCGCAACCGCAACAACCGAAGCCGATGGTTCAGCACCTACCACACCAGCCTGCCGTGCCGCCTCCTCATCCAATCACCCTACCGACGACTACATCCGCGCAACATTCCACGACTCACACGCCAAGCGCAACCGCTTCCCCAGCGCCCCTACACAACTCAAATCCTCATACCCCGGTGCAGCAGCGAACACCACAAAATGCACAAGACAACTCCGTTTCGGCACCCTTGGAGCCACCACAGCCAGAGGAGCCTCTGTCGAAAGAAGCCCAGCAGGAGGCAGAGAATGCCGCCGAGGCTGCTCTGCTAGAAGGGTTGCAGGCAGCTGTTGCTGAAGCCTTGGGCTAAACCCGACGGAATTTGAAACTGTTGAAGATTCCACGATTCGATTATAATGTACGACGATGATATGAGGGGTATCCTTACTTTTTGGTCGTTTGGCGTTTTAGCAAGACTATTTAGGTTGAGTTTTGGCTTTTTGGGGGATCCTTTCCTCTCCCTTGTGAGGAGAGATGACAAAACAGGGCGTTTTTGGCCGTGGGATTACTTGACTTTTGTTGGAGAAGATACCAAGGCAATTCTGGAAATTTTTGTTTATGACAGTTTGTATCTACATATTCTCGATGCAAATGCAAATGATTCACACAGATTGTCCATGTGATGGAAATATCGACACTTGTAGCAGCTAGTTTACAGCCAATGGATAGCTTCGAGAGTGTTCCAGCTGATGATTGTGTTACGGGAGAACCCGATCAGAAATCGATGACTTCCAGGACCGGCAGAAGGAGAATGCCTGGCGAATAGGGAGCATGTGACGGATACCATTGCCAAATGCTATGGCGGGAAGTGAGAATCCCCCTCATCGCTCAACCTTTGAGGTTAAATAGCCTCGGATGGTCCACAGCAGACGGCGGTTTAAACCATGATATTTGTATCAATGTATTGCATTCAATAGCGATATACATATTGTTGTTCTGGCATCTCCGTGAAGCTTGATTTGAAAGCGCCAAGTAGATATGGCTGAGCTACCGAGACATGTATCTACTGCAGGATGTCGCAACGCGATAGAAGATATTGATAGAAGTCTCTATGGGGTCAAATCCTCGCTTTTAGCTTACACCAACTTTTCTTTTCTTCCTTTTGATCACTTGTTGATAATACATACAGGTTGTAAGTACCTAGCAATGCGGCGCGGTAAATATATTCATATACTAAATCGTTGGTACACTATAGTTTTCCAGGAAAAGGCCATAAATAATACTCTCCATTAGCATAAAGTATGCATACTTTCCAACAATACTTCCAACTATGAGGAAACTATCAACTGCTTTATGTATGCGGGCTGTGGCACGTGCGTAGAGTGATTCTTGACTGCGCTCGCTGCCAGAATGAGTGTAATAATGTCGATTTTGGCCCCTAATATGCTAGTCATATGAATCTGTACTTCCCTTTAATCTTTGACAGGCAAGACAGCAAAATCTCGCAAACCCCCCGCCAACTTGCTGTCCAAAACTCTGCTCCTGCCTAGGCACTCAACATACGAAGTTGTACTCGGTAGGGGCTACTTTCATGGCCGTTTGAACAATCTTGCTGCAAAACTTTAATATTCGTTTTATTGCACTTTTCAAATTTGACTACCGACTCTATAAGATGGCGATGAAAAGCGACATGGTCGCTTCGGAAGAAGGCGACCGTATTCAGGGCGTTTGGTGCCGCTCGACTTGCGCAGAAGAAAGCCTTTGATCAATCGGCCGCTTCATTGCCAAACACCGACAGGGGGGCTCCCGAAACGCTCAACGATGCGAGGGATGGCGGCTTCAACGCTGTTTTTCGGATGATGTTCAAGGATGGCGGTTCGGCCGTGATTCGGTTCACCAAGACGGGCGCCTCCATGTTCCCAGAGGAAAAGACAAAGACCGAGGTCGCAACAATGAGGCTCATCCAGCACCACACCGCAATACCTATTCCCTCTATCCTCCACTAGGGCACCCGGCAGGAGAGCCCTGGCGGTATCGGTCCATTCATAATCATGGAGCATATTGATTATAAGATGATCTTGGTTGACGCGCTGAATATTCCTGGTTGCTGTCCTGCAACTGACCGGCCTATTCTAAACCCAAATATTGATGAGGCTAGGCTCGAGAGGCTGTATGATCAGGCTGCAAAAATTCTACTTGAGCTTTCCAAGATGGAGTTTCCGCTGATAGGTGCTCTTGAGGAGACTAAAGAAGGGTCCTGGGAGGTCACACGCCGCCCCCTCTCACTAGATATGAATGAACTGGTGAGGACTGGGACCTTGCCGCAAAACAAGTTGCCTGCTGCCACCTTTAACAGCTCTTCTGAATATCTCCAGAGCCTAGCAACTCTTCACGTCCATCATCTTGCTCACCAGCGAAACGGCGCGGTCGAGTCCAAGGTCGACTGCCAACGCAAATATGTGGCTAGACACTTGTTTCAAAAGCTTGCTAGCGAAAAGAGACTTTTATCTGGCAAGTACGACAAGGGACCCTTTAAACTGTGGTGTGATGACTTGCGGCAATCCAATATTCTACTCGACGCCAATTTACAAATCAACGGCGTCATTGACTGGGAGTTTAGCTATGCCGCGCCAAACGAGTTTACGTTTGCTCCTCCGTGGTGGCTGCTTCTTGAGCAGCCCGAACATTGGAGGCAAGGCCTTGACGACTGGAGCGAAAAGTACGAAGCCCGCCTGACGACATTTCTCAGGGCCATGGCCGATTGCGAGGACGCCATGATTGCCTCTGGCCAGTTGCAAGAGGGCGGCGAGTGACTCTCATGCAAGATGCGTGAGAGCTGGGCGAGTGGTGACTTTTTGACCGTCTACGCGGCGCGCAGGAGCTTTGCGTTTGACTGCATCTATTGGAACAAGATTGACCAACGCTTCTTTGGAGCGGATGAGCAGGATATCCCTCCCGAGGATATGTGGGAGAAACGGCTCGAGCTGCTCGACGAGCAGACGCGAGAGGCGATGGATTCGTTCGTGGAGAGGAAAATGAAAGAGACACAGACAAAGGAATTGGCCTGGGATCCAGACAGATACACGTTGGAATGGGCGAAAGTCGTGTCATGATGTTGTTGTAGCCTGGAGCGTAGAGGGGAGTTGTCCATACATTCCTTGTCGCGTAGCCCTGATCTTTGACTTGGGCAACCAACCAACCAACAGACATCCACCTGGACACAACCCATGCATTCTCTTTCAGCAGTGCCACGTTGCAAAACACGAGGTCATGACCAAATCTTGACTATTAAACGTAGCAGGAAGAAAACTTTAGAATAAAAGTTGAATTACAAGTTGACAGGCTAGGTAAATGTGGGCATAGAACAATGTGGTAACGACGGAAAAGCAATTCACAACTTGCGCTCCCATAGACTATCAAAACAAACAAATTCATGCCTCATAATATAATTGATTAGGCCGTGTCGAGATCAATTTCGGCTTCACGGCGGCGGAAGCGCAGCGACACCATGGGGTCCGAGACGAGCGACACACCACTCTCATACACCCGAGGATCAGCATTGTCGGGCAGCTCAAAGTCATACTTGATGAGAATGCCCAACAAGGCGACCTTGATTTCGTTGGCGGCAAAGAAGCGACCGGGGCAGGCATGCTGCCCGTGACCAAAGGCATTATGCTCGGGCGTAGTCGAGACGAGATGGGCCATGTTTTGCTTCGCGGGGTCATCGCGCATGCGCACATAGCGATACGGATCCCATACCTCGGGATTCTCATAGATGGAGGCCTCGCGGAAATGTGTAGAGGTGACACCGAGTCTCGCGCCCTTTTTGAAATGGGTGCCGTCTTGGAGGGTGAGGCTCTCTGTGACAACGCGAGCCATGGAAACTGCGTAGCCGTGTCAATACAAAATTGCCAGGTTCCAGAACAGACTCTTCAATTCCTGCACTTACTCTGAGAAATTGGCTTCAGGCGCTGGGTCTCCTTGATGGTACTGTCCAGGAGCTTCATTTTGTAGAGCGCAGTCTTTTCCCAGCCGTCGGAACGGTAAACGGTGATTATTTCCTCCCGCAGAGCTGGGATGATGTCGGGGTTTTGGGCAATACGAAGCAATGTTTCGGAAAGCAAGTCGGTCGTGGTGTGGATGGCGGCAAGAGACATTGCGAGCTGAAAATTGACAGCGTCGTGAACTCGTTCGGGATCAGCACTGGCAAACCAGTCCATGGCGTCGTTTGACTCGACATATGGCATCCCCGCCGAAGTGGCGGCATCGCGGGCAGCGTATCGTTTCTTGAGAAGAGGATTCATAATGGCACGTGCTTCCTTGAGCATAGCTTGGGTGGAGAGACAAGAAGGAAGGAAGCGATTGGCAATAGGTCGAAGCAGATAGGGCCACTGGCGTAGCTCCTCGGCGGCCTTGAAGGATTCAACCGTGTATTCCTTGGTGACGCGCAGCCAGTCTGCGTTGCGGCAGAGTTCCTCGCCAAGAAAAACGCGAGCAGAGATGCGAGCGACAAGATGAAGAGCAGTCTGGCGAACGTTGGCCTCATGCCATTCTAGTAATTTGATTAGTTGAAAAGCAACAGGACCTAATTTGTGTGATATATATACCAGTGCTATCCGTTAGAAGATCGCTCAAGGCTAGCGAAGTCTCTTCCGTAAGAGGGCCGGTGACCTTGGCTATTCCGATAAACTGTTAGCCAGGAACACTACTAAGTGGCTTCTGGAAAAAAAAAAAGCATTGGCTTACCAAGCTGCTTGGTAAGATCCTTGCGAACAATGGCTTTAGTGAGATGATGGCTGTCGCTGAGATTGAAAGGCTCAAAGCCGTGTAGGTAGCTATGGAAGGCCTTGGAAGTCAATGTTAGTAATGCGAAAAGAGATGCGAGGAGTAGAGCACTGACCTCCATAGTAGCTTCATCGAAACTAAGTCTGGGGTCATTGCGAATTTCGTCAATCATGGACGCAGGCAGAATTGTCATGGGGCCCAGGTCGCCGTTGATGACGACGGGCTTGCTTGGGTTCTTGCTGAACCATTCTCTCAGAAGCTTGGCGGCATTCTGTTGGAAGTTGGCCTTGATCCTGTGGTCTGAGAACTCAAATGTGCCTTTGGGGTTGATGATGGGCAGCTTGGATGCGGTAGATAGGCGAAAGACGACGGCAATGACGGCGGCTAGGACGGAGGCAATGATGATGGGCAGCGGCTTCAAGGCGGCCTCCTGAGGCAGAGCTTCGAGGTAGCTCTTGAGATTCGTAATAATCATGATTTCAATCACCTCTTTTCTGATAGGCTGACGAACATGCAACGGACTAGTTGATGCTTGGCAAAGAAAAAAGAAGGCGCGATGGGGTTTATATACAACGGGCAGCTTGAGCGGCACGGGACGGCTTGCCGACGTATATATACGTTAGTTCAGATACCAAGAAGCGAGGAACAAATTAGAGTCTGACGGCGGATGTCACAGAACTTTCAGATCAAGGAGAAGTCGAACGAAACCCCCTCAACCCCCTCCTCCGCTCCGTCACTAGGCTCCCTTGTCCGCACTGCGGAAGCTTGGGAGGGCCCGAGCCGGGGTTGGCGAACCGAGTTACTAGTTACAGCTGGGATGACAATAGACGAGATGATATGCAAAGTACGTACGTACATTGGCCCGCTGTATTATGTGTGGCACAAGAATCGACCCCCCCTCCCCCCTCCTCCCCGGATTGCTCGTTCGTTAAGAGTAACTCGGCGTTGCTGGACCCGGACCTACACCTCTAATGACGCGCTATTCGTTCAGATGGCTCTTCGAGGCTATTTCTGACTCGAGGAGAACAGCTTGGTCTAATTATGGCGTAGGTGTTTACACCGCCGAGTGTGATATGCAGACACCTTTTTGGTTCATGGGACGCTAACATGGGCATCAGGGTGCAAGGGGAGGAGGGGCAAATTGGGGAGCATCTGCTGGCAGCTATCCGTAGTTAGTCAATCAATGCGGAGCACAAATGGTCAAACTAATAGCAACTACTTTGATGTAACATCTTGCGCAGTTTCAATACAAGTTTCGTTGGGCTAGTACAGAAACGTCATTGCTCGTTGCATCGTGTTGTCCCGTCCTGCTCGGTGACATGGTCAATCAAGTCCTTTTGGCAATCAAAGCTAGCAGACACCGCTGCGCCATTGAGAAGAATCAACGGGACAAAGTACATCCAAAGTTGACACTGCGGGTCCATTTACGGCGCATCAGACGAATGAACTCGACCCAAAAGAAAGAGGGTAAAGTTGTTGAAGCGAAGAAGCATTGGCCATTGACCATCTCCACTATTGGGCTGATTCCGTCACTTTTGGCGCTGGCTTCTCAAATTGTGTAACAGGAGAATCTTGGCCGGTGACTTCTCCTTGTTTCCTTTGTATTTTCCTCTTCCTTTTCTTCAGCTGCCTTGGAGAACTGACTGACCTGCTGACGCCGGTACTGGTACATCACGAATCAAGCGTACATATGCAGTACAGATTAATTAAAACAAAATTCTAGTCAAGACAGATCGTGGGAAAATGTGGAGAGCTGAGTCCCGTATACAAATACGCGTATAACTAAATACAGTAGTTTCTAGGGAAAAGCTACCTTATTTGTTGAATTCTGGTTTGCTTGTCGTTACGTATACAAAGAGTCGTGCGACACCCTAAAAAACCCCACACACCAAATGTCAGCCCGGGAAGCGTGCGTTGCGCGATGGACACGCATTGCATTAGACCCTTTTTTTTTGGCTTCCGGGAAGGATCTGCTTTGCCGAACGAATCAATACATACAGGCAAAAAAATGACATCCACTTACAAGTTACTAGGTACCAGCGCCAAGTACTCTGGCCCAGAATAAACACCACATTCATACGTGTCCATGTGCAGTACAGCGCGCGGAAACCACGGGAAGCAGCATAACAAAGCCCTCTTCCCGCATCGTTCAGACGAACGATTACAACTAAATTGAATTTACCTTAAAAAGACCGAGAAAAACACCCGCCTTTGTTCTTGGGAAACCCCACCGCTTGCCTTTTTGGGGGGAGAGGGCGGGCGGCCCGTCCGGACCCGCGCAGCCCAGACCGAAAATCAAGCATAAATTTCCGTATTTTATTGCTGATTTGGTATGAATAGCCAACGAGAAATTGACCGATACGGGTACGAAGCGAAAGGTGGCTTCTCGGATCGAACCCGTCAACGCTCCTTTTCCTGTTCTGATTCCAAACGTGGACACATCCTGAGATATAAGTCTTTGCACACACACACAAGTCCCTACAACAGCTGTAAAACGAACTAATTAGCAACATCTACTTGGTTAGCTGGTCGCCTGCCAGGGCCACGATGCTACCCTTCCATTTCACTCCCACCCCCTCCCTCCTTTATTTTTTTTTTTCTTTATGCACATAGCTCATCGGCTCGACCACGTTCCGATTGCCACACGCACAAAAAACACATCGATATAAACGCATGCAGAAAGCTGCAGCGAACCTGCTGAATGTCCGCCTTGGCTCGGACACTTGTCCCAACCCGGAACCGTTTGGCGTTGGCATAACACAGTGACGCACGTGCCCGCAACGAACCCCCCCCCCCTCCCCGTTGTGCAGTTCCGCCGCCAAGCCCCAACCCTCTTGCGGAATTGCTGCTTGCAAGGCGCATGCATCTGCATCACACAAGGGTAAATTTCATTGTTTTGGACCAGATGACTCGCCGCGGAGAGGCTGCGATAGGCCATGGGCTGTGACAGGTATGAAGGGGGCGTGCTGCGGAGAGCTGACATCAGGACCATCATGACGTTTTTCCAAGATAATCCAACTCCGTCGAGATATTCCGTAGCAAGTATGTTCTTTTGATCTTGCTCTTTTTCCTTTGTCGCCGTTAAACAGTTCAAATCTCGGGCTTGACTTTGCCTGCGGATACCGCTGCGAAACGCGCGGCGGGCGGAGCGAGTGTCATCATCAACCCACCAATGGCCGATGATTCATTCTGCAGCATGACTACGTTTTCTGCCGTGACAATGAACTCATCCAATTTTATGCCATTTCTGTCCTCAGCTGTGAAATGATACATCTTCCATAATCCCGCATGGCTTGATTCGGACCGACTGTTTAGATTCATGATGCATCACCCAAGCATAGTGGGTGAGTACCCTACATGAGCTGCATCGAAGCGCCTTTCACGTCTCTCTCACGTATTATAGCTAGCGACAAGCATCTAGCATCGAACTCATGTCACCCAGCATCGCAAAGAGTAAATGGACTTGATAGCCTTTGTAACAATATAGATATAGTTTGATGAATTAAGGGAACCTGCTAACAGACTAGTCCCGTAGAATCGCTTCAATAACAATGTGTGTGGTATGACGTCATTTAAAAACAGAAAACCACCCTCTCACTTCCCTTCCATCACCTCTCCCTGGACTCCGTCCACACATTATCATCACCAATTCCCAGTGAGCTATCAGCATTTGGTAGTATAAACCTAGGCTCCCTCGACGAGCCTCTTGAGGGATGCGATTCTGCTTCTTGCGACGAAGCCTCAGCATCGCTGCCCGGCACCGGCGGCGGGTCTTTATAAATCCACGCTTGCACCAGCGGACTAACGAGGCTCGGGTTCACAAAGCTGAGGCCTTGCTCGCGGAGTTCATCCATGGTGCTACCACGACGTAGCGACCGGCCCAACGAGGTGCCGTTGGGTAACGGTTCGTCCTGGCCTTCTTCATCATCAAGAATAGCTTCGTCATCACTCGCATCCGCGCGAATGCTGCGCAACGCAATGTATTTTGTCAGCGGCTCGAATCGCCTTGAAAAGTAATAGCTGTACCAGACAGTAAAGGGAATAAGCGGCAGAATAGAGACAGATTGAATAAATGCCGAGAGAGATGCAATCTGGCCGACCATGACGACTTCGAAGACGATGATACCAATGACAAGGCGGCTGCAAATGATGCGCCACGCGCCGCCCGTCGCATGCTGTGGCTGGTCCATGGCGTAGAGGAGCATGTATTTGAATGCAAAGTAGCCTAGGGCAAAGTAAATGACGCCAAACACGAGAATTGTCGGCCCCGGCGGCAGCGCGCTGTAAATGAAGCAGAGATTGAACACAAGCAGCGATGTCGGCAGGTAGAACCCATACTGGAAGTTGGGCGGCTTCTGGAGCTGAGCGTAGTCGCGCGGCGTCACCGCTAGGAGTCGGTAGATGGGATAGAGCACGACACTGCCCACTTCCAGAATGCGAAAGGGCATCAAACCGATGCCTTGCAGCATGACGAAACTAATGTAGAAACGAGATAAATTCTCCACATCAGCGGCAATAATGGCGGGGATTTTGCTTGTGTCTTTCAAAAGTCCCTGCAGCGCAGAGTAGAAGTCGAGACCAGTCTTGGAGATGGCAAACACGAAAAAGGTATTGAAAAAGGTAAAGAAGAAGTTCTTGGAAATAACGGACAGCTCGACGTCGCCCTGGGAAATCATGCCTTGGTGGTTGGAGAGAAGGTCGTAGACATACGGCACAGCAATATTGAGCAAGGAAACAACCAGTGTAGGGCCGCCATTCTGGATCAAGGACTTGACAATCTCATGGTCCTCTAGCCAGTCAGCAAACGCAGGCATCACGTTTCGAATAGTGCAGATGCTCAACCAAGAGGCCAAGAAGGCAGTAGGAAATATCCACACCAGGGTGAGAATGGTGATGAACAAGGTAATTGCCCAAGACTTGAGGCGGCGGACGCCACGGGCAGCATACGTGTTTTTCCAGACCATATCTGACGGCGATGGGGTCGCCTTGGTCAAAAATTGGCCGGGACGAGGGTCAATTTTGGCCTGAATGAGCATCTGACAAGCAGCAACACTGTCCATGGTGACGAGAGCCATGTCGGAGGGGGTGTGATCCTGCTTGCGCGCTTCGACAACCTTTTCATCAATGCGTCGCAACTTTTCCTCGTAGTAGTCAATGGCATCTACTTTCTGCCGACGAAGTCCCAAAAAGCCGTGGCGAAGGACAACCTGGGGACGGACGCCGTGGAGGAGATGGGGTTGGTCGGGGTTGCTCCGGAGCAGACCCCAGTTTTCACCCGCCTCTTCGTCCTGCTCCCGCGCCGCATGGGTGATGAGAGAGTTCTCAGGATCGACTGGCGCGTCTGCGACAAGCACGTCATTGTCATGCGGGTGCTGTGACCCTAAATACCTTGCCCAAGCTGTCTCAAGTCGGTTTAACAGACGGCTTCGCTCTTCAACCAGCTGATCCAGCTCTTTCCAGTTGCGGCAGAGAAACACAGTTTCGACTTGCCCAATGCCAAGCTGCTCAATCATAATCTTGAGCTTCGCTTCCGAGCGCTTCTCGGCGGGTATACCAGAAAGGCGAAATGTTCTATCGGTAACAGTCGATTGGGACCCTAGGTATTCCTGACGAAGCTTGATGATGCGAAAAGTCTCCCAGTTGATGGTATATAGGGTCAGGGCGACGAAAAAGTAGGTGAAGACTGCGTATGACCAAAGGTATGCTCGCTCTCGACTCTTGTCCTTGCCGTCGTCGTCGTCGTCGTCTTTGCCAAAAGGGCCAAACGGCAATCGGACAGAGGCATACGATGTTGGGCGATAGGCGTACGAGGTGTTGTTGTCACCGTGACCAGGCTCAGTCGGTGGGAAGAAATCGAGCTTGCGATACTTGTGATTGATTGGCCAAAGCACGACGAGGGCAAAGAAGCCCATGATGCAAAAAATACGAATGGCCATTTTGAAAAAGGACAAGAAGACGAAGGCGTCGAGGCCAGCGGAGGAGAGGACCTGCTCCTCGGTGATGCTGTAGAGCTTCGGAATCCAGCCGAAGAAGGTTTTTGGGAGGGTCGGAAGGTCCATGCTGGGATGAAGACGCCTCTTGCGCGCTGAGTAAAGGGCTGGCCATCGTGGACGCAGAATCTATTTCAATGTTAGCGATGACGTCAAATCCCCGAGCTTTGTCTCGACGCACGCAAAAAGTGACGAAGGCTGAGACGCCGAGTATCATAGAGAGAGCGAGCTGGACCTGGAGGTCCTTGCTCTTGGCGCCAGGCGATACATAGTGAGCCCAGTCCTCGTCGGTGCACTTGTCGTCGGAATGGTTACGCATTGCGTGGCATGTCGTGGTCGGCGTAGCTCGGCGGGGAAATCGAACTGATGAAAGCTACAGCAAAGCCACGTCGGAGGCGCAGCGATGCTTCGAAGAATTATGATGGCAAAATGGTCGGCGTATGAGTATCGAGAAGCGACCCTAGAGTGCAAAGCAATGTGATGGCGGCGATGAGGAGCGGAAAGTAATCTCGTGACGTAGTTCTGTTGGAGCTAGCTGTAGCCAGCTATTAGCGGACGGAAATCTAAGGCACAGCCGTCGCCACTTGTTCAGGCCGCCAATGGCCAATGGGACGCACAGAGACATGAACGCTTACATAAGGGTTGCTGGCGGCTTGAGTGACTTGCACTATCTGCAGCAAGTTTCTTTAGATGAAAAGTGAGGGTTTCCAAATTCTTGATATTCAAAGGTAGGAATGGATATGCACGACTTTGGCCCTTTGTGCTGCGCTTGTTCATGTGGCGTCAAGAGGCGACAACAAAACTTACAGTGGCGGTGCAGTAAAGCAGACCGGATCTTGATGATTCATGATTTATTAGATTACTTGCGAATATTTCTGATACATTGTGTCTCGAATGGCAAGGAGGAAGCCAAAATGCAGTGGCCTAGATCATGATGAGCGTCAGTTCAATCCGAAAGATGGCGCTTTCGTTGTTGGTGATTTATACCACTGCACGAACCAGCTTACGGTGGGCTATTTACGCCTACCACGTGTCTCAGCCCAACCGATGAGGTTTATTGACTGATACTGGTAGGCGACTAGTTAGCACTAGGTAGCTAGTCAATTACGCAAAGGAAGCAGGCCAGCGGCAAGACCCGTTGGCGATGCCTCGTGCCAGAAATACGATGTCGTTGTTCATGTTAGCTGTTGGGATGGCCGACCAAACGACAAGCGAAAACAATGAGTTAAACGTTGCAAGGAGTAACTAAGCGGGTAAGGGGTCGGCCGAGGTTTTATGCGGAGCAATAATGATAAATCAACTTTCGCAGTGCCTGCCATGGAATCATGGGAAATGGTGCATGCCTTTGGAAATTACTTGGCGGAAAATTAAAACGAAGGCTATCTGCAATCGGCTGGCCAAGGAGCAATTGCGCAGCCGGAGGTAGCCCAGCCGTAGGGGTGACGCAGGCCGTATTAGGGGAAACCGCGTAGACTTATTATCCTCCTTGTTACTATTACTTCTTGTTTGCTTTTTCAAAGTGAGGTCTTACGTGCTTGCATCGTTGGATCAAGAAAGAATGTGAGTGGTTAGAAAATGCCATTGCAGCAAAGCAGTGGTCGGCAGCCCTCGGCAACACTAATTTAGTATGGATGGTCATCGGAGCAAGCGTTGCAATGAAGGGCAGCGTGACAGCCGAACGTGACGAGAGGGACTCAGTTGGGCAATGATTGATCATCCATCGTTCCTTTCCAGACATGGTGCTCGTGTTCTGATATTAATAGACTGCGGGTTTAGGTAGGAAGTGGATGATGCGTGGTGGACTCACCCGCTAAAACGGGGGTTTTACTGGTAAACACCTACAGAGGGCGCCGCTAATAATTACCTGACGTGCCTGACAGTAGACATGGGGCCACATACAGGGCAGCTGGGGGCCTAGACAACCTAGAGAGCTGAAAAGGAAGACACAGCGCTGGTAAAAGAAGAAAACACGTTTGAGAAAAGCATGTCTCTACAGGAAAATCCGAGTACAAACGCAATGAGCTGCAAGGGCGCAAGCTGTGCCGCCTGTGCGGCCCGGCCCTTATTACGCGCCCAGGCTGATTAGGAGAACTAGGCTTGGTCAATTGATAGTTGGCAACAACTATGAATTGGCATGTATCCGTACTCCGTAGATTAAATAACTATTATCATCTCGTATCTGGCGCAAAAAGATTTCTAGGCTCAGGTACATGTTTCCCAGAAATATGGGCCACGACAAACTGCTTGGCTCAACAAGCAGAAGACTGCTCGCATGATGTGCACTCTTCCAACTGACAATTTGTTCTCGAGGCTGCCCATTTGGAAGCCCGAATTAAATCACATCGAATCCTGACTGCGGGCTCAGGACGTGAATCCCTCACTCCGGCGCAGATCGTTGACGATCGCAGCGACTCCCCCATGTCGGTTGGGGGCTGCAGTCAGCGGTGCCCCAGCCAGGCTCCATGCAGATGCAGGTACGCGCCAGTATGAAAATCGAAATAGAAAATTGCAATGAGCTCGATACTTCTGCGTGTAGTACTATCTATTTGATTTGTTTTTACCATGCATGCCATGCCATGGCAGCAGACCACGGTACAGCCACGCGCCAAGGACGCTGGCTGGTAAGCGTTTTGTGGCGCCCGTATTTGCGCTAGTAACAGCTGGTACATGCACCTCGCGGGGGACATTTCGTATTCTGTAGCCAATTACTATTGTAGAGCAGGGACGCGCAGCCCCTTGTCAAGTGCCAGCTGTTAGTGTTCCCAACCGCACATTTTAGCAGCAAAGCCACGAAAAAGCCAAAAAGCCAAAGAGTCAAAGAGCCCACAAAGTAAAACCGCTATTTACTCCGTACAGCCACTAGGCCACCTCCATTGGACCACTCTATTGGACCACTGTTGCACTGAAAACTGTCCCAGATCCGTCCAGTTACAGGATTCCTCATCCGCTAATCCTCATCCAGCCTCTCCATTCATTCCATTCCATACCTCTTTTTCTCCCTCACTCTTCCTCCCCCAAACACCATCAATTCCTTCAGTCCTCTCCTACGCCTCTCGCCGTCCCGTCATCATACGCTCGTCCTCGTGCCCTTTTCCGCGTCTGCGACAACGCCGTCCCTGTCCCCTCGTTTCACAGCCTGCGGCTCCATAGAAGGAATAATACCTCACGGCGCCCCCAAAACCCAACGGCAGCAACGCCTAGGCCATCGAAACCTACGCTCGCTTCACAAACGTCCAACGGTCTCATCGCCTCGCAACTCATTCATCAACATCAAATAGCGACGAAAAAAAACCATTTTCGTCAAATAACCATTCTGAATCGCACCAATACTTGAACGAACTTGTCGGTAGTCTCGAACCCGTTTTTTTCTCGACCTCGCCCTTGCGTTCTCTGCTAGCCGCCACAAAGTGCCCAATCTGAGACACTGCCGGCAACAACATACGATTCGCGCATCATCCTTCCCGTCACGCTTGCTTGAAAATATCTTTTCGTCGCTCTCACTATCTATATTCGCCTTTTTTGCGCCTCTACATCTCCAATTTTATATTGTAGCGATACCATCGCCCCCAAGTGCTCGGTCGACTGCTGCGCTGTCGATTTCGTCACTACCCTTTTGTTGGATTTTCGTACCGCCCGGTCCACATATTCCACCAGCTTCCTAAACCGTCGCGTGTAGAACGCCTTCACATCATCATACACTGACGTCTTTAAATCAATCACAATGGGTACGTTCTTATTTATGAACAATATCTTGCCCGACAGTCGTTTTAACCACGCACAGCTGCCCAAGGACCAGTCACCACCATCGTCCCTTTTGGCGACCGCAACAAGCTGCCCGCCTGTGCCGTTTCCTGCAAGGCCCTCTATGACGCCAACGCCAACTGCGTCCCCCCCGTCATCCCTTCCGGCCCCGTCTCCAACTACGAAGCCTGCTTCTGCATCAACCAAAACGTTGTTGCCCTCTCCACCGCCACTGATGCTGTCTGCAACGATGTCTGCTCCGGCGAGCAGGGCGGCCAAAGCTCAGTCGCCAGCTGGTTCGGCAGCCTCTGCCACGTTACTGCTACAGGTGGCACTACCAAGACGACGACGAGTGCCAAGGGCGGAGCCACGGGGACTTCCAACACTAGCAGCAGCAGCAAGAAGAGCGGCGACTGGTGAGTCCCTCGACCTCTGTTCCTCTGAATTCCCGAAATGATGGGTACTGACCATCTCTAGGATCTCCAACCACTGGCAATGGGTTATCATGCTTGTCGTCCTGATTGTCGTCATTGCTGGCGTCTGGATCGGCGCCTGCATCTGGCGCCGCCGCTACCTCCGCCGCAAGGACCGTCAAACCTCGCTCGGCCAGAAGCAGTCCGGCTCTGCCTCCCGGCCCTCTTGGGGCCCGGCCGCCGTGCCCAGCTCCGACTCGGCCGCGCCAATGACCTACTCGAACAATTCCGAGGCTGGCTATCCCAAGTTTGAGTCGACTGAGAAGCCCAAGCAAAAGAAGAAGTGGACTGTCACCTCGAGAACGTGAGACCGCCTGCCAGTTGATTGGTAAAAAATGGTCAAATGATTACGCTCTTGGTATTGGCATGAACGTAGAGTTCTTGACCCGTCTTTTGCATCATTTGCGTCTTTTTCAAAGTGTTACTTCACTGCTGATGACACGACCTTGCATCCTCGTCTTCTTTCTTGTTTGATTTCCCTCCCAACACTGCATTGGCAGCAGCAGCGCGCTTCCGCCATCTCGAAGTTTAAAGCTGCGCCCTGACCGACGGCTCCGACGCGCCTTCGACACTTGACCACCCAGCATCTCCCTGGTCTTTTCACAGGAGCAGATGTGTTCCACTCTTTATCCTCATAGTGTTATTGGCATCATCTTGACAAGATGCAACGCCAAGCACAAATCTTGTACATGACTTCAGACACAGTTGTCGTTTCCTTATTTCCCCCTACGACTTTTGCATTCTGCCCACGCGAGCTTCTTTTCGCCAACCCAGGGCCTATAAAACACGTGGAGTTTTGGGCGCCGTTGCTTTTTTCCTCTGGCTTCAACAGTTTTCTTTTTGCCCGCGTTTTCTTTTCCTTGAATTCTCGGTTTATTTATATATACGCAATGCACTAGAGGAGGAAGAAACCACCATGACACAGTGGGCACGAAACACTTGCCAGTCTGGACGATGCTCGCGTCGACTTTCCCTCGATGCTCTGCATCTACGCAATATGATCTCTTTGTTCATAATTTAATCTTTGGGATTCGGAGTACAACGGAAGTCTTGATACACAGACGCACGATGCACGGCAAAGTTTTGTAGAACAAACTCGTTTTACATGGTTTCTTATTCTTTGGATAAATCAATACGCATACAAATCCTCTTCAAAACAGAAGTGCCTTATAAGTAATTCTTGCTCCCTGCATCTCTTTGTATTCAGCAAACAAACAATGCCTTGCACGTGGCTTCTTCTCCGTTGATCAATGAATTCAAAGGAACGTTTACTTCAACAAGAAGTAATGTCTTCTACGCGATCCCTCCGTGATTGATCAATACGACTAAATTTTATTAGACAAAAATAATGCCTTCTATGTTATGCTTTTTCATCCACAGCTCTCGTGTACTTGCTCTTGCTACCTCTACCAATCAATGACGCTCCGCCTCTTCCCGCGCATCCATGTACAAATCAATCAAGCAGCTCGCCGACCACGCTTGCGTAGGACTCTGTTAAAAAAATTATTAGCTTCTAAATTTCATATTTCATCAAATGAAGTCTCTGGAGCTCAAAAGAATCACTTACCGAGTCTGGACAGTACTCTCCATTCTTCTGCGTAAGCTCCGTGAGGCCCGCCCACGGCGACTCTCGAATCATTTTCTTGCACCCAGCCAGCCGCCTCGTCACCTGCTGAAACGCCTCGATACGACCCTCGGCCGTCGTCCGCCGCTTGAGGTCAAATTTGAGCAACGCGCGCAGAAAGAAGCCTGTGGGCCACAGCCACTCCGGTCCCTGGTGGTAATTGCGGCCCTTGCTCGTCGCAAAGTCGTCGCTGTCTTCGCTGTTTCTGTAGTACGGCCGGTAGTTGAGGTCGCTCGGATCCAGTGTCGCCATGCCCGTCGGCCCGCGCAGCACACGGTCCGCGAGGCACAGTGCCTCCATTGCGTGCTTCTCATCAAACAAGTCGGACGCAACCGTCATGGCAATAGGGAAGTTGGCTCGCAACTGGTAGTCTTCGTATTCCTTGCCAGATTTGTACAGATCCTTGTACATGCCACGGCGGTTGATAATCTTTGGGTTGACATCGTACTTGCCATCATCGTTTGGGGAGAGAGGAACGTAGTAGCAGCGCTCAAAGTTAGACTTGAGCAGCTCGGCCCACTTGACATAAGATACAGAGCCATTGTCTGACTTGGTCACGCCCTCATGACGAAATTTTCCATCCTTGTGCAGGCCAGCTAGCCATTTGACCGTGCTGTACAATAAGCCCGTGATCTCAATAGCAGCGCCATCGCGAGGCGTTCCGGGAATGCCCTTGGAGCCAGCACGCTCACTTTCGCCCATCTTGTCCATCCATGTGCCGCAGTTCGACTGATTGCCACCAAAAATGATGCCAGTCGTCCAGTCTACATGAATGCTCTGGTTGAAACCCTCGTCTTTCATCTGCGAATCGATCTGAGGTCCGGCATTGGCTTCACGATACTTCATACCGGTAGCATGTCTTTGAAGAGCCTCTTGGATGACCTCCTCGATCGTGCTTTCCTTAGAATAGGCACGTGGATCATTGGTTGGGAACCAAGTGTCATCGTATGGAAGAAAACGCCGTGGTACCTTGACTTTGAGCAAGTCGAGGCCCTCGGGCGCGAGTTTCACGTAGTCCTGGATGGTTTGTAGAAAGAACCAAATTGAATCTCTCGAGTTGTATCGCGGTGCGTCGCCGCTGCTTAATAGATTGGGAATCATGCCGTGCTTCAAGACACTGGCGAAAGCAAGGATGTGCTCCTTTGCCTCGTCATAACGCTCGGTTCCGAGGAACAAACCACGAATAGAGATGAAGACATCACGCCCCCAGCATCTCGCCCATTCAACTGCAAAATGTGGTAGACCAGCGGCAATGGATGGCACCTTCTTTTCCGGCCAGAGTGAGGCAGACTTGACTAGTCCAGTCTGCTGAACGCTAACCAAGGCTAGGCTCTGAAGGAACCATTGACTCTTTTCGATGCTGGGTGACATGAGCTCGAGAGATTTGCTCCAGCTAGCTTGATAGGCGGTCCTTATTACCAGTGCAAAATAACGAGGTAACAGAAAGCTGGGGATGGCTTTGATGGCCTCAAATCTGTCTTTAAACCATTGTCCCGGTGCAATGAGCCGGTCCTGGCCCGGAAGCTTGCTTTGTCGCTCAATTCTTCCTTGGAGAAAATCCAGAGCCCAAGCACCATCTCGAAGATTCTGACAAAGCGGGTGTGCCAAGTCGTTGTTGTGAATGATGTCCTTCAAGACGCTCCACCAGCCTTGAACACCGGCGTAGACAAGCTTGCCGTGGCTAGGAATATCATATACACCGTCTGCGCCATCGGTGGCATCTCTCTCCTCTGCCTCGCAACGGTACATCAAAAAGTTGAGATCGATGAGGTTGAGGTCCTTCCAAGCCTCTCTAGCTCCCGATGTGACGTAGGTGTCGAGACCTGCTGAATGCTCGGCCGCAGGAATCCACGTTTCGAATAGAGCGATACTCCCGGGAGGAAACTTTTCCCGAACTGTAATGATTGCATCGTCTCCCCTCTGCTCAACATCGATGCCAGTGATAGCGACCACCTTGCTGGGCAAACCACGTAAATACTTGTCATCACCAAGTACCTTAGCCGTCTCCTCTTCGCTTGCATCAACTTCCAACATCCAGCTGCCCAGGTGCTGGACCTTGGTCCCGTTAAGCTCAACCGGGGCAATGGACGCCCGGCCATTGCCATAGCCAGGGAAAGCCGTGTGAGCGATGAGGAAGTATCCCTTTCTCGACTTGGGGTGAACTCTGTGGACAGTGATATACTGGTCTTCGTGGTGAATGTGGGTTTCGTCGTATGCGTCTTTGCCCATAAGAGTGTGTATCTGGTTGAGAAGCTTCTTTACACCACCAATACCATTCGTGCCTGTCGTGCCCTCGGGTGGAGACCGCGATGACTCTGAAGTGTAGAGGCGAGTCTCGTTGACGAGGTCAATCAACCTTGGGTAAATTTCGTCGTAACCCATCACGCTGCCAGTGGCGCTTGAGCACATGCTTACGAGGGCGGCATTGGGAAGAGTATCGCGGGCATCTCGTTTCTGTGCAGGAGTCTCATTGTCGTGTGTGCAGTCCATGAAGAGAGCGTGAACTGGTGTAGGTCGAATCTGTTTGATGATTTCCCTCGACAAGTTGCCCTTGTCGCTGGTTGTGTCAGTGGTGGAAACCTCATCGACCTCGAAGCTACCAATAGGGCTGCCACCATGGCGATGCACCAAGCGGCTCAATTCCGCGGTGCTCCAGGCTTGCATAGCTTCGCGAATAAGTGAGCTAAGGCCGAGACGCTTGACAAAAATGTAATCTGTCTCTTCCGAGCCTGAGAACAATTCTGCAACGACATACAAGTCGGGTCTCACTCGTCTGGCTTCGTCAAGAATGTGTTCCGCAACGTGAATGGGGGTAGAGTGGCAGTTGTCGATGCGCAGGCCGACGAAATACTTGGCAAGCAGACGAGCGTACTTGGTCATGTGTTCCCAGAGCCACGGGCTGTCTTGTGGCTTGGAACCATACCGGAGCTTTACGCAGTCACCCCAAATGATGACCTCTCGGCGGAGGTATACCTTTGATTGAGGTCCAGCATGGTCGACCAGGGCATTACCGCCCCAAACCCAGCCATTGTTGACTAGGGCCTTCTCCTCGGGCTTGAGTTTGGAGGTGGCCTCCGTTTGAGGGAGACGGGTAAAGTATGATTCGATGAGGGGATTCTTTTTGTTGATTGGGCCGAGCTTGGGTCCATGTTCATCCAAGCGAACATATTTGATTCTGTTGAACAGCTGTTCTAATGCCTCTTTTATATCGGTATCGTATTCCTCGTAAAATGGTACATTGAGAGCATCCAATATCTTGGTCGTCTTTGCTCTGGCGGCACCCTTGCTTGCAGAGTGGCCATCTCCTTGATACTTACCGAGAGCAAAGGATAAGACGGTCGCGCCGATAGCGGGGTCGACAGTGCGCCTGAATCGCTCGCCCAGGTGATCAAGGCCGTTGAGACCAAATGTTTTAACGAATGCAACTTGGTCGGCGAGTTTGCTCTCTTCGAGACCTTGAAGAGAAAACGATTCGCCTGCCTCTTTAGGGGGCGCAAAGGTCTTGCCGTCCACCCAAGCTTGGACAATGGCGTCAGCATTGGCATCTACAGCCAGCACATAGTATTCCCAAAGACGCAACTCTGCCAAGACGTTATTCTTCACGGCTTCCATGATTTTCAAGACGTCGTCTGAAGATTTGGGGTCCACGGGTAAGCCCAGCTGTTGGAGCTTGTCGCCTAGCTCTAGAAGCTTGGTGTCGAGCTCATAGGCAGACTGGAGCCAAGGCGCGGTAACAAGATTGTAGCCAGCTTCTGGGTGTTCCTGCAGCCATTGCGTGTTGCTGGCGGTATGATTCAAGACAATATCGGTCAAACTTAGCAGGGAGTGCCTCTTTTCCAAGCTATCGATCATGCGCTTAACGTCTTGTTCGCCATTTGGAAAACACATGGGGTCCCAGCTGAGCTGGTCGTAGAGACTGTAGGGCGAATTGGATTCACCACGGAGTTGCAGAGGGGTGAAGTGAACCATGTTGTATCCCCTTTCGCTGATGCCACTGAGATGGGCGTCCCAATCCTGAGGATAGCGGCCCATGAATTTGCTTATGATGGAGAAGACAGATAGGGCGGGAAGCGGCAGTGCGCGACCGTCGAGGGTCAGACGGGGAGCAACATCAATATAGTAGGTTGGTGTCTGCTTGAGCGACTCGTGGGCGGCGGCATCTAGGGTCGGTCGTAGGTCAGGCAGTTCGGCGTAGGTGGTATAGAAGGCAAAGGCGCCTGCTTCGTATATAGGAACGGAGATTTCAATGGAGCGGTTAAAGTCGGGTTTCAAGCTGTACCAAGTCAGAAACAAGCCAACTGATGTGATGAAGCCTGAAAGTGAGCCGTGTTACTTACGGAAACTCGCGAAACTTGTCGCGGCGAAATTCTTGGCCCTTGCTGGGGATGTTGACCCATAGGCTGCCATGGCGGCAAATGGAGGAGGCGCCCTCGATGACGAAGCGGACGATGACGGGTTCTCTGGACTTGGGCGCGAGGTAAATATACTGGCCGGCCACATCGGGGGAACCATCGTCGTTGAGAGGCAGTAAAAAGACCTCGCGAGACGTCATGGTTGCTGGGCTCATGTTGGAGAAGAAGGAAAGTCGCGGGCGACGATAGCGGTGCCCCGCGGTAGATGTGGCTCGGTGGGTGCTGAGGAGCTAGCTCTGCTGCTGCTGTTGGTGCTGCAGGATGACGCTTTGATCGACGGAGTGGGCTGTTGACCAGACCAGGGTCCAGCGGCAGAGTTGTGAGGGGTGACCGAGTGGTGGCAGAGTGATGCAGGGACGATAGAGAGCTTATATGAGGAGCATGGTGAAAATTCTAGGAGCATGGTCTTTTGGTGTGGCACGGCCGAAAATCGAAATTGAGTCGGGTCTCGACAGCTTAGCAATTGTCAATAGCAGAGGGGCAAATGCTCCGACGGAGCCGCGAGGTGCACTTGCAATCGACGATGGCATGGGGCGATCAAGTACCTACCTAGTTACCTAGTACCTACCTTGCCTGAGTACATGGTGTTGCAGCATGTAGAACATAGAGGTACCACAAGGCTTGAACAGTCATTCGGCGTGGTACAATCATGAGAAAATCAGGTAAATGACCCCGTTGGGCCGTTGTGAGGGCCAAGAGAGCACACAGAGAGTTGGATCAACTGGACTAAAGCCTCAAGAGTCTGTACCTTAGCCAACGCTTCTTTTTGGCAATTGAGGTAGCCGAAGCTCTGCTGGTGCCCGCTGTGGGGCTCGATAGAATTAGTGCACACAGCGGTCTGATGTCACCAGACTCACCACCGAAACCTCACCATCAACCTCTTTCCTCCCACTTTACCACAATGCCCTAAATACAGCATCACTTCGGTTCTAGCCTAGGCCGTTTGAGTTTGTTGGGGCCAAGCTAGCTTACGGCTCGAATGCGTCAGATAGAATATACAAGTACATCGTCAGCTATCATCGCCCCTTTCAACATCCACCCACTGAGCCGACAAACACGCACCTCAACCTGCATCTCAACAGACCCCGTGGTACAACAAATACCCTCATACTGCAACACCACAGCAACTCATCCGAAACCACCACCAACCCTATCTAAGCCGGCACCTTGGAATACTCAAACTCGCCCGCACTCAGGGCCATGTCCATCGCCCTCTCGGTCGCCTCCTCCATGTCCTCCTCTGGCAGGCCCAGCTTCTCGTTCACCACCTGGTCGCTAAAGTCACCGCCGCCATTCTCAAAAAACGTGCGCGTGTACAGGCAATGCGAGAAGCCCAAGTAGCCCTCCGGCCCGCCTAGCAGCTTCTTGCCCTCGTCGTATCGTCTCTGCGCGTCGACCTGTTCCACTGTCCAGTCCTTATCCGTCGTGGCCAGCACCTTGTACAGGCTGTCCAACATGTCGCGCAGCGAGGCCACGAAGCTCTTGATGAACAGCGGCCTGTTGCGCCACCTCTCCATGGTCACATCTGCATCCTGCTCATCTTCAGGAAGCACCTTGAGGCTCAGAAACGCCGCCGCCGCCCGGCCGCACTGCAGCCACGTCGACGTGCAGATGCGCACATCGCCCTGACCAAATAGCATCGCCCTGCGCTTCGCAATGTCGATGCCGTAGCAGTTGTCGCTCATGAGCGAGAACTCGTACCAGAACGAGCAGTTCATCGTCGTCCACGATAGCCCATGCTTCTCCGCCGCCGCAATGTTGGCATACACGAGCGCGCCCGTCAGGTTCTCCTCCATGAGCTTCTTGTTATCATTATCAGTGCCGTGGCATGTCGGCATCACCCGGGGCACGCCCGCCTTGCCCGCCGCCGACATGACAATCGCTTCAGCGGTGGGGCGCCGCCCGAGACTGCCATGGACACGATGAGGAGTTGCTAGCCCTTGAGCGCCCCAACGAGGGACTCCTCGTTGGCGTAGTCGACGGGGGCCTTGATGACGCCCTCGGGTAGTACGCTTTTGCTGCCGATGCGGGTGAGAGCAGTAACGGTGTGCTTTCCGGTCTGTAGAAGAGCTTGTGTCATGTGCTTGCCGACATTACCACCAGCCTGTCAAGTCAGCACATGGGCAAGCCTGTCGACTGTGAATATACTTACACCAATAATGGCAACCTTGCTAATGTGGTCCACAAAGCCTGCAGGCTGGTTCTTCGCGTACTGGACCATTGTGACGTATTTATGCAGCCTTTGGTGATAGCAGTGTCAATAATAGATTGTGTGAGGATATCAAGACTCTTTTTCTAGATGATTTCTGCTCGCTTGCCGAAACTTTCAATACTGCGGCACTTTAGAGCTCTTATACACAGCGACGCGAACTTTCCTCCCTTCTGTCCGCATCGAAGTTCTTCCTTCAAATTTGTTGGTATAGGCCCGTCCGAAGCATGTTTCCCAAATCAGCCATTCTCGCAGGGCGAATCAATTTCCTTATCGAGCCTGGCGCAGTGGTTTTGCGGCATCAGCCAAATAATGACTCGTCAGCCCTGCCACTCTCGGCTCGTCGCGTGCGTGGCCTCGGAGTTAACTCAACGAGTTGCCACTGCCGCATCCGCCGCCACGCCGGCTCACAGACTGGCGTAGGTAATTGCAAGGCTTGATCCAACCTGCAACTGCAACCGTAATGCTTGAAGGCTATGGCGCCGAGGCTACCTGGGTTCAGTAACGCCTCTTAGTCATCGGTAGTCCGGATGTCGGCCTTGCTAACTAGCGTTATCCGGAACTCGGAACGGAGCTATCTATCGGCCCTTTACTTGCATTTCCTCATTCGGCGCCGCACTGTCCTATTCGGCGGCCGCACTGTCCCATTCGGCGCCGCACCGTCCCAATGGTGCGTGGCAGTGAAAATCCGTACCTGGGTATCTTAGATCCGGTGCGGCACGGAACTTGGCCCCCCACAATGCGCCGCCATCCATGTATAAGAAGCACGCCGAAAAAGATGCAAAATAGGACCAGGATCACACAATTTCAACTTGCGAAATCACCACATAACCTACATTCATTCCATTTAAGCTCTGTTCAATCTCAAAAATGCCCGAATTCAGCCTTACCAAGCCTACTCGTCCCATCCATGTCGGCGTCGTCCTCATGAACAGGTTCGTCTTACCCCGCCCGGCCCGGCCGGTGTGCCCACCCCCCATCTCCGAGCCACCTCCGGTCATATCTCCGTCTAACACCGCGACTTTTGCACGCGCTCGCAGCATCACCGAGGCGCTCGACGTCGTGCCTGTCGATCTGCTCCACGGCCTAAGCCACAAGTTTCTCGAGGCCATGCCCACGGTCATCCCGGAAGCTCTGAAGAACCAGGGCCTGCCGATTGAGTTTCACTGGGTCTCTGAGAATGGCAGCAAGGACACGCGCGAACTGAGCAGCGGCCTCCACGTCACTCCTACTGTACGTATTCCTTCAGTTGCCGTTACAGAACAAACAAACATGATGAAATATTTGAGAACTGAGTAAATGAAAAGAAGACAATGCTGACCATTTCCTGTAGGACTCCTTCGCTACCTGCCCCCCTCTAGACATTGTCCTTGTCGGCGCCAGCCACATCGACTACGTCCTGACCGCCAACGAGCGGGCCTTTATCCAGAAATCCTACGACGCCTGCACCGCCTTCATGACCGTCTGCGGCGGCGTGCTCGTCGCCGTCGCTGCCGGCCTCGTCGCCGGCAAGACCGTCACAGGCCCGCGCCTCATGCTGCCGCAGCTGCGTGCCATGGCGCCCGACGCCGCCGCCTGGGTCGAGAAGCGCTACGTGCACGACGGCAAGCTCTGGACGAGCGGCGCGCTGCACAACGGGCTCGACATGATGGCGGCGTTTATGCGGCACACGTGGCCGAATGACGAGGGCCAGAAGCTGAGTCTGGTCGACTTTGCGCTCGTGGCGGGGAGTGGCATCGAAAGGGACATTGACTACAAGGACGAGCCTCTTCTTGACTTGCCGGCTGCCTAGGTTTGCAAAGAGGCAGTTGACAAATTCTTTAGTATTGCAAATCTCCAATCTAGTCCTCTGTAAAACGTCTAGGTGCAGTAAGACTCATCTGACAGAATGTATAATATTGCAAGTTTCCAATCATGTACTTTGTAAATGCTAGTCTATAATACATTCAAAACAAAACGCCGGGCTTTCTAAAATGGAAAATTAAAATCCCGCTACCAAGTGAAATGCTCTTCAAAATATTCAATGCTAAATGGTGCGTGCGCCAAGGCATCCACGACGGCTTTCCGCGCATCATCAGCCATACCAGCCGGACCACAGACCACCACAGCAAGACTGTCGATGCCCTGCTCAGCCAACTTGGACGCCACGATGCCATGAACATCCGGCCGACCATGGTGCTCCTCAATATGCTCTTTCACGAGACTCGACAGATCCTCCAAGATATTATGGCCGCGCGGTAGGGCGTACAAGTTGACAAAGATGCGCTCGTTGGAGAAGGCGTCTGACATTTCGTTGACGAGTACATCTCTGGCAAATGCTGGTTCGCGCACGGCCCAGCGAATGTCTACAGATGGCTGGTTCTCGGCTTCATTTGTCAAAAGGTTGAGATATGACAGGGGTAGGACGACACCACTGCCGCCGACAATGAATACGACATGGCTGAATCGTTGCAGCGGGAGCGTGTGTCCGTATGGGCCGTCCACCAGCACGCGCACTGTCGAAGGTTCCTGCTTCGCGGCAGCCAAGTCTTTGAGGCGCTCCGTGAAGCTGTCGTATGGCCGGATGAGAAACGTCATGTATGCCGGCTCTGACACGATCTTGCCCTCTGTTTCTTCCACGTCTAGAGCTTCAGTAGCCGTGCCGAGCAAAGGCGCTTGTTCCACTTGAGAATCTCCTCGACGGACAGTTGCCACCGTAAACGGGTGGCTCTCCCAGCTGCGCGCCACATCGAGTACGGACAGGTAGTAGAATGTTCCTGGGCGGACTTTGTACATCTTCTCCCCCGCTGGGATCAGCAGACGCACTATATTCGACGATACGTCATAGGTCACAGAGGCCCGCGTCGACCATGACTTGGGCTTGAAAAGCAACACGCGAACGAGGCGCACGGCTCTATCCACGACCCAGAGGGCGACGGCGGCCCAAAACGGCCCGTCATAATCGCCACCAAAGATGGATACGTGGCCCAGCATGGTGCCCAAGATGACGACCGACATGACAATGTGCAGGATGAGGAACAGCTCATATCTTTGCCGTCGCATCCAGTAAACGGAGCATGCGAGCAGCAAACACATGACGACGGTCGCAATCTCTCCAGCGCACCACCACCACCTCGTAAAGTAGGCTGCGAATTTCTCCCAGCCGCCTTGCAAGACCAAGATGGTGTAGCCGACCGAGTGCACCACGGCCTGAACGGTCGCGATCCGCGCCACCCAGCGATGAAAGTTATTGTAGGTGCCAAAGTCCCACCCCGTCAGCCACAAGGCGACATTATTGCGCATTCCAAATAGCCATATAGCGGGAAAATTGGCGTACGAGATGATGCCTGTGCGATCCGATACGTAGCGGAGAATCTGCCTTTCGATTGTCGGGAAACTTGCCGAGGTTAGCAAATCGCTGCTGGTGGTAGAAATCCGATGCTTTGCTTACTAGAGATTTACGGCAGTCAGGCGATAGCCGTGAACGCAAAATACAATGTTAATAGTAGCAAAGGCAGCTATAGTGAGGGTTTGGACACGCGGTGGGATCGTGCACCACCATATGCTCTGTGCGCAGCGATGGCCAAATGTCGCTGGGAGAATCACTTTTCTTTGCAGCCATCGCGTCGCCGAGCCATATACTCCGTTTCCAGAGGTCAGTGGAATTTTGGGGCTCAATATGTAGGCAATAGCTTTGAAGAGTCGGTAAGCGGCGCCAAAAGCGACCACGACGACCCAGAAGAGCAAGGTGGCGTATCTGCGTCCTGATTAGCACCGACCATTTTTTTTTTTCAAAGGCCAACTAGTACATACTCATAATTATCATGATAAAATCTGACATATTTGTATCCGTCCTGCGATCTCGTTAGCGAAGCAGCCCCCTCTTTATCGACGGTGAGACGCACCAACGTCCTGTACCACGCGGCAAAGAGCGCGCTGGAAGGAATCATCAATTGATCGACCTTGTCGCCGGGCGCAAACGTATCGCCCCGATTCACGCGGTCCATCTCGCCGATCTGCTCTCGCGTGTATCCAGCGACAATGTCCAGCGGCGGAATGCTCACGCCCTCTTGCGCGAGACATGTCTCATACAATTCTCCGTAGGCTAGATCCTTCGCCTCAGGCAGACAGTAGAGGCCAAAACATAGGTACATGGAACGCAGCTCCAGACGACTCGTGCATAGTTTCTGCGCAGGCCGCGTCTCCTCGGGGACGTCGCCAAAGGGAATTCGCCAGAGGCTGTCCTTGCAGGACTGGAGGCACAGCGGGCCGTCTTCTGCCCAGGCGGAGGTATTGGTGCCCGCCAGCGCGGGGGCGGAGGCGGCGCACCGCCCTGGCAGCAGCAGCAGCAGGCCAAAGGATGCGAGAGCTGTAGAGCCTCTCATGGTGCCATGCTCATGCGACGCTGTGGCGTGTCAGCGATTTTTTCCCCGATGGCGGCGCGATGGAACCGAGTGGTGTTGTTGTAGGAATGGAGCCTAAGAGGTGAGTGAAGACGAGTTATCAATCGGATCAGTCCAGCGGCAGAAGATTATTGGTGGGTCCACCATAAATAATGATGCGCCCGCCTGGTCCGACACGAGATGAAGAACAAGTACAGCGGAAGGAGTCTGGAAAGTAGTAATATGATTCTTATTATAGTCATTATTATTTATCTAAATCTTCGAAGCAATTCCGATTTTGAAGGTGCCGATTCGAATCTAAGAATGGTCCCAGCATGTCGTCTCCAACGCGAGGTGCAACGAAAAAGGCGAATTTGAAAGTAATCATGTAAATCTCCCGACTCTCTTATGATGACTGAGCTTTGCCAATTTATACAAATTTGCGTGGTGCAGCTGATGGGCCTCTATGGAGAGCTCTTTGATGAGTCAAGCCAAATGGATGCCAGATTACCCGGAAGTGGATGAGCTACAGGCCGTCTACAACATCCTGAAGAGTCTCGTTAAATGGTACACTCAAGATAGAAGGCATTTTACAGCTTCATGTCCAGAATATCGTTCAAGGCAAGGTTACGTACGGACACAAGGTGTGCGATGTCCTTGGTCCTGCCGCCACCTTGAGAAATAGCTGAAGTCGAAGAAGAACCAAATTGATGAGAGGCGAGAACTAAGACAGGAAGAACGGAATACTCAAAGAAAGAGTCTCGGATGAGGCAAAGAGGGAGCGAATCAAACACAAAAGGATCCAGTATATTGTTTGTGTCTTTGAGTATCAATATACATGCCGATGCATGGCTAGTCATTACCATGTGATAATGTGTGTACTAAGAAATCAGATGCTTCTCAGTAGCAAGGCGACATTCCTATATTCCGACGGGGGTCATGCAAAAGAGACTCTGGCCAGCCTATCCGGTTCAGTTAGCGAATACAACTGTGCTCAATGTCACGTTTGGGTACATACAACGGGGACAACGCAGCATGCGGCCTGCTGGCCTCCCTTCGCGCATATGTTCTTGAATTCATCTGCGTTACGAGGCGTCTGTTTGGCTATTGAAGACAATGCAAGTTAGCCCAATTTCTGAGCTTCCACAGGTCAAGGAGGACACTTACGAGCCTTACAGTCAAGGCGAGCAACACCGAGGATGTCAGTGGCACAGCACTGGGGGACGCTGTAAAGGCCCGCTGGGCACAAGGAGGAGACGTCGGTACGGGGAGCAAGCTCAGTAGGCACAGCGAGGGCGCTGGCGATGAGAGAAGCAAAGACGACAGACTTCATCTTGTCTGAAAACGGTAGAGGTATATATAGCTAGTTGCTGAGTCGGAAATGTGAGTGAAGAATTAAAAAAAAAAAAAGGAAGATATGGGTAGGATTCTGTGCCTCTTTATATCGCGCCGACAAACATCATGCCCGGTCACCTCAAAGAAAAAAATCTTGATTTGTTCTGAGCAAAATAGAGTTACTCAAAACTATCGAATCGCGAAGCAGACGTTGAAAGAGACACGAGACCTTGTAGCGGCTGCGGCCCGATGCTAAAAAAGGCCTTTCTTTTGCAGCAGAAACCAACCCAGCCACGCCGTCGTCGCCGGCCGGCAAGGGCGAGGAGCAAGCCCTCATTGGTCGTGGGCAGCTGGCCACGAGCGAGTCGGGGTGAGATTGAAGCTCACTCCATGATGCTGCTGAGATCAGGAGGCTCCGGATCGAGGAGCCGACATGTAAAAGTTGGACCATGTGCGAGGTCGTATAAGACATGAGGCGACTTTTTCTGCCAAATGCTGCAAGTGTTTGACGCAGTGTTTGTTGACTGGGATATCATGCAGTGTGATGTAGTAAAAAAAAAAAAAAAAAAAAACCAAAATCAAAGAGGAGTTGAGCTTTCTGGTGGCAGGTGACCAATAAGCAGTCAATCTGCCAGTCTCGTACTGTGTCTCCGCGCGCGCTTCGTGACCCGTGACGGAGCGGGTGTTACGCTATGGTGTCGGGTATTGCAGCAGCTACGCGCTCCAGTCTCGGACGACTTTTGGATACTGAAGCTGTTTTTTTTTTCTTCTCCGAGATGTAAGAGATGCAAAGAGAGGACTATTGGTGACGATAGCAACACCCGCTGTTTCTCTGGGGGGCTTAGAGGCTGAAGGTAGAGCCCAGGTCGTGACGAACGGACCCTTATCCGACGTCTAGAGTAAGCTACATGTGCAGAGTATATCGTGCAGATGGGCTTTGTTTTCCCTGCATTTCTCGGACTTGGCCCTTGTGGCGTCGAGCTGAGAGTTTGCCTCTATGAGCTGATCAAATCAAAGAAGTTACCAGTCAGATATGCGTTGGGCCGCACGCAGATGCAGTCATCTACGGTCCATCGCCCGACCAACCCATAAAGCAATACTTTGTAACACTCGACGAGCGAGTATGAGCTGACTACGGGAAGTGGGAGCGTTGTGACTTGCATGGGAAAACAATGAGATGGATGCACAGCGTCCGAGACGGATATTTTTCCCTCCAGCGTGTTTGGGGCACAATGTTGGCTTATAATAACGGTCGTGTAACGAGCGAGCCCAGGAAGGAGTAGTAGTAGTCAAGGTTGGGCGATTATCATAGATCTAGCGCTAAAAATTAGAGATGAACCGAACATGATCATAATTAGGTACCTAGGCAATAATAAGAATGGATGGCTGCTAGTTTTAAATTAATTAGTGGCTTTCCGGGACATCTCACGCAATGCCCCCCGGTTGGCGGATATCGCAAAATTTTGTATCCGAAAGGGTTTCGTCTGCAAGCCATGAACTGAACCATCTAGAACAATGATTCGATTGAGCCGCAAAGAGCCCAGCCCAGCTGAACATGTTCTGCTCTTGGCACGCACCTGCGTCATCGGCGCTGTCTTGTCTTGCCAGCACTACAAGGCGTGGCCTTGGCCTCCGAATCGGGCGCGTTTCTGCATGGCATGCATAAAATCGAGTCTGTCAGCACATCAGCACACTCATTGAGGCACACGAACACGACACTATAACATGCAAAGGCCAGAAATGTGTCATTTTTTTTTTCACTCTTTTTTCTCATCCCCAGAACGTTCTCGCGATGCCGCCCGGAACGGCGGGTATGACGAGTCGAGCACTCCGGCTCCGTCTTCACTCAATGCCGGAGCTGGCATAAATAAAAGCCGTCGAGCCAACATGTGGTTCCTGGACACAAATAATTAACAAGTGCGCATTGACTTGGTCCCTTGCACATGCTTTTTTTTTCCCTCTTCGTCGTCAATTCGCCGTGCCTAATTTATATGGATAAAACATTTGGATTACCCCGCGCTAGCACAACCCAGCCTAGGTAGTCAATAGGTAGACAGCCGAGCGTGGCCTCCGTGCCCGCTAGCTTAACTGGATAAATTGCCCCGATTTCCGATGCCCGCCCGCCGCTTGTGCCTCGGGACGTTTTTTTCTTTGCTTCTTCTTTTCGGTGCTGGCGCGCGTTAGTGGTCAACTAACCAAAGCCGGCGCGCGCCGGTTAAAGAAGGGAGTGAAACCCCTCACTTTTGAACCTGTTGTAGCTGTCCTCTCCCTTTGCCAACGTTTTGTCGCACAAACACGAAAAAGCATCGAGATAAATCGTTCGCGCAGCTTGACAATCTTTTAGGGATTTCGACATAAACAACGGCAAGAACAACAACAACAACCACCACCACCCATCCACCATGGCAGGTAAACTCGCGCCGCTCGCCCTCGTCGGCCTCGCCCTCGCCGTCCCCTACTTCATCGGCTACTTTTCCTATGCCAATGGCCTCTTACCTCTTGTCCACGAAATCTGGCACAAGGGCACCCTGCCCGACGGCACGCCGCTGCGCACCCACTGGACCGGCCTGCACAAGCTCGACGAGGTCGTCTCCAAGCTCGTCATCTTCTTCTGGCCCGTCACCTCGTACGGCCATCCGGCCTTGACTCTGCACTCCATCGCCTTTGGCGGCACTTTTGCCGCCAGCTGGACGCTCGTCACCCTCGAAGCCTGGCGCGACGGCAGCGCCTGGACTCTTTCTAGCTTGTACGTCGGTTGCTTCAACCCTTCCCCAAAAAAACCAAACTTGCTACCCGTTTTTTGGTATGGCTAACATGTGAATGGCTTTTTTGCTTTTGCTTCCTCAGCACTGTATTTCTTGGTCTCGTTGCGCAGACCCTCACCTGGGCCTTTGCCACGCCCGTCTACGGCTTCCTGCACCTCCTCACCAGCGCCTCCGCCTCCGTGCCGTCCCGCGCCAACATGCACATCCCCTACGCCGTGCTCCAGGCCCTGCCGCTCGTCTTCCTCGTCGGCAACGCCGTCCCCAGCCTCGCCATGATTCTCCCCCTCTCCCTCTCCTGGAACACCCCGGCCGTCAAGCAGCTCCTCATCGCCGCCTGGCAGCCGTGGCCCGTCTACACGGCCTTTGGCCTGACCGCCGCGCACCTGCTCCTCGGCGGCGTCCTCACCGCCGGCGACAGCCCCTCGCCCGCCGGCCGCAAGAAGAGCGCGGCCGCCCTGCGCTTCATCTACGCCATTGCCTTTGCCAACGCCGCCGTGTCGCACCTCGTCGCCCTGACCGTGACCGTCGGCGCGGCCCTTGCGCCCGCCATCTTTGACCCGGACTACGCCGTCTCTCTGCATCCGACCAAGGTGCTCGAGACGATCCTGCCCTGGGCCGCCAACCCCGTCGCGCAGATTCAAACGCTCGGCGACGGCGCCACCATCCTCCTCCGCTGGGACTACGTCCTCGGCACCACGTCGCTGCTGCTCTGGGCGAGCGTGCTCCACGCCCGCGCCTACAAGCACTACGAGGGCAAGTGCGTCGACGTGGTGTCGTTTCTGGCCAAGATTGCCACGCTGTATGTCGTGGTTGGTCCTGCTGGCGCCGCCGTCGAGCTCATGTGGGAGCGTGAGGAGTTTGCGCTGCAGACCGAGGACAAGGCCCTCACTACCAAGAAGAAGAATTAAATCTGCGCCGCCGTCGCTGCGCATCACAAAGTAGAATTGGCTACTGTGCAATGTACTGGGACAAAAATGTAAACTAGCACTGGCAAAATTGACTGCGCGGGTCTGGATAGAATGTATGCCGTGTATAATGTAATATGCCTGCTCTTAATCTCATGATCCATAATAATAACAAGTCCATGTTTACCAATGCACCGCGGTCCGTGGCCCATATATATAACTGCTCCAGAAACACCCTGCCGGGATATCAAAACGTTGCATCACATAAAGTAGCATCTATAAACGTGGCTCGTCGTGATCAATCTTGGAAACGAGAGACGGAATGTCGTCAACCTGCGCCTTGCCGACCAGAATGTCATTGACGGCGGTAAAGAGCGGGTAGTCGCGCAGTTTGTCACGGGTAGACAGGAAGCTGTGCACCTCAAAAGCAGTCAATGTACCCTGGAGCTTTTGACCATTGAGCTCCTGCTTCTCAACTTCGCTGACGGACAGACCCTTTTCAATGGCCTTTTTGGCGCAGCGAAAGTTGCGGCCGCCAGAGGACGAGGTGATGAGATCAGCGACGCCTGCAGAAGTCTCGGTAAACGTGCCCGTCTGGACCGTCTCGCCAAAAAACTCCTTGCCGAAGCGCACCATCTCCATGAGGCCAATGCGCATGACGGCAGCCTTGGCGTTGTCGCCCCAGCCGCGACCCTCGACGAAACCGGCAGCAAGAGCGACGACATTCTTGAGCGCACCGCCAAGAGACACACCAGCCACGTCAGAGACCATTTGGACGTGAAAGTAGGGGCGGTGGAAGAGCTTGCGCAACGATTCGTGATCAAGGGGCGGGTACTCGGCGGGGATGGGAGTAAGTTTGGACTTGGATGTGCGGCCGCGGGCGTCCTTGTGAGGCACCTGCGAGAGGTCGACGGTGCCGATGGCAGGGCTGGCCGAGCGGGGAGTCGGGGCACGCGAGTTATCCATGGTCGGGGGATCGTAGGCAATGGTTGTCTCGGACCACTTCTCGGCGGCAATCTCGTTGGCAATGTTGGCGCCACTCAGTGCGCCTACATAAATATCAAGGTCCTCGCCGATCCACTCGCTGAAGAGGCTGACGCCGTCGGCAGAGACGTTGACGCCCTTGATGCAGCTGATGCCACGAGCAAAGGGCAGAATTTGGCCCTTGAGCTGGTCACAGACATTGTGGATGAACTGATGGGGGAGATTGAAGATGAGAATGGTCGAATTCTTGACGGCGTCGAGGAGGGAGGGGTTGGCGATGAGGTTGTCGGGGAGGGTGATGCCCGGGAGGTACTTGACGTTTTCGTGGTATTGATTGATGAGGGCGGTGAGCTTCTGGGGTTCTGACCCGGCAGCGGCAGCGTGCTTGGAGTCGGATGGGATCACAACGTCCTCCTCAAACACCCACATCTGAACTTCGGGCTCAAAGAGGTCCTTGCAGAGTTTGGCATTTTCGGCGACGATTTTGGAAATGGTCGAGCCCCTGAGAAGTTAGCGAGAGCCAAGAAAAAAAAAAAGAAGACGAAAAAAGGACATGGGACGCGGGGAAACAAACCAATTGCCTGATCCAACAACAGTCACCTTGTGCTTCTTGCCGTGGCCTCCAAGAAGCGCCGCGCCCGACATATTGCGTATCGGTGAGGAAGAGGGGTATCGAAAAGTGTTGAGGCGGACAGCGAGGCGGCGATGGAGTCTAGGCAGCGGGCAAAGGGTCGCAAACTGTAGCATACAGATGAAAGACGGCAAAGGGGCGAGGGAATGAGGCAATTGGCCAAATGGCGGAGGACGACGATGAAGAATTGGAATTTTTATAGTGTTCAAGGGGCAAAAGCTGAAGAGGAAGAGGAAGAGAAAAGGCCGATGGTGTGTGTCCTCGTGCCTGAACGAGTTGCGGGGATTATTTATCTGGAATACCCCACAGAGTTAACTAGCTGACAGGCTGATAAGGCGAAGCAGGCTATTTAATCTGCAGTTGCTGTTTGGCTTGTGAAGATGTGTCGAGGAAGGCTAAGAAGAACTGTTTGTGCCAACTCGATTAGCAAGAAGAAAGTGAAAGAAATTGGCGATAAAAAAAAAGATGGTCAATTTTATGAAATTTAGGTAATTGATGTTTTGTATTCTCTACAGCTCAAAGAACGGACGAAAGAGGCACTGATAAGATGAGATGCATGATGCGAATAAAACCCAGTGTTTTTCTGGGACTATTTATTCCGACCCACTATTGCGAGATCACTGCTGAAAATCCCGCCAGAAAATCTCCATCAGATTCTTTCGATCGGGGCCGCTCTAACCGGTCTTTACAGGGGCTTGTAAATCCAAGGGAAAGGCACCAGTCCAGCCCACGGCTTCGCCATTCTTGTCCATGAATTCGACAGCCCATTGCTCTAGCGTCTTTTCCTTGTATTTTTCAAGACTGAGATAATCACCAGCTAGCTGCGGTTGCCCGCCGCTGACTGCGAATCCGTCGTATTTTGGGTTGTAGTCTTTGTTCTTGATCCACTTTGCCCTGGGAAACTCTGTCATAAAGGCCTCTTCCTTTCTGTAGTCGTATATTTCACCCACCGTCACTTTAGGTCCGGTCGAGTTGCGAGGAATTTCCATCCACGCTTCAATCTGGTCCCAGCGTACCCCTCCCAAAGCGGAAAACTCGTCCTCGATTCCGTACATGATGAAAAATCCGGATGAGTCCATGTCTATCATGTTCGGCGTAGGATGAATCTTATAGACCCAGCCATTACCGGCATTATCTTTGAGAGAGTACCCGAATGCAACACCAAACGACGTCGTAGTCGAGGTATACGCCGAGTGAACTTGTCCAATTCCCCAGTGGTGCGTTTCCAAGCTATACGACATGTTCCTCGTAGGTCCTTTGAACTCGGTAGGGATTCCGCCTAGCTGGCGCAACGCCTCGGGGGCCCTGTGCTCGCCGCAATAGACAACCTTGGGTAGCGGCGCTGGCTCTCGAGCTGCGAGGCAGCCCTCGTAGCTCGAGTACTTGTCGTCAGGCCGATGACGCTTCTGTTTGTAGAGCCAGCAAAACAGCTTACTCCCGCAGATTTGCTCCGTCTTTGAGCCACGACAATCTGCAGACTCCGGGCTAGGCTCTATCCAGGGCAGCTTACCGCCAGGCGCAACGGGCTCTGGTGATGGCTCCTTGCCTGGAACTGGCATAGTTGAGTCAGGGAAGATGATGTTGTCCGATGGCGCCAATTTGATGGGCTCCTTCGATGCGTTGTCCTGTGTCTCAGTAGGCGCGGCACAGGCAAGCCCGAGGCAAGCAGCCATCACAACCGAGGACTTCATAGCCGTTGAAAGAAGTGGTGAAATTAATCAAAAAGATTTTTTGGCGCGTTTGGTTTAGCCTTTGAAAAGAACCACAGATATGGCTGGAGGAACTGCTTGTCTTTGTGGTTAGCCTCGAGAGCACAGGATAACCATTTGACTTTATACCGAGCATGCGGAGCCATGCGACCACGGAAACTATATCAGACATGAAGTTGATTACGTCAAATGATCCCATGTTCATTTACTTGAGTCATCTCGTCTATGTAAGTTTGGCCGAGCATGTGGGATAATATAATGGGCGATATAATCATGCACCGGTGGAGGCTGATAATCTCGTATACTGACTTGGGTTTTTAGCCGCGCTTCGCGGAGCCAATATGGTGGACCCCGGATGGCATACGAGTTGATGAAGCGCTTCTGTTACATCGTTACTATATATTATTCTGCAATAAACATTCCGCGCGGCAGAATAGCGTCGAGCGTCACCTGTGCTTGAGTGGCTCTAAATAAACACGGGACTACGTATTGATCGAGGTACCAAGCTTTGCAAAACAAATTGTAGGCCAATTTCCCAGATCTCAGAGCCGTACTCTGCATCGTTTGTTGAGTCAGGTAAATAGGACACTCTCGCCTGGGGAAGAGTGTTCTGAAACATGGCCCGCAGGGAATTACATCAATACAATAGTATAGGCTTTATCGCGGTAAAAAGGACCCATGGAGACCAGTTGAACATTTTATAAAATAATTTCTGCAGTATACAACCCGCATATTTGCGTAGGATCAGCATAGTATATTGTGAACCTAACATTGATTTTCAAGCATTCAATCTGCACCTCCTACTCCTATTATCAAAAAACAATATACTGTTTGATATCAAACTTGAATTAGTAGACCCATAGGCCTAACCGGAGGATGGAAAATAATACAGTATGTAAAGGTCTCTGATATCTCGCACATTTTTACCGATGAATGGGGAGACACACACCAAGCGTGGCCAGAAGCAATACTCCACCGCACCTAGCCCATCTGATCTCCATAACTTCCCGTGAGGAGAGAAACGAAAGTCCTATCCATGGCTTGATCCAAATCTAATACAACGGCGTGCTGTAAGCGTCAAAATCGTATATCCAGGTGTCGATGGAAGCCTGGTCGTAGACACATTCCGGCGTGGTCGTGTTACCGGACCACAGCGGGCGCAGAGGCCAGCGGCAGATGGAGTTGATGGTTCCCGTGGTGTCAAGGGTATCCGGTGCAGTATCGAACTCGACCCATCCAATCACAGTCTCGAGTGTGGTTCGGGGCCACTGGCCGTTGGGCTGGAGGGAGTTCGTACCGCAGTGGGCGCCGCCGGGAACCAGGAACAGACGGTAAAAGTCGTCCATGGCGGCGACACTGGCGTTGTACGTCATGTTGCCGTACATGACGGAGCGGACCGACTCGTAGTAGTGCACCGACGAGCCCGTGGGTATCGAGTCGTCCTGCTCTCCGTGGATGTGGATGACCTTGGCCCCGGCGGAGCGCAGGCTGCGCAGGTCCGGCTGCGTCGTCTGCAGGGAGTCTCCGTAGCGTGTCTGTCCCTCAATCATGAGGTCGCGCAGCGTGTCGTATGTGTAATTGGCCAGGCTGGCCAAGTTGCTGGTATTCTGCAGCTCCAGATAGCGCGCAACCCACTCTCCGCCGAGACCGCTGATGGCGAGGGACCAGGCGCCCGTGGCGTTGTTGTACGTCGTGGCGGCATCGGAAAAGGAAGCGCCCGGTTGGTAGCTGAGATAGACAAACTTGCCATCCGAGTCGTGCAGACCGTCGAGGATGGTCGCGGCCACAGCGGCGCCCTTGGCTGTGATGGTGCCGTTTTGCGCAGGGCTCGCGGCACCGATTGTGATGCCGCCCATGGCCCGTGGCTTAGTCGCTGCACAAGAGTACGGCTTGCCAACCGTACTCGAGACATTAAAGTTTAGCTTGCAAAGGTCGGATCGCGCAATGACGCCGTCAGTCTGACCATCGAGGCTGTCGCACGCGGCAATAGTCAGGTTCGCGATGGCAGCCAGCTCGCAGGTTGGAGGATAATAGCCGAGTGTCTGCTCGACGACGTTGCTTGTAAGGTGGTTCGCCTGCTGTTGACCATACCGAAACGCCGGCGCTCCAATGACTGCACCGTCGAACTGGTCGGCAAAGCGCTGCAACTGACTCCACCCCTCGCGTCCACCCTCGGAGCAGCCTAGATAGTACGAGTAAACCGTTTCGTTCTTGGGGACGTTGTACAGATTTGCTGCCAGCTGCTTGCCGATCAAAGCTAACTCGTGGTGTGCCTGGTAGCCAAACATGTAAACCGACTGCCAGTTGATCGTGCCGTTGGCCAGCAGAAAGACGCTGTCCCATTGGGTGTTGAAGGACCCGAACCCTCCGTCGGTGATGCCAGAGACGGCGCCATTGATGATGCCAATGGGAAGGCTGCTGCTGCCGGAGTTGATGGCGAGTCCACCACCACCCGTGGAGAGGTAGCGATTCCGGAACTCGCTCGGGGCGGGAACCCAGTAACTGACATGGACTAGATCGTCGGCGATGCCATTGTGGGAGTACGCAAACGTGACGTTGCAGTAGCGAATCGTGGCAGCGTTGTGCCAGTCAGACTGTATTATGGAAGAGTTGGCAGCGACGGCGGTAGAGACTGACGATGCATTGATGGTGATGCCGGGGAATGCGTCAGTGGCCGGGAGAGCAGCTTGAACATAGCTGACATTGCATATGTCTTGCAGCGTGGCTGCTTGGGTGGCAGTCGCCATTACCGTCAAGTAGGCAGAGAAAGTCTTGAACTGCATGTTGAGAATCGTTGGTGATGGTCAGTGGCCGGACCAAGGTGATGGCATCAAAGAGGAGAGAAGCCGATCTTATTATAGACGTCTCTAGTAAAAGCAATTAGGAAGAAACGCGGCCCGTTTCCATTGACATGGACATGATGCTGTCGATCCAGCTCGGGGACCCCGCAGCAAACGCCGCGATTCTGTCGGGGCCCATCTCATGAGGCGCCAGTGTTGAGGATGCGTCCGAGCTTGCCCAGCTGCATCGAGCTAAAGGCCAAGAGTCGAGCCTCGATCAGCTCCTCAGTGCATCGGTGTCGGCGGAGCCGCTGACGTATGCTACCAGTGGCGACAACATATTTTCGGCTCCCTGCTTCATGGCAGAACAAGTAAACTCAATCTGCTAAGACGAGCCACGCGTCGAATCGAGGTTGAAAGGGAAAGGTTTCTTGTAGCGGGGCCGGCTGGGCATGGGGGCGGCAGGGGGAGGAAACTGCCGCTTGCGCACTATTGGTGCTGTGTTTCTTGATCACAATTACGCACAAGAAGAAGCTAGTAAATATCGCTAAGAATCAAGAATCAAGAATTCATCAATTCATAGTCTACAAGAGTTTTTTCTTCTTCACATAGACTAGCTTGTGTGTGGTTTTAAAATGGTACTTTGGAAGTATAAGCTGCCTTCTCAAGACGACTCGGTTTTGGTTTTATTCCCCCACATGCCGGGGGACCCAGTCACGGACTTTGCCGTCATTGTGGATTTCGCTATGGTAATAGGTTCTAACCATCTATGCAGAGATCAAGCCGCGTCGCTTTTGACATTCATATCGGCATTGCATTGCCATGTACACGACGTCGGTGGCTGGCAAGTATACGACTGCATGAAGAATATTCCCATCTGCACACGTGCCACGCTTCTAACTGTGGCATACGGCCGATCGGAGTTGGAGATCGGCAAATAGGCCCGGCAATTGAGTCCGTCCTTGGGCCGCTGATCGTCGACCCTCTGCGTCTACCCAAAAGGGCAGGACCTTATCCACCTCCCACAAGAGCGCCATCATCTTATCAGATGCTGATATAACTACCCAGTACAGCTGTGGTTCAACTTCTACTGAAGCAATTCATCGATTTCACAGCCGTTCAAGTGGTTGATCCCGAATCGCTCATGCAAACGTGGCCAAACTTTAATCGTTTTCCTTGAGCATTACAGACTCTTGAAATAAAAAAAAATCTAGCGACTGGTGTTGTATTCGGAGGTTGACTCACTAGAACTGCTGAGGCTAAGAGCGATGGCCCGGCTCTGGAAAGCCTGCTATCATGGATGTGCCCCAGCATGAATTAGCTGAAGCAAAAAAAGTGCAAAAAAAAAAAAAAAAGGATCAAAAAGATCTCGAGTACCCGTGCCGCCTAAACCATTTTGTATTCAGAATACTATCTAAGGGCCGAGCTGGCAATGATTTCCCGAATCGCATCTGCCATATGCACTACTGACACTATACTCGTAACAGCTCCCTTCTTTGCATGGCATCCAACCTTTGTTGCTACCCCACGAGTCGCAGGAGTAGCCGGGCGCCCCAGGGCTCGACCCGTAACAAGCCCGACAATATGCTTCCGTCACGGCGAACCACTGCTTCAGCCACACCCTGTTATCCGCCGGCCCGCGCCAGTTGATGTCGTGTTGGACATACGTCGTCACCCAGCCCAACCAGTCGTAGCCGCCGTTAAACTGGGAAGAAAGCTGGAGCAGCTTGAAAAGGTCCATGCCGCCGCCACCGCCAATTGAGTAGTTGATCCTGAGCGCTTCGCCCTTGGGGACGGAACAGCTCTGGCCCTTGTCGCACACGAGAATGGGCCCGGCCCCGTACCACCAGTAATCCCAGTAGGTTTTCGTGTCGTAGCACTCGATGTATTTGTTCGCTGACGCTCTCTCTCGCCGTGCCACTGCGTTTATGATTGCGTCAGTGTTGGTAAAGTTGGAAAAGGTAATGTGGACGGTCCCATCACTGAGAAGCTGTTCCGTTCTGATGATGGCGAAAACACACTGCACCCCAGCCAGCAAGACTGGGATGATTCGTGGCAGACCGAACTTCATGATGTTTGAATAAGAGGCGATTGCAGATGTTGATTTTTTCTTCTCCACTGGTTGTGTTAATAGGTAGAGATGAGGAGGGAGATCCTGCAAAGAGAGAACGATAAATGGCACTGCTTTAATACACCTTCTACGGATCCAGCTAAAGACCAGAACAATAGTCTTGTCGCGCACTAATAAAATGTACCATAAGTCCCGGTTTCTTGCTCACCACCTTGCGAGCACGCATCCGATGTGCTGCGCGCTCTGTTGGCCTACCAGGCGCATCTGTTTCCACTGCCGGATCTCGAGGCGCGGGGATGAACGACTACTTCTGCGCTCGGCGCATCGCGGAATGCGAGACCAGGGCTGAACTAAGTAAGCACAAAGCCTCGTTGCTCTCACCGGTGCTGTTTGTCTTATGCGTGTCTCATGGGGCGGCGCTTTTGCTTACGGCGTTTGTTTGCGCGGGCAAAAAGGATGTTGAACCAGACAAATCGAGAATAGGGTGCTTACGATGGAACAAGGCATCCAATGAGCATTTATGCTGCAACAGGGTGTAAGTGGCTTGCGTTTTAGGCGTCAGCTACAGTAGATAGCGGTAAAATATCCAACAAGCATCGAGGCACACAGGGCGGCCGAGGACGGAGGCGTCTTCAGAACTCACTTTCAGCCCCCAAATGCTACCAATGTCGAGTATTGGAGCTGATCATGCAGCTGCATGGCAAGTCTTGGTTCCTTCAACGCGTTGGCCAGGTTACAACTACTCCATACCAGCCTAGAAACCAGTCCGACATGCATTGACTGTTGGGAGAGCGGATACTATATCATCGCCTATGTGCTGAAGGCATGATTGAAAGCTATACATTCAAGAGACAGGCATGGTTGGGCCGGGGGGTACGCCATACCGATGGAGCCATTGAGCCAGCGCCAGGCACTGACCAGATACCTTGCACAGTCTGAATGAAGCAACAGTATAGGCGAAACTGCAAAAGTTTTCTGATGTGATTATATGCATAGTGATATATGCTAATGTGTACATATCTGCTTATTCTCACGCCATTGGAGCATGAAGCTCGGATTCTTGTGAACCGTCTAATAAACGCCCCTTTTCACTGATTGCATGTGCCGTATCCCTTTTTGCGTCGTCCATTGCTCTCGTTCTCTCTCCATCCCCGAAAACAGGCCTAAGGAAAAGATCATAGCATATCCACATTATGTTGGATATGATTGTCATGGCCGTCGACAAGCCCTTGGGAATTTGACCGTTTTCGTCTGCAAACAGCGCCGCCGCGCGGATCATCAAGATAAACAACGGCAGAAATAGTAGCATAAAGATGAATTTTCCAAGCTTCTGTCCAGTACTCGTGGCTGTATACGGCTGTATCGAATCCAGGTACTCTTTGTATGCAAGCGGCAGATTGTGCTCCTGGGCACCGGTCCGTAGCAGGTTGATGTAACGCGGGCTGGGCTGCGCGTAGTCGTCGCGTGGGCGATACGGTCCGGTTGTGAGCCGATCCCACCACCCGCAGTTGCCTGGCCGCTTATGGTCGGGGGTTCGCGGCGCATGCAAAGTCCTGGCCATAAACGTGGCGGGCAGCGTCGCGCCGGCCGCGCTGGACAGTGGGATGCAGGGCACAACAATCTCCTTGTAGCTGGCGCCGCCGCCCTCGGTCCGCATAATGTTGCGCCAGTCAGACTGGGTCACCTCGTAGACGACGCCGACCAGACGGCCGTCCCAGTTCTTATCCGGGTGCCCGTCAGGCATTTCAGACTCGGCATCGCGGTAGTCAACGTTGGCAAAGCACGGCTCCATGTACGCGACGCCAGGTAGGCTGAATGTCAAGCGCAGACTAGGCACACAAACATTCATCTGCGAAAGGGGTTTGATCTTGCGCATGCCGAGAAACGTCTGGGCGCACATGTTGGATCCGTACGCCAGGTAGAGCACCGTATCAGGCGCGGACGGGTCGTCGCCATGCGCTGTGCAATCATCTTTGGCATTCCACAAGCGCTGTGGCGTCGTCTGGCCGCAATCGAACTTGCATATGTCCGAGAGATTTGTGAGCTCGGCGGCTTCAGTTTCGTATAGTGTATGCGGTGCGAGGGAGCCCCTTCGGCCTTTTGGGGGTTCTTCTTGTCTGGTCATTGCGGGGTCGGACTGTCGGCACTTGTCCGGGTCGCTAGTGGGAGTCGTACGCCGCAGTCAGGTTCTCTATCGACTGATGGTAATTTCGCGGATACTGATGTATAGCGTGAATACAAAGAGAAGATGGTCAATGGCTAAAGGATGACTCGGTGATAAATAGTCTGCGGCCCGTCGGTTGGCTGATGTCACTCTCAGCCAGCCTTGTACGCCAAGTACGCTAAACTTGTTAGTGACAGTGGACTTGCGGGCCCTGCGGACATGAGTCGCGACGCTCCGTGCAAGTAAGAAGAGCCTTAACAGGAGTCCGACTGCCCGAAGGTGACTTGGGTTGAATGGGTTGCCTGGCTGCTTGGTAATTTCGTATCAAATTCAACCGGGCACTGATGTTTCACCCTGAATACGGAGTACTATGAGAAAAGACAGATCACTGACCATCCAATTACTTCGTTGAGCTCATAAGCTGTGGACAACGTGCTCGGAGTTAGCCCGTTACTAACTATGGCCGTTCCGCCAACTTCGTCAGCCCGCTAGAAATAGCGGTGCGTACTAAAAACCCATTACAAATCAGGGTTATCCATTTTATGTCCGTCTTTTCCATGTTGACACGTTTCGACCGGCGATCAGCCAACGCATGTCAATGAGGTTGAGCGCCGTGGGAGCTGCAACGTCGCGGCGTTGAGCTAGGTTGGCGCCCACCATTGGCCGACAGCGCCAGCTGTCAAGCATTCTGACGGTCCGGCAGCCCGACTGTTTAAAATGCGGCCCGTTTGCAGTGCACTTAGTTTGTTGAACTCGGATTCCATGGGCTTCCTTTGCATCAGTTTGTGCTTCTCTTAGCAGTAACACAGTCATCTATCATGGTGAAGCACCTCCATTCAACTCTCAGCGATGAAGGCATCGAAGACGACGAGCTAAGAGACATTGAGCTGCAGCGGCACCGCGGGCCCTTATCCCATGCAAGTACCGGACCTCGGAGCTCCCCAGCTCGAGGCCATTCCTTAGACGGTGAATGGCAACTGGAAGGAGATGCACCATTGCACGAGTTTTCCAGCGCCCACCCAGACGATGGACAGCTGCCAGAAACCGCCCCGATTCCGTCTGGGTTGGTGGAGATCCGCGACGCGCCGATGAATGCTACCAGGAGGCCTGCCCGGTTGGACTTGTCCGAGACGTGCTCGACAACTCGTCGAAGCACCCCTTGCAGCAGCGACCATTTTATTGGTCCATGGGACTTCGTCTCTGTACAATCAGACGTATCGAATTTGTCTGCCTCTGAAGAGGCTGAGGAGCCCGCTGGCCCCGAAAACCCTAAAGCCCCCCAAAAAGCTGTCGTGTTGCCGTCAAAGAGAAAGTCCGAACAGCAACAGAAAAGGCCTTACAACACACGAGCAAAGCCCAAAATCTCCTATGCAGATGGCGACAGTAGCTCCGATGAAGAAGATGAATTAGAGGAAGTTGCACGTCCTGAGACTGCGGCTCGCGCTTCAGCAAAGAAGTCGACCAAGAAAATAAGCCCTGTCAAGAATAATGCCACAAACCCGGCGAAGAAGCCCTCTCCGAAGACACAAGAGCCAGAGAAACGGGATGAGAGCGAAGTTCTTCGAGTACGAGAGAACGGGAGAAGGAGACAGCGCCGTAAGACACCGCTTCCTATTGACGATGAGACCCAGACTGTTCCGATCACGCTTCCCGCAACTCCTCCAGTTACCGACCAGAGACCGAGGAAGCACCAGAAATGTCAGACACAAAAAGCTCCAGCTGCAACCAGACTTAGACCCTATAGCAAGAACAACGATGAAGAAAACACACCTCAGGCTGCCAGACCTAATACTAGTACTTCCCCGCAGCTCGGCTCAGATCAGCCACTTCACGTACCATCCAGTATTGGCAGTGAGAATATGCGTGTTTCATGCCTCGAACACTCTCCTCTTGCGGACATTGTTCAAGATGATGAAGACCAAGATGTGAGCAGTATGGTGGTGTCTGTCCATTCAACAGAAGTGACGACGCCGGGCGCTCCACCAAGCCCTAAACGAATATCCAGCATGCAAGGCCCTATACCGTCTTACCAGCCGCTTCCACGCCCTACGTCTCCCCCTAGTGTCTTTGAAAATGTGAGAGAATCAATCGAATTCATGCCAGCTACCCGGCCGGCTCTTGCTGGTGACTTATCGCTTCTCATGTCGAGGAATGTATCCAGACGTGACGAAGATATCGGGCATCGATTGCAGGAAATCCACAAGGTATGGCCTATACTGTGTCAGCTTTTGGAACTGTCTGACATGTTTTAGCGAATCGGAATCTATCTAGAAAGCAAGGAAAAAGAGGTCGCCTCCGTTGCCTCTGTATACCTCAAGAACGGCACACGCTGCGTGGATCGTCTTCAGAATCGATTCTCGAAGGAGCGCAACAGCTTCCTACAAAAGCTTCAAGAAGACAAAGATGCATTTGACAAGTCCATTAGTGCTGCGAAGCGTAGCCTCCGTGAGGGGGCTAGAGAGCGTCAGAGAGTTCTCAAGGAATTTGACAGGAATGCAAAAAAAAGACGGCATTCTTGCACGAATGAAGTCGGCCGTATCAATGACGTTGCCAAAAGAATTCATATTGAAGGGTGATAATTGCTAGAAGTATACCAGGTGGTCAGCACCAGGTTCTGACTGTAAATATTGAGATTGATGAGAGCCGCATCATTGACGGTATCCGGGACATGTGGTCATTTTAGAAGAAACTAGAATAGAGATCTTAATTGGCAATCAAAATTTGACTCGATTTTCTATCTGCAATTTCCATGACCGGGTGTATTTCTGCTGTAGCAAACGCGACTGTTTAGTCGGCACTTTTCACCCCTTCGCCGACAACGCCGATTCGAGCATTGCACTCATCCTGCATCGCCACCTCCGGCTTCTCCACGGGCATTTTTATACCGCTAATCTCCTTCGATCTCATTTAAATCTCTGATTTATGTTCTATTCTTGGTTACTGCATCTGCATCTTATCGAATCTTCTCGTTTGAGCCAGCGTCGCTTGTTCTCCAACCGCCTGCCTCCTTCCTTCCTGATCCATTCCACCTCTTGCCAGGTCTCAGAGACCTAATCCAAAAAAAGGCTGCTATTAAATCTCTTACCTAACCTGTCGCATAGACATCTACCTACGCATCATGTTAGGGACAGCTAAAGAAGACAGCCTTCTCGGCGATGGGAATGAGGCCTTGACCTTGATCTATCACATGGACATTGAGCTCGTCAAAGACTTTAGGATCTTTGGCGGAAATAGCAACGAATCGACAAAAATGGAAAGCCGACGTCTTCTCTTTTACAATCTTCCACCGTCCTGTACCGCGTTGCAGGTTGCACGCGCAGCAGCCGCCTTTGGTCAGGTACTTCGGATCAGCGAAGCAGCACCCGCCGTGAGAGGTGCAAATGATGGTAGCTTTACAATGCTGATCGAGTTTGCGGTATCTGATTCGTCCACCATGTTTCAAAGAGCCGTCATGTCTACCTGCCCGCAATTTATCTCAGAGACCGGCGAGCTATACGGCGCCGGTGTTTGGGTTATTCCAACTCCCTCGTTTCCCATTTCCTACTACACCGATTCATCTCTGGAGAGGGGCTTTACGCGTACCATTTCGATATCACCGGTCGCGGATATCCATGTATGGTTCATCATTTGTGCTGTCGCAGCCCCGCCTGACATCTTGGACGCCGAGTACGACGGCACAACCCAAACACTAGAAATGGAGTTTGCTGGAGTCGAAATTGCGCATCAAGCATGGGCATGCTTCAGGAGGGGCCTCTTTGGCTTTATCTTTGCCGATAGAGTAGCTCATGTGGAACCGCGCACAGATCGCGTCGAATATAGTGGCTATATCAAGTTCCTGCCTCCGGATTACTTGAAACAGCGATTCGATTGCTATCCATTCAACCAGTACTGGCCAGAGACATACTACTATGTGATGACGTGGCGAAACCTTCATCCAAGGTTCAACCTCCAGAAACGTGATATCCCAGCGTCCGATGCAACGGCTACCGACGATGAATCCAACCAGACTTTGTCAAGCTATACGACAAGCGTGGACAATGAGCCTCGCGGGCGATCACTTTTGCCAAAAGTCTCCCCATGGTATGTATCATTTTACACTCTTTCAAAAAGTTCCAGTGCTAATAGGATTCCTCAGCCCCAAGAGGCAGAGGCAAAGTGTGACAGAGCTGCTCGCCAGCGGCGATGATCCCCAGCTTCTGGGAAACTGGGACACTTTTTTTCAGAATCAATCGACGATAAGCTTGAGAGAGTGGGAAAAATATGCAAAGATTGCAAAGCACAGGAGGGAGCTCTCCGCCAGGCAAGGCTTGGCAGATGGCATCATTCCCAAGTGCGATGGGACTTGCGAGCTCGACTGCAAGGACATCACGGAGACACCTCGTCCGCAAGAAGTGGACATATTCTTGGCGAAATCACAGGAAGAGTTGCTGATTGATTTATAAGCTGAGATTTGGAGCTTCAGGAGAGTACTGGTGATTGGGAAAATGTCCAGGTAGTTCTGAAGAGGTCTGGCGCGGCTCTGCGAAATCGTTGCATTTGAGAACAAGATCTACATGGCTTCGTTTGATGGCTGTTTATTATTGCATTACTTCCATAGCATGGGAATCTCGATGGCTAGCTCAAACGGCTACTTTATAATTGCAAATTGATCTTCTTGGCCAAGCAGCACTCCAGCCTCAATGGAAGGCGCGGTTGCCTTTCTTTAATAGGGCACTTTGCGAAGTTTGAGACTTGCCGTGGCTGGTTGCGGATGAAGCAAGATAGTAGTGTAGTTTGCTAATTATAGAATTCAGAGCAAGCTAATGTAACTTGCTAGTTATAGAATATAATTGAGGTCTGTTTCGCCTCTTGCAGACGCTTTTGTACAATTGTGGCCGTGTCTCACGAAAATTCGAGACCTGGTGCAGCTATGCCATGTTGGCCGGAAACACCCCATTAAGGTTTGGCCGCACGCCCTGCGAGTTTGGCGCGTCCCATCTATGCTTTTCCATGCCGTCGTCGCTCGAGTAGACAAACAAGTCACTATGCGCGCTCGACGGGCGATCATTCTCTCGGTCCTCGCCGATTCTGTTGGTAGGCCGGAGCGGCGGCAGCCGAGCTGCCTGGCCTGCATCATTCCTCGTCAGGCGCGACTGCTCCGACGACCCCTTCTTCCTGCTCTTAAAGGTGCGGCAGAACTCGTGAACTAGGTCGTCCGGGAGGTTCTCCTCGGGCTCCCATGTGGGATTCTGGTCCGGTGGCCAGTCGCCCTCCCAACGGACCTTGAAGTACCGGACGAGGCCTCTACCCTCGACGTCATAGAGCTCCATGTCCTCGATGCGATCGACGGCCCAGTCCGTCTCGTCATCGGCCTCGGAGCTAGAGTCATAGACTGGTGGCGGTCTTGCTTTTCCCGAGGATGGTGTCCGCGGTTTTTGGTTTGTCTTTCGATTATGCTTCTCTACTTTCCTTGCCACATGCGAACGATATACCGGCTTGCCTTTTGGTTTTCGATTCGTGTCAGCGAGATGCGGTTCAAACGGCGCTTTGCTCGACAAGTTCTTCGCTGAATGTTGTAGGGAGCTGTTTGACGTTTTCTTCGCTAGAGACTGCGACGTGCTTTTTGACAGTTTCTTCGCTAAAGACTGTGACGTGTTATGTAACAGCTTTCTCACTGGAGGCTGTGGCGCGTTATTGGGCGCCTTCTTCGCCGGAGGATGCGGCGTGCTGCTGCTGTTGTTTCGCCCACCCAATAGATATTCTGTAGTTGGTCTCGACGAGTGTGTTTTCGCTGGCGCAGTCGGCCTGGGTGATACCATGGGTCTCAGTGTTACCATCGAGTTGGTAAGTGGAAAGGGCATTGCAGCCGATTCCGAACGCTGTGGGTTGGGCGTTTTTGTAGAAGGCATAGACATCAGTGGTAGCGTCGTGTTGGTAGCCAGTTTTGGTTTCTTGGAAGGTTGACTTTTGACGCTTCGAGATCTACCATCATCACTAGTCAAAATGGGCATCTTGGGGTACACAGAAGCCATCGGGGCCATCGGAGCTACAGGGACCACGGGCGCAGAACGCACCTCTGGCACTTTATCGTCGGACTCCTCCTTGCCAGGCGACAAGCTGTCAGCCTCCTTTTGCGCTGACTTTGCGATATCAAAGAGGAGCTGCTCTGACGGGCTCTCATCACTAGTATAGCCGTCGAGAAAGTCGTCCATCTTTCGCTTTTTTGGTGTGGAGAGGCTCAGGGCACCGCCGCGAAGCCGCCCCTGCTCGCCATCCCCGCCCTCCGTCTCGGCGACGACGGCAGCCTCAATGCTGGTGTGATGTGGTGGCGGACGGGCCGCCTTAGGTAGCGGCAGCTCGTCGGCGCGGCCCAGCAGCGTCTGCTGCGTCTTGAGAGCCTGACGCTCGGCGGCAAGGCGCGTCCTATCGACGTCGAGCTCCAACTCCATGCTGTACTCCCACTCCTCCAGCGCGTGTGGGGAGACGTAGTCGAGGACGTCCATGGCTGAGACGAGGAGTCGCGCCGCAGGCAGGTCGCGCCAGCCGACGATGTACCTCATGCGCTTGGGCAGCGGGCGGCCGTCGGCGGCCAGGCCTGAGGGCGGAAGAAGAATTCGGTCGTCAATGAACGCGGTCGAATCGGCGGGCGGCTGGAGAGCAAGGCGTCGAAGAGGTGGTCCGGAGTTGGGCACATAGTCGGCCGGGCGAGAGGGTAGCGGGATCGTGATTTTGATCTTTTTGATTCTTGGTGGATGCAGCCGTTTGCGCCCCGGGTGTGGTGAAGTCATCCTGTTCCACGGCCCAATAGTGGTCTTGAGCACGCTCGATTGTCACGTCATGAAAACAACCGAGATTCCATGCTTCGAAAGGTAGCAAGAGAAGAATCGCGGATAGATTACTACGGGCGACGGAAACGTAAATTAGCTGAAATAAATTTCCTAGCTTTATTTTAGACTCTAGCTCCACTTTTCTTAATAATACTTACCTATAAAAGTATTATACTTATTTTAACTAAGTTATATTATATTTAATTAAAGAATAAAAATATTAAATATTATATTTTTTTATTATTATTTATAATTTATTATTTTTCTTTTAATTCTATTTATTTCTTTTAATATCTTTATAATAATTAAATATTATAATTAATATATTAGTTAGGCTTAACTAGTCTAGTATACCTTACTTAATAATATAGATAAAAAGGCTAAGTCCTTTTATAGTATTTAAAAATAACTTTTTTACTTTTTTATACTTAATTTCTACTATTTTCTTTATAATTAAGAGCCTAGCTATATTACTTTTATCTCTAATAATATTATAACCTATTATAATTTTTAAGCCTTTATATAATAATAATAATATTGTTAGGGAAGAGGGATAAGCTAGGACATAAGAGGGTCACGTGTAAGGGAGCGGATATATAGAGGCGAGCTGCCGACGAACTAGTAGGAGGAGGCAGCGATAATTCCATCATCATCAGTAACCCTAAGGATCATTTTATGACTGAAGTCCCTCAAGCACATCAACCTCACAGGTCGATTCTGACCGACACAGTAGTAAATCTACTAAATTAGACGAGTTAGGATTTAACTAAGAGCTGAAGGCTAAAAAGAAAAGAAGAAACTAGAAATAAATTTAGGTGGTATAGGAGGTGTTATAAATCACTATAAAGGCGTTCGAGTGGATTTAAACCCCCCGCATAGCAAAATGTCCATGTAGCGGCCGACAGTCGTGACCAGGACGGGACAGTAGCAAAGCTGCGTCGCGAGGCCCACCGTAAGGCTCTTGGGCGTGACGCCGCATAGCCTTATATGCTACAGGAGACCATGCTTTCGTAGAAATGAACAAATTCGCAGGAGATATCAATACTTCATTGTCAGCATAGAAGTGAGTTGGTCAGTCGGGGTTAACGGCGGAGTCAGATCTAATTGGTTAGCTCCCCCCTGTGTTATAGTGCTCGTTGCAAGCTGCTCCAGCGTCAGCCTTATTGACTTCTAGCTTGGGCCACTCTAAAAACATATTCGATGGGTAAAACGTCGCAAACAAAGGCTGCAAAAGCTTATTACAGATGAAAAGTCACGGTTCCGCGTATTGAAAACAGTAGTTTCTCATAAATTTGCTATTCATAGACATAAGTAAAACTGGCTTGTGGAATCTACCTCTAGGCCTATTTCGTGGTAGTAAAAGTTGACTGCCGATGCCAAATATGCGTTTTGAGCGAGCGACATCAATGGAACGAAAGCAATCTTTGTAGCGCCACTGTGGCCGTGTAGAAGAGTATAATGGTTGATCACATTATGAATATTACCTGATACGGATGTCCTACGCTATGCCAGCTACGAATGCGGATAGATAAGCCATGATCCTCTTGGTAGGACACGACCTGAGAAGGCTGTCGTGCTTGGGGAATGCTCTAGCGTGGCCATCGCTGTTGGTGGATGTCCGCGCGAGGACATCCACGGTGGCATAAGTTAATGTAGGGAAAATCAGGCGTCCCATCAAACTCGTTGATGAAGAAAGCGATCTGATCGCATAACCCCTTGAACTGCAGCTTCTTTGTTGGGAGGATATCAATTTTTATATTATTCGGGATTCTTCGGAAAATGGTGGAAGAGATCGTCTTGTTACAACTATTCTGCCCCAATGGCATAGAGGGCACAACAAAACGTAGTGCCGACATGGTTCCCCCTTGTGGAAGAAGATATCCCTGCTCTCTGTCCCGTGACATATATTTTGACCAAAGCTATTGCCGAAGGAGTTATTGCCAAAGAAGGCTATGAGAAATGACCCGAGGCTTTCTTCAACACAAAACTCAGCCGTAAAGCCGCCTTCATCGCGTGGAAACCGGAATGGATGCATAAGCCCGTCTTTCGCAGCACAATCAACGCTCTAAGAGAGTCCAAGTTTTTCATGAGCGCTATAAATCCCTTGGAAAAGAGATGGGACTTAAAGAGTCGCCAACCAATTATTGCGACGCGGCAATCTACAGAGTCGATTGTAAGTAAGCCTCTACTCTCATAGCCAGTACGAACAGCGCTAGATTATCTGAGATGGTTTTCTGTCGGCGTACTTGTTGCTCCTGAAACAGCGCCACTACAAAAAGGGCTAGATTATCTGAGATGGGATCCTGTCGGTGTACGAGCTGTTCTTGAAACAGCGCCGCGCATGGTGTAGCGACAATCTTGAGTGTTGACCGATAGGTAATATAGGTAACTACCACCCGCGTGACGCATATTACGCGTCGTCGCCCACCAACAAGACACGCAGTGTATCATTCGGTCTGTATCAACAAAAACGACAAGAGATTCTATTCTGCAACAGAGAAATAAAACACACACTAGTATCTAAAAGCTAAAGAAAAAAAGGGAATTAGTAAAGTGAAATGGCAGGCGAGAGAACCCTGTTGCTCTTTGACTCGTCTGCCTTTATTCGGTGGGCTAAAAGCGAGAGTCTTGAGTCGAGCACCCGCTAGGCTCGGTCCGTGAAGCCAACACCAACTCGATTCCCGCTTGGCTCTATTTGAGTCTCTATTTAAGCTCTATCCAATCGCTTGGGATGAGTTTGCCAGACCAAGGCTCCTTGTTACCGGCCGCATAGATGTCTGCATTCACATTCGAATACTTGTTCATCTGCAACTTCTTTGGCACATCTGCACAAGTTGCTGTAAATGTGACGCCTGTTAAGAAGCCGAGGTCAGTTCAATGTCGTTTACTTGACCTTGAGTAGCACATACCTTTGAATGTCCAGCCATTGTCACCGAAACTAGCAGTAGAGTCGTCGTCGTCGAAGGCTACAGTCTCGAGTTCGCTGAGTTGCACAACCTTCTTCTTGAACGTCTTCTCGAGGTCAACTGTTCCCTTTGTACTGGTGCCGGCCGTAAATGACTTTCCGAGTGGAATCTTGCCTTCTCCAAGCTTGAGTACCAGTGTGTCACCGGTTCCGCCGCCATTGGTATTACCAAATGCGAAATCGTAGCTGAGCTCCTTGAAGGAAGCGCAGGGAGGGGCAAACTCCCAGTCTGCAGGAACGACTGGGAAAGTGGCCAGATTCTTCTTGTCATAGTTTGAAGGGTAGAAAACAGTGCTGAAAATCCACCATCCCTTCTGAGGACGTTCGTACCAAGCGTTGATCCCGACGTACTTGTCATTCTTGGCACCAAAGCCGGGGTCAGCACATTTGGCGCGAAGACGAAGATCTTGAAGCAAAAAAAAAAAAAAAACCATCGTTAGTAACGAAAAAGCCGTCCTTGTCTACTTTCTCTTACCTTGGACCTTGAACGCGTCACTTTCCCCCCCTCGGATGAAGAATGTTTCTGCAGTCAGAGTGAGGTTGTTAATGCCGGTAATGTCGATGGAGTCGGTTTTGAAGGATTTCTGCATATCCAAAGGAATCCACTTCGAATATCCCCCTGAAGGTTGACTCGCAAGTAGCAACTCGGCCTTACCAGCCGGGCCTTCGAGTATAGCACCGACATCATCTTTGGTTCCCTCTCCTTTGATTGACAACCAACTGCTGGATAGAGTGAAACCAATCTCAATGTTCTTGATCTTCTTGCACGGCTCTGGGACTTTCTGCTTTTGTACAAGATCTTGGGCTCGCCGACAATCAGCCTTTGGATCTGCGAATAGAATCATGATTAGCATGCAATTCAGCACTTCTGTTCTGACATAATCATGTACCTTCTGCTGTATCAGCACGACGAACGAGCTTGTTACCCAGCTCCGGTGTATGGATCTTGTATTTGATATACATCTTCTCAAGTGCAAGCGCGCAATCACGAGCAGAAAAGCCAGAAAAGTCTCCATTTTCCAACTTTTTCAGCTCGTCATCTTTGAGAGGCTCGTCAGACTTCGACGTCTGTGGCCGTTGGAGCTGGGTAGCCATGTCACGGGCACGATCGCAATCGCTGCTTGTTGATTCTGCGGAAAGACCAGGGAGTTAGCAGGGATAGCGGTAATGCAAGGTATGAAAGTAGATACCTTTATCACGAGCCACCAGTACAACATCTGGTAGGGACCTGTCGGGTCTAGAGTGTTTCGAAAAGGCTGCTGATATAGCAGCGATAACAGCGGCGCAACTAGCCCCGTTAAATTGGCCGTTTGACCATTGGTTGATATGTTCTTCGTCAACCTCCATTGGCTCTGAAGTATCGGGGGCTTCAACTTGAGGTCCGTCACTCTGAGTTTCGGGATGAGCTTGCTCTTGTTCAACTTCCGTTTGCTCCATAGCGAACTCCCGCCACGGTTCGAGGGTCCAAGCTCGGTGATTTGGCGGAAAGCCTGCGAGCTGTGGTTGGGATCCGCCCCATGACGCAGTGTCAAACCTCGAATCGTACTGAGGGTTTCGCACTTCTGACTGCTCCGCGCCATTGATAACCTCAGTCCACCCTAGCACCTGGCTGAGTTGTATACGGCCGAGTGAAGCTACTTCGGCTTCATCCGTGTGCCGATAAAACTGCCTGAGGGTTCCAGCAACATCGATAAAGTTTGCAGATACGTGGATTCTGTAGATATAACCGCTGCCTCCCAGAATAGTGCTGACAAATCTTCGAGCAGAATCTAGACTTGTAGTGGTTGACACATAGCCAGTATCGTATCTTCCAGTCCCGGTTGGCGATCCTTCAACATGATTGTACAGACTTAGGCTCGCTGGTGGCTGATTGGGGCGGGTTCCATCTTCACCCCTAGGCAAGAAGCCTCCTTGTAGTTTCAGGTCCTCTGGGGTCAACATGTCTCCCCGATAAACGACCGTGGGAGGTGACTGTGACAAAACAGCACTAGGGCCACAGCAGATGAATGCAAGCCACCACAATAGAATCTTTAGATGCTTCATGGTTGAAATTGATAATGAGAGGAATTGTTTGTGAAGAGATGTTCCTGCAGGGTTCAAACTTGCCTTTGGTTGGTGGTGCTATCCTTTTTATAGGCAACAGACGTGCTAGGGTCTGTTAAGATTGGTCAGGCGATACAGGTTGCCCGTTGATTCCACCAGTCATGCTTGATATTCCATGCTTTTCCCTTATAGAATCCAGGACCAGCCTGTAACGACGGCTTAATGCTAATCTTCAGTAAGTCCATTTCTTAAGGAACAATTCAGGTTCGAAAGCTGCAGAGTAGCACCTTTGAGCAGGAATCGTAAGACGGTCGCTAAGAGCTAGGCTCTCATTTCTCATTGCTTAGAGTTGCTTAGATTGTTTAATCGAGATCTAGACTACCTTGCTACTGGAATACCCCTCCCTTAAGTACCCGTATATCTCTCTATTGTATTCCTTGGATCACTCTGGATCACCAATGATCCCAGTGATCCCTCGTTGCAGATGCTACCCCGGATCACCTCCATTGGAGTGACTTGGCAGAACAAGCCTTGGGTTATACACTATCCCTAGGGTAACGGTGTTGGGATCTTGGCGACTAGCGACACCGGTAGTTGTATATTTACGATTCTATATTTTTGCAATTTTTGGGCAGGGTACATCTTGGCTATTCCCACTCGTACTGGAGCATTCTATAATCATAAGTGCCGAATGTGGGGCCACAGGCCCCAAACCATCATTCGCCGACCTAGCCTCTCGCACGGTGTGTCGCATGAAGCATTGAAAAAACGTGCCTGTATTGAGCAGTCCGAGGCTTGGCTTCTCACTTATAGATATGGAGCTAGTCATGAACAGATAGCTTTGCTTATCAACAAGAGCTTGCATATTAGAGAGTCCCTTCGTTTAATGATACCCACCTGCGAGAGTTACGAACCTCGGGGCAGCTAATAGCATCTCGTCCAGGTTATTGATGCATTAAACGGTGATGTTAGAAGTTGAGAATCGTCCCATCAACTAGTCCCAATAGCGGGAGATCTTTAATCTGCCCAGTCAATCCACAAGTGGATTGAGTGGAGTGGCTTTCAGCCCTGCTATAGTACCCCGGAGGTTCACGTGGTACAGATTATGTCCTCAGGTATTAGAGTATATATCATACGCCTAATATACTCCACATAAGAAAGTAAGAGAGTTATAGCTACCAGGCACGCGTGGCTTAAGAGAGTCATAGCTACTAGGCACGCAAAGCTAAGCTCCTCAAGCTCTCATTTATCAGTTCGAAAGTATCTAGGTCTAATTTCTATACAAAGTAGGTTTTAGGTTAGTCTAGTCAACGTGGATAACGCTAAAATAGCTGATTTAGTAAGCGTAAGCTCAATTTTCCTCTGTTTCCTGCTCTTTTATCTTCTAAATTCACTTCTTATAGAGTAAAGTAGCGTGGCAGAACTAGGAGTTACGGCAATCTCGAATTCTACTACGCTTATTATATTAACATTAAGCTATTTTAAGCTAACGAAATACCTGTTATTTAACTCTTTTATTATCTGCGTAGCGCCTGAAAGACACTAAGATTGCCCTAAGCCAAGAATTAGGCATGTTTCAGGTGTGTCTTGCAGAAAGGTCAAGATTTAGGCGTGTCTAGTCCGGGAGGGGGCGGTTGTCATCTAGGACAACGCTGTGACGAACGCCTATGCCGTCAGGTCACGGGGCAAAGAATCAGGGCATTGAAAGCAATCCTAGCAATCAATGTAGGCGTAATAGCAGTATATATAGCGCAGAGCATTGCCGGCAGGCACCCAGCCAGCCGGTTGTTACAAACGCCTAGTGGGTTTAAGCCAACGTAAATGCACGCACAGCAGTGCTTTAAAACGTACCTATGCACAATGCTAGCCTTATAGGCATAAGATAGCATTTAAGCGTGTTATCTTATTCACATAGCCAAGCCGTTGTTCGGTAGTTATATGGTATAGTTGTGGATATAAATTTTAAATGCTCGATACGCCTTTATTGATCGAACAACCAGGCATCACATCGCTGTGGATAAATTCAAGGACGCAGGCCGGTCACTCAAGAGGATAAATCGGCGCTGCTACGTGGCTTTGCGAAAGTGCCTCGCACCTCAGCTTGATCAGCCTTCCGCGCCATGTCCCTGGACTGTTCATAAATGATGCCCAGATAAACAACCGTAGGACAAAAAGTACAGAGCGCCACGACGTCACGCCACCAGTTAGACCCGCAGACGACAGGCCAAATTTCCTTGACGTCAACCAACAGCTCGAGTCACCAGATGCCAGTCCGCGACGAGAACAAGCCTGATATATAGATCAAGTACCCGCGGCTGATCTGTAACCTTCTGCGCATAAATGAACATGACTCACGAAACTACAGTGCATGCATATTACAAATTAGATTGTTCTTCTTCCAACTTCCAAAGCACTCTGTCATCTCAATCGTTTCCGTCCCAAGACGCGCGCGGTCAAAAAAAAAAAATGGTACGTCGAGTGCTCGAGAAGACGCGTTCTACTTTATCAGACATGAGCGCAATTGAGAGCACATTGAGAGCCATTTTATGCAAGCGTGGGTATTCCGTCCGCTGCTCTTCCCTGCTCCACCATGCCTAAACGAGGTCACTACACGTGCCACACACCCACTCTTCGAGTTAGGTGTTAGATAGTCTCGCGGCTACCATACACTCACGGCTAAGCCTATAAAATATATTAACTTTAATACTAAATAATTAATTCTAAGAAAACGCCAAAAAAAATTAATAATCCTTATTAGTAGTAATAAGGTACTCTAATTTTATATTAATTTAATTTATCTTTTTATAATATACTTTTTCTCTTTCTTTTTATTTTATATTAATATAAGTTATTTTTTAATATACTTTTTTAAGATTATATTACTTATAATTTTATATAACTTACTAGTCTTTAAAGATTATTAAAATTTTACTTCATTAAATATAATAAGTTATATTATTATATCTTTTATAAGCTAATTTTTATATTTTTTTAATATTTATAAGCTAATTATTTAGATATATTATTTTTATAATAATATATATATTATTATACTCTAATTAATATACTTAGTTAAGTAATTTATTTATTAACTTTATTAGTTATAATATCTTTAGTAAAGCTTTTAAACAGATCTTTAATAGAAATAAAGAAATATTAAAAGCTAATATTAATTTATTATAAATTATTTAATATCTAAAAAAATAATAAGAAAAACTAGCTATAAGGCATAATAGGTAGTAATAATAGTACTTATTTCTCCCTAGATTCCTTAAGATATAACTAATATTATTTATGTACCCCTACCAGCTGACTGGTTCGGAAACAAAGCATCTGTCTTCCTCTGGCAGAGCGGCACAGCTCGCCAGGACAGGCGCGTCAGCCCCTCGCCCGCCGACACCTCCGCGGGTAGCGCCAGCGATGGAAAGTAAATTGCTTCACTTTCAGCGTCCGGGTTGAGCTACCGGCTTTTCATCAGAAAAGGCTTCCGCAAGCGCGTCCAAGTACTTTTGCCGGTCGTCTAGCTTTCTATCGAGGAGGGTCAGGATATTGCGGCGGAACAAACGGGAACAGAATATAAAACTTTGAGCCTTCTCATAATCTTCTGCAAGGAAACCGAAATATCTCTTTAGGATGCGCTCGTAAAATATTTCTGTAAATGAGACTAGGTGAGCGAGTGCAAGCGGGACCCAGAACCCGCCTTCGTCCCAGGATCGCTGCATAATAGATGAAATTGACTCTGTGCCCGAATTTCCGCATTGGTGTAGTTCCTCCGCCTGCTTTACATGCTTAATAAATTCCGTATTTCTGGCTAAAAACTCCGTAGGTAACACATGCTCAATGAAGTCACATTCCAGCCAATACGGAGTTTGGAGAAATTCGATTGGCCATGAGCAAGCAAACTCGAGGTCAATGATAGCCGTGATATTCCAGTTGTCGTCCACGAAAATGTTACTTCGGTGAATATCACTTAAGGCAAAGATAAAAGGTCCGTTATTTAGGTCCTCTTGAAGAAGCTGGGGTAGCGTAAGCCTGGCGCCGGCGAAACCTGTCATCTGGTGCCAGGCATCTTCGCGGCTATTGATTGCATTTGGCTGCTCTAGAAATCGAGTTTCAAAAGCTAAAATTTGAGAATTAATGAAATCTTGAACCGTGGTGAAGGTAGTGTTTCTCGACATGACGGGAGGCAGCCCCTCGTTCTCGTAGATTGTACTGTCAACACTGATTGGGCGATTGTCCAGACGCAGAAACCCGCCGCTGTCCATGCGGAAAGTTCCAATACAAGGCAGCCGGTGCCTTGCCATGGAGACCATGATTCGAGCCATGTCTTTTTGTAAATTGTGTAACCGGGCATCGCTGCGCTTCTCCGGCCAGGATTCAGACAGCATTATCCCCCGGTCTGTCGTGATCATTTCGATAATCAGGTACCCGATGTCCAGTTTCTCGAAACGAGGGGAGTTGTGGCAGACGTATTGCGTAGGTTGTTGGTAACCAGCGACAGAAAGAATAAAACGCCGAGCTTCATGGCACCATCGCGACCACCAGGGAACGATGTTTGACTTTGTAAACTAACGAACTGATAAGCTGGGAGATGAGGAGATGGAAAATGGGAACAAGCGACTTACTCTTTCATTCGTCGATAGCCCAAACCCAAAAAGCTTCGGTAGAGGAACATCAGGGCAGTTTTCCTCCATCCATGCATACGTCGCAGCCTCGCATCTGACCTTTTCGTCCGAGTTGCCAGGGTGTGCTGCCTCCCCAACACGATACGGCAGCGGAAAGCGAATGAACGCATATGGCGGTACATTGGAAAGCACATCCGGATCAGTCATCTTCGCAATTATGGTGAAGGGTATGCAGAGATTGAAGGATCCATGTCGCCACCATACCTGAGGGGAAACCTGAATCTCACTGGGTTTGACACCAAAGTGGTGTGCGATAACCTCAGCCACCAGATCCCTCCGCTGTTCAATGTAGTCATAGAATGCTAGTTTACGCTGCGGATAAAGCAGCGCCTCCAGCACATTGGCTGCGCGACCCTTTGCATTAGAAAACGTGATTGGGCCAGAGAGAAGATTGCGTGTCGTCATGGCGCACTCTTTGGCCGTTGGAAGTGATGTGCTGAGCGTTGGAAGGAGGCACTACAAGGCCAGGTGAGCTACCTGTCTGGCTTGACGCGCGGTCATGTGACGAAACAGCCTGATGCAGGGCAATGCCTTGGCCAATTACACAAAAAGGAACGTGAATTGAGAATAGGAATCTTCTGATGAAAAGATCACTCAACGGCGTGCATTAATTAACATACTGGTGTGTAACAGAAAGTCTTGTAAATTTGGATGGTGTGAGCAGCTAGTACAAGCCGTGCGATAGACATCCCACAGTCATCCGCAGAGCCGAAAATTGCGATTAAAATAATGCAAGCTTCAAGATCGAGAAGTGAAAAGTACAGCATAGAGTTCTTAAGCAGGGAGTGAAAGTCTAGAGAGAGAGGGGGAGAGAGAAAAGTGTCCCATACAGCTGGCATGGCAGGGGTGTGCGAGTTGATGGGGGGCAATCACGACGCTCCCCCGTAACTAAAATAATGGGCAGGCAACCTGGCCTGGCAGCGAAATCCACCAACTCCGACTGGCCCAAATCTTTAGCTCGCAACATCTCCATTTCAAAGCTCTCCTCTGCAGCATCACCAATCCCTGTCGACCATTCTTGTATTCGGAGAAGCCGCATTTTATCGACCTGACTGATCTAATTGTCGCATCGGATAAGCTACGACCGATGAAGATGGCTGCACCGATGAAGACGATGGTGCTGCGCGGCGCTCGCCAAGCCTCGTCGTCGATCGTGCGGTCGTGCCCACGAGCTGCCTTTTCGACGCTGCCCGTCCGCTCTGTCGGCGCCCAGTCTGTGGCCATTCCCCGGCCGATGCTCAAGACGATGATACCCAAGACCCTTACCATCAGCGCCCGCGCGGGTCGGCAGGCGACTACCATTGCCTCGGCGGCTCGATTCTTCTCCAGCACACCCCTCCAGCAAAACGCCGCCGCCGCCGCCGCCGCCGCCCCCAACACCGGCCGCGGCGCTGCCTCCACCGCGGCTCTTGACTGGAACTCGTTCTTCCAGCTGCGTGTCAAGCGCCGCCGCATCCAGATGGTCTTTTCTCTCGTATCTGGCATCTTGGGCGGTGCTGCTGGCGCCGTGGCTCTGTCGAGCGGCGCTGGTGACAGCCTCATTGGCATGGTGCCACTAGATCCCTTTGTCACGCTGGGCATTGCCACCATGTGCGCCGGTGGCCTGGGCTGGCTGATTGGCCCCAGCCTGGGCAGCCAGGTCTTTTACCTGCTCAACCGGCGGTACAAGACGCAGATGCTGCAAAAGGAGAGCGAGTTTCTGACCCGCGTCAAGAAGCACCGCAGCGATCCCACACAGTCGAGCACCAGCAACCCAGGTTTGTTCAATTTCTTTGTAAGGTGGACTTGATGCAAAACTAACGCAGCGATAGTCCCCGACTACTATGGTGAAAAGATTTCGAGCGTCGCCGGCTACCGCCGCTGGCTCAAGGACCAGCGCGCGTTCAATCGCAAGAAGAATGCCAACTTTGTATAAATGGATCATCTCAATGGTTATATGAGAACAATGGAAAGGGAAAAGAAAACGCATTGAGTTTGGTGCGTCTAGGGTCATTTGAATTGAAAGGGCCTGTGTAACATTTGCGTGAATCAACGTCTGCATTACAGTACAACTCCTCTTGTCACAACGACGATATTTATTCTACATTGTTAGCAATTTTTCACGTCTGCCATGTTCGTCTCGATTTTATATGAAGGGTAATGTAGGGTCCACATCCTTGCGCCACGCACGCAGTCCGCCGTCAATGTCTCCCACGAACCGCTCACCATTGCGGTCAAGTCCCAGCTCCTTGAGCTTTTGCGTAGCAATCTGCGAATCGTTTCCCACGCGGCACACGACATAGATGGGCGCCGAGTGCGGGAGGTCTGCCGGCATCCAGTCCGGCGTCCCAGCCTCTGTAGGCGCGCGCGGTCTCATAAACAGGCTGATGGGGACGTTGACGGAGCCGGGAATGTTTGACAGCCCAAAATGCTCCTTTTCGCGGACATCAATGAGCAAGTGCGGCGAGCCGCGGTCCGCCGCTATCCGCGCGTACTCGGACGCGGGGATGCGCTCCGCCGGGTGCAGCAGCTTCACCGGCTGCGCGACGCCGCAAAACTGCACGTAATCCAGCGACGACTGCATCTGCGCCAGCGTCAGGGCACCGTCCCCGCCGCCGCTTCCGCATGCAAAGCAGTCGTCGCGCTTGCCACGGATGCGCACCGTGCGGAACATGTTGTCGTTTTCTGCCATGCTGCTAAAGAGGAGCATGGTCATTTGCTTTGGTGCCGCCGCGTCCGTGGAGGAGGAGGAGGAGGAGGAGGGCGACGGCGACTCCAGCCCGCCACGCGTGATGAGCTTGATGGCCTCGAGGGCCTGCAGCACGCCCATGGTACCGACGACTGGGCCGATGATGCCGCCCTCACCGCAGCCGACGACGCTCTCGGGCGGCGGCGGCTTCGGGAACACGCACCGGTAGCAGGGCCCGCGGCCGGGCGGGCTGTGCAGGACGAGCAGCTGCCCAGAGGTCTGGAACGCCGAGGCGGAAACGAGGGGCTTGCCGAGGAGCACGCAGGCGTCGGAGATGAGGTAGCGCGAGGTGGGGTGGTCGGTGCAGTCCAGGACGAGGTCGTACGAAGACAGGATGGAAGCTGCGTTTTGCGGCGTCAGGTGCGTTTGGTGCGCATGGTATGTGATGGTAGGGTTGAGGCTGCACACACAAGTCAGTCAGTCCTCGAGTTTCTGGTAAACCCGTCACGCGGAATGGGAGGTAGTGGAGGGGGGGGGGGGGGGGGGGAGTCGTACTCTTTGAGGTAGGTAATGGCGCTTTCGACCTTGGTCATGCCCACACGGCTGGTGGAATGAGCCACTTGGCGATGCAGGTTCGACACCTCGACCGTGTCGCCGTCAATGAGGCCCAAGACGCCGACGCCAGCGCCCGCCAGATACGCCGCTGCAGGACAGCCCAGGCCACCTGCGCCGACGAGCAGCACCTTGGCCTTTCTCAGCCGAAGCTGTCCTGAATCACAGCTCACATTAGCTTTCTCGCACACAAAAATTTCCAATTTATTAGCGTCAAGGCGTACCTTGCAGCCCGAAATTGGGCACAATCATCTGCCGGCTATACCTCTCATACTCGTCTTCTTTAAGCGGCCATTTCCAGTCCTTTTGCGCGTCTGCGCTGTGCTCCGTCTCGCGCTTCTGCGACTCGGCGACGGCGAGCTGCGACTTTAGGTCCGCTAGCTCAGATTCGCGCTGCGCAATCTCTCTGCGCAAGCGGTCGATTTCCTCCGTCATGGGTGCAATGTATGGAGCTATATAGACTGTGTATGTATCAATAACATGTAATAGTCTGGCGATTTTTTAATGATTCATCCGATGTTGGTGGCTAGTAAACAGGTCGTTGAAGCTTCAAAGTTTATGCAGAGTGGGCTGAGATGCCCCTCCCCCACTTTGCGCAACGGCGCGGCAATGTGCGTGTGGTGGCAAAGTCCATATACGTGGGCCACCTATTCATAATAGTGTGATAGATAATTTGAATATTGATATTGGCATATTATAAGCTCGATTATGTTCGCAAATGGTGTATCATTGAGTGGGGTGGCAAGCAGGGTGCAACATCAACCCGTCATATCTACCAATGACGCTCCTCAATATCTACGGAATTCACATCCACCCCGTCCTTGAACCACCGCTCCTCCTCCCCAATCCTGACATCGTTGCCGCTCATCTGACGCTTCCTCATCAGCCCATTCTCCGCAAACGTCCAGTCCTCGAGCCCGTACGTGCGCCACCACTGGCCCCTCTCGTCGTGCCACTCGTACCAAAACTGCACCGCAATCTTGTTGTCCGTAAACGCAAAGAGCTCCTTGCGCAGGCGGTAGCCATTCTCCGTCGCCCACTTGTCGGCCAGAAACTTGCGGACCGCGTCGCGGCCTTGGAGGAACTGATCGCGGTTGCGCCAGATGGTGTCGGGCGTGTATGCCATCTTGACCTTGTCCGGCGTCCTGTTTCTCACATTAGCTTTCGACGTAAAAAAAAAAAAAAAATGGAGGGGGCGTAATACTTTGTGTTCCAGGCGTCTTGGGCGGCCTTGACTTTGATTTTCGCGGTTTCCAGCGTAAATGGGGGAAACGGAGGTTTGCTTTCGTCGGCCATTGTTGAGTCTCGCAGTATAGCGTGCGCAGCTGATTTCTAATAAAAAAGTGACTTGAGTCGAAAGGATGCGTTGAGACCGTTGGCTGGCATCAAACGCCTCTTATAGTTTCGTCGTTGGAATTCGTGAGCGCCGATCGACTCATGGTTGCTCATTCTGCGCCCTTTGCACTGCATCCTCGGCATGCAACTATTAAAGTAAGCGCCGTGGTCGGCAGTCGGTCGGATCGGCGTGGGCCGGACAGTCGGACCCTCGTCAATTTCTAGAAGCCCGGAGCCAATTCGGGGGTCGGGTTCTGACGATGTTGTAGGCTTCTTGCCTCACTGGAAGTAGTGTCCGTTTACTTCAAAACAGAATGAAAAGATGGTTTTTTTTTTGGATGCCTGTCCTATTGCCTGGCTCACATCTCATCACAGCTTGTGTTCCCTTTCTGAAACCAAGTCCAACAAGAGTGTACTTTTTTTTTCGGAAAAAAAAAAAGAAGGAAGGAAAGAAGGAAAGAAGGAAAGAGAATCAAATGTCTCGACGGTTAGAACATAGCAGTCTAAGACTAATTAGGGACTCAATTAATTGCTGATTGTTTGTCCGTTCTTAAACTAACATATTAATCTGCAAGTGCGTATCAATGAACGTCTCTCATGCATTTTCTACAGTTATGCGAAATAGCATATCAGCTATTGTACTAATAAGCATAAAGGAGAAAAAAAGGGAAATATCAAAAGGGGCGACCAAACGATGCAAATACAAACCTTTTATACCTTTGTACACGGCCGACATCCCAAATCTTACCATATCGCAATTGTTGCCGGGTAATCTGCCACTCGCCTCACCATCTGGCTGGCGATTCCACCACTTCTACGATCCACCCCCACCGTTATCAGCTCCATCGCCGCCAAAAAAGTTTCTTATCAGCAGCGACCCTCTTCAACACCATCACTCTTCAGCAACGTCTTGCCGTCTATTTACAGTTTAGCCTCACCATACCAGACATCATGGTTCGTAACGATTCTCCTGCTACCATACCACCCTCCCCTCCCGCTGACATTTCCTTTCCAGGCTCCTCTCCCACCAGGGCTCAAGAAGCCCTCTGCGCGCTCCTTTCGCCAACAGCGCCTCTCCGGCACCATCCACCCCCTCGCGCCGCTCAAAACATTCCGCCCGGACGCCGCCCCCCTCCCCGACTCCTTTTCCTCCAGCAAGCGCGACAAGCGACTCATCAAGCACTCTTCATTTCTCTCTCGCGTGGCCGAGTCAGGCGTCAGCAAAACATCGTCGTCGTCGTCGTCGTCGCGCAAGAACAAACGCACCGGCCGCGGCCGCAGCAAGCAGCTGTCCACGACGCTGGAAGGATTGGCCGATGCGCTGCCGGAGCTGCAAGACGGAGCCGAGGCGGCGCAGGGCAAAATCCGGCACAAGAGTATAAAGAGCAAAAAGGGAGCGCTGAAGAGAAAGGAACAGGTCGTCAAGGGCGAGATGGAGCGGTTTGGGGTGAGCATGGCGCAGCTGGCGGGGACGAGGGAGCAGGAGCGGGCGGGAGAGGTGATGATGAAGAAGAAGATGGAGGGAGAGGGAGGAGGGGGACACGGGAGCGCGGGGGGTTCGAGTCGGTGGGCGGCGCTGAGGGGATACATTTCGTCGACAATGGAGCAGAACCCCGCGTTTGCTGAGCGGCAGTAGTGTGTGCCAATGCCGTCGTTGTCGTTGCAGTCTCTGGATCTCGAGACTTGATCATCATGACCCTGACGAGGAAACACATCATGTGCGGCTTATCACTGGCGCGGCAAAAGTGCTACGGTGTTTGGCGTTTTAGGCAATCTTCAATTTGAGCATGGTTTAATGTACATTATTTGTCCAAGTGAAAATGTAGTCGAGGTATAAAAGCTATGCAAATGTATAATATGGCAAAATGTCAGTATAAAACAAACATGCAATCGTGAATAAAACAGAAACGCTGTCGTGCTGCGTCTTGGCAGGCCCGTTCTCTTTCGTGGTTGTCCAGATCGAAACCAATCGAAATCGTCCACATCAGAATAACCCATTCCAGCCCCGACGTCACTCGATTCGAAAATACATATTGTGCCTTTGCATGAACCTTCCATATTAAGAGTTTCGTAAATGACTTGCTTGAAACCCAATGAATTGCCAAAAACGAAACCGCCGACACACTTCGGATGTTGACACTGTGTGCTGATTAACGTCATCAGACGGCTCGATAATCAGTAGTGGAAAGGGTAGAGATAAGCTAGGTGTGGTTGACCATAGGACAGCAGCGGCCGGGAAGGGTGCACGACTTGAGGCTCCGCGAAAATGTTTCGCACCCAAACACGACCTCTTTCCTCTTCTTCGCAACAACAACTATTGCTGGATGGCGGCAGGCGCGGGTGCCAAGTAGGCGGGCCGCCATAGAGTAGCAGAGCCGGTGGTGGCGGCGGCATCGTAGGTGGCGCTTGAGTCGGGTACTCTCGCAGCGGTATAAGAGCCTGTCCAGGCGAGTAACTGTGATCGAGTGGCCGTTGAAGCGGGGAGTGACGACGCGAACTGGACCGTGGCTTGTACCGAACCCGGTAAGACCAGATTGACCCAGATTCGGACTCCGAGCTGTCCTCTTGCGGGAGTGCGTGGTCGGATTGACCCTGGCGCGTGCTACTGCCAGAAGATTGAGTGGATGCTGTTGAGCGTTCCCCTTTTGAGTGTCTGGGTTCGCGTCTGCCAAGAGAATCGTCGGACGATAAAGAGCTGTGCCCATCTGGAAACGTGATGCTATACGGCCGAGGACTGCGCGGGATCAACTTTATGCTGGATCCGTTAGGGATGCTTGGGGTGGAAGAATGGGAGCTGCGTTTCTTGGATTTTTTCGAGGCGGGAGAAGGCACTGGAAGAATTTCGTGCGATTTGAGGCGGTCGCCGGCGATCATGGTATGAGAGGACGCAGCGGGCAGGGGCACGTCTTTGTCAGAGTGCAGAGAACGTGCCGGTGGAGAGACGGGGTCGCATGAGTATTCCGATACCGTCTCGGCGTAGGCACTGTGTGTGTTCCGAATAAGCCTGTCGAACCGGACAAGGTCGTCGCCCCTGCTGTCTTCATTCTAATCGACGCGAGGGGCTGTCCGTCCGTCTGGTAATGGACTAGAGCTTCCTCTACAGGAGCGGAATTAGTTTTGAGGCTCGTACTGATGAGTATTGCCACACTCACGGTCTACGATGACGACGCTCGGCTTCTTTGCGCAGATTCTCGATGATGCCGAGCATTTCCTTGCGGCCGCCACTGCTGTCGACCACCTTGCCGCCCATGCTCATGTTGACTTTTGAGCGGGCGCTGGCGCTGAGCAGGCGCTTGACGAGCAGGTGGCGCATCAAGAGGCAGACATATACACCGCAGTCAGAAGTTTGTCCCTGGTTAGGGGTGTCTTCGAGGTGAACAAAGTCGAGCTTGCGGTGGAGAACTCTGGCAAGCCTGACAGTGGTGTCATTGGCATGTTTTCTGTTGGTCTCTCCTGAGGAGTCGTAGTGAAAAGCTCTGCCGTCTCTGAGGGAGACAAGCAGCAGGGACCAGTGCGTGCCTCCCGAGGGTTCACCCAGTTTATCGTTGTCATTGATGGGCAAGAAAACATGCGTCACTTTTGACGGGTCAGGAAGGTTGCCGGCGATGGCGGTATCATCAACCTTATCTGACTTGAGCATAATAGCCACGCTGGGGCGGAGGAGGCAGACTCTGGCTTCCGGGTATCGCGGGAGGGTCTCGCGCTCGAGGTACTCTTGCCAAAAGCCGATGATGCTATCAGTGAGCCACTCATATTTGAGCGACCTGACATCGGCGACTGTCAATCTGATTGCGAAATAGTCGAGGTAAGGCTTGTCGGGGGCGGAAAGCTAGCGGGATTCATGTTAGCGGAACGATGGGATAGCAAAGAAGACATTGAGAGTGAGGCAATAAATGCATACGGAATCACCGAAGCGCGCGAGACGCTCGCGGAGCGGCATACTGCTCCGGCTCTTGCGCTTGTTGCGCCGGTGCTTGTGCGAGCGGTCCAGGATGGGCAGAGTAGGCGGTGGGGAAGAAGCGAGGAAAAGCCGAGATGGAGCGTCTCGAGCAAATTAGGGGTTGAGAGAGAATGATTTTGACAGGACACAGTACTCAGGAGGGGACTTGAAGAAATTTAGGCGGGTGAAAAGGGAGAAGCGGTAAATAGGGCAGATTATGTATTGGAGTGGGAGAAAGTTGGAGCTTGGGATAGGTGATGGGGAGCTGGCGGCCAAAGCCAGGCTTCAGTCAGAGACCTCAGACAGAAGAGTAAAATCTGACCAGGCAAAAAGAAAAGCGGGGTTACCTTTTCATGTTCGATCATTGTGGCGTTGGTGGTGGCTGCGCCCACGTACGCCCTGTAAAAGCAGAAACGCTGCTGGAAGATGCTCGAGTCGAGTCGAGGGAAGCCGAGTCCGAGTACATGGCATGCTGCTACGAGAAAGATGAAAAAAAGTTATAGAAAGATTGCCGTACCTCACTCACTTTATCTATTTTTCATTTTTATTTTCTTACATTTCGTGCACCCTTTGTCCTCGACTCTGTGGACGGTGACGGTGACGGGGCGGATAAGTTGGCGGGTGCAGAATGTACGTGTACATAAGAGGGCCTTGTGGCTGAGTTGTGCTAGGTACCTGACCTGACGTATGCCTACCTACCTTAGGTAGATACTTGGAGGCTTGGAGTAAATAGAACAAGGCAGCGAGCCAGGTTGTCGGTGGCCGATCGACAAGTGTTCGGTCTAGCCTGTCGATGACGGCTGCAAATCATCATCTCATGTGATTCCCGACGGCAGTCACGACGACAGTTTCAGGCGCGTTGGAATGAATAAAGGCCAAAGTTTTTAAATAGTTCATGGTCTTACATCGGCGTCCCGGACGGCAGCTGCCAACTGCTTCTGCGTAAATGCAACGCCTTTTAGTTGACCCCACAGGCCGTTGGACAAAATCCTCAGGGCATTCATTCCCCGCTGAAGACGAATGCCGGTCTAATAAATTAGGGTCTTCTCTACGTCATGGGCCTGGGTTGCCTGACAATTGCAAGTCCAACTTTGCCAAGGCAATTAAATCTATAACTATGGCAAAATTGGTACGTGCCAACCTAGTTTGCCTAGGTAAATACTTGACACCTTCACCTTGTGCAACAACTCACGAGTGATGGATCGGCTGACTGCTTCGCCTGCGACTCGCCTGCGGGCATCGCTGCGCGTTTGCATACCCGCCTTGTCAACTACCCCTGCTGCCATGATGCTGGCTGTGACAAAATTCTCTGTCTTCTCACCAACTCATTGTCAAGCTCTGCAAGGATTCTAAATGCCTCATGCTACCCAGTCGTGTCTCCTCGGCGCGCGGCGTCTCACAGGCGCTTGATCGTTTGCTTGACTGGCAGTTTCACAAACACACCAGGGCATTTGATGCTGTGCATCTGTCATCACTTCACCAACCCGCCTGGGCGTTTGTCGCCAGAATCCCGCCTGGGCGTCCTTTGTTTACTGGGCAAAGCACACCCTCTCCCCTTTACGCCACGAGGCGCCCATGCGACCTTGACGTGCCGTACCGTGCTATGCCGGTGCGCCACCGAAGGATACACAAAGCTTACATCCCTGAATGCCATGTTCCCCCACGACTCCTGCAGGTCTCGCACAGCGGGAACTGAGGGTCAATCTGCGACCCAGGTTCCACAAGCGTTTGCAGGCTTGAGATTTATCTTGGCCAATGTGGCGAGGCTTTTCTCGTAGGCTTCCACAAGTCGATGCTTCATCGTGCTCGAACTGCATTATACGCGTAGGCTTCTGAAGCTCTGGCATGCTACTTTTCCGATTTATCTGATTGCCTTGATACCAATGTACTCTGATGGAGCCACTTGGGTTTGGCAAAGGGGCCGCAATGACGTCTGCTGGTTGCCTTTTTATATCATTTCATCATTCATCATTTTTTGTCTTGGCTGCCTATCTCACCGTGATCCCTTCACTAATAACTTTTTGTTAAGACACGGTCAGGCGCGAATAGGGCGCCCATCAACAGTTCTGAGAAAAAGGAAGCGAGGCTTGATTCATATTATCATTCGCGGGACTATTCATTATATTGGAAGTTGGTCAGGGCCCCACGTAGTCTCTTTGGTATGCCTTTGCAGAGACGGCACTAGAAAGAGGACTATTCTAGACGACAGTCTTTCGGCTGGGCCTTACTCCCACACGAAGAGGCAAATTCTATTTCATTCTTACAGCCCCTCGAGATGGCATCGACGATGCGACTTGCTTTTTGTGATCGATTTCGTGGGGGATTGAGATCCTAGTTCTGGATGCCCGCACCACCTTGTGCTCGATAGTGTGAGTATGACGCGTGGTCGCAGGACCTGTTGCGCGACATAATCGCGCCAGAGTTTGCTTTCGCTCTGCAGATTCCGGTCATACATGATTGCTAGAGTACACACACACACACACACGCACAACCAAAAAAAAAAAAAGAATCGGCTACATTTTAAATCGAGTCGAAAAACGGTTTCGTCCTGATTCGTGAAAGCCGATACTAGGCGGGCGGACATTCTTGACTACCTAACAAGGTACAACGATTAGCGGGGGTTGATATTTGACAGCGCTTGGTGCAAGTCCGCCGTGGCAAGCATCTCCGGTCATCTTCTGTGCGCCTGGATTTTCGACGCATCGCTGAGCTGCAGCACGTCGCGTGCAAGGGAACCCGACTGTGTGGGACTGTTATCGGTGCCGGCCTCTTGGCTGTCCTATATCAGAATTGCCAAAAATTGAGGCATCTTTCATCTGCCCGCACTGTTTGCCTCTGTGGAATCACGCTGCGCATCATGGCCGCGGAAATGCCCACCCCCGTTAGTAATTTATTTCCACCTCGCCCGGCCGGGGTTCGGAGACGTGGGGCCCGCCGTCCAGCTTCGTTCTTTTGGTGCGTCGTGCTTGCGCCCTTGTTTTGCTGTTTGGATGTGGGAGGGAAAATTCTCCGTCATCTCCTTTATAAAGGAGGTCAAGATCCTGCCAGCCTGCGGTGCTTCGTGAGATCTTCGCCCAAGTGACTCGCTAGGCTGCTGCTCTGGACTCCCCCATCCCCCAGAGAGCGCGCCGCACCTCGTCACCCGACCATGCCTCGACCAACCGCCCATCACGCGTGGAATTTTGACATTGACCGCTACATCAATCCCATCATCCCGTCGCCGCCATGGAGGTATATTCCGTATCCTGTCGCCCATTTTCTCGGCCATCGCAGAGCCAAGCCCGCCAACACGGGCAACCTCATGCCCACCTTTTGGGCCTTTATTGGTATCTTTTGCGCCATCATCATCGTCCAGGTCACCTCCACCCACATTCCCGCCTTTGAGAGCCACCATGCGCCCGCTATTGTCGGTTCGTTTGTAAGTTGCGCTGGGATATAGAATCGTTGGGTCATTGACCGTCGTCCGCTAATGCTTGTCCTCTGCAGGGTGCGACTGCTGTCCTCGAATTCTACGCCATAGAGTCTCCGCTCGCGCAGCCTCGAAATACATTCATCGGCCAGGCGCTGGCGTCCGTCATTGGAGTCGCTGTCGCGAAGCTGTTCCTCCTTAGCGACAACTTTGAGAGCATCCAGTATATCGGCGGCGCCCTCGCCTGTGCGGCCACCACCTCCCTCATGGCTCTCACCAAGACAGTCCATCCGCCCGCTGGTGCCACCGCCCTGCTCGCCGTCGTTGATAACCGCATCCTCGGCCTCGGCTGGTTCCTCATCCCCGTCATGATGCTTGGCTGCTCGCTCATGGTCTCCGTCGCTCTCGTCATCAACAATATTGAGCGTCGCTATCCCGTCTATTGGTGGACTCCCGAGTCTCTCGAAGCCATTAAAAGGCCCATCTTGCATCGCTCCAAGGAAGAGGACCCTGAGGGTTTTCCCGCTAGCGCTACGACGACGAACGAAGAGAAGCCAGCCTCAGAGGCTAGCAATGATGCCGCAACGGCTGCTGGGGCTGCCACGTTTGCTCACCGCAAACACGAACTTAATCAAGTCATCATTCGCCCTGGCGAGGTCTTGGTACCGCAAGACATGTTTTTGACGCAAGAGGAAGCTCAGTTGCTGGAAACGCTCAGCAGACGTCTGTGAACGAATGCGAGAGTTGAAGTTGAGGAGGGCAACGCACAGTGAGCATGACGAGGATACCTAAAATATGCATTGCATGGCGATCTTTTAGTTAATATATATCTCATTTCCTTATCAAGATAACCTAGTTCCACTCTCCCCAGTCGTGCATGCCTTATCGCAACTCGCGTCGATCTGCAGACTGCTGGTGTGCGTTATCTCGAACCACGCTAGCCTGAGCGGCGTTCTGTTGGCAGCCACAATTCTTTGGCCCGGATGATAAAAGAGCCAAGCGATTTTTGCCATCAATAGAAATAATATGACCATCATGAAGAGAATTATAGAACCCGCACCGAAATCGGCGACTTGGCAAACGCCTCTACATCGGACAATCATCTGGACTTGCTTCATCTCATAAGATTTTTGAGCCATGAACCCTGAAATGCACCTGGAAATGGCGGGAAACCGATCTTTTCGGCTCCCTCAATATAATCTTTGACGCTTGTCCCATCCACTCGGGTAAGAGCTCACACGACATTTCCACCGGGCCGCTGGATTGCCATAAACCATCCATACGCCTTGGCTATCAATCTGAGCCGGCTTAGTCGAGCAATTCAAGTACAAAACCCCATCGATGTTGACAGTGACATTAAAGTCGTACACACCAAGAGGTAAGATGAGGATGCTGGCCCGAGCCGCTTCGATTTTCTGTTCAGCGTGTCCCCTGGAGACTGGAAGAAGGTCTCAAGATTCTGGTCCTACAAGCGCGTGGAGAGCTGAATGTCTCGTATAGCCCGAGTAATGTGCTGATAGTCGAGGGCAAGTCCCACAGTCTTCGGCATCGAGAAACGGTGCCATCACAAAGAAGCGCAAACGAATGAGGAACAAAGAACAGGGGGCAGATTTGTGCCTCCATTGGACGACTCGGTTTGGCACCAGCTACAAAAGGCTACCCGGAGCGGCGCTAAAGCGAGTCACTGGTCAAAGACAAAAAAAAAGGGATTCGCCAAGAGCGACACGGAATAAGAATGAGAGCTTTCAGCATGATCCCGTTGTATAGAGTACTTCATAAAGATATTGCAACGATGTTTACTCTTTGCTCAACAAAATTGCTGACTGTCATACATGCTCTGCGTAACGGTGATCCCAGCGCCAGGAGAATGATTCTACTTGTGGTAAATGGGCACCTTCTGACGACCGCTTCCACGACCACCATACAGTATCGGCGTTGCAACAGCATTTGGACGTTGAGTGAAAGAGGATGGCCAGACGTACGACGAGAGCAATTACAGAAAGGTTCTATCTATAGCCATGAATTTGCGTAAGCGAGCGTTTATCGCAAACGATGCCGACAGCTTTACCAGCTATCTCGTCGATGCCGGGCTGGGAACGGTAGGTATCCTGGATGCTACGATGCTGTCAGCTATCATCATACGACAGGTGTGGGGCGTGATACTCGAAAAGATGTTCGAGTTGGAAAGGTCGAACTACAAGATGAGGGTCAAGAAGAGCCAGCAACGTCGGAAAGACTGCATGGTTGTGCAAGTCAATTGTTGAGCACGTGAGGTAGCCCGGGAGCCTCGAGTCACCGTGTGTAACGTCCCCAACAGCTCGCTGAGGAAGTGCCTGACGGAACCATGAACGGAACGTGGACGCTGCTATTGGAGGTTCGTTTCTCGTCGCCGAGACCAGCAAAGCACCGTTCCGCGGCAGTTTCACCGCGCTTTCCCGAAAAGCGTGAGTGGTCCATCCCATGATGCAGTAGCCGCTACGGCACCTCTTCGGACACCTGGTCCAGTCGAATTGTACCAACACTACCAACTTTGCCCGCGTCATGCGTGACTTGATCCTGCCCGTGACCGTTATAAAATAAGGTGCGTCTGCGAACATGATGAAGCGCGTCTTTGTCACTCTCGAGCTCCGTGTCGAGGACAAGTGGCAATCGTAGTACGAATTGGTCGACGGCAAGGGGCAGTCGTAGTACGCGTTGGTCGAAAACCTTTGAGGCCGCCGCGGGCTACGACGTGCCTGAGTTCGTCCTCTGGGATTTGGCGAAGTCCCTCTGTCCGAGCGACAAGGTGCAGATGGCGTTCACGCCCGGCAGTGCACCTGGAACAGCAGCAGAGGATGGAACAACGTTGGTGTGCAATACTTGAAGGGCATGCATAAGGCGGTTGTGGAGGGCGGTCTGTTGCAGGGCGGTTCATTGAGGGTCCTGCGAGTATGGGAGTCGATGCTGACCTGGTGGGTGCGGAGGGAGATGGGAACGCCGAGGTAGTCAAGGGAAAGGCAGCAGAACGGCTCTGCAGTCAGTCATGAACAGATTGATTTCTCATCCTGCGTACAGCATGTTGGCGGTGTATAATTGACGAGTTTCACAGATGGAGAAAGACACGGTGTAAGGTGTAGGACCTATGGGCTGGTTGACTCAGCTAGGTTTTTACAACATCAAAGCTGTGTGATCGATCGCCAAGCAAAAGCCAAGAATGAACAATGCACAAGTGTATTCAAGCACGTCCCATTTTGTCGATTGAAATGGAATGTTTGCAAGAGTTGAAGGGCGGGGGGACTGGATCCCTACAACCGTGGGCTAGGCCTCACTCAACATACTTCTTACCCGAGACCTCACGGAGGAGGAATCAGGGAAAAAATGTGGACATAATAAATGTTGTTGCAATGGTATTTGGGTTCCAGGCGTGTTTGTGGCCCAGACATGTAGGGAGGTGGGAGTCTCATTATCATGACCGACCCAGTTTACCGCTCGGTCGTCAGCTGGAGCGATGTGCGTGTTTTGTAGAGATGCTTGCTCGAATAGCTATAGGTGGTAGGTAGGCTGGACACAACAGCTCGCACCGCATAATGGATAGCGATTTCCAACATGACTACTCAGCGTAGGAAGTTTGGCAGTGTCCGAACGTGTCGATCAGGTTGTGTGATGTCGGTGCTATGGCCACACTGCAACAAGCAAAGCTTCCAGGATATCAATCAAAACATTATCTGTATGATACGAAAATCGAAAAGAGTTTATTGCGCGTACAATGACGTTTTTCAAGGCTCATACGAAGCGAAGCGAAGTCCGCGCTGGGGACGAACGGGTGGGCAAGTTGCCGTGTGCCGCGGCGGTGGGGACGGGGCGTGGCACCATCTAGATAGATCAGCGCCGCTGTTTCTGGGAGGCTCAAGAGATTTTCATTGGCGCCCCCTGATTGACTGGCCTGACTCGAAAGGGGGCGAGAACAAGCTTTTGGCTGCCGTGTTACAGGTTTGGACCACTGGCCAGTGACGAGTGCTATTGCAGTGCCGGCTTTCGCGCAGAGCGTCGGCAACAGTTTAGACTTTGGCAACAACAGATTCATTCCCGCAACGCGCGATTCGATCGTTGGGGTACAGCTATGTTTGCACGGGCTTTGGTAATTCTCGGGATGGGGTGAATGATGTCAGATGGCTCGACTGCTGGCGGTGGATAGAGTACAGAGGGGGCTGTAGCATTGTAGTGTATCTAATGGGACGTTGATGGTTTACGAGAACTATTTATGAGTGCGAGCAAAAAAGAACGGCTGAGCGTCAAGATTGCAGCAGCGGCCATTGCAATGGATGGATTGCGGTATATACTACGTGGCAATAACTAACTAATTGAAGTATGTAATATTCGGCAGTCACTTGCAGGGCTTTACATCCATTCAAGACGTGCGGGTCAGTGCAATATAAAATATATTCACGACCCATAGTTACCTGGCAAAATTGCCCTGCAGATTGTAGCCCTGCCAGACAAACCAGGATTGCAGGGCACACAAGCACAGGGAACGCTTATCAGGCCCGCAATGAGACAAATGAAAAGGCCATACCGAGACGACTTGGACGAGTACGTATTAATAAAGAAAAACGTTGTCCGGACAGGGGTGTGCTTATTGCAGAGCCGCACAGGGCCGACGCCAAGTGCGCCGAGTGGTGCCAAAAATAAATTGGCTTTTTACTGGTCGACTTCCCTAAAGGGTAACCCGAACCTCGGCCCCGTCCAGCCGATAACACGCTGGGCTCAAAGCCTGTAAATTTTTGTTAATAAGCGGTGGAATCAAGGTCGGCTGGGCAGCGACGTTCGGTGCAGGATTTGGAAGCAATAGAAATCAAAGAAAATTATCACACAATGATGACCCCAGGATGCCCATCCTGATTTACCAAAATCTCATCCTTTGACCGCTTTTTTCACCAGACAAACAATGCACTCGTGGTTGCTACGGAGGAAATGCGCTCGCCCTGGCTCGTGAATAGAGTTGCATTCGGCTCTGCAACAAGTTTCCACGGCGGATTTTCGGCACGTTTCCAGTTTTCACAGCTGAATCACCGCCCAATCATCAAGCATGTGTTACAGTGCCGTGCATGGAGGCTCAGCCATTGGCTGCCGCCGCCCGCGACGCTGACGAGTTTCGTGTACGACGGCCCAAGTCATTTGTTCTCCTGGTGAAGTTGCAGTCGCGAAACCTGATGAGCTGTCTGGCATCTGTTCCCCGGCTCCGCCACAATCTATCGAAGACGCGCAGCAGGGGTACGGACGACGAAGTGGGTGTCGTGCATGCAGGACCGATGTGGCAGCTATCCTGCAGCCCAAACATCAGCACGAAATTCGTCTCGGCTCTTGCTTTGAAACTATCAGTGTAAGTTAATGACGTCGTGCACCGCCCTCAGGTGGCTTCTTCAGCACAACAATGCAGCAGAGAAAGGAGTTTGACAATCGGGAGCACCTCCTACAGTCATTGTGTTGGTTAAATACACTAATCAATGCCAGCGCGCATGAAACATTCACAGGCACTGCTGAAACTACTGAAAGTACAAAGTAATAGGCTTGACAGCGTTATTAGATGACTTCGGTGTAGCAAGGTGACGAAGAACTGAGTAAGCCCTCGCCAATGGTTGTGTTGCGTTAAAAAACCACAGCGAATTGAACCCACGACGAGGAAGAGTACCAAGTCGAAAAAATTTCCTTCTTTGTAGTTTAGAAAAGGGAAAAAAAATAAAAAGCTCGGTTGGACTGGTTCTCTATGCGCTAACTGCCAACTTGCAACCGTGGTACGGCCGCATACGCCTGTCATTATAGAGAGAGTATGACGATTATAGCTTGTAATACCAGGGCAAAATTCATGCTCTAGATTTTTGAGTTGCAATCCGGCTTGTGGATGAGACAACATTCTAAAGGGCGGCGGAAGTTTCTGAGTGTCTCAATCACGTGTCTGGCTAGCACTGAGGCTTGTCGAAGCGGGCGCCTCCCAGTGGCTGGGCGCCTAGGAGCGTGGCAACTCACCAACAGCACTGGAATGTGAATTTTTCATCGATGGCACCACGCCATCGGGAAGTCTCGCCCGCCGAATCTGCCTTGCCGACGTGTCAGTAACATTAATTTGCTTTGTTCTGATGATACTTTTTCCCACCTTTCTGACGCTGCTTGCAGGACCGGTGAAGCATCGCCTTGGGCGAAGAAGCTTGCAAACGAGATGCGAGGAGGGGGTGTCGACAGAGAGAAACCATCCGACCGTTACCCATTGACAAGGGCCAGCTCGCCACCGAGAAAATCCTTCCCGCTGAGTCCCCTACGCAATGGATAAGGATGCTACGGTTATCCGCTCTTTAGACTCCTCTTCGTTGCGCAAAGGCCGGATTTAATCCACCGCGACGGGCGGCGCGGTGGAGTCGCCCGGCCGGGTGCCGCGATCCAGAGCCACCATGGCGACCACCACGTTCGGGGGAATAATCAAAAAAAAAGGGCCAGAAAAAGATTAAAGCTTGCGACTGAGCCCACTATTCTGCTATCAGGATTTTTGGCACCGACTCGCTGATACGGCAAACCCACAGGCACAAAGGATAATTAATAGTAGCAAAACCTGTGGAAAAGATGGAACTGGTGGAGGCAGTCCAGTGTTGTTCTTCAGAGGCGACGAAAAACTTTTTGAATCCTGGCTGGCCGTAGGCTGGCCGTGGGCTGGCCGTGGCATGCTCTTTGTTCTGGCGACTCCACCACTCTGCGACTCTGAGTCGACTCGGTCGCCTAGTCGTGTTATGCTCTCGAGATGGTGTTCCGTCAGGTTTCGTTGCACTTTTTGCGACCCGATTTTATTGTCTTGTGCTAAGATATCTGGACTTGGTCGGGACTCTGTCTCCCTTCCTCCTCGCTCCTCATGTCACCTTTTCTTTCTCCTTTCCTGTCACAGGGTGAAATTTTGTCTTAGCAGCGAGAATCACCAACACTAGTGTCTACCTACGAACATGGTGACACCACCCGTACCGCCCAATGATGGCGGCAACCTCCTAGCAGCTCCAGGAGGCGGCCTATCCTCTGAACGCAAGGGCAAGAAGCGTGTCGGTTGGCATTCTGCTAGCGACAGCTTGGGCGGCGACTCCTCCAAAGACGCAACCGCCATCTCACCACCGCGCGACGGTGCCTCGAGCGTTTCCACGCCTTCGGTGCGAGGGACACCGCAGCCCGGAGCCCCGGATGCTCTCGAGCTCACCATTGCCCTGACCAAGGTTCTCTCCGAAGAGAAGCAGCGGCGCTCTCCTGACAGCAAAGCTCCCATGGATGCTGCTCTTCACTCCATCGACTCCTCCCCACATGCGACGACGGCTGCACAGACCCCAAACCTTCTCCGGGCCCCGAGGCCAGTCCTGCGTCGTAACACTAGTTACGACGCTCCCAAGGAGCGCGAGGAAGCAGACCTGGCAGAGCAAAAGGCCAGTCAACGTCAGGTTCGGTCCATAACGGACGCACGGCAGAGAGCTGATCGTCTGGCCATGTCCGTGGGAAGCTACTCTGCTCCCGCGTCCAGGCGTAACTCGTCTGAGCTCAACTCCGCATTCCAGCCCCTTCTCGAGGATGTACTTGATCAAGGCGATTGGCTGGGTCATGACGATATCAAGACTCCCCCTGTCGCCTCCCATATCAGACATCGCACCCCGCACTCATCTCAACCGCAAGCCACACACAATCATAATGTCGCAGAGTCGCTTGTGCTGTCTCATGCCAACAAGCCCGACTTTTTTCATCGCCACCATAAGTCCACATACTCTGGCACTTGCACTCCCATCACCACCGAATCGCAGGACTATGTTCCTCAGCCATCAAAATATCGTGGCGGCATCCTATCGTCCTTGTTGAAGCTCTACCAAGATGATAGAGGACAGAGCACCAGCGTGCCCAGCTCCGAATTCAACTCTACCGCAACAACCCCCGTCATGTCGCCGCGCAACTCGCCACCTAGCTCGAGGCGACCTTCTACTACAGGAAGCAGCCGGTCCCGGCCCACCAGCGGCTTGTTCTCCTATCACAAGTCGCAATCGTCGACCTCTTCGCTAGCCTTGACCGAGCTACTCAAGTCGTCCTCCATGCTCGCCGTCCCGGTATCCCGTCAAATCTCCGACCAATGGGATTACAAAATCAAAAAGGAGAAGCCGCACAAGCCGAAGAAAGAGAAGCATCGCATCACTGTTCACATTGCCGGTACCATTGCCCGCCATCGCTATCTCATGAAGCTATGTCGGGCTCTCATGATGTACGGTGCCCCTACGCATCGACTTGAGGAGTACATGACCATGTCGGCTCGCGTCCTCGAGATTGAAAGCCAGTTTCTGTATCTTCCTTCATGCATGATCATCTCATTCGATGATAGCTCCACCCACACAACCGAAGTCAAGCTCATTCGTGTGCCACAGGGCATCGATCTGGGGAAGCTTCGTGATGTTCACAATATTTACAAGCACGTTGTTCATGACAAGCTCGGTGTCGAGGACGCTACTAAGCAACTTGATGAGGTGATTAACCGCGATACCAAATTTCCTGTCTGGTTCCGAATCATCATGTACGGTGTTGCGTCGGCCAGCGTTGCTCCTTTTGCTTTCGAAGGTCGCTTCATCGACTTGCCGTGTGCTTTCATACTCGGGTGCATCGTCGGCATCCTTCAATTGGTTTTTGCACCAAGCAATGAACTCTATGCCCACGTCTTCGAAGTCTCGGCCTCCATCATCACCTCATTCATTGCTCGAGGCTTCGGTTCTATCAACAATGGACAGCTGTTTTGCTTTTCAGCTCTGGCGCAGAGTAGTATCGCTCTCATCCTGCCAGGGTACATTGTGCTTTGCAGCTCACTCGAGCTTCAGAGTCACAATCTGGTTGCCGGTGGTGTCCGCATGGTGTATGCTCTCATTTATACCCTATTCCTGGGCTATGGAATCACAATTGGAGCCACCCTTTACGGTATGATGGACTCCAACGCCGCAAGCGAGACACACTGTTCCGAGCCACTACACCGTGGGTGGTACATGCTCTTTGTGCCTTGCTTCACACTGTGCTTGTGTATTGTGAACCAAGCCAAGTGGAAGCAGATCCCTGCCATGCTTGTCATGGCTATTGCAGGCTATGCCGTCAACAGCTACACTAGCCTCTACTTCAAGGGCAACGGGCAGATTTCGAACATGCTGGGTGCGTTGACTGTCGGCATCCTCGCCAATCTGTACTCGCGACTAGGTCGACACGCAGATACCGTTTGGCTGGACTTTAGCGACTGGTGGAGGAAGAATGTAACGCGTCGCTATTTTAGCAAGCGCAGCAACCGGTCCAACACATGGACAGGATCCATCTCTGACGCCGAGTCCGCCACCAGCGAAAGCATGCAAAAGGAAAAGCACGAGAGCAGACGCAACGTCGGTTACAGCCTTGCCGCAGCCGCCATGCTCCCAGCCATCTTTGTGCAGGTCCCGTCTGGCCTGGCGGCTGGTGGCTCCCTCCTTGCCGGTATTACGTCTGCCAACGAGGCAACCGGAAACACCAGCACGATTGAGACGTCGCCGAACAGCCTTGGAAGCATGGACAGCACTGCGTTCAACGTGCTCTTCCTTGTTGTCCAAGTTGCCATTTCCATCAGTGTCGGTCTCTTCATGAGTGCACTGATTGTATACCCACTCGGCAAACGCCGCAGTGGTCTATTTAGCTTCTAAGCTGAACACTTTATTATTCACTATCATTTGGGAGCCAGCGGGAAAAATAGCAAGTCATTTCACGGCGTTTCCTTTTTCTTTCTCTTTTGCTTTTTCTTTTTTTATTGGTTCCCGTTTTAGCGAGTTTATTGGGTCAAAAGGGCATGGCATTTCATCTTTTGCTTTTGAAATTCTTTTATCTGGACTACTAATCAGCTATGCCTGGTAGAGGCACTCATAGCTGATTGCCTCAGTAAAATACACGGGAGGCAATATACTTGGACATAATTCATAGCATACATCAGTCAAATGTATCTCTCTCCTAATCAATCGCGGTCCTGTTTTAGCAATGTCCAATACTTGCCTGGGGCCTGCCTGCTGTACACCAGTTCCCAAGGATCAGAGTCCCACTGACTTCCATTGAATCATCAGATTCCAAGGCGGCAACGACACCTGCCATCGAGATCTTCTCCTCACACTCTAGCTCATTACGCACTTTTTTTTTCTCTCTTTTGTCCCGCACCTCATGCTGGATTGCATCACCACGTGGCTCGAGGGGTCATGGCTGAGACATCCCAAATCTACGGATTACTGATTAACTAGGACTAGCTTCCCTCGAGAATGTGGCGTAAGATCGTCGGCGATCGGGCCAAGGGGAGAGAGAGGTGGAGCCAGGGTAACAGTGAAGAATGCGACCTTGCTGCAGCATCCATGCACACCCATGTTCAAGTTGTCTCGATGGGCAGGAATGTGTCTCGGTTGGCGCCAGCCACTGACAAGATGATGAGGGGGCCTGTCATGGTTATTTCTCAGTCCAGGGAGCGGCAGAGGGGAAGAGATTGAGAGAAGAGGAAAGACAAGAAAAGAAAGGAGAAGAAGAGAGAATGAGGGAGGGAATCGTGTTTGTTAGTGAGATGGTGATTGGTGGCTTGCTCGGCGCGTTATGAGGTTGTATCGGGATGGAAGGCCGTGTAAGTGGCAAGAAGTCGGGTGATGGCATTGATGAACGATTTTCTGTGCAATGTTGTCAATTATGATGGAATTAGCTTTTCAAAAAGAGAGTCTTGCTCGGGTAGGGAAAAAAAAAGGAAAAGGCCGGTTTAGCTATACCAAGTATACATAATGAGCTCACACGCAGCTGGAGGGCCGGATGAGGGCCGGATGAGGGCCGGGTATGGGACCCGTTAAGCCAGGACACACACACACACTATCACTGGCTACCGTTTTGAAACTAGATGCAGGCCGACTTTGTTCATATACGCCTCCTGGCTATCTGGCCCTCGTAAGCAAGGGGTCTAGAACGAGGCCGAATTCCAGCTTTCAGAAGTTTGAGCAGGAGGAACTTGTAATTAGCGCAGTGGGTATGCTCAGGAAAATGGTGTGCAAAAGCAAGTCATTAATGACTCTAGGAAAGGAAGTGATTCGCCCACTCTGAGACCCGAAATGGTGTTATTGATACCGAGAAAGGGGTGTGTGGCGTGTCCTTTGACACACAACTCCTGCGGCCTTGGCATCTGGGATTTTAGATTGGGAAAAAGCAATAGGAAGGGAAGTGGCACGAGAAGCAGACCATCCCTTTTATGCAAGACTTTTGGGCTGCAGTCTTGCATCTGGACACTGAAATGGCAATGCATACAAAAGTGACGGGAGGAGGGATAAGATGAAGACGCAAACACAGTCATCACTGGGGACGATACTGCTAGGTCATTATAACTAGTACCGCAGAAGAAGTTGGATACTATTCTCAGAGACCTTGGATTAACAGCCGAGGCTGGCAGACGAATCGCGTAGCAAGCAAAATAATCAGAATAATCTTGGGTGGGCATCATCGAACAAGTGATCTTTTATATATCTATCCTGCGTGAGCTACCTGCTCAACACACCAACAACTTTTTTTCTTCAAAAAAAAAAAAAAGAATAATCAGCAAATCACAACAAACCATCGTTATTCGCCGCCGTCTGTATCCTCCAAAGATTCGCATACCGCCCCCCCTTCTCCAGCAGCTCTCTATGCGTGCCGCTCTCCACGACCTCGCCCCTGTGCAGGACCAATATCCTGTGCGCCCCGACAACCGTCGACAGCCTGTGCGCGACCGTAAACACGGTCCGCCCCTCGCCGAGCGCCTGCACCGCCTGCTGCACGCTCGCCTCGGTCGCCGAGTCGACTGCGCTCGTGGCCTCGTCCAGCACCACGATGCGCGGACGCCGCACCAGCACCCGCGCAATCGCCAGCCGCTGCAGCTCGCCGCCGCTCAGACGCACCCCGCGCTCGCCGATGCGCGCGCGGTACCCCTCCGGTGAGGCGGTCATGATGTGCTCGTGGATGCAGGCGCGGCGGCACGCGTCCACGACGTCATCCTCGGTGGCGCCGGGACGCGCGTACAGCAGGTTCTCCATGATGGTCTGGTCAAAGACGGAAGGGTCCTGCGGGACGGCGCCCAGGCTGTCGCGGAGGCTGCTCAGCGTGACGTCGCGCAGGTCCTGGCCGTCAATGGTGATGCTGCCCTCGGTCACGTCGTAGAAGCGGTAGAGCAGCTTGAGAATGGTGGACTTGCCGCTGCCCGTCTCGCCGACGAGCGCAATCGTCTGGCCCGGCGCGGCGGTAAAGGAAATGTTGTGCAGAATCTGCCGCCGCTGCTGCTGCTGCTCCGCCGGGCCGTAGGCGAAGCCGACGTTTTTAAACTCGATTTCGCAATTTGTGATTTGCAGCGGCCGCGCGCCGGGCTTGTCCTGGATCGAGGGCTTGGTGAGGAGCAGCTGGTAGAGCCACTCGGCCTTGACAAGCTGTGAAGCCGTGCTGTGAAGCTGGTGGGCGAGGGACATCATGGGCCAGCTGATGACGCTCCAGTACGAGGTGATGAAGACGAAGCTGCTGACGGTCGAGTGTCCGTCGGCGACGCGCGTGGCAATCATGTAGCACACGATGATGTAGCCAATCTCGAGCACCACTTCCTGCGTGGAAAAGACGATTTCGCTGAGATCTGACCAGCGTCGCATGGACAAGAGGGCCTTCATGACGGCGCTGTTGTAGCGCTCGTGCTCGCGCTTGGCCTGGTTGTGAATTTCCACCGTGTACCAGTTGCTAATGGCGTCGTACAGCACCTTGTTTTCCTCCTGGTCGTTGTTGACATATTTGCGCTGCACCGCCGAGGTGAACTTGTTTCCCTTTGTGGTGACGTATGCATTAATGACCGTGGCCATGAGCATCACGACGCCCGTCGACGCGTCGAACCTCTTGGTCAGGTACACGGCAGCAATCAACAGATCCACCATTCTGGGACCGAGACCGAGAACAATATCCAGGATAAAAGTCAAGTCGGTTCCTTGCTCGATTGCGGTAATAACTTTGCCTGTGCTTCGCGAGGTGTGGTAGTCCATCGAGAGGCTCATGACGTGAGAAAAGGCCAGCGAGTTTAGCTGGTACTTTGAGAATTGAGAGATGCGCGTCCGGGCGCAGCTATCGAGGATCTGGACCGCAAGCCTGACTGGGAGATTGAGGATGAAGTAGAGTGCAAGCTCTTTCAGCGGCACGTGTCCTGTTACTGCCGAGTCAGCCAGACAACCTTGAAATAGCACACAGTCGTACTCTCTGGGGCTTACCGGTTCCTTGGTAGGCTGTGAGAGCGTCAATAATGTTGGCGAGTTGGAGCGGGATCAGCAAGGTGGTTACACGGTCGACACAGGTGCATACAATGAGAATCAGTAGCCACAGCTGCGTGAAGCGATCTTTGTACGGGATCAGATGGGGCAAAAAGATCATGAAGCCTCTGAGGTAGCCAAACCAGCCGCTTTCTGCTAGTCGCTGCTGCGACAGGCGCTTCATGCGTTCTTCCTCTTTATCATCGTCGTTCAATTCCTCGTCGTCGCTGTCTTGCCCGTCATTGTCATCTTTGCCATTGTTTGAGTCGTTGTCTCGGTAAGGTGCCACGCCGTACGACGCAGACGTCTGACCCGGCAAGCTCGCCGGCGAGGCGTTCAAAAGCGACTGCGTCTCCTCGTCGCCCGGGCTGTTGTTGTGCGTGGATGTCCGCTTCAAAGCTGCTGTAGCATACATTGCTGCGCCTGCGGCAATTAGTATCTGCAAGAGCTGGATGACAAGGTGAGTTGTGTCCCAGCGGTTCATGGCACTTTTGAGCGGTGAGCCGGCCACGAGCTGCGCGACATTGCAGCTCGCAGTCAGTATCCAGGCAATAATGTAGCTTGGCCAAGCCGGCTTCTTACTCTCGAGGAGCAAGATACTGATGAGCGACCAACTGAGTGACGAGCCTAGCACAAAGCGCTGGGACAAGTCAGCGATGAGTTGAGATGGCTGCGAGCGAAAACTCTCACGATTGCAGAGGGGGGAGGCAGGTCATTCTTGTCGAAACGACTCTGCACATGGTACAGAGTTGCTTCCGCCATCTAGATTCTAGTTAGTATGCCATCTCATGTCCTTTGTGCATTGTGCATGCTCATAATGTCGTACGAATGTCAAAGCTATCAAGGGCGGTGACCACTGCAATCGCCGCTGCTGTGCCTCTGTGACGGCATGGGTAGGAAGCCGTGCTTTGCGCGAAAAAAGCGCTCGAGTAAAAGGAACCGCCGTAAAGAGCGCAATCAAGGCCAGAGGATAGGCAGTGCTGATGGCGTCGAGGACGCTGTTGGTGGTTGGTTCCATGGTTGATGGTGACAGGAGGGTATCACGATGCCTGCCGTGGCCCTTTTGCGAGAAGGCTCTTCTTTTTAAAGATGAGATGAAGCTTCACTCCACAGTTGTAGGGCGTCGGTCAAGATGCAGATTTTTTTTTTTTTTTTCTTTTGTCCCTTTTGCAATCTGGATCGGGAAGAACGGCAAGCTCAAAGCCAAGCTTTTACGACAAACTTGGGCCTTTTACGCACGGGCTATGCCAAACACAGCCACATGTTGCAGGGCTGTTTGTCGGTGACTAACTTGTTGACGACTCATCGTGGGCCTCGGAATGCTGCAGCCTGGCACGCCTGGGTCACGAGTGAACAACCAGTCACCAATTAGCTGCAAGTCCCTTTAAGAAAAATCACCAATTAGCTGCAAGTCCCTTGAGGAATTTGCAAGTGAACGGGGGCTCCGCCTCGTATTTTATACGCAATAATGCCAACGCGCCCGCCTTGCTGTCATGGTTACACAAACAACGGTTGCCTTGAGGTTGCCTTGACCAGTCATCAACAGGCTAGTTATATACGCCAGTGGAATATTTCATTGACCCAAGTTCTGTGTCATATACAAAACTATCATTCTGACTCTTTGCTTTTCGGCTCGTTGTTGACTTTTGTTCACAGTTCCTCATTGTCCTCAGCCACAGCCACAGCCGCCTCGCCTTGGAGCTCAGCCCCGTCAAAGTTGCGAATCAAGTCATAATAGAATGCCAGCATCTTGATATGCTCATGCATGTCAGCGCGCTCGTCAATCGTGTGGATGTTCTTGACCGCTCCGGGAGCAGTAGGGGTGAAGCGGTAGATGTTGCGACTGAGATCTAGTGGGACAACTTGTTAGAATTTTTTTATATTTTTATTCTTTCTTCACTCGTCTTTCTGGCGGACGCAAAAAAAAAAAAAAAAAAGAAAAAGAAAAAGGAGGAAATAAAAAAGGGGGAAAAAAAAAAGATAAAAAATAAAATAAAATAAAAGGAAATCAGACTCACTCTGGTAGTGACGAGTATCAGTGTTACCAGTCATAGTCTCGCCGACGGGGACGACGGTGCCGTCAAACTTGAGCGTGTGCTGGGCGGAACCGGAAAAGGTATCCCAGACCTTGCCGTGCATCGGCGAGACGTTGGACGGCTGAAAGGCGTCGGCTGCCTTGATGACGAGCCTGCCCCCCGTCTTCACCTCGTACTCGGCGTCCATCGTGTCGCTCCTGCTACTGATGGGCTCGGCCTTGGCCGCATGCTCTGCATAGTCCTCATCGCCCTCAAAGGCATGCACGGTCAAATTGTACTTTTTGACAATGGGGTCAATATGACGGACGATGCTGTGCAGGACCTTGGGGATACCGTCGTCCAGCGTCACGCGGTAGTTGACGCCGAGGGTAGTCTTCTCCGGCAGAGCGTTGATCTTTTGTCCGCCGCGGATATAGTCCACAGCCTGCGAGGTCCGCACCGTGAATGATTCCATGCCTCCTACGCCGTCCAGCGCCTCGGCGATGCCTGACACGTTGCCCTGGCGGACGAGCTCGGTGATCTCGGGCATCTCATTGGGTGAGTAGTGCGCCAGGCAGGCCATGTGCGCGTAGACGGGGCTCTCCTTTGTTAGACGGGGCTCAAAAGGGTTCGCCTCGAGCGCCGAAACTATCTCGGACATGATGCCGATGCCGCTGTGTGGGGGCGGCACGGAGCTGTGCCCGCCGAAAACGTCGAGCTCAAACCAGACGTCGACGTGGCCCTTTTCTGTGATGCTTGGCAGCACGTACTTGACGTTGCCAATCGTCTGGATGCCGAAGCCGCCCTCGTCCAGGATGACGGCCAGGCCGTCGTCGCCGTAGCGGTCCGTCAGCACCTCGGCAATGCGATGCGCGCCGAGGTAGCCGGAGCACTCCTCGTCAAAGCCAAAGGCGACGACAACTGTGCGGCGTGGCCTCCAGTGTGCGGAGCCGAGCATTGCCTCCAGCGTCGACATGATGGCCGTCAAGCTGTTCTTGTCGTCGCTGGCACCGCGTCCCCAGAGGTACTGGCCGTCATAAAACCCTGCAAAAGGGTCATGAGTCCAGGTCGAGCCATCCGCAACAGGAACGACATCCTGGTGAGCCATCAAGAGTATCGGCTTGAGATCAGAGTCGCTTCCGGAAATGGTGTAGAGGAGGCCATAAGTGTTGATCCTTTCCACCCTGGCGCGCTTGTAGCTGCAGACAATGTTCAGTAATCAGTTTTTTTTTTTTTTTTTTTTCCAAGGGGGCTTGTGAGTTGGCAGGCCACTACCTACATGGCGGGATACAGCCCCTCGATAACTCGGTGCAGCTCGTCAAAAGGCTTCCAGCGCTCGTCCCCGCCAATCGGGCCAAGATTGTCGTAGCACACAGACGGCACGCGGATAACGGCTTGGAGACGCTTGACCTGCAGCGAGAGCGCCTTCCTGCCGCCCCAGAGCCTGGAGATGTGCGGCAAGCCATCCTCGTACGGGTCAATGGCCGGCGGGAGCCGACACTCGGATGTCGTGTCGACGGCGTCGACGGAGCCGAGCGGGCTCTGCGCAACATGAGCAGCGACACCCACGGCGCCGGCCAGCAAAGCAAGCTTGGAAAAGACCATGGTTATTAAAGTCGTTCAAATATTTGAACAATGGATGAAGAAAGTTGAAACTGCTTTTTTCGCCGCAGACAATCCGATTATATTCAGAAAATTCGAGGAACCATGTTGTCTCGGGAAGAAGTTGAGAGCCGGGATGCTGTCTCTGCCGGAGGGCCGGGTATGGAACCCGGGTTTCAGTCCCGATTAGGCAGGTAAAAGAGTGCTATCTCCGGTGAGGCCTTTGCCCATGTCTGCTGAAACTTTGCATGGTCCTTATCAATCTAATATCAAAAGAGGCTGTATAAAATCGCATGCGCATACAAAAATATTCGACGACTAGTCACAACTAAATAGTTGCTACAAGCCGGAAACGGAACCATCGAACTGCAGTGGAACTTCCAAGAACGGCTTGCATGCATGCTACCTTCAGATCGGCGGGGTACAGTACACATACCATTCATCATCCTTTCACAGCGGAGTGAGCCTTTTCTATTCATCTTGCAAATCATGGGCATGCTGGCGCAGCGGTCCTCTCCGTTAGCGGCTGTCTAAACACTTTGGCACTATTCCAAGAGAGTTTTACAGAGCGACAAACGTCCGATGCGTGTTTTTTCCACCCCGCGTCTTGCTGTTTCGCATTCAAGGCGTCAGGTGCCAATCAATGATGTGACAAGAGTTCAGCCCATGGGGTACTCTAAGAGATGCAGATCTGCAACCACAACGCGGGGAGTAAACCGGACAGGTCGGAAGCCAAGTCTCACGCTGTTGCTGGACTATGATATCATAGCCTGGCTACAAGACGAAAAGACTGGGGAAGATTAGCAGCGATCCCTTTGATCCGCGGACTCGCGCGCTCCTTAAATCCGACCACACTTTTACAGCTCTTGCCGACTCGCGAAGCACAACTCGTAAGCCGACTTTGAGTTAGTGAGAACGCAATTGAGAGGGCGGAGAAGAAAAAAAAAAAAACCGAGACAAGCTGAGCTTTACCTAAACGCTCTGCCAAAATCCTCGTTCAAGACTGCTTGCTTTTCGCGTTTAATGGTCAAGATCCAACCCATCAACATGGTGAATGCGGGCGGCGCTAACACCAAGAACGGTGCCGCTTCCGGCTATTCATATTTGTTTACAACACAATGAAATTGTCCGCGGATGGCTGCTAGTGCCAGTATTTTAAAATCTGACATGAAGGGGAACGGACCTAATAACTAGCGTTCATGACGACACCACGCAATCGGCAAAGATGGTCGGCGCCGAACTCTCGCTGTACATGCTCCCAGTCAAAAGTCGGCCGGGAGAATTCCGTGGCCGACATCCAAGGCCAATCTAAATACCCATCATGTCCTCCTTCCCACATCACCCCATCCAAGACAACTCGGATATCCTGCATGCATGTACCACATGCAGCGATGATTTGACAGCCTCGCATAACGCCTCTCTCCAGACAGCGCCAACAGCCAGCCCTCTGACTTACACGACCCCAGCAACCCCCGGACTGCAGAACAACCCCGGACTTGCAGTCCGACCCCTTTCCTCCTCCTCCTCCTCCTCCTCCATCATGGAGCACATCAGCCGCGTCTTCTCCTCCGCGATCAACAAGCCCATCCGCACCCATAAACTCGACCGCTCACAAGCTCCCTTCCTCAACGCCCGCGGCTACGTCGACTTTGCGCCCAATGACCCGGAAAACCCCCTGAACTGGAGCATGGCCCGCCGCGCCGGCATCTCCGCCGTCTCCGTGCTCCTCGTCCTCAACGCCACCATGGCCTCTTCCGCGCCCAGCGCCGTCAACGCCTCCCTCGACAAGCATTTCCGCGTCTCCGCCGAAGTCTCCGCCCTCACCGTCACCCTTTTTCTACTCGGCTACTGCGCGGGCCCTCTGCTCTTTGCGCCCCTCAGCGAATTCTACGGCCGCCGCATCATCTTCATCATCACGTTTGCCGGCTACGTCGCTTTCAGCTTCCTCACCTCGTGGCCGCCCAACTTCGCCGCGCTGCTCGTCGGCCGCTTCCTCACCGGCACGTTCGCCTCGGCCCCGCTGAGCAACGCGCCCGGCGTGCTCGTCGACCTCTGGGACCCCGTGCACCGCGCCACGGCGTTTGCCTGCTTCTCCACCATGGTCTGGATCGGACCCGCCGTTGGCCCCGTCGTCGCCGGCTTTTTGCAGCTCAGCAAAGGCGACGACGGCTGGCGCTGGTGCTTTTGGATGCTGCTCTGGCTGGCCTCCTTCACCATGCTGCTCGTCGTCACCATGCCCGAAACGTACCCGCCGATTGTCCTTTTACAAAAGGCCAAGCGCGCGCGGCAGCACGGGTTTCCGCAGGCCCGGGCCGAGATTGAGGACTCGGATCGCTCCCTCGGCGCCGCGTACAAGGTGGCCCTGACGCGGCCTTGGATCATCTTGTTTGACACGATATCGCTGCTGTGCGCCATCTACCTGGCCGTCGTCTACATGCTGCTCTACATGCTCTTCTCCATCTATCCCCTCGTCTTTCAAAAGATGCGCGGGTGGAACGCCGGTATTGGCGAGTTGCCGCTTCTCGGCACCGCCGTCGGAGCTGCCTGTGGCGGCGCAATCGTGGCCTTGGACTCGCACCTCCGACAGAGAAAGATTGCCAATGGCAGCCTCAAGATATCCGAGCTGACTCCCGAAGACCGCTTGCCGCTTGCCATGGTTGGTGGCATTGGCTTCTTCATCAGCATGTTTTGGCTTGCATGGTCCGCCAATTACAAGTAAGTTTTTTTTCTTGTGACCCCCCCCCCCCCCCCCTCCGTTCAATTCTTCCGAACCCCCCCAAAACTTGCCCGGCGGCGGCGGCTAACCATCAAACACACAAAAAGCTCCGTTCACTGGATTGTGCCTACCATTGGTGGCGGCGTCTTGTCCGCCAACATGCTGCTCGTCTTCGTCGCCTACTTCAACTACCTCGTCGACGTCTACCTCATGTACGCCGCCTCCGCCCTCGCCGCCAACACCGTTGTCCGCTCCGCTGGCGGTGCCGCCGCCCCGCTATTCACCCGTCAAATGTTCTCCGCCATGGGCATTGGCGGCGGCGGCTCTCTGGTCGGCGGCGTAGGCGCGCTTCTGGCCATCATCCCGTTCCTCTTTTACAAATACGGCCCGCAGATTCGCGCCAGAAGCAAGTTCTCGCCCACCGGCTTAAAGTCCAAGGAGGAGCAGAATGCGCAGTTTAGGAGCGGACCTGATGAAGAGAGCGCGCTAGAAACGACGTCAAACGAGGGCTCAAGTCGAGCAGTCGGTACTCGGGAGCAGGAAAAGTAGGTCACGATGCGGGCATCATCATGACGGTAGTGCCAAGGAGATGCAACCTCAGTATTGTTGATTTCTGGAATGAGATTTCGTACACTTCATCGTCGATAGAATTCTACACATAGTGTATACATCATTTTGTCCCTGTGACTGGTTCTCGAGTTTCAGTTTTTGTCGTGTGTATGCGGTGTGATACTTTTAGTCTTGCTTCAGGGTCAAGCTCGCAGTCATCAACATGTAGGACTTGACAGGCGACTCCTAGTTCAAGTCGTCAATGTGGACATAAATAGTAGACAAGACATAAACGACGGGAGAGTCCATGTAACTGCTTTCAATATCCATCAATATGTATGCTAGTAACCGTCCCTATTTGAGCTCCTCCAGAATCTTCTTCCACGACCGCTGCAGATCCGTCGCCCTCTCCTCCTGCACCGCCCGCTGAACCACCTCCCTAAGCTTGCTCTTTCCGTCCGCTGTTGTTTCGAAAATACCAGCCTCTTGCGCCTTGAGCGCCGCCGCCACGGCCTCGATGCGCTGCACGCGCTGCGGATGCGTGCCCGTCTCCGCCTTGTCCAGGTCCAGGCTATCCAAGTACGCCAAAAAGGTGGCAGCACTGTCCGTGGTCGCAGTGCGAGCGCTCTTAAGCTCGGCGGCTTCCGTCATTAAGTCGGCGACGCACTTGTACCAGACTTCGCGCTTGATCGAGCCGAATTTCTGGTGGGTGAGGTATGGCTGCAACGTCTTGATGACAGAGGCGGCGACGAGAGCGCCGTCGCGTGACGGTGAGCGCGTGTAGCCGCGTGCAATGGCCTCGAGGCCGTTCTGCGCCGTGTCTAGACCCTTGTCCTCTTTAGAGTCCACGTCCATTTTGTCGTCGTCGGTGACGGCATCCAGGTGCGGGGTGACAATGTCGGTAATCTCGCCCAGAAAGTCTAAATCAGTTCTCGCCTTGGCAAACTCCCACAGGCTGCGTAAGGCATGCGGGCGGTACTCGTCATTGTTGCGCTTTGCTTCGCGAATGGCAATCTTTTTCATCTGCGCCGCAACCTGCTCGTTGCCTTGCCAAAATACCTGGCCGCTTTTGACAAATTTTGGAAACGACGCGAGCACTTTTTCTTTGCCAGGAAACGTCTTGAGTGCCAGAGCCTTGTCGAAAGCAGGCCAGAGTGCCTTGCAGTTGACCTCACTAATACCACCCGTCATTTCGGTTGCGCTCACTACGTCCGAGACCGCGGCCGCAATGGTAAAAGCACCCGTGTGCTTGAGTGCCCATTGTGTAGTAGCTAGACAACGCTCCACCAGCGCGACAATCTCCGGGATGTGCCGCATGACTGTACGACTGCTGCCAGCGTGTTGGCTCCATACCTCTTTGAAAACTTTGCTGGTGTACTCGTCGGTGTCGTAAGATCCCAGATACGAGAATGGCAGTAGATCCGCTTCTTGGCTCGAAAAGTGGTCGGGCGAAATTTTGGCCAGCGAGACTACGACGTCTGATACTTTTTGACGGCGACTTTCGTCCTCGCCGTTAAAGTACAGCTCCACCAGACCACTGCAGAAGCCTTGCCGATCCACGTCTCCCACTGCTCTCATGATATAGGCAGCTGCTCTGGCATATGCTTGGCTCACTTCGTCATTCTTATCCAAAGTCTGCTTCTCAAGCAGTTTCAAGAACTTGCCCGACAGCGGCTTGATGTCATTGGTGTGTCGCGTGAATAACGTCGTCAGAACACGGCTGCACCCAATCTTGGTCGGCATGCCAATGGCGCTCTTGATTGTTGCCTCCAGCTTTGGGGCTAATTGCACCATGACGTCGGCATCGACAAAGCGCAGACAATTCTCAATGGCCTCGGAAATGGGAGACTGGTTCACCATTTGCGATCGCAGCTTGTCGATCTGATCGCGGCTTTCTTCGCCAGCTCGCTGATAGTGGTAGTTGATCTGCTGCGGTTCGATTGTGCTCAGCAACCCGAGCATGTGCGAGACAATTTCGGAGATGAATGGCCTCAGAGATACACCACCGTGCTTGCAGATTTTCATGACTGTAATCGTGGCAAAAATTTGCACATCTTGCGCGGAATTTTCGATACCCTTTTCGGACAGCAGGAAGGGTAGTGCTTCTTTCATCATTGCCTTGGCAGCTGCGCTATGATTGCTCTCTTCCAGTTGCCGCACGAGGCCGTTGGAGAGTCCCATGCAAAGCTTCAGAGCTGCTTCACGCACACTGCCTTTGACATCATCAAGGACCTTGAGGGCTGCAGTCCAGATATCACGATAGTATTTTTCATACTGCACGAATGGACGGCCGTGGACGAGTTCGGCAATGGCGGCACAGCTAGCTTCTCGCATTCGCCACTCGCGGCCAAGGATGCTCTTCAAAAGGTCCTCCATAATGGCGTCAAAGTGTTGATCTATAGTGCTGTTGGTATCCTTGACGAGAGATTTCCAAATGTCATCCATGGACCTCTGGACATTGGAATTTGGATCAAACCGATATCTGTAAAGCTTTGGGTATAGCTTTGGGTCAACCTCAGACTCTGACAGAATGTTGCTCAGACCGAAACGACCGAAAGCAGATCGTGTAGACCAGGTTGCGGCGTTGGCAGCAAGGGACATGAATTTGTACACCAGTCGCTGATCGCCGACTTCGTTTGCGAGGTTGACAATGTCCTTGTACGATGTGACCGAGTTGCCTTCTCCTGTGGGCAAAGCGCCAGGCTCAAATAGCTCCGTATCCTCCTCCACCTTCAGCTGCGTGCCAGAGCCCGTGAAAGCCGACACGAGGTCCTTGACCAGCGCCGACTTGAGGTCGGCATCGCCTCTTTCGTAGACAAGGGACAGCCCACGGGAGGCTGTTTCCTGCACAAGCTCATCACGCGCGTTCAACAAGCGCATAAAGGCACTTTGTGCCTCGCGCAGACGAGACTGGACCTGCTCAATGTGAGAGCAGTACTGAACAATACAGAACAACCAGATGCCAGACGCCTTGAGCAGAGAAGGCTTGGTGCCTTTACAGTCGGTAAAAAGCTTGCTCAGAACTGCCGAAATGATGGAGTCCAAGGCTTTGCTTCGAAACTCGTCGCCACGGCACTCGACGTCCATGCCCAAATTGACCTGATCAGACTCCCATCGAGCAATTGCTGCTGTGATAGCTTCTCCTACGGCGAAGTGAACCTCAACCTGCTTTAATTCGTGGAGAGCGAACAGGTCTTTCAAGATAGCACCGAGTGTGCCTTGTTCCCATTCCGGAATTGAAGAACCCGTGTCTTTGAGTTGGCCAACATCGAGGGCAGACGCGAGGCGTCCGAGTGCGGCAATGGCACGCTCATTTCCTTTCTTAGCTTGTGCTGCAAGTCTCTCGACGATGGCTTCCAAGCTGTGCTTGCCTTCTGACAGAGGTACAGACAGCTTGGCAGACCAGAGCTGGGCAAACGAGTCAAGAGCCGCCTCGAAAAGTGAAACTGGTGTAGACTCATCTGCAAGATACGATAGAGGATAGGCAGTCTCGGGCACATCACGATTGTAATAGACGCATCGAGACTGTAGATAGCCAAATGCCGTCAATGCACCCTCTGCAGCATTCAGGTCAGGGCCAGCCTTTCTCTGCGCGTTGTCAAAAAAGCTGTGTAGCGTGACCGCAAAGTTCGAGACGGCATCGGTGCTATTGACAGGATGTGCAGCCAGGATTCCAACAGCCTTGGAAGCGAGTGTTCTGATTTCTCGATTGTTCGACTTGACCAGAGGAAGCAGACGCATTGTATGCCCCGTGAGCTGGCCAATAGTCTCGGCCTGTGCCAGCGACGCCACTTCAACAAAGCAACGAATACAGTCTTCCACAATGGGGGCGTCTTCGACAAAAGCGCCCTCGAGGCACGTCTGGAGATAGAATACGAGCTCTTTCGAGTCATTTTTCGCCAGGTACGCACGAACCTTGTCTTGAGTCTTGATGTCGTTTTTCAGCTGCGCGCTCAACGCTTGCATCCAGTCCGGCTGCACGGTAAAATCACCCAGGGCCGAGAGAAGCATAACGTTTTTGCAATACTTTAAAGCGATGGGAAAGGCAAGAATGCGTGACCCGTGAAAATTCTGGAAAACTGGGCGCACGGGCAAAGTTGGCAGCCCATTGACGGACTGTCCGCTCGCCATTGGTGCGGGTTCAATAAGAGAATCAAAGTATGTGCCTGCCATGTTCTTCCAGTCAGGCATTTGCGTATGTGCCTGGCTATGCGCGAAGTAAGTCCACGGATCAAGACCCTTGTGGCCTTGCTCGATGACATCATTGCGCTCGTTGTATTGACCGGCGATAGCCAGGATATCAATCCACCTAGCGTAGACGTCGGAAAAGGGAAGACATTGATTCGCCCACTTGACAACGGCGTGGCGTGTGCTACGGACGGCTGGGGGTTCGTCGGCCAACGACATGTAGTTGAGCAGCATGGTTCTGAACATCAAGTTGCCGGCCGTGGTGCTGGGATCGATATTCGCAGTCAGACTGGAAAGAGCACCGTCAATGTTGACAATGGCATCGTTGGTAGAGTCTTCTGATAATGAGCGAAACAGCCATGCAGCAAGATTGAGTTTGTCATCCGTTGGCATATCTGCGCTCCGTGCCAATAGCCCAATCGTCTCATATGCGCGCGATCGAAGGTTTACATCATCATTCGTACTGGACTCAGCAAGAGGCCAGCCTTGGCTTTCAACATATTCTCGCATCTTTTGAATCAGTTGTGGTCCGATTGTGAAGCCTTTTTTGGACGGGCCAATTTGAGCGACCCAAGACATGTACTGAAATAGGGCCTTGTGAAGTTTGGTTCGTTCCAGGGCGCTCGAGGGCTGTAGCGAGTTTGACGATGATCCTTCCTGTGGTGGCATGAAGTCGAGTGTCACGACCTTCATGATATTGTCTGTCATGCTTGTCGAAATGGCTGACTTTGACAGCATACCGAGGATTCGGGTGCGATTGGCGGCGGGAAGTGAGGCATGAGCAGCAAAGAGGCGCTCGACGAGGGCCTCGTCCTCGAGAGAAACGGAACTCCTCTTGATGACCTCCTCGCCGGTTGAGGCCACTCTGCCGTCGAAGCTTGCGGCAGCATACAGCGCAGGGAGGAACTTCTCTTCATCGGTAAAGGCTGCACTGGCGAGCAGGGTCACGACCTTGATCTTGAGTTCAGATATACGACGAAGCAGCTTTTCTGTGTCTGGACTTTCAGACGGGAACAAAGCCAGATCCAAGCTTGAAAGAGTGGGATTGGACTGGGCCAGCGTCTGGGAGCCTGACGCCGCTCGGAGTCGAAGGAACACGCCGAGCAAGTAGGCTAGATACTTTGCGTCGGCCGCATCTTCTAGACCAAGAGCTGTTCTGAACACTTCATCATCTTTGCTTCCACGAGGCGGTATTCTCATGTCTAGGATCAGGCGAAGGATGATGTTCAGAATAGTCGCGGCTCGGGGCTGATTCTGATCTGCCGCAAGACCTTTGAGCGCGATGGGGAGAAGATCACGCCGGTCTTCTACATCGATCCGCTCGATGCTGTGTAGAATGAAGGAAAGATCCAGTTGCTTGATGACAGCGGAGTCGGTTGTCCTGTACTGCTGCAACAGCGCCTTAACGGGCAAGATGACTCTACTAATGGTGAGCAAGCGTTCAAGAAATGCGGACTGGATATTACATACTGCGGTGGCTGTATGAATGTCTTCAGACGGGCCAATATTTGAATTACCTTTCGCCATGTTAGATATATCAAGATTCTAGCTTAGTAAAGTACCCTCTTACTCTGCCGCGGACGCTGGCATGGTCACTGGCGGCTTTCAATATCAGGGGCGCCAGATAGCGCTGTAGCAGCTCATGGAGTTTCTCCTCCTTGTTTGCGACGCCCAAGATTTTAAACTCGACAGTCTCGACGAGCTGGAGCTCTTTTTGCTCTGTGGACGGTGCAGCCATCTCGGTCCTACGATGGTGCTGAGCGTGGTTGAAGGAAGGAGTCAAGTCAATACACAGTGGTGCAATGGTGCGCTCAACATCACAAACGCCTGAGAAATGCCAAAGGCAATGAAATGAGCAGAGTATTACGTTATAGACGCTTCGAGATGGCAAATAGCAAACCCGACGCCTTGATGATGTAGGCAGCTGTCGCCTGCCAGGCGACAGCGTTTACGACACGAAAATCCTGACTAAGCAGCTTCATTACAGCTGCGCACTGTAGCCGGCCACGTTACCACGACCGCATACAAGCATCAATTCCGTAGGCTATTCGAGAGTTGCCAGATTCTATTTGGGTGCAATCATCGTCAACTCCTCGCTGGATACCTGTGAATACTTCATGGTAGTTTGCGTCACGCACGCCATGTCAAAGTGGGTAGTTGCGAAGCAAAGACTCAAGCAAGCCGGTGTCGTGATGAGAGCAGCGCCGCCATTGGCTTCTCTGGCACGGCAGACTCGGCACGGATATGTACTTTTGGCTCACAGTACCAAAGGTCTTGTCATGGGGATAAAAATCGCAGCATGGTTTCCCCTTTGGCGACCGTTGTAGCCATTATCGAGCTTTTGAACATGCCAAGTGTCAATGCCGGACTACAGACATGTTATGCGTTGGCGATTGTTTCCCATTGGATCTTGACATGAGCACATTGTGGCAAAGAGTCCCTGCCCCATTTCGAAATAGCAGGTCAGTTTGCCCCCATCAAGACGCCGCAGATCCGCACAGGGCCAGTTGCGAAACACCCACCCAACTTCCCAACCACTTCGAGAAGCTATGCCCCACCACTTAGATGCCACAGCAAAGAGCTTGACAGCTTTGTAAATAGACGCAGAGCTCAATTGGGTCTCCGTGACAAGATCATCTAGTTCTCGAGGTATATAAGTTGCGTGGCACTTGCAAGTATAGCGCAGTATAGAATCCCTGCAGCGCAAAGTCCAGGAGGTTCGCTGCGAGCAAAACAAAGCAAGTCCGCCGAAGAAAATGCACTATTTTAGTGCCAGACCATTATTATTTGCAAACTTCCCAAGTTCCTGGAGAGCGATATCATTTGTCGGCGTAGCTTGGACGGCTGAGGGGCGCTGTCAAGGGGTGCCACACCTCGCATCAGGAGGTGTTCCTTGGCCTTGCTATTACTGAACGCCCGATAATGGCAGCGAGATGGGTGGCATGGCTGTCTTGCTTGCTTGCTTGTGAAGTACAATGAGCCTGGAGATACTGACCTCGAGTGAGAATATCTGGCCCTTGAACCATCGACCGAGGGAGCAACTAGTAGATTTGTCGGCGTTTCGCGGCAAGGGAAGCTATCGAAGTAGTAACTGCAGCGTTGTTGTTGTAAGATTCGAACGCAAACAAAGACAACAGCCAAGGCGATACGTTGAAATGGCTAGTGTATTCGTAAGACACTTCAAAAACTACATCGTATGACGGCTGTAAAGCATTGGGGTGAGACGCTATTGTCGCGCCAGAGGGGCACAATGCCTGTGCAGCTGGAAAGGGTCGGTTGTCTCGGTACCAGGCGATTTAGGTTTAGTTTCGGCTGGAGTAAAAGGAAAAGGGCGACGGATCCATGTTCATGATCCATCCCAATAGACAATTGCCAAGTTGCGAGGTGAGATTCGTAATCGTACCAGGCAGGGAGGCACCGAAATCACGATGAGCTGCTGTGGTGCTAGGCGAGAAAAGCAAAATAGATCAGAATCAAAGGAGATGGGCTTGTCTCGGTTCGTATTTAGCGGGCAGTATCATGAAAGCCCAGCCAGTTGCCGGAGTACATCAAGTACATCAAGGGAGGAGACGCGATTACCGTGGCAGCAACAGAAAGAAACAGGTAGCAACAGGTAGCGAAAGGGGATCGACCAAAATAAGGCGACGCAAATAACCATTACCGGAGCGTAGCCGATAGGGCATTGAAGACTAACTATGTGAAGACTCAAGAGTCGTGCGCGGAGAGCCCAGCGAACCTGCCAGGTAATAGTGGCCAAAAGGACCGCAAAGCACGGATGGTTATCAGCTTGAGGTGGGCGCAAACTCTAATTGATGATGGTGGGATGGTTGAAGGGATTCTATGCAGCCATTGATTCATGCCGTCGCGCTTGGTTGCATAAATCGAGGTGCGCTTGGGTGTTTGACGATGGTCTATGGGGACACGAGACAAGAGAAGTTTTTTTTGTGCCTGAATGACGTGCAGATGGCCAGCGTCACGTTGCTAACTGATAGGAGGAGGCGATGGGCGTCGACGTCGATGTTTGCGTGAAAGAGGAGCTGCTAACAAGTTTGTATGGTGGTGTCCATACTGGGTTGTTAGGAGTTGATGGGTATTGGACAGGCTTAGGACTCAGACAAAGAGGTTGAAGGCAGCAAGGGCGTCCAGAAAGAACGAGGCTTCGGGGCTGGAGGGGTCCACTACTAATAGGTACAGCAGTGGCTTCTCCACAGCACAAGAGAGAAAGGAGGCATACCAGAGAGAGCGAACCGTCTTCATCGGCAGCATGTAACACAGCTGGCGGTATCAATCGAAATCGCGAGCGGAAAAAAACTCTTGTAAATTGTGTTGCAGTAAGTCGTAGCTGCAGGTAAGTGTCAAGCTGGTCGAGTCCTTTCGCCGGGCCCGCCCACGGATTTCTAGCTGCAGGAACCGGCCGGCCACGGCGTGGCTTGAGCTGGACTGCTTGCAAGCTGCCGTGCGTTGGCAATGCTCGTGTTTCAGAGTCAACCATGGGGCCTCGGCGGGAGGACAGGACGAGGAAAGGGATTGGCTGCATGTTTATCAAGGGTGGCTTGCTCTGATACGAGTCTGCATTGGTGCATGATGGAGAAAAAGGGCACGAACTGCAAACGGAGCTGTCAGCAGCTTGCCAGACTACTAGCCGTAGGCGTATCACTATTTACCTAGGTACATTGCCAACTCTGCAAGGGATGCGCTAGCCATTCCCGGCCTCTCCAAGGATGGCCATCTACTGACAGCGCCAAATGTCGCTGTCCAAAGGCCGGCTACCACGCTGCGACAATGGTGGGATGGCGATCGAGGAGCTCATCCAGTGTGCCCGTGGTCGAGACCACAGGCGATCTTCATGGCTGCTTCTAGCAGACTGATGGGGCGCCTCAGCTATGTACATCTGGTTTGTGGTGGTTGCAGTCAGTTGTGTAAGATAGGCAGCAACGGCAGCGCTCTGCTTGGTTTGCCAGCTCGTCTAGTACACTTGTAGTGCACACGTTTGCCTCGGGCCACATGGATACATCCAATTTGACTCCTGGTACGCCAAATGTATGACTGTGACTCTGATCATTGATCGTGCGCTCTCGGCTGGCCGCTTGTGGTTCGCCGGTCGTCTCCCCTCCATTTCTTAAAAAATTCTGCTCATTCATCGTGAATTGCTGCCTGATTGAACTCATCCAGTCTTGGTCGCTTATTCTTCTGCTTCTGTCATTGCCTGCTCGCGCTGCTCTGTTGACCCGTGCATTGTATTGCGCTGCTTCACATCTGCTCAAGACCCTGTTATCGCACTGCAGAAGGCCGATTCACACGCTGCTTTGTTATTCTGGCACTCACAACTACGAATACAGTGAGTGATACTGTCTAGTTTGACGACGGGTGCATTTTTGGCCGTGTACGCCGTGTTGCGTTACCGTGTCGGACTCCCGACGTGTCTGCACTACAATGCATGGTATTCTAATACGAATAGAAGAAGAAGCCTGTACCCGACCAAACCTCGATCCCTTACTTTCTCGCAAAAGCAAAGATACGCTGCCCCGGTCGATCCTGGTGGATATTGTCTGGTCTGCACGAGGTAAGTTGAGAAGCATTTCCCAGGCGTCCAAGCATCCAAGCTGCCAAGCACACTCGCGTCAGTCGAGCAGCGGCTTGGTCAGCCAGACAGGTGGCAGGTAACGCCTCTCAGTGGCTGGTGCAACAGTGGGCTAGGGTGGACTCGGAGCGCCATCTTTAGTACTCTCCATCACTGTGGCAGCTCTCTGGAGTCGTTGTGACTTTGTGAGGTACTTTACAGCAAGCACTGTCACGACGTTTCCAGCGCCTTCTGTCCCCTGCGGAGCACTCTGCCCGCCCGTCACTGGGCCCAGCATAAGCCTCTACTGGGGCCAATTTTTCTTTTATCTCTTTAATATTTGCTTTTATCTCTTGTTCCACTGGTCCACTACTAAAACCGGCTTAGCCTTGCACCACTTTGCGCCTTGTCCTCGTCTTCGCTCGCCAGCTGCTCCCGCCTGCTGCTCCCGCCGGAAAGAGACACAAAAAAGTTTCCTCACCTAATCATTCGCTGCCTCGCGCGTCCTTCCCTTCTTCTCCCTTCCACACATCTTTTCCTTCCCCCTCTCCGTCAAGGCTACTGCGAGTTTTCCCTTGTGCGTGTTTCGGATATTGTCAAGAGATTTACGTTTGTTTTGCGGGCGCTTAAAAGTAAGTTTACCAATTAAGCAATTCCTCCCCTCGCGCATCTGCGCGTTTTTGCCTACTCGACCGTTTCTGTTTGCTGGTGTGCGCTTGGGGTGGCTCCCTACCGCGCCTCAAAAACTCTACCGACCTACCCCTCAACGAATCGCGACGTGGCCGACACATCGCGAAAAAGACCTGGCCTGTTCGATTCTAGCTTTGAAAGCTACTACGTTGATGCTATCTCTATTGAATCATTGATGCATCTGATGAAACTCGCCCAACACCTCAATGGATGACTGCCTGCGCCGCATGACGTGGCCGCGCCTGGTATATGTCTCTACTAGCTACATCTCGTCACAGGCAGCAATTGCTTCTCGCTGGGCGACAACTGGCTAGCTGCCAGGAGCTATGCTTCTAACTAGTTGTGGCTTTGGGGATTTCTTTTGCCCGCCTCGGTTACTCCCAATGACGCATTGCTCCCGAAATTGTCCGTTTCGCAAGCCCTTCAGTGTTTTGGTCCATTCGTCTCCGGCCGCCTCGGACGTTGAGCGTCCTCACGCGCGATCAGGCAACGCATACAAAGGATTCAGTCAAATCATAGCAATTTAACATTTGCCTTTTCAGCCAATACCCGGCCTTCTTTCGCCGTCTGTTGCTGTTACAGGAACCGCCTCGGCTCCATCCACATCGGAAACCCCTTTGACCCGCGTCTCCCAGCGTACCCGTCAGCCGCGACGGACCACTTACCCGAGATCACACCAGCAAACGAACGACAAACAAAGACTCAAGCCACCGCCCCCAGTGCTAATCACGCTCTTTTAGGTTCTCGTCATTTCGTCATCGTCCAACTGTTTTACCACGTTCGTTGCGAATTTTCGGTAGAACTTACGTCTGCTTTTCTGGGAAATTTGTCGGAACCTGCTTCTGTCATTCCCTCCCTTCCCGTGTCTTGAAGAGCAATTTGCTTCTCTTTTCCACTCGGCGTCGCGGTGTCTTTGCCAGTATTCTCTGTACGACTACCCTGTCAGTGTCGCGGCTTTTCGGTCCGGATACCAGCTTTCTCGATCCCCACGCCCATAACGACTTGTTTCGCCTCAAGAATTTACGACCCTTTGCGTGTATAATTCTAGTCAATCGTTGTCGAACAATCTGCATCCATTCCCGCATTCTCGACAACTCATTTCTTGTACGGCTGCTCTCAGCTGATACCCCCAGCTGCTACTCCTCACAATACACAGCTAACACATCCCAGAACATTCGCTCACTCAGCATTTGAACCTCATTGACATTTTTACCTGACCAGTGTGTATCCTGCATCGACAAGAACACCCCAGCGATGCTGACCGGCCAGATTACCATGGAGCTCGACCCTTCTTTCCGTGCTGCTTCCGCCAACGGTGGCCCCTCCAACGGCCAGATGGCTTACGCCAACGGCACTCCCCCTTCCGGCGACATGTCCGCTCCTCCTCCCACTGGCTCTTCCCAGGATCAGGCCAAGACAACCTTGTGGATGGGCGAGCTCGAGCCGTGGATGGACGAGAACTTCATCAAGGGTGTCTTCTTGTCCGCCTCTGGTGAGACTGTCAACGTCAAGGTCATCCGCGACAAGAACTCTGGGTATGCATACTGCACTCTTCCCCACTAGACCAATGCTAACAAATCAGCAACGCCGGCTACTGCTTCGTGGAATTCCAGACCGCCGACGCCGCCACCAAGGCCCTGGGTCTTAACGGCAATCCTGTCCCCAACAGCTCCCGTCAGTTCAAGCTCAACTGGGCTTCCGGTGGCGGCTTGGTTGACCGCAGGTACGTACAATCATAATTACCCTATTCAATAGCATTGCTTGTGGCGGTGGGCGCTGCATACGCGCAGTCACGCTCAATGCACCCGTGCCCCACTTTGGGTCTCTATCGTCACATACACCTTCACTTTGGCGTGTGTTTTGTGACTATTGGTCAGGCCCAGAAACTTCCGTTTGTCACATTCATTCTCAAACTTCTCACCAAACTTTTTCTTTGAACGATGCTAACGCTCTGCAACAGAGACGATCGCGGTCCCGAGTACAGCATCTTCGTGGGCGACCTTGGTCCCGAGGTCAACGAATATGTCTTGGTCTCTCTCTTTCAGGCCCGCTTCCCGTCCTGCAAGTCAGCTAAGATCATGACGGATGCTATGTCGGGCCAAAGCCGTGGCTACGGCTTTGTACGCTTCTCTGACGAGAATGATCAGCAGCGTGCCCTCGTCGAGATGCAGGGTGTCTACTGTGGTAACCGACCTATGCGCATCTCTACTGCTACTCCTAAGAACCGGTACGCTCGATTTCAACGCAGCTGAGAATACGAGAGCTAATCCCTGCAGCGGTAATCACGGCTTCGGACACGGCCCCCACGGCGGCCCTATGATGGGCGGCGGCATGCCTCAACAGCCAATGTGGAACGGTATGCAGGGCTTCGCCTATGGCGGCTACAACCCTGCAACGCAGATGAACCAGTTCACCGACCCTAACAACACGACCGTCTTTGTCGGTGGCCTCTCGGGCTACGTCACCGAAGACGAGCTTCGCTCCTTTTTCCAGGGATTCGGTGAAATCACCTATGTCAAAATCCCCCCTGGCAAGGGCTGCGGTTTTGTCCAATTTGTCCACCGCCACGCCGCCGAAATGGCCATCAACCAGATGCAGGGCTACCCTATTGGCAACTCGCGTGTTCGCCTGAGCTGGGGTCGCTCGCAGAACAACTCTGGCGTTGGTACCCCCTACCGCCCTGCCCCTCCTCCTCCTCACTACATGGGAATGCCTAGCCATGGTGGCCCTGGTCCTTATGGACCTCAGCACTTTGGCGGTCCTGCTCCCGGCCAGGGTCCTGCCGGTCCTACCGGCCCCCCTGGACCTGCTGGCCCTCCCCAGGTAAATGGAACCGAGTAGAAAGCGGCACATATGTATGAGACAAGGCTAACCATGTGCGTCTATCTTTAGAACTTTTAAATGCGACAAATCTGGTGTACTATCAACTCAATGAAGACAAAGACTTGAACGGCTCGCTGGGACGGGAGCATCACTCGTGTTACACAAAGCTCCGTTGTGGAATTCGGCTCACATGATGTTGTGTGTTTGTTTGTCTTATCTTGGCAGCTTTCCCCTGGAGGCGATTTTTCTGTGCTGGGGGGATTTTTTTTCGGGGCGTTGGGCTGAAATCGAAAGACGTTGTCGCCGAAAGTTTTTTTGGCGGCGGTTCCTATGTCTTGTCTGCTTTACAGGGCTCTTCTTTTGGTCACGGTTGCTTTTTGCGCGCTTGACACGACGACACCATGCCACTTGATTATTTTCTTGAGTCTTTCGAATCACGAATTGGCGTTGCGATTTGCGTACGTTCGGGGGGAGGATTTGCCATCAAGTCACATTTTCTCACATTGATTGCTGCTGCTTTCTAAAAGCTCATCTTTTGTTGTTTCCTTTGTCAGATTGCTCTATATTCTTCTAACCAATCACTGTCAACTCCTGCCCGTGTGTGTGATGTATGTTGGTCTCGACCAATGTGGTTGTCAGGTAGGTGGTGCGTCACATGTAGTCGATGCTCGTCTCATGCTGTCGTAGGATTTACACCCACCGATCACAGGGATAGTTTTGGCAGCCATAAACTGTTACCAGAGGCGTTCGTCTCGTCCTACCCTGTTATGTGATCTTGAGTACTGCTGCTTTCGAAGATTGCTGGGCTCAGATGAAAGTGACTGGTGACCATGTAGCTGGGTAGAATTACAGGCTAGTTTCATGCATAAGCTCGCATTATTCTCCCTTCATTGATTGGGAGAGGGTTCGAAATAGCCTTGTCCCGCTACTTTTTGATGGACACATGAGCGCCCCGGCCAACAAGCATCTGATCCAGCGAGCAAAACGGTGAAGAGCTTGCTATAGACCCTTAACAAAAGCTAAAAAAAGAAATAAGGGAGAGAGAAAAGAAGAAAGCAAAAAACGGGAAGTGCTTTTTGTTCTATGAAGCGCTGCGGGCTAATGTGCTGCCCATGATGATGTATGTCCCGAAAGAGTCCCAACGCCGTAACTGTATCATTTCGCCCATGTGGGCTTTCTTATTGCTTTGCATTTCGCATCCAATCGTATCTATTCTGAATTCATTCCATCATAACGTCTACTTCTTGTGCACAAACTCCTGGAGGAACCAGGCATGCATCCTGGCATCCGTCGTAAGCTCGGGGTGGAAGCTCGTCCCGAGCACGTTACCCTGTCGGACCGCGATGATGTCGCCGGCATTGTCCTCGGGATTCGCTTCAGAGACGGCCGATTTGGGCTTGGCCTTGTTGACGCGGTCGGGGAGGGTGGCGACGACGGCGACGGCCGGCGAGAGCAGCGCCTCGACGACGGGGGCGCGGATAAAGACGCCGTCAAAGGGACGAGAGGTGGCGTCGGGCAGAAAGGGCAGGTCGAGGGGCGCGATGAAGCTCTCAATCTGGCGGCCGAAGTGGTTGCGGTGGACGCGGACGTCGAGGCCGCCGATGAGGGCCTGTCCGCCCTTTTTGGTGGCGTTGGCTTGTTCGGAGAGGAGGATGAGGCCGGCGCATGTGCCCCAGGTAGGTTTCTTGAGGACTCTGGGGGGGGAAAGATGAGGTTAGCATTCTCACTCTGGGATTTAAGACAAGAAGAACAAGAACAAGAAACAACAAGAACAAGAAGAAGAAAAAAGAGCAACGAAGAAGAATGATTGAGGAAGACGTACTTTACAAACTCGCGCAGTGGCTCAAGGAGGCCAGACTGCGCAGCGACAAAGGAAATGGTGGTGCTCTCGCCGCCGGGAATGATGAGGGCGTCGCAGCGGGCCAGCTCGTCGGGGGTGCGCACCTCGATGGCGACGACGGCGGTCGGATAGGTATCGGGGAGCTGGGCGGCGGCCTTGCGGACGAGGGCGACGTGCTCGGCAAAGCCGCCCTGGAGGGCGAGGACACCGACGGTGGTGGTGGTGGGCTGCATGATGAGATGTTTGTGGAGGATGATGAATGGTTCGAGGGGGAGGAATAGAGAGATCGTGGGGGAGAAAGGGGGGCGGGGGAAGAGAAAATAATGCTGCAAGTTGAGATTGTATTTAAGGAAACAAGCTTGAAGGGTAGAGTTGAATTGTTATGCATGCGCAATGAGTGAAGATGGCCCCGGAGGCGGCGACCCGCTCAACGTGTATCGGCTCAAGCCGGGCTTTGTTAATAATAGGCAGTCTGACAAAAAGTTGTCGGCTTCAGTTTTTTTTTTTTTGAAGTGGAGCTCCGCCTTCGGACACCCCTCGTCGCGCCACCCAGAGCAAGTATCAAGTACCACATGTGCGCCTTGCTTGATTAACTAAATATACTGGTACAAACGGCTGGTCGTGGTACCTTGCAGGGGCGTTTTGCATAATGCAGGCCGCCTTGTCCGGATAAAGTGAGACATTGTAAAAATAGGACTAGACAAATATGCACTGCAGGATGCTGGAAAGAATTATGCCAAGGGATGATGGGGTGCATTTCATCAGTTCAATTTGGTGCAGAAAGTGGCAAAGTTGGTTTTTCCCCGGCCTCAGGGCCTGTACGTAACGGAATAAAGTCATGAGGTGGGGAAAAGGTGGACGAGGACGGCGTAAAAACGGTGGAGAAGAGGCCCTGGATGAGCACCGAAAAGGTTCATGGCTTGATGGACTAGGCCAGACCAGGCCGGCGACTCAGTGTGACAAAGGATGAGTCGAAGCGAGCGCGGCCGTATCGAGTACCCATACCCGGGCTCTCGGGGAGCGGGTGGCGCGACGGCGACATGAGATGGTTAGTCACAAGGCATGCAGTGCGTGTTGCAGGTGACAATTCCTGTCCTGATTAATAGGTAGGGCGCACAGTGGAGTAAGCCGCAATCTGGGCGAGTTGCATATTAGATGATGCACGAGCGAACCGGTCAGTTTGAGAAGACGCTGCGGAGTCGAATTGGCGATGCTGTAGTAGTTTATTTTTGTAAGTCATTTGGTGCATACGGGCAAGGGGTGTGATGGCATGTAGGTGCAAGGCTGAACAGGCCAGCGGCTCCGGGTACGTGCAGCGATGGTCATGCACGCCAGATAGGATGCCGGCCAGGCGTGCGGACGCTTGGTGGTGCAGCCGTGTTGAGACCAGCCCTACAACGAGTTTCTGCTCAAAAATACTGCTGATGCGTTTTTGTTGGCTGTGATTACTTCGTAGGGATAGATGGGATGGATAGTGCAGACAGGACTCGATCGACGGGTATGAACGTGTCTTGATTATCGTCACGTTTGGCAGGGTGGCGCTTTATCGGGTTCGTTATCGAATATATCAGAGACGTTGAATATGCAAGCTTCGTTGACCGGTCGAGCACAGAACATTGCAGATGTAGGTTGTTTTTCTCGCCTCGTTCCGGGCTGCAAGACTATCCAATTCGGGGGTGAGGTTGCGAGGAAGAGAGAAGAAATGGTTCGATGGACGAGGTAAATGGAAGAAAAGCGATGGCTAGGCTTAGCCGAGAGCCGGCCCGTCATGTAAAGTGTCGAGAGCAAACTCGGGTTGGGCGGGCTCGAGATGATTCGATTGTCAAAAAGAAGAGGCGTGCAGCGGCATCTTGCACACGCATCCTGCAAGAGACCGAAAAGAGACTGTCCGCAGCGGGCGCTAGCCAGGGGACCCTTGGTGGGGTTTAATTTTTATTTTATTTTTTTGAGATGACTGTATTCCGTACAACCTAATTGTTTGCACATTTTCTGTAAATTAGAAAAGAAAAGAGGTAAATATTGATTTAGATGCAATACACAGATTCAGCTTTCATTTATGCAGCAGCTACCCGTTTGGTGTCTTATTTGCCAAGCGGCCATCTGCATGTACAGCCGTTGGCCGGATGTGACGGGATGCAGTGAACCATGACAGCTGCCCTCGCACTCGTTGGACTGTTGTGCTATCCCGTTGGCACGAATCAAGCTATAATGCCGTGCCACCTGAAATGGTGCGACCTGAATGGACCACTCGAATGGACTACTTGATTCTTATTCTGGCAGTACTTTCGACATTGGATGCATACAGAGTAATATAGACCAAACCCGGGATAATCTGACCTACCTTGTGCCCCTCCCCCTCTCGTCTGTGTGTGCCCCTCGTTGACTTTAAGCCTACGCTAACCCACCTGGAGGGCTGGAGGGGCAAAAAAAAAAAAAAATAGACAGCCTTTGCCTGCTCCCACAGAAAAATGTCGTCTGCGCCCATCCGCGGCTCTCCGATGGCCGCACGCTTTCTACTCCGTCCACCATCTTGACTCGTTCCGCTAAAGAGCTCAACATCTTTATTAGCTCCGCGCCTCCCCCAGATTTTCCTTCCACATCTCATCTTTCCCCCCCATAGCCAACTCCCTTTTCGTCTTCAATTGACTTGTAAGCAATCCTCCGTCTTTCTCTTTCTCTCTGTCTCTCCTACCTCTCTCTCTGCGTTTCTCTCTCTGCCTCTCTCGCCTCTGTCGCCTCTCCCATCCTCCCGCCGCTACGACTACCTTGACACATCGCTAACGTGTTAGGCCATTAGACATCTTCCTCACACCTCAACACCACACACACACACCAACATCATCTTCAACATGACTTCCGAGACCCCCGCCACCAACGGCAGCAACGGCTCCACCTCGGCCGCTTCCTCCTTTGCCGTCAAGGCCGGCCTCGCCCAGATGCTCAAGGGCGGTGTCATCATGGACGTGACCAATGCCGAGCAGGCCCGCATCGCTGAGGAGGCCGGCGCCTGCGCCGTCATGGCCCTCGAGCGCGTCCCCGCCGATATCCGCAAGGACGGCGGCGTCGCCCGCATGTCCGACCCCGCTGTCATCAAGGAGATCCAGGCCGCCGTCACCATCCCCGTCATGGCCAAGGCCCGCATCGGCCACTTTGTCGAGTGCCAGGTGCTCGAGGCGCTCGGTGTCGACTACATTGATGAGTCCGAGGTGCTGACCCCCGCCGACGACGAGTACCACGTCGAGAAATCTCCCTTCAAGGCGCCCTTTGTCTGCGGCTGCCGCAACCTCGGCGAGGCCCTCCGGCGCATCGCCGAGGGCGCCGCCATGATCCGCACCAAGGGCGAGGCTGGCACCGGCGATGTTGTCGAGGCCGTCCGCCACATGAAGACGGTCAACCGCCAGATCGCCGAGGCCAAGGCTGCGCTTGCAGAGGGCGGCATCATCCGCATCCGCGACATGGCGCGCAAGCTCGAGGTCGACGCCGAGCTGCTCCGCCAGACCGCCGAGCTCGGTCGCCTGCCCGTTGTTAACTTTGCCGCCGGTGGCGTCGCCACCCCCGCCGACGCCGCTCTCATGATGCAGCTCGGCTGCGACGGCGTCTTTGTCGGCTCCGGCATCTTCAAGAGCGGCGACCCCGCCAAGCGCGCAAAGGCCATTGTGCGCGCCACCACCCACTACAAGGACGCCAAGGTCCTGGCCGAGTGCAGCACCGGCCTCGGCGAGGCCATGGTCGGCATCAACTGCGATTCGATGAAGCCCGAGGAGAAGCTGGCCGGCCGCGGCTGGTAAACGAGCCAAATGACGATTTAATACGATCTAAATACGATGATTTTATTTCCTTTTTTCTATAGTCATATTGGGAGCTAAGAAAAGAAATTGAGAAACGAAGCGATTCCATATATATACATATACGTGCAACAGATTTAAGTCGCGCAGGTGGTGATGATGAGGACCAAAAAAGAGACAAGAGGATTTGCTACCATAGCGCTTTTCTTGGGTTATGTTTGTTGTTGCTGGGTTTTTTGCAGAGGAATAGAATGACTCTTTTTACAACACATGCATCTTTTTTACACATCAACCAACATCTTCGACCTTGACATCCATCTGGAACTTCTTGGCATCCATTGAAATTCCCAAGTTTTTCTCTGCATCCATTTTACATCTCATCTCGATCTTTACTACAGCATCCGCCTTATGACGTCGCCTCCTCGTCTGACTCGGCCATGTCGTCAACTTGTCTCAACATGTCTCGCGGGTGCAGCATGGCAAGCTGTTAGTCTACTACCCCACGATTATTTCTACGCTGATGTTCCGTGCGCCGCCGATCCGCCGCCCAGAATGGAGGGGTTAAAGAAAAAAACAGGGACCCCAGGGGGCTTGCGGTTGCTCCCCGTTCACGTTGCACAATCCAAGACATGGACGCCCGCTCGGCTCGTCTCTATAAGCGTGGTAACGAATGTTGATGGGCATTTGTGCAGTCATTTGCTATATAGTATGTAAATTTCATTACTATACATGGCAAATGCACTCTTCACTTGGTATTCCTCGGCCGTCCGCATTGGCCCCCCATTTTCGAGATTGCCTCGCTCTCCTCCTTCAATGTCCCATGCCGTGTTCTGGAGCATCATTCCTCCCCCACATCACGTATCTTGTGTTTTGTATGCTTTTTTCACTCTTCCTTCAAAACTCCTCTACTCTGTCGGTTCGCGTTTTATCGGTCGTTGTTGCCCCGTTTCTTCGCTCTCGCCGGTACTTTGTTGGTTGGTTGGTGGCGCATCCTTCTCCGGGCTTGCGCCACCGTCACCACCACCACCACCAGCATCATCGTTGTCTACCTAGGGGCTCCATGTCACCGAGTCGCTCGCCTCGCTTGGCGGGCTCGACTCACTGGTGGCAGTCGTTGCCTTGGTTCCGCCGGGGGCGGCCGTGCCCGCGCCGTTGTTGGCCGAGGCGGGCATGCCGTACTTCTTTTCAATCGGCACCGTGTTGGCCGTGTAAACGCCAGCGGCCTGGATGGAGGCAAGGGAGTTCATGAGCATATTGACTGAGTGTTTCTGAAGAAGAATGAGGAAAGAGAAGATGAAACGAGAGTAAAAACGTTCAAGTCCAAGGGAGTATTTGCTTTGTGTTTGCAAGATGCTGAAGAGAATGGTTGCACTTCATCTTCAAGAATGCTTCCATTCTCTCCTTGTTATATAGTTGTCTGGCAGCCCTGTTGGTAGCCCGTTTTCCTCTTTCCTATTCCACCCATCTGCCTGTCTGCCTACCAACACTTTTATGCTACCAACACTTTAGCTACCAACAACAGGCACCAGGGCGGCCGCGCTAATCCGGCTCTGGTTTCCATGGCCCCCCCCCCCATCGGTGGACGAATCAAGCACCAAAGAGTGAATCGAAACGGGGATAACGGCCCTTTGCAGTGCGGGCGTTGGACGAGCCCCAGCTGATTGAGCCGTTGACGATGCAACCTCTCTGTGCACGGTCATTGAGACCGCGGGTGTGGGGTGCGCTTGCCTGGTCGAGATGGAGTCGTTGGTATTGGGGGAGTAGGCAGCAATGGGGGCCAAACGGTAATGTTGGACCGGGTTTCTGTGATATAGACAAGGCAGACCCGGCGAGTGAGTCTTGGGTCAATTGACAGTACTGAAAGGTCATCTTTTTTTTTGCAACGTCGTGGGTTTGTAATGAACGGCCGGCCTCCTCTGCGTTGGTAAGTGGCCAACCATTTGACTTAGCAACTACCAACACCAATCTCCACTCATATTGCCTAGTTTGAACAACTCACGTAAACAAGGCCGCCCAAATCTCATATCACCCGTAAGCGCCTATTCCCTTTACTCTTGGCGCTGCCGTTGACACCGTGTCTTTGCGCGCGTAGGCGGCGGCGACAATGGCGTAAAGGTTGCAACATGCGGGAAAAGAAAAAAAAAAAAGCCCCCATCCTAAGCGAGCAGTGGGGTCTAATACTGAATAACTGCCTTGCTGCTCACCTGCAACACCCACCCACCATCGTTTTTGCTCTTCCATTATCAATCAAAAAGCGGCAAAGTCTACCCGGCCAACTTGCATAATACGCGGCTGCGGTTGGTCAGCGATGCAGGATGAAGGAGGCGATGACGCTCCGGCAGGCCAGCCTACCCGTAGGGCGTAAGGCTGTGGTCATGGTGGCCCTCCCTCGATGCTACCTTACCTTGCCTGCATGCAGGCAAGCGACTCCCCCCCCCCCCCCCCCTCCCTCGCTCTCTCCTTCTGGAGTTAAAGATGTATCCCCGATGAGAAGACGGTATTCCTTTTTTTGATTATATTATGAGATTATCCGGCAGCCTGCCTAGAATGCCTTGTGCGTATTGTTTGCCGTGGCGTCTTCGTTCAGCCCTGGGACAGGCGCTAAAAGGACGAGGCTAGAAATACGAATTAACAAGCGGTGCTCGGTTGAAAAGGTTGCAGATCGACGGTTTGCATCGTGATGTACAGGGGACAACATGACTGAGCACCAATTGGAGAGTCGCCATGCCGAAGCCTCTAGATACACTCCACAGAGACATTAACACAACAATCACGGGTAAGAACCAAGTACAAGCTTGCCTTTAGTAATGTTCTATTCTAGTGATGTCTAGTTATTCTAGCAATGTCTTGTCTAATAATAGCTTTGCTAGTAATGTCTATTCTCGTAGTATCTATTCTCTTGTCCGAATATGTCAACCGCCAATATCTACTTTTTGCTTGCATCTCTGTCCAATATGACAGACAGCCACAGTCTTCTTTTAATTACGATTTCAAATCTTCCTCCCCCAAGAAAAATCTTCAATCCGTCCACCTCTTCACGCCCTCTGGCCACCACATCATGGCCGGATACGGCAGCCCAGGCAAGTCCACCACCTCCCATCCCATTCCCTCATACGCCCTTCTCCCGTCCTCAGTCGCCTCGAGGTACGCCGGTATGCCCAGCTCCCTGCACCTGTCCATGCCCCATCTCACGCACGCCGACGCCGCCCCTTGCCTTCTCCACCGCCCGTCCACCGCCATAAACGACAAGAACCCGTGCGGCCTTCCCCGCGTAAACTCCTTCCTCACCCTGACCATTGGCGCCATCACCACCTCCGCCTTGGCCCGGTTCGCGGCCGGCTCCACGGCAGCCAGATACGCAGTGTACGGGTCGTCGGGAAGCTGCTTCTCCTCCCCCGGTGCGAGCGCGCGGTCGTAAAGCGCCCACTCGGCCGTCCCGACAATCGTCTCCGCGCCCGTTGCAGGGTCCGTGTGCACGCACTTGATGGCGTACGGGCACGAGGGAAACGCAGCCATGTGCTCCTTGTGCACGCGCCAGTGCACCGCCGCCGTCTTGGCCCACGACTCGGCCGTGTGCGGGCCAAAGAGCAGAGGGCCAATGGCTTCCGAGGAAAAGGCTTCGCTCATGATCTCGGCGCAGCGAATCATGTCGCCCTCTTGGGTGGGCTGGATGGAAAAGTTGGGATTGACCATGGTTTTTTTTTTATTTTCTGTGTCGCGTGTGATGTGATGCGATGCGAATGCTTGTTTTTGATTGGATAGATGGATGGCAAGTGCTGATCACCTCGTGGCACAATCGGAACCTTAAAGCGCGGGCGCTTTCAGATGGTGGCTGCTGCCCTTGGGCTGGTGAGTGGTGGTGGCGTGCGGGAGGGAGAAGAAAGGGGGCGGGGCATTTATATATGAATCCAAGACCATCGCGAACCCGACCTTGGCATTAAAATAATTTCTTCCTGAATGGTCCTCGTATATCTTTCGTACGCCAATGTGGAGTTGCAAATTTGCCCTTTTAATGTGCCCCATGGACAGTTGGCCGGCACCCTCGGGAGCGTGTTCCAATTCTCTCCCCATTTTCCACTCTACTGAGTACACTTACAATGGTCATCACCAGCTGAATAATTGGGCTCGTTTCACCAATGGTGACGTGTGCATGCCACGGCTAACAAAATTCCGCGTAACCAATCTCAGTCATCAGATTACAGACAACTCTTTGCGACAAGACATGTGCTTGAGCACGACATGTGCTTGAACAACCAACAACACACACAACGCTCATCGCCCACAACATGTGAGCAGCAGCTTGAGAATAATATCGCCATCAAGCATGTTGAATAACACTATCAAGCTAGGATACTATACAAACACCTAAAGTTATGCATTTTCCTCAACTTCTCTACCATTGCCATCTTGTATGGACGCGTCTGCCGGCCAAGCGCGTTGTCTTCCTGAGACATACCCAGGCGGCACCCACTTGGAACTGTTCCAAGCCTTGAGCTCTTTCTGACCATACATGAGATCCACGTCCTCCAAACTCAGCGCCCGAGACTCATACAAACACAAGTATACAAGCAGTGCCGCAGCCAGGTTGGCCACAACAAAGACAAAGCCAAATGCGTAGCCTATTCCACGAAACGCAACCGGTGTCAAAAAGCCAATCATGACTATGTTTGTCAGCGCATGTCGCATGCAGTCCTTGGCGCAAGTCAACTTACAATTTCCGAGCCAGTTTCCTGCCGTGGCCAAGGAGGCTTGCTTTGCACGTGTACGAAGCGGGAATATCTCGCCAACAACGTTCCAAGCCATCGGTCCCCATGTTCCGGCAAACGAGGCGATAAACATACAGGCACACACAATCCTGATGATTCCAGTCTTTGGGTGTGGCGGATTTGCAGTGCAAACGGCCGCAAAAACAAAAAACCACCCAGCCTGCCAGAGGGCACCGATAAAAAGGGGCCAACGACGTCCAAACCTCTCGACAACAAAGACGCCATACAAGGTCATAAACACATTGACTGTTCCCAGAATATTCTGCGTGAAGAGGGGGTCTTGAACACCTGCAGACCCAAAGATGGTTGCGCCAAAGTAGAAGAAGAAATTCATCCCGGACCATTGCTGCAAAAAATGTATGCCGAACCCGAGCAGGGTTCTGTACAGAACCTTGGGCGTGTTTGTTGATGTGGAAAAGCACTCCAGCCACGATCCTTCGCTGACTTGACCCCCTTTCTCCAGAACCTGCCTCAACTCCCCTAGATCCTCTTCAATGACAGCGTTACGAGGGTCGTGTTTTTTGCCTCGCAGGCGAGCAAGCGACATGCGCGCCCCTTCCCAGTCGCCTCGCGAGGCCAGCCAGCGCGGCGACTCTGGTACGCACATGATCCCAAAGGCCAGCGGGAGAGACATCAGAATACCGATGCCGATGACGACACGCCACGAGACCTCCCTTGCTCCCAGACTTTGGACGCCATAATTTACGGTACTCGCGCTGAGGATGCCCATTGCAATCATGAGTTGGTACGAAGCCATAACTACGCCTCGGATCCCGGGGGGGGACGTCTCCGATTGGTACAAAGGGACACCCACGGACAAGTTACCAATTCCCAAGCCGGTGACGATTCGTCCCATCATCATATGAAATCCGCTGTTCATGGCCGTAATCTGAACAATATAACCGACAATGAAAACTCCCACGCCGAATAAAATGCTTCGTCGTCGTCCCCACCAGTCGGCGGTGCTGCATCGCGTCAGAACATTTCCGAGACGCCAACAGAGGGCGAGGCCTTACTATGCACCAGAGAGCGCACCGAGCAAACCACCGATGCTCATCAGCGAGACTAGGACCGACTGCCAAATAGGCCCCCATTCGAAACTCCCATCGTTCAGGTGATTGGCAAAGCGTCGCTTAAAATCTTCGAACAATAGTAATCCGGATATTTGGCCTATGTCGTAGCCGAAGAGCAAGCCTCCAATCGACGTCGTGGCCCCGAGTAGAATGGCCTCTATGCCGACCTCCGCGCCGTCAACCGTGATGGATCTATTGAAATTTTAGCAAAAGTATTGCCAAGCGCCACGATTGTATGCTTACTTTTGTCCCAGCATGGTTGCGAATAACGATACCAGGAAAGTATTGGAGACGGGTCGACTGCTGCAGAAAGCACTCCTGATGCTCCGCCGGACGACAGGGAACAATTGATACAATAAATCAGAGGATGAGTTGTAGAAAAACCAAAGCATTACCCTACTTGACAGGCCACGAAGAGGAAATAGGCCCTGGCTGTGCTCCGACTTCTTGGCCAAACCTCAAGGAAGGCGCTACTCGATTGAAGCGACGACGCCATCAACAGAGTTTGAGGAGCAATCCCGATGAATTCAATCGAGGGCTTCCAACTTAACCCATAGTAAGTCTGCCACTTTTTGCGGTTCTAGTCAACCGAGAGTGTCGCATTCAACTGCACCCGCCAACTGCCCTGGCCCGTCAACTGTATTTCCGTCATTGCTGCTTGCTGCACCACCCGTCCACATTTTGCCAACTGACTTGTCAACAACAAAATATCTTTATCAGGAGTATCTTTCTCTTTATCGTCCGCTTGCCGTCTTGATTCAGCGCCCTCACATTTCACACAAGGCGGCTCGTCAAAGAAATTGCGCTTTGCTTTCTTAGGGTTGCTTGCCCGGTCTTCAGTCCGCTTCGACATCTTCGTCCATAGCATCTCTGAGAAAGTCGAATGCGCGAGACTCGAGTCCGACGTTGTTCTCTGGAACATTACGCACAAGATTTCCGGGAGACTCAACAGGGAATGCGGTATCGCTGTTGCGAGACAAAGTTGCGAGAGCAACATGAACCTGGCGGAGCGACGCCTGAAACCCGTAATCAAAAGACATCGATAGATGGGGACATGAAACACGCTAGCAGTCAAAATATTACCAAATCTGTTAAGGACGAGGGAGATTCTCTAGAATGCCTTGTGTTGACGGTGGTCGATTTTGCTTCCAAATACCTCGACTTTATCTCAGGACCCTTCAATGTGCGGTCCTTTGTTTCAAACTCCTTGCTGTATTTCTGCGTCCTAAAATAGTGAGACCCTTCTTCGAATGAAATCCTTGTGGCTGCATTCGTTAACATAACTTCCTGGAGCTCTTGCAACCTGATCTGGAGATGCGGCCCCTACAGTCCAGATTCTGGTTATGGTCAATGCAGTGCGCTAAATCCGGTCATCTGCTCAGAAACTCAAATGAGCTCAAATAGCCACTGGAGTCCCAGGTTTGGTTTATGGTGTTATGATGTGTCGTGTTTCATCCATTGGACTCGGCTAGGAAGCGATTCCATTTACAGCCATGACATGTTCATCGTATTTGGCGTGCTCAACTCGTATGGTCGATTTCGAAGCATAAATGAGACAGATCTTCTCCGATATAAATCAGCTCCGGGATTCGCGAAGATTGGCTCGGCCCTGTTTCTCCTTTGCTACCTGGTCCGCATCTTCGTCAGTCTCCGTCTCAATAACGGCCACCACCCCCTGCTCGGCGTCGAAACCGTTCGCAGACTTTGGGTTAATCATGGTCAGCCTGATCCATTCATACTGTGCGCTCTTTCTCTATTAGACCATTATGCCTGGCACTGGTTCTGGTCTCATCCTCTTGCCGGCTTCGTCAGCCCTGTCGCAGTGGTTCTCGACGTGTATTCGTCTCACGATTGGAAGTTTGGTGAGAGGATTGAGTATTAGTGAGTAGATATTCAGCTGAGAAGGTGAACCAGCTGTCAATTCTACTTCTGATGCTGTCATGCACCCCATCATGCTTCAACGTCTTACAGGGCGCGTTGGACTCCCTTGGACGGTACGAATTATGGGTTCATGGTTCTCGGTACCATGGTGTTCGCCGCTGTCATGGTGCGAGCACGATTTGGGGAACCCCCGAAAAAGTCAAAATGGCCGGCATGAGACCAGAATCTTGCCAGCTTACTTCTCTCCATCCTAAACTACTTCTTTCCATCCTAAACGCATTGCAGGCCGTCTCATCCCCCAACAAGCTTGGCGGGCGCCACGGGCTCAGGACTGTGCAGACCATCATTGGCGTCATTTTTGGTGCTCTGGCTTTTGCTCTTTCGGACTTCAGAACTAAAGCCGGCGTCGTCGCGCTTACATTTGTTTACAGCCTCGGTTCCACGCCTTGTGCCTCTCTTCGCATTCCAACAGTGACGAACCCGTCATCGGATAAGAGTGTGTGGGCAATACGATCGAGGATGACTTTTTCCATCATTACTATGGGCGCACTCATCGGCAGCCCAATGGCGGGCGGTGTTTTCGAACACAGTGATGATAGAAACTGGACCAGTCTGATTATTTGGTGCAGAGCGATGTTCTTTGCTTCCACAGTGATTCTCACTACTGTACGTATTGCGGAGTTAGGTGACAACTTTTGTGACAATCTTTGTGACAAAAGACAAGTTGACTTGCTCTTGGCTACCAGAGAACTTGAGGGTGCTATTGTGATACGGGAACAGCTTTGAACCGGTTCATAGCTGCGTAACCGCGTGCCTGAACGCTGCTTTGCGACAATAGTCAGCCCTCGTCAGGTAGTCAAGCCCGTCCGCATAGTCACCGCTCACCCCCCGCTCTATTGTTGCACAGGACCGGCTGTCTTTAGTACAAATCAAGGCTTACGAGAGTGATTCACTTCCACTCAGTATCTCGCCTCATTTTACTTTGTTCTAACAGGGCTATCCTACTTGCCGGATGATTCCGAAATATCTTGATGGTGTAGGGTAATCGCGGGTTAGGCAGGCGGGCGGGGCATGGCTGTTGCGTCATGCAAGCGGGCCAGAAGGGTGCCTGGCGACACCATTAACTACGTGTGCTACGCCAAAATTAAGCAGCACAAGTGGTCAAGGTAAAGCTTACCCAATGTTGATGCGAATCTCGTCCTTTGCCTTGCTCAATGCCATCTCATTCTTGCATCTGCATTCAACCACCATTTTTCTTCCAAGTGGTCCTTTTGAGCGGTCAAATCATTGCCTCATCGTTTCGGTGAATTTCAGGCAACCTCTGCGACAACAAGCTAATGCCCACCCGCTGGAAACGGACCGCCCACCTTCGCCACACGAACCTCTGTGTTTCTTTCTTACGCAATTGACATTACCCGTGTAGCGTTGACGACACACCACACGGCCGACGGCGCGTAAAGAACTTTTCAAACATATTTAACGACTTAGCTGCACGACTTCCTGCACTTCAACTTCCACCGTAACCGATCTGCGAAATTCAACGGAACGGCACTGGCTTAGAAACTTAGGCACACACACTGTCGCTTCGGCCCCAGCAAACGTCTCGACGACAGACCCTTGCCCACCATCGAGGAAAAATCAAACAGAATCAGCGACGCATTTCTCGGAAGCAAAAGAAAAGCTCAGTATGGACGAGGAGGACATCAGCAACTTCGCCGGCATCACAGGCTCCAGCACCGATGTCGCTCGTGGGTTTCTCCAGATCGCCAGTGGCGATCTCGAGCGCGCCGTTGCCCTCTTCTTCGAGAACCCAGAGCTGGTATCTGGCATGACTGCTGGCCTGTCTGGCCCAAGCAGCAGTAGCAGAACCGCCGCCGCAGCGGCACCCACAGCTATATCATCATCGCGGTCTCGAGGGGGTATTTCGAGAGAGGACTCGAGTGGCGTTATCCACATCCCCAGCGACGACGAAGATATGGATGACATTTATGCGGATAGTGGCGCTGAAGAGATCCATAACGAGGACGACGACAGCGGCCACCACGCAGCGTTGCTGGCGGCCAACTACGCACAGGAGGACGAGGATGCTGCCATGGCCCGAAGACTGCAGGAAGAGCTCTATTCGCAGGGTGGCGGGGGAAACGAGGCAGAGGTACGCGCACCGATTGCGAGAACGACGGAGACCCTGGTTGCTCCTGAGTCTGCTTGGGGACCGGACGACGATGCAGATATTCTAGAGAGCCTTCGAAGTCGCCGACCGGCAAACAGTAAGAAAAAAATAATGATCCCTGCTTCGGAACTTGGTAGCTGACTATTGAGCAGGAGGACGTGGTGCTGGTGCGGGCGGCCCGTTTGCACAGCGCATATGGGGGGATGGCGCGTCGTCGGCGGGCACAACAAGCACAACAGCCAACGGCACCCACGCGCGACGACTTGAAGACCTCTTTCGCCCGCCATACGACCTCATGATGCGCATGTCATGGGACGAGGCGCGCACACTGGGCAAGGGCGACCAGAAATGGATACTGGTCAATCTGCAGGACATGACCGACTTTAATTGCCAGGCGCTCAACCGCGATATTTGGAAGGATAAATCCATCAAGGAGCTGGTTTCGGAGAATTTCATCTTTCTACAGTATGACAAAGACTACCCAGACGCGGAGGAGTATATTACGTTCTACTTTCCCAACCGCACACACGAGAACCCGGACAATTACCCGCACGTCTCGATCATCGATCCGCGCACGGGCGAGCAGGTCAAAGTCTGGTCTGGGCGGCCATTTCCCAAACCACTAGAGTTCCACGCCGAGCTGGCCGAGTTTTTGGACCGGTACAGCCTGGCAGCGAACAGCAAGAATCCCGTGGCCAAGCCTAGCGGGCCCAAGCCAGCCGTGGTGGATGTTGACCGCATGACGGAGGAAGAAATGCTAGAGATGGCGCTCAAGAACAGTCTTACGGGGACTGTGGCGGGCGGCAGCGGTAGCAGCGGTGGCAACTCGAGTTCGACGCCGAATATCCACGATCCGGATGCCTATACCAAGGGGGATGCGGGAAAGGACGTGGACGCGGAAGAGGTCGAAGAGGAAGACACAGCAGCGGGCGAAGCGGGATCAAGTGCGTTTGCGCAGATATCATCAACGAATCCACATAGCGAACCGGCCAACGACCCAGCGACGACGACGCGGATTCAGTTCAAGCATGCAGACGGGCGTGTCATTCGCCGGTTCAATGTGTCGGACCCGGTGCTGACGCTGTTTGAGTGGCTCAAGGCCGAACCTTTCGAGGGCAAGGAAGGCATGGTCTTTGAGCTGAAAAAGATGCCGCAGGGCCAGGACCTGATGGAGAATTTGGATGAAACTATTGAGGAAGCGGGCTTGAAGCAGGGGACGGTCATGATTGAGTTTATCGAAGACTAGGCCATCGCTCTGAACTGCGCCTGGACCAGGCCAAGATGATGCAAGGTGCACTGCCAGCACGAGCCGAATAGATTAGATGCGGATGGAGGAGAGGCACTCAAAATGGTGGCTTGCACAATGCCTGAACTTTGCTCATGATTGGTCAGCGAATAGAGATGGCTGCTTATTTTGGTTGATTGCGCAACTACTAGTCTCGAGGTCGTAGAATATATCCCGAAATGAATAAATGCATGACTATCAGAACGGCCTCAATTCACGTATACTTTATTTAAATGGTGGGAATAGTCGCAGAATAGGCATACTGAGAAGGCGAGACATGTGCCTCTGACAAGACCGTGCGCTGCCGGGGTTTGTAGATGAATCAAAGACAGCGAGGGAGAGAGATTGATCGCGGCAGAAACATGGGGATGATGAGAAACTGTCTTGCTGCTTTTTCCGTCCTTGTCTCGTGGGAAAAGAATGGGAATAGTTAACTGGCTGTCGTCTGCCGGGGCTCTTTGTTTGCGGGATGATGGTACGAAGCCGTCCGTGGGCGTTGCAGGGCGTTGCTGCTCTCAGGGCCAATCGAAGCCGCGAATAGGCTGTGAGACTCGACTGTTGTGGCGGGGCAGAGCTTTCCGTACCTGACCCAACGGCGGCGCGATGAGTTTGTTATCAATGTTTTAGGTAGGTATAGTTAGATCATTAACGTTATTGTGCGCCCAACCAGTCGCACAGAAACCATGGCAACAGTCATTTAATAATGGCATATAGTCAAACAGACGGTGGAAAAAAATGTTAAACAGAACCAGCAATTTGTTTCTTCCGCAATTGAGCCTGTAATTACCTACCTACAGCCCGCAGTGATGACAATGGTGCGACAGTGGATGCGGCGCTATAACGTGCCTAGATATTCTTAGCTCTGTCGCGTTGCCGTTGGATATGGGTACTTGCCTCCACTATGGCACCGCTGCAGCGGGCGCAGGTACCCAAATCACCCCGCCACTAATCTACCAGTAAGGTACTGGCCGCTGTAAACAGGACCACCAAAACCCCCACTCTCTTGCCTCGCCAACAGCTTCCGCTATGCGCTTTTGACTTTTGACCTCTGGTCCCTTTTATTTGTCCGGGTTTCCTTTTATGAATCTTGTCTCTGGAATCCTGCAACTGCAAACTCTGGCCATTTGCGGCCTCTCCCTTTTCACTTCTCCCCCTGCCGATTGTGTCGGGGCCCGTGAGCGCTGGTGCTGCGTGCCTTTGCTTGCATTTGTGGAGTGTCTGTTTTCGTCTTGTTTTCTTTGCAATCCGCCCTGCATGCCGTCTGGGCCTTGCATATTGCATCCTGCGTCTCTGAAGCCTCATTTCTTGAAGTCTGTCACCGCTCCAACTTTTCACCCGATTCCATTTTCCTCTGGCGACGTACAATTGCATAGTTTTGGAACAGGTCGGAATAGCATCGCATCGCGCAGCGGGAGCTTGCCCGCATCACCACAATGACAGAGCGCCACGATTCCGACGCCGCCAACGAGGCGCACCTCGACCCTCAGCTACTCTACTCCAAAGAATACTGCATTGGTGAGCAGACGCTGCCCCAGGACGCTCGTGCAGGGCCGACTTGCAAGCCCAGCGTGAACGATTGCTAACAGCTACAAGGTGGAGGCAGCTTTGGCAAGGTGTATAAAGGGTACGAATAATATTTACACAGCTAATATACGACGCTAACGATCACAGCGTCGACAAACGTACCGGTGAGGCCGTCGCCATCAAAGTCATCGATATTGAAAACGCCGAAGACGAGGTCGAAGACATAATTCAGGAAATTGCCATCCTCTCCGAGCTGCAATCTCCCTACGTCACAAAATACTATGGCTCCTATTCCAAGGGCGCCGAGCTTTGGATCGTCATGGAGTTTTGCGCTGGTGGCAGCTGTGCCGATCTGATGAAGCCCGGCCTCATCAGCGAAGACTATATTGCCATCATCACGCGCGAGCTGCTCATGGGACTCGAGTACTTACACGCCGACAAAAAATTGCATAGAGATATAAAGGGTAAGTGTGCGATTTTGCCCAGACCTCTCCGCCTGCTAACGTAGTTGTAGCTGCCAACGTCTTGCTGAGTGCCGCCGGTCAGGTCAAACTGGCGGATTTTGGCGTCTCTGGACAGCTGTCTGCCACCATGACCAAGAAGAATACATTTGTCGGCACCCCGTTCTGGATGGCGCCAGAAGTCATCAAGCAGTCGGGTTACGACCATAAGGCCGATATATGGTCATTGGGCATCACCGCCCTCGAGCTGGCAAACGGCGAGCCACCGTACGCCGACATTCACCCCATGAAGGTGCTATTCCTCATTCCCAAAAACCCTGCACCTCGTCTCGAGGGCAACTTCACAAAGGCTTTCAAAGACTTTGTCGAGCTATGTCTGCAACGCGACCCGAAGGACAGGCCCAGCGCCAAGGACTTGCTTCGACACCCTTTTATCAGAAGGGCAAAGAAGACGACGTACCTGACGGAGCTGATTGAGCGTCACAGCCGCTGGTCGGCGACGCACAAGGGTGAAGATGATGATCACTGGGACGCTGCCTCGGCAGGCGTACCCACCAGACGCGAGAGAGTAGATGAGGATATGTGGGATTTCGGCACTGTTCGACTCGTTGGCGACCGCGGGGGGCTCGTTATGCGACCGGGTCTCAATGACCTCAGTGACAAGGGGACAAATGCAAGAGCGGCGAGATCACCTGAAAATTCGGGTGACTACGGCGAAACGAGACGTGAACTGAGCCCGAGCAAGGCCCGTGACTTTGCTCTGGATGCCGGCGAGACCGTCAAGGCACCATCAAGACAGTCGAGCCCCCAGCGTAAGCCGGTGCCCCCAGTCTTGCAGTCACCTGCCAAGATCCCTTTACCGGCCAGCCCGATGAAGACGGCGAAGCAGTTTCTGCCAGAGACGCCGACCAAGTCAAAACCCTTGCCGCCCGTGGTGCAGAGCCAGTCTCCCGACTATGATCGGGAGCTGCAGACCCAGTTACAGCAAGATATGAGCGTGCTGAATCTAGAGTTTCCCAGCCACAACTCGCCATCATCAGCGATCAAGGCGCCCTTCATGGAGCAGCCGTTGCCGGCGGTACGACAACAAACGCCGAATTCAAGACCGACATCACGTATTGGACCTATACATCTGCAGGAAATCCCGCCTTTTCGAGGCAGTCCGTCGTCGCAAACACAATTCACATCGCCGCCACCGGCACCACCGCAAATCCGAACGCCAGCTACGTCCCAGTCGCCGGTGCCGGACTTTGCAACGCCTTCATCGTTTCCCTCTCCAGCGCCTGCTAATCCCAACGGCGAGCTGGACGCGCTCAACGATGTCATCTTCCCGGCGCTAGAAGAGGCTCTTAAGAGGCGCGAGGCCCGACTACAGCAGATGTTTGCCGTCGAGCAAGCAGTGACGGTTAAGCAACAGCGGGCGGAAGTTGCGCACGACAAACTGCGTAAGCTGGTATACAAGCTGGCGCACGTGTGCAAGGAAATTGACCACGTTGACAAGGCAGAGCCGGTTGGCATGGGTCGTGACGTAGGTAATTTCCTTGAGGGTTTGCTCGAGGAGATTTTGGTGCGCGTCGAGCCTCTAGATGAGGAAGAGCTGGCACAGTAGTGTGGTGCATGGTAATGTTGACGCATAAATGGCGTGGCAAGAAATGACGCTTTCACGACGGACATGAATGAGCTGTTATAGAGAGGACGGGGCATTATCTTTTGTTGTTTCCGGTTTAGGTTATTCGGCAGGCATATATAAGGTTTCCATGCATTTTTCAAAGGATAGCTTTGTACGAGACGAGGCGTATGAGGGTATAATTAGTCGACCTATGACAACGGTGGCTTGACAGGGAAGCCGTAGATAGGATAAATACGGTGAGAAGCGTCGCAATACAATTTGATCTGCTGTACTGGCCTGGGTGCATAATTGAGACTGTTGTCTGGTAAAGATGGCAGTATGCCAGCTCCATGAGCAGAGGCCGTACGCAGCAAGGGAGTGGGTATCCGAGTTTTGGGTCTTGACTATCGTAGTCGCGGTATGGTTAGGTGGGCATACTTATTTCGGTGCCATTCTCGTTTTGATATCTCATTTCTCTAGCAGAGACCATAAACATTCCTGTTGTACAATATTTGGATGAGGCGCCGCCTTTTCTGGGCGTTGTGTTGATGAAACGCCATCAACATGGATATCTGAGATTGTCGAGTAGATAATAATATAGCCGCCCCTGCAAAGATACGTCACAATGCCTTATCCCGCGCTACACCAAATAAGGAGCAAGTTGTCTCGCCAGAGCGGGTCACTTTTGTTGGCTGGCGCTCGGAAACACGTTCGCATTCCGGCCGCTGGTCCGAAGAAGAGAAAAATTTGGTGGTAGCTGCGCCACACCCCCCCAGCCAAACCGACACAAACCCGTGGCTGGACTGTGGCTTGCGCGTAACCTTATCAAGACACCGCTGTAGCTTGGGCCGTCTCTAGGGAAGGCTCGGGGCTATTCTGGGGCATGTTTTAACGTTACTGCAGGCCTGTTTGGAGAGACGCCATACCGGTACCTAGGCAGCCGGCCAGCTAGAGGGGAAAAATTAAGTCGACGGGCTAGAATGCCTCCTCCAAACCAACCTGCTTTTTTCCCACTTCTTTAAACACCTCGTCTCTCTCCAAGCCATCGTTGTATTTCCCTATACCTCTCCGCTCCGGATTCCTCGTCTTTGCTAGCCAAAGGGGGTCTTTTGCATCGGCTGTCTTTTCTCCTCCCGTCTTTTCATTTTACGACAAACCTCATACACGATGATGTCGCGAAGCTCCCTCCGTTCGGCTCAGGTACGTCACCGTCATGTTTCCTTTTTTGCATTCTCTTACTACGCAACACGAATGTCGCCGGATGATGGGAACTGAAGTCGCATCTTATGCGCTTCATAGTGAGGAAATAAGCATTTGGGACCCGATTGCAGTTATCGCCAGTCTCGACCTCGCGGCTGGCTGCGGACTAGCTGGCCTCAAGTTTTTGCTTGTCAAGCTATCCAGCAACAAACGCTGCAGCAATACCCACAAGAACACCCATAATGCCCAATTGATCAGTTCCTTCATCTCCCATATCTCGCGTGTTCTGGAATGCCGCATCTCAAACCTCACCCGCTAACCTCCGCAGGCCCTCCGCGCCGCCACTCCCCAGCCCCGGCTCTCCCGAACCATGGCCACGATCCAGTCCGATCTCTTCAAGCCCGCCAAGTACGGCGGCAAGTACACAGTCACGCTGATCCCCGGTGACGGTATCGGCGCCGAGGTCGCCGAGTCGGTCAAGACGCTCTTCAAGGCCGACAACGTCCCCATTGAGTGGGAGCAGGTCGAGGTCACTGGTATCGAGCAGGGCGGCGGCCGCACCGAGGCGGCCTTTCGCGTGTCGGTCGAGTCGCTCAAGCGCAACAAGCTCGGCCTCAAGGGCATCCTACATACCCCCGTCTCGCGCTCCGGTCACCAGTCTTTCAACGTGGCCCTCCGCCAGGAGCTCGACATTTACGCCTCCATCTCCCTCATCAAGAACATTCCCGGATACGAGACGCGCCACAAGGACGTCGACCTGTGCATCATCCGTGAGAACACCGAGGGCGAGTACTCGGGTCTCGAGCACCAGTCCGTCCCCGGCGTTGTCGAGTCGCTCAAGATCATCACCCGCGCCAAGTCGGAGCGCATCGCCCGCTTCGCCTTTTCCTTTGCTCTCGCCAACGGCCGCTCCAAAGTCACCTGCATCCACAAGGCTAACATTATGAAACTCGCCGACGGCCTCTTCCGTAGCACCTTTCACAACGTCGCCAAGGAGTACCCCACCCTCGAGGTCAACGACATGATTGTCGACAACGCCTCTATGCAGGCTGTCTCCCGCCCCCAGCAGTTTGACGTCATGGTCATGCCCAACTTGTACGGCGGCATTCTCTCCAACATTGGTGCTGCGCTCGTCGGTGGCCCCGGCATCGTCCCTGGCTGCAACATGGGCCGTGAGGTCGCCGTTTTCGAGCCCGGCTGCCGTCACGTCGGTCTCGACATCAAGGGCAAGGACCAGGCCAACCCCACCGCCATGATCCTGTCCGGCAGCATGCTCCTGCGCCACCTCGGCCTCGACGACCACGCCAACCGCATCTCCAAAGCCATCTACGCCGTCATCGCCGAGGGCAAGGTTCGCACCCGCGATATGGGCGGTGTTTCCACGACGCACGAGTTTACCCGCGCCATCCTCGACAAGATGGAGACTAGCTAAAAGAGTGACGACAAGAGGACTAGACGATGGCACTTGTTGAACATTTTTCGGAAAGAAGAAAAGAACTACTTTCCTTTGTTTGAATACATTAACCTAGAATGGCGGATACGCGATGCTAGATACCACGGCGGAAAGCAGGCAGGCGCCATGGGATGCTGGGGGACGACAATGAAGAGAAGAATAGATGGATGGAGATGAGAGGAGAGGAGAGGAAAGGACAGCTTTTTTATTACATGTACATGACTGCATTTGTGGAATTACACGGCAGCGATAGCAGCTGAATGTATAGAATTGTCAAGCTGTGGGACCATTGTGATGTCAAAAATTTCTGGCCCTGCGTCAAAAATTAACGCTGGCTGCCTTTGGAGCTTTTCCTTTTGATAGAGAGCAATTTAGACGAAGCGGACGAATCGGACGAATCGGACGAATCGAACGAGTCTCACGGGTTAGACCAAGGAAGTCTGCGCCTCGTCATGCTGTCTCAGTCTTGGCTGAAGTTGACAATTCCAAATCCCGCCGCACAAACTTCTCGAAGAACGGTGAAACGACCAATCTTGGCCCATGATCGACCTCGGAAAAAACGGAGATGTCGCGATCCGGGCCTAGCTATCTGCGCCCTTGGTGATTTTCGTAGGTGGCATCTGCTCCATGATCCAGTAGCTTTGCTCAATTGGCGCAGTGCCGTTCCCCAACACCCCGCTCCTTTGCCGTGCTGCAACCAGCCAACTTGACCCAGCGGAGGTAGTAAACCCCGCAGGGACACTAGCAAGACTTTGGCTTGGGTTTCTCCGGTAATCAATCCATTAGGTCATGCAACGAATTCCAAATTCCCAAGCCCGTTCTTTTGTAAGAGGGGAAGAAGCAAGTGGAGGGTCGCGAGCTTGGAGGTCTTTATATAGAGTTGCGATGCCGCCCCCCGGAGTACACCTTGATGGTTTTGTTTCTCCCACACGAATCCACACGTAATCGACGAATCGGGCAATACGACTGGTCTATCTTTAATTACGGCTATTTTTTTTTTTTAAAAAGGATAACAGACATCATGGCGACCAAGGGTAGCTGCATGTGTGGCCAGACGGCTTTTCAGTTCACTGGTGAGTAGGGCGACGGGCCATCGGGCGGGGTCGACGATTTGTACTGATTGATGATGATTTAGGACCTGTTGAGGTGACTGCTCTCTGCCACTGCACCGATTGCCAAAAGGTATTTTACTAAGCACTTTGTATCACTGACTGCATTTATGCAACAAGTACTAATCCTTTTTTTTTTTTCCTTTTTGGAAGTGGTCTGGCAGTGCCTATACCTCCAACCTCGTCACTCCTCGCGACGGTTTTAGCGTCACCAAGGGTACGTACATGACTTTTTTTTCCTTTTGCTTTCTTCCTGCCAATCTTTCCTGAAGTCGTTGGCAAGAAAAAAAAGGAAAAAAAACCCCCCCCCCCAAAATATTAAAAAAAAAAAAAAGAAGAAGAAGAAGTCTGACAGAAAAACTTAGGTACACCAAAATCATACGACGTCACCGGCGACTCGGGCAAGATCAACAAGCACTTCTTCTGCGGCACCTGCGGCTCCTCGCTCTACACGGAGCTCGAGGTCATGCCCACGTCCGTCTGCGTCAAGGCCGGCGCGCTCGACGGCGGCAAGGCCGCGCTCGACAACAAGATTGGCGTCGAGTTTTACACCAAGGATCGCGTCGGGTACCTGCATAGCCTGGCCGATGCCAAGCAGGTTGAGGCCTTTGGCAACTAAAGTTGGGCTTTGGCGCAGAGCCGTCGCGTGTGTGTACCTGGTTTGGAAACGAGGAATAAGAATGTTCTTGGGGCAAATTAGCTTTTAGTATAGTCTGTTTCACCACAATTCCAATTCACATAATTAGGCAATGATATTTGCTCGCCAAGTGCCTTTTGGTGTAAATCGTTTTTTGTCGGGCTGCTCTGCCGTTTTACTCACCCTGCCTAAAAGTATCTCGAAATAGAAGAAGAAGTCGACGTTGCATCCTTTGAAGGACTGCGCCTCTCGTAACAGCACGTGCGAGATCCAAACTACTTTTGGCTCTAAAGGCTTCACCAAATATCAACTGTAAATTCTACTTTTTATTGCCGTCTATCCACTTTTTTATACGTTATCGCAAATAAGTACCTGGCAGCTGCATCGACACTTACACCAGGGCTGTTCGTCTAATGTTGTTAAAACGTCACAACGTTCACAACGTTCGTCATCTGCATTATGCTCCCCAATACCCAACGACCGTCGCAAAACTTTTTTTCAATCAAGTTCCCCAATCGTCATGATAAAATTTGCTTTGCCGCAACTTTCAGTTGCTAGCCATACACGATACTAGGTTGATCTAATCAGCCACTTCTTGACCACCGCTTTCGCTTCGTCAACGAGGCCGAGCTCTAATTTATTGTTAGCCAAAAGCAAAAGTATATGATTTGCCGCATAACATACCTAGAAGCAGCTGCACTGCGCCACGGATACCCGAGTCCAAAGCGCTCGAGATCCATCCATGCGTGTAAGACGTGTGTTCGCCAATAAAGATGAGCTAGCACACCTGTTAGCGAGAAATCCAGCTCCTCTCGAGGGATTTTATTGCTGATACTCACGTTCTTGTGAACCTTAAAGTACTCTGGAATGTACAACTCGTGCTGTCCAGCCGAGGGGTTTGCCCAGGCACCCGCGGTGAGAGGATCCAGACTCCAACATTTTCGGGCAAACTTTCCAGTGTACAGATCCCGCGTGTGCTCGCCGTGAATCTCCGTCATGGCGTCCAGCACATACTGCACGTGCTCCTCGTCCGACATGGTAATCATTCTGCTCATGTCATGGTTGTACGACTCTCGAATGTACGATGCCAAAAGGCTTGCTGGGCCGGTACCATTCATGTTGTACGAGGGATAGCAGACGAGGGTGACGCCGGGGATGTCGGTCTGCGTGCTGCATCCGCCGTGGATCGGGTTCTCGTACTTTTCCCAGAACCGCTCCGAGTACTCCAGCGCCACTTTGCACGACGTGTCGTAGACGAGGTTCTTGATGGCGTTGGCCATGGTCATGTCGATTTCGGGCAGTCGCCATTGGCGAACGACTGTGAATGGGGCAGAGATGACGGCGTAGTCAAAGGTCGAGTTCTGAAACTCGCGATCCTTGAAGCTATGCTTCCACTGAAGCGTCACTTTCTCGTCCGAGTACTTGATCCGCTCCACTTTGATACCCATCCGAGTGTCGTCTTTGACAAGAGGACCAAAGGATAGTGGTAGACGACTGACTCCTCCGTCAATGGTCCTGAAGATGCTGGCGCTTTCATACATGCCATCGTACACCTTTTCCCAGAAGCTGCCCCGGGGGTCCAGCTGGTTGTCCAAAATGTCCGTGGTGTTGAGGCTGCCTTTGAGGAACTGCGAAATGTAAGAGAATACCGACCACCGATCTCCTGCCTGGCCGCCAAACCCATTGTCGTTCCATTTACGGTGTGCTTGATACACATTCTTGACCATGTCACTCATGAAGGCGTCGTCAGGCAGATTGGCCTTGAGCTTATCGCTTGCTGCCTGTGCATCGGCGTCCAAGACTAAAGGCACACCCAACGAAGCGTTCTCGGAGATTTGCTTCAGGGTCGGAGGCAGCCCACTAGCTGTGCGAATGCCGCGAAAGTATTGAAGTCCATTCTCATTATGGTCAACCCACGGAATGAGGTCCACCCGGAGGTTGGGATCTCCTTTGTTGAGCTTGTTCATCTCCTCAATCAGGAAGAACACCAGTTGTGTATCAGAGATGTTGTGTCTTTTTCCATTCTTGTCGATATAGTCAACCGGGAGGCGCATCGCTCCCATCTCCTGATAAGAATAGTCAAAGGGACCCCCAGAGAGGTAGCTTGTATGCAGGCGACCACCCAAGCGGTCGTCAGCTTCAAGAATGGTCAAATTCTTGAATCCTGCCTCGTGCAATGCTAGGTATGTCATCAAACCCGATATTCCAGCTCCAACAATACCGATATTCTTATTCTTGGCAGCCTCGATCGCAGTGATACTGGGCTGCTTCTGCGACAGCGCCTCGACGCCCGCATACCAGACCCCAAGAGGGTCAAAGCCATTGGTCTCAGTCATGGAAATAGACTCTGTTCTATGTCAAACTATGATTCAAGGAAAAAAGGATTTTGAAGTCGACACAAGGCTTACCAGATGAGCCATGGCCGACAGTCTGATTTCTCTTGTCTTGGGGGATCGCTCCACCAACACATAGTGTAATGAGAGAGTTGAGCCAAATCAATCGGCGCGACATCGCTGCAGCTGTTTGACGCATGTTCTAAAGCCGCAAAGATGCGTCTTTGAACTCGTAGAGTTTTCCTTTGAAACTGCAAACGTTGGACTCTTGCTCTTGGCTTCATGGCAGTAGCGGGATATTATATACACATATATATATATGCGGTTTTCCAAGGTCAATTCGCAATCAGCCCCATCGGCACTAATACTGGGCTTCACGATAGCTGCGAATTTTTTCTCCCGCGGAATTTAATGACACTTGCATCTCACCTGCCTAACACGACAACTGGTAGGGCGGATTCTCTGCCATTGCGGGATCGCGTCTGACTCGTAATGTAGCATCGTATGCAGTTATGGTGCAACCCGATGTGAAAGACAGCCTTGTTTCTCTCCACACGTTGCATGTTAACATCGGTTCCTACTTCTTGTTCAATGGGTCCCGTAGTCATGTCCAAAATTACTCCCAAGCCAAACTAGCTTCATCGCTTACCCAGGAAGACCGCGTACCGAGCTGCCACTCAACCTGAAACAACCACACTCGAGCCGACTTTCAACTTGGTAAGCCGATCTGACTCGGAGATGGAAGGCTCTCCGTACGATCTGAAAAAGAAAAAATCGTGGGCAATCTTTAAAATATGAGCTATTTGATGTCCTGTGTTGCTGGTGGAGCGAGGAGCGGCTATCTGGAGTTGGGCGGGCCAGTGGAGGCAGGCTTGATTGCTATTGCCCGTCCGTTCCGTCCTCCGTCCCGTCCTCAATTCAAATTGATGGGGCGAAATATATGCTAAACGGGGCCGCAAAAGCGGTGACAATGAGGGATGGCCGCCGCAGTAGCCGGGCCGCAAAACCGGGGGGCGCAAGTGAAAAGGGCAAAATAGACGAGATGCGGAATGAAGATGAAGGAGAGAAATGGAAGCCGAGAAATGGCCGAAAGTGGAGGAACTAGTTAGACGGAAGAAGGTAAAATACGAAAGCATACATGATCCGGTGACCACCACGTACTGATGAAGCCGTGATTCGTTCTCGACAGACTGTTGATAACTCATTCGTTAGCAATTGCAAAGGAGAGCTGCGTTTCTTTGGGCACCAGTTTATCTTGTACTCACATGAGAATGTTCCAAGTTTGACTGGACAGTGAAGGAAGGTTCTAAATAAAGAGGTTCTTGGCTGGCCATCAATTTCGATCGATGCGTCTTTTCGGAAACAAACATGGTGTCTGTACTTGGATCTTGCGCCTCGCTATGTGCCACGCGCTCATCACCCTTTGTACGTAAAATTGAAAACAATGATAACTTTCTCCTTTTCTGCAGTATTTAATATAATTACTTAATTATTTACTTTGGCTGTGTGGCCAGGGCCTAGCCTAGCTCAAGACTAATTAGGTGATCAAAGAGGCCACTCCCATCTTAAATAGAGATTGCGCTACATCTTGCGTTTTAACCCTAATTCCCTGCGGGCGCTAAAACTATGCAAGGCTTCCTGGTACGTACCTTGAGGAGTCTGCGTGGCACCTTGGTGGCTGACCTTTTACTGTGTAAACCGTCCGCCGAGAACAGCCAATTAGTACAGATGTCTGCGGCACGTCGAGTCAGTGCGGATTCTGGGCTCCGTCAAATCAGTGTACATGTCTTTCGAGTACTGATTCAGGGGCGGAACATTACCAACCCAGCCCACCTAGCTTTCTGTCGCCCTATCATCAGTGAAAGATGCGATCCCTTCTCCGCAGTTCATCTCACGCCATGTTATTCCAAAAATACCGCCAACTAATATACCCCCTTTCGTCACCGATAGCAGCACCATCCACTTGATTGTAAACGCAGTCCGCGCACGCGCTCCGTTGCCTCTAGCCTCGTCACGGCACGGCGGTATCGCAATCGCGGACCGAGCGGGCGGATTGCTTGTAGAAGTCATGGCCGCAACTAGCTAGCCAAGGCGGCGGTCAACGGCGACTCAAGATCCCGGTATCCCAATGGGGCTTTGACTGCAGCAGCAGGAGGTACTCGACAATCTCAAAAGCCTCTTAGTAAAGCGGGGGTGGGGGGTTGAATTTCGAAACCCTATCATCTTGGTGTGAAGTTGGTGTGAGCCTGGGGTTCGTACGTTCTCATACGTATTTTTCCACTCTCAGTCTCCTTCACCGCGCTCGCAGGTGTGCTATCGAAGCTGCGTGCAATCATTTTCAACGGCACAGGTCCTTGACGTTGGGCAAGCGAGATTGATACACTATGCGAACCAGCGACTCAGAAGCCTTCAGGGGTTTTCGCTTCCTTGTATATCCTCGGACCTCACCGTCCGACTCCAATCGGAATAATGTCATTCGATGCGGACGACGCCGAAATCATCCGTAATGGACGGACTGACGAGATCGTCTCGATTTGCCTTGGTATGTATTTGGCTGGCCCAGTCACTCAATGCCCAAGTAATAATAGCTAGTGAGGTGCTTGCTGCGAAGCCCGGGTGCTCCATGACGAGGACGGACGGCAAATTTCAAACAATTTCATCTGCTTCATTCCACATAGCTACTTTTGCCTCAACTGGCCAATCAAAGTTCAAGGTGCCAGGTGCACCGAGCACGAACATCGTAAATTTCTCTAGAATCAGCGTCTAGCAGCTCCGGAGCCTCAAAAGTCATATACCCACGTTGGCGTACCTTGCATCTGCATGCTACCCAGAGATGCTGGACACCATGCTTTTTTGCGGGCCTGTCGCCGTTTCCCAGCGCAGTCTTTGGCTGATCTAGGGCTGACTGGATCCTCGTCGCAATTCCCAAGATTCGTCTCGTCGGTGGTGACGAGACCTTGGACGAGGTCATCGACAAGTGCAACCCCCCCCCCCCCCAAAAAGTATGGTCGAGACCTGAGTCACGGCTTTGATCAGGCTCTGACCTTGGATACTGCTTTGAGTAACAATCTCAAGCCGAGTGCATTCGAGAGCCCAGTTCATCCGGGCCGCCGAGTGACCCTCATCGCCGAACGGGAGCCGGAGACAACGGTGCAAAGGCTCTCGCCACCGAGACTAAACTTTTAGTAAATCCGGATGAGCTTCCGTGAAAATTTGACAACGTTCTATATCGGCTTTAGGAGATTTTATATTTTATTTTGCGTTATTTAGCCGCTTCGCGACGGATATAATCGCGCAGGCAAGTGATGCCGAAAATGGCGAAGGATTTCGGGAGTGGGGCCGATCGTGTCGGAGGCGAAGCTCAGACAGAGAGTAGGCAAGTCCAAGTGACAGTCATAGTCATACCATAACTAGCTGAGTATAAGAATGCAGGATGTACGGACTTGTGATTTCCTCCATAATTGACCAACACGAACGACAGTCTCATTACACAAGTCTCATACAAGAAAGACTAGCACCACCCTTGCGTCTACACTGCAACAACCATTCTAAACAATCTACAACACCATGTCTAACATCAAGACCATCAGCATACCCAACATTGCCTGGGAGACTGCTGCGGACATTTACTTTCCCCCGGGCTTTGTCGAGTCCAAAAAGTATCCCCTCGTTCTGTCTGGACACCCCATCGGAGCGTGCAAGGAGCAGACTTCTGGAAATGTGTACGGCAAGGCCATGGCCGAGGCCGGCTTTGTCGTCATCGCCTTTGACGCCTCTTTTCAGGGTGCATCTGGCGGACAGCCGCGCTTCGTCGAAAACCCCGAGTTTCGGGTCGCCGACTTCCGTGTTGTCGTCGACTATGCCCAGACTTTGCCGTACGTCGACTCTGAGCGCATCGGGGTGCTGGGCATCTGTGGTGGCGGCGGCTACGCACTCAACGCCGGCATGACCGACTACCGCCTCAAGTGCTCGGTCGGCATCACCCCCGTCAACTTTGGGCGTCTGACCCGGGAGGCTTTTGCCCAGTTTAACCCCGTGGGCGCCTTGGAGGCTATTGCTAAGCAGCGCACAGCTGAGGCGCAGGGCGCGGAGCGCAACATTTCGCAGTACCTGCCACCTACCGTTGACGAGGCAAAGAAGATTACGACTGATCCTGACGTGGTCGAGGCGACTGAATACTACATGACGGAGCGCGGACGCGCTCCCAACGGCCGCGCGAGCGGGCTTCTCTCGTACAATAGCTCGGCGCTGGCATGGGATGCCTTTAACCACGCCGAGGTGCTCATGACCCGGCCGTTCATGGTGGTGGTGGGTGACATTCCCGGTAGCTTTGGCGCTTATCGCGATGCATTGGAGGTACATGGACGCGCAGGATCCAAGGAGAAAGAGTTGGTGGTGCTGCCGGGGGTATCGCATTACAGCCTGTATGACAAGCCTGAATCAGTCAAGCCGGCGTTGGAACATGTGCTTCCATTTTTGAAGAAGCACCTCGGCGAGGCCGCTTGAGTGGAGGCGGAAGCTGACATTCTCGAGTCTCGAAATGGAGTGGCGTTTCATGAGTCTGTCATATATATTCTCAATCAGACTTTGACAGTAGGAACCGCGAGTATAGTGATGTTGCGGCACGCAATGGCTTAGTCTCAAGCACAAGGCAGGGAGCGAAGTCGCGTCAAATTAGCTACCGGTTTAATATATCAAACACTTTCAATGACTCAAAATCGTAAATGGATCGTAACTGTTTATTTTCAGCTTCAAGCCACTTTGATGACCGACCTGACTTTGTATGGTGACTGCTGACTTGTTATGTTAGTATGGTAACGGTAAACAGTCATCAAACCCTGCGATAACGGCCTGCCAGGGTGTCGCGGGGTTCGCGGGGTAGACGGCCGAGGGGTAAAACAGTGGCAATGAGCGACAAACGCCAGCACACAATCAGAATCTGAACTAAAGCAGCTTCTCCCGCAACGATACTTACTAGACCAACTTCATCACTGGCTTTCCCCGGAGCGACAGACTTTGTAGGGTTGACAGAGGGCCCCACCCATTCAAGGAGGGGAGAGTCAGGCAGCGTTTGGCGGTTGGTGGGGTTCTCTTGGTGCACCAAAGACACGGGTGGGATATTTTTCTGTGCTGCTATTTTCTGTGACTCAAATCTACCCCTCGTGCCGTGCCGCAAAATTCATAAAAACTCGCAACCGACCCCAGCGAGTTCGATTGTTTCCCCAGACGCAATCCGCACGAGACACACACCGACATTGATACCCATTTACCCCCCAGCCATGGCCGATAACCAAGCCCCCGCCGCCGAGGCGCCCGTCGACGCCGCTGCCGCCGCTGTTGCCAAGATGCACCTTGACGAGGTCACGGGCGAGATGATTTCCAAGACGGAGCTCAAGAAGCGCCAAAAGGCCCGTGAGCGTGAGGCCGCCAAGAAGGAAAAGGCTGAGAAGTCGGGCGCGCCCGCTCCTGCCGGCAAGAAGGCCGCTGGTAGCTCAGAGGCCGCGGAGAAGGATCTGACTCCCAACCAGGTAGGCGACCAGATTGCCCTCGACCAAATACTGAATTGAATGCTGACGACTTTTAGTATTTTGAAATTCGTTCGCGAACCGTCAACGAGCTCCACGAGCAGGGCAAGGCCTACCCCTACAAGGTTTGACCACCAATGATAGAAACGGTCACTGTGGCTGCTAACCGCCCCCCACAGTTCGAAGTTACCTACGACATTCGCAACTTTGAAAAGGAATTCTCCCACTTGAAGAACGGTGAGATCGACAAGACCAAGCCTCTCAGCCTCGCCGGCAGAATATACGTTCGCCGCGCCGCCGGCAGCAAGCTCTTCTTCTACGACCTTCGCTCCAACGTACGTACAAACGCGCGCGACACAACGTGACAGCAAACTAAGTCTATGCAGGGCACCAGACTCCAGGTCCTCGCCCAAGCCGACCATCTTGGCGAAGGCGTCCCCAGCTTTGAGGAGCAGCACATCAATATCCGCCGTGGCGACATTGTCGGCATCCGCGGTTACCCTACCCGCACCAACCCCAAGACTAAGCAGGGCCAGGGCGAGTTCTCCGGCGAGCTGTCCATTGCCGCCAGCGAGCTTATTCTCCTGTCTCCCTGTCTGCACCAGGTGAGTCGCATTGACTTCCGCAGCCCCAGGCACAACTGACCCGTCAGATTCCCGATGACCACTATGGCTTCAAGAACCCCGAGCAGCGTTTCCGCCAGCGATACCTCGATCTCATGATGAACGACAAGGCCCGCGACGTTCTCATCACCCGCGCCAAGGTCGACACCTACATCCGCCGATGGTTCGACGACCGCGACTTTGTCTCGGTTCAGACACCCATGCTCAACACTATCGCTGGCGGCGCTACCGCCAAGCCGTTCATCACTCACCACAACGACCTCAACATGGACATGTTCCTGCGCATCGCTCCCGAACTGTACCTCAAGATGCTCGTAGTCGGTGGTCTGGATCGCGTGTATGAAATGGGCCGTCAATTCCGTAACGAGAGCATGGATCTCACTCACAACCCTGGTTCGTTGAACAATGCAGTTTGACCGAACCATTGACTAATCTGCATAGAATTCACCACTCTCGAGTTCTACATGGCCTACGCCGATGTCTATGACCTCATGAAGATGACCGAGGAGCTGGTCTCCGGCCTCGTCAAGCACGTCCACGGCTCCTACATCACCAAGTACCACAACTCCAAGGGCGAGGAGCTCGAGATCAACTGGGAGGGCCCCTGGCGCAAGATTGACATGATTCCCGCTCTCGAAGAAATCACTGGCGAAAAGTTCCCCACTGGCGATGTTCTCCACACGGCCGAGACGGGCGAGTTCCTCAAGAAGGTCCTGGCCAAGACTGGCGTCGAGTGCAATCCTCCTCTGACCAATGCCCGTATGCTTGATGCTCTTGTCGGCGAGTATCTCGAGTCTCAATGCGTAAGCACAGTTCTGCAGAATCTGCTTTCGAATATTTGATGCTGATCCCTCCACAGATTAGCCCCACGTTCATCTTTGGCCACCCCAAGATGATGTCTCCTCTGGCCAAGAGCCATCGCTCCATCCCTGGTCTCTGCGAGCGCTTCGAGTGCTTCGTCGGCACCAAGGAAATCTGCAACGCGTAAGCCGTCATGTATCCGCCTTTCTTTTCCCTTGGATATGCTAACCTTATAAGCTACACCGAATTAAACGTTGCCACCGAGCAGCGCCTCCGTTTCGAGGAGCAGGCCAACCAAAAGGCCCAGGGTGACGATGAGGCGCAGGCCATTGACGAGACCTTTTGCAGGTCTCTCGAGTACGGTCTGCCTCCCACTGGTGGTTGGGGCATGGGCATCGACCGCATGATGATGTTTTTGACCGACAACCACAGCATTAGAGAGGTGCTTGCTTTCCCCACCATGAAGCCCGAGTAGACGGATAAAGGAGTAGATATGATTTTACGTATGATGAGGGCAATAGCCAATATAAGGTAGCGACCCCATGACCGATTCCCAGTATCATGGGCTATTAAAGTGCCATAGTGTTGCTTTTTGTTAGGAAGAAATAAATCTGGATATGTAGAATACGCCAAACGCCGTGCCAGTTCATGCCTCTGTTCGTCATCATTGCCCCCCCGCGTAATCAAAACGCAATGCGGCGCTTGCGGCCCGTGTATCTGGACGTGGCCTTTACAATCTTCCCCTTGCGCTCCATCTGCTCCTTTTTCTTGACAATCCACGCCTTGCTTCCCTTTTTCATCTCGCCCTTTTTATTCACCGCCGCAAACTTTCTCCGCGCATCCTCAACGTCGACATTATCCATACCCTCCACTACGCCAGTAATATCCCCCGCGCCGCCGCCCGCCGCGCCCACCGTCAGCACCAGATACAGCTTGACATTCTTGGTGCCGGGGTCGTCCTCGAGCAAGCCCGCGCCGAAGCCGGCTTTGACGGCCGCCTGGGTAATCATGTTGCGCTGGGTTTCGTTTTTCGGGTAAAACTGGCAGACGGCGCGACCGCCGCGGCGCAGCGACGCGTACAGCCCGTTGAAGAAGCGCGTGAGGCGGCCCGCGGGGGACGTGTCGCTCGTCTCGGCGCTGCAGAGCCACTGCACGGCCGAGATGCTAATGGCGGCGTCAAAGGCGCCGGCGCGAAAGGGCACGCCCTGGCCGATATCTGCGAGCACGAGGTCGCCCTCGACGTCGCGCTGCAGCGCGACGTCGAGCATCGAGGGGCTCAGGTCCATGCCGATCCAGGTGTGCGGGCCGCCGTCCTCGGGCGCGACGGCGGACAGGATCTCGCCGGAGAGGCCGCTGCCGCAGCCGACGTCGAGGATGAGCGAGGGCCCCTGCAGGTCCAGCAGCTCCAGGGCGCGCCGCGTCATCGAGGCCTGAATGTTTTGGATGCGCGAGGACGTCGTGTATTTGCGAGCTTCGACATCGTCGTAGTGGACGTCGGCCGCGCTGAAGGGGGAAAAGAGTTTTAGTTTTGCTGATGGTTGGCTGGAGGGAGGGGTTAAGGGGGTGACTCACAGGGTATCCTCGGGACGAGACATTTTTGACCGGTCACTGCACTCTGCCAGGTATAATATCGGATCTTTAACGACCGTTTTGAGCGCTTTTGTAGAATTTCGAAAGGATATCGTCGTCGAGATGGGGTTCTACAGCTTCATGTCGGTGTCGCTACTATGGCCCCCCCGCTAAACTTTTTTTTGCGTGGGTGGGTGGTTCGCTTATCGATAAAGCACCCGTTGCGATTTCTGGTGGCGTGTCTTCAATTGCATCTTCTGCCCTCGCCATCCCTGAATTCCTCGAGCTACGCTTTTTGCCTCCTCCAATTCGCGACCCTTTTCTCGATTCGCAAGAAGAATCTTCAAAGCAAAATTGCATGCTCGTCTTCTACTCAGGCTATGCCATACACTCGTTGAACCAGAATTCTTTCCTTCATTCACTGGTCATCATAGTCGCATAATCTGTTCTATTGGAACATTCCCTCCTACTTTCCAGTTTCAACCATGTGGATTCTTCCTCTAATCGGCTACGCGGGCGCCATTGTCGGCTTCGGCTTCCTCACGCTCGCCATCGCGTCGGGACTGTACTACCTCTCCGAGCTCGTCGAGGAGCACACCGTCATCGCCAAGCGCCTCCTCACGCGCATCATCTACACCATTGTCGGCGTCCAGATCACGCTGTGGATCGTGGATGGATTTCCTTTCTGGGCGACGCTGCTAGGCGTCGTCTCGCATGTCGTCTACCTCGGCAACATGCGCCGCTTCCCATTCGTGAAGCTGTCTGATCCTTTATTCATCCTGTCATGTGGTACGAAATGCGTCTACTCTTCCGTGTTGCGCGTCGCATCGTGTTCTAACCCTCCACCAGTCCTCGTCCTCGTCGACCACTACGTCTGGTTCCGCCATTTTTCCGACACGCAAGCCGCCTCATACCACCGCGCCTCGTACTACGACGACGTCGAGGTCCCCAGCTTCACCATGATTGCCTCTTATTTTGGCCTCTGCGTCTGGCTCGTCCCCTTTGCGCTCTTTGTCAGCCTCTCCGCCGGTGACAACGTCCTCCCGACCATGGGCACCGAGCCCGCGCACGACGGCAGCGGCGGCGGTTTTGCTGGCGCCAAGGCGAACAAGCCCCAGGGCATGGTCAAGGCCGTGGTGGACTGGGTGCGCGACACGATCGGCGAGCTAGCGGGCACGCGCAAGGAAAGCAGATTTTAGGCGGGAGCTGCAACTGCGATGGCAAGACGGGCGACAGAATCATGCGCAGTAGGCCGCTGGCTGCTATAAACCTTGTACCAAATAACCGCGCAGGACGCACATATAATAACGATAATGAAAATATACGAAGATATTCAGTTATCCTGTCACGCGAGACCTTGTCGTCTGCCTAAGCATAGGCCGCATGGCGATCTGCAGATCAGGTCCGTAGGACCGATGTCGATTTTCGTCCTCGAGCCAGCTTTGTTTCAAGTCTTTGCCAACTGTGATTAGGGGAAACTAGCATTCAGCTACATGCTACATTCATCAGCGGATCATCCGCAGTTCACGATGCAGGGCCAATATGGACCAGGATACGCCGGCTCGGACTCGACAACTCCACAGAGCAGCCAGAGTCCGAGATCCGACCCACCCCACCCGGCCGTTGCGCAACCGGACACGGGCGACATTAACACAGCCGCCGGGGGTCGAGAAATGGGCGAAAGGGATGTTCGAACCCTCTGAAACTTGTATCAATTCTACGGGGAGGTGTATATCACAAAATCTTCTTTGAGGTTGGCGTGACAATGAATGCGTGGCAGCCGCGTCAGCCCCTCGGCAAACGCCCGAGTTGCCAGCGCCTTGTCTGCGATAACTTTGCTGCCGACGGCGTCAAATAGCTGACATGCAAATGAGCTAGATATTCAAAGGCCTTTTTTAAGCCAGTCCGATGCAATCTGGGGCTTAGGTCGGACTTTTGCACCGCCACTGGATGCACCGCGCGACCAAGCTCGAAAAGGTCGGTTTAGCTGGCCGTCGTGATACTCCAAGAAGACAAATCTATATAGTCCCATGCTATGCCGGCGCAAATCACTGTGATATGCAAGCAACAAGATTCATGTCTACAACTGTGAATCCATACAGGCATGTCCGGTCGCTGCACTATGGTTTCGACGATCGCCTTTGTCGCACTCACCAATGGCATGCCCATCGTCACAGACATCGCCGATACTCATCACGATATGCTTTCTCATCTTCCTTCAACTAGGATCGCGCCGAGTTCTAACAATATTGTTCAGCGCTCCGCCTGCGAATCCGACGCAGACAGCAGCAGCATGTCCCGCGACTGCCCCCACGCCATCAACTCTGCCCTGCGCGCTTCCATAGCCCTTTTCAGTCTTTTCATCCTGCTGGTCCTGATTCACGTCTGGCAAGCGGCGAAATACAACAGAATTCGTGCGTCTCTTCACATCTCATCGTCCTCTTTCTTTTACACACAAGCCTTTACTTACCGCTGGATCCACAGAGGCCGTGTTTGGCATGCACATTGCCGACGAGACAGACACCAGCGCCAAAACTTGTTATATTCTGCTGGAAGAGGATGCTTCTCCTTTGGTTTCCCGACCGCCATCTTAGCTTATACGAAAATTAGACGGAATCAATGAGCTGGTGTGGCTGGGTAATGGCAGCTTAACGCATCGTTTGGTGGAGTTGGGCTTTACGGCCTTACGCTTAAGCATAACGCTGAACCAGCAACATGACCATGACCAACATGCCGCCAAAAAGAAGAATATAAATATCTCGGTGCTCCAACTCAATCGACAATTTGTCTGCATCATTCTACAAAAGAACATTATCCTCCAAATTGATTACAGATACAAACTTGCCATCTCTCTTCACTTCCTCCCACTTCTATCTAGTGCAACGCAACGCAGCCACTTACACCATGCCCGCCAACATCGTCGCCCGCATCGCCGCCCGCCGCGCTGCCACCTTTTCCACATCTGCGCGCGCCCTGAAGCCGTCTGCCGAATCTGGTGTCGACATGGGCGGCCCTTCTGGGAGCTCTTGGGCATGGCGCAACCTCTCGCCCAAGACGCGCCAGTACGTCAAGATGGGCGCCGCGACCTGCGTCGCCACCGATGCCTTTGTCTTGTACAATTACCCCGACTGGGTTGGTGTGAAGAAGGCTTCCGCGTGACTGACGGAAACCAAGGTTTTTCTCCGGGGTTCTAGAGTTGATACTGGTTCATGGTCTTCCGAATTGATATAATATTGTTAAATCAGTCAATTGACTTGTCTAATATATTTCGATTGTCAACTTCATATATGCTAAAAGGCCAATCTCCGAAACGCCATAATACAAAATTTCTGTCACATCAAGTCCACCCATTACTGGCCACGCATCACCGCCGCAAGGCGATGACGTGTCCCTTCCTTGCTCCCTCTAGATCCATTCTGCGTGTTATGAGAGGCATCATAATAGCCGCTCAAATCCTCGTAGCCAACCTTTTGCGGACGGGGCGGTGGAGGCGGCGCATGATGTGGCTGCTGCTGCTGCTGCTGCTGCTGCTGCGTCGACGATGCCGGGGCATAGTAGTAGGACGAATCCCGCTCGCGCTCGCGCTCGCGAGGCTGGTCGTTGTAGTGGACGTTGGGCACGACAGGAGAGGCTTGCGCAATCGGTGCAGAGGGTTGGGGCGGCTGCTGAGCTTTGCGCGGGTCTACACTTGCACGAGGACGCTCTTCCTGGTAGCTCGGCCGGCTTGGCTCGGGTGACCGGCGCTGCTGAGTAGCTTGCGAGGCGGTAGACTGCCGATTGATGGTGCTTTGTCTTGGTGGACTGTCACTGTCCGTGTCAATGTCGTCTTCCTGTTCGTCCGCGTAGGCTCGCAGGTCACTGCGCATAGCCAGGCTAGCGCAAATGCTCCGCGCTTCCTCAATAGCCTTCTTCTGTGCCTTGAGCGTCATGCGGCGATCGCGCGTCTCCTTATTCTCCGCAGCAATGGACTCAATGGTCGAATTGGGCATGTCGTAAATCTCAACCGAGTTGAAAAGACACAGCATTCCCTGCAGCAGGTGGCGCTCGCCCACCTGCGTGGTGACGTTGCGGATGAATATGCGCGCCGTCAGGTCGTAGTAGATGAGCATCTTTTCCAGCACCTCTTCTGCTTCGGTGTAGGTGCCACCGTTTTGAGTCGCCTCGGCGCGCCACTTGCGCAGACGCACCTCATATTCGGGGTCATAGGGCTGAATCTCGAGCTCCATGTCCGCCTTGAGATTGTTCAGCTCCTTGCCGGCACTCTCCATGACCTCGCGCATCTTGGCCTCCAAGAAGTAGTAGCGTAGCGGGTCACGCATGCGCATTGGCCAGATGTGGCTGATGACGTGAACGAGGAACTCGTTGCAGATAACACTGAGGTTGTCCTTGTACTCTTGCGCCAGTTCGGGCCACTTACTGGAGTAGTCTTGGAACAGAATGTACGGGGCTCGGGGGTTGGAGTCGAGAGGCAGCTCGTTACCGCGAATCTGGCGCAAAAGAGGCTCGACTTTTTCATGCGCATAGGCCTTCTTGCTCTGGTCGCCCTCGGCAAAGTTGATTTTGTGGCCATGCTGGCGGAACAAGCGCGAAAATCGTTCGTTTTCTTCGCAGACGCGGGCACGGAGATTTTGCGACGGCGTGCCTTTGGGGCTCGATTGGCGGGCATAGAATTGATCGCCAGTTTGGTTCTTGTAGATGCCATTGACGGCAGGTGTGATTAAATTGTTGGAGGCAGCAAACAGCCCGTGCATCTCAGCTTTCATTTGCTCCACAGTGTCCTTGCCTTCGCCCAGTTCCTTGAGCTGGCCATCGCAGCGATCCAGGGCCTTCTGAATCTGCTGGCGGAGGCTCTTGACGTGCTTACCAATGTGGCGCTGCAGCTGGCTGCTGAGCTTTTGTCGCAATGAAGCTACACCCCACATCTCTGGTGGTAGGCTTGCCCATTTGCCACGGGTAAAGAACTCGGCCTCGCGACGGTTGCGGTCTGCGGCCGTGGTCCACTGCTCGTTTGGGCCGGGGTTCAGCAACACAAACCAGCCCAGCTTGAAGTGGTTCTCATCATCTTTATTCAAGACAAGTTCCACAAATTTGTCTTCCAGGCCGATGCCCTCAGTCATGTCGGGCTTGGTCAACACACCAATGGTTCTAGATCCTTTAGGATCTAATTGGCGAGCCTTGGTCAAGATTGGTGCCTGCACATAGTCATTGTTGCCGCCAATCACAGCAAGAATAATTGTTCGGGGGCTCTTCATGTAACGATCGGAGAGATGCTCAATGGTCGCGATATCGGCCTCGGACTGGTCGCGGTTGGCCACACGAACCAGGCCAGGCAAGTCGACGAGTGTGAGAAGGGGCATATCGGGGCCCGTCTTTTCGACAACGAGAATATCTCTAGCTGCGAACCGGCCAGGAATATTCTTTGGCGCGATGAGCTCTGTTGCTTCGCGCATCAGCATCTCAAAGGGCATGTCGCCCGTGACGTCACCGCCATATTGGAGGAGCTTGGTCTGTTCATTGTAGGGGCGCGTCTTGTCGGGAATGATGGACACCTTGAGTTTCGTTTCTTTTGCTCTGCGAAGCCTGATTTCGGTGGCAAATCTTGTGCAGGCCCCAGCATCTCGTGGAAAGGGTGTGCCAGACAGCGCCTCCAAGACTGAGCTCTTGCCGGCCGACTGGTCGCCGACTACAACAATTTGCGGCAGCTTGACATTGTCAAGTTGTGCAAACTGCAGCTTGTCGATGAGGTTCAAGAGCTCCGTCTGCTCGTTTGCGAGGCCCTGTGTCTCTAGGGACGATTCGATGCTGGGCGCCATTTCACGCCTGCGAGTGCCGTGCGATGAGCGTGAAGTGTTGTCGTCGGGTTGGGACACAGAACCCATCTTTGTAGCGGGGGTATAGCTTATAAGGTCACTTGGTCGCAAGACCTTTGAACAAGATCACAAGCCAGGCCTAGCCACCTATTTATATGTCCTGCAGAAGCGTAAACTCCCCAGGCTGAAGCGCGCGCTTTGCGTCATGAGTACGCGGCCAAGGGACTGCCAGGGTTTGCCTTTGCTGGCCAGCTCAGCTGGCACAGATGGAGCTGCGCCACTCGAATTTTCTCGCTCCATCCCGCTCATAGGGCCACGTACAGGGAACACGAGTTATCCGAACTGGCCAATTGTTGGGGCGGAGGTGACGCATTGTTGGCGGCAAGCCTACTGGTAAATGGCAGCCTTGGAAGTGGAGAATGTGGCGCAGCAGGGTCTGAGGCGGTGTGCGGCCTCCAACGTTTGCCAAGTTGCCACTGCCACGTCTGGCTCTGACTGTGTGGCGCAGACCTCTCCGCGAGGTGAGCAAGAACAATCTATCGAGACGAATCGCGGGCTTTGCAGATTTGCATAGATTCATAATGAAAGGCTCTGTATTTTCTTGGTGCCTGATCCCGCCTCCTGTATGCCTAACATCATGCAATCCGGCTTGTACTTGTGCTTCCCTTGTCCGCATGTTCAAAATGCAAGTGTTACTTGTCCGGCGGCAAAATGCTGGCTCGCAGGGGATTGTATGTGTGTTCATGTTAAGACCAAAGTCACAAGGGGGAAAGAGAATGAGGCTTTCTGTGAGAAGAAGCGAGAAAAGCGTCTCATTTCGGTTTCTCGAGTGATTTTTCTCAATGGTTCACTTGGAGTAATAGTGATCTCGCCTATAGTCAAATCACAAATACCGTAGCTATTTCTTCTAACTCTCTATGGATTCAACATTGCATTAACTGGTGGCCAATTTTGACTGCTGTCACCTTACCAGTTGCTGGCCACCAAATCGCCGCCAGACCCCGCTCCGAGTATCTCGATTCGGCCCTTCGCTAGCCCATCTGACCAATGAGAGCCTGTCCCGTCTCGGAAACACCCGGCTAATGCCCGAGCGCTGAGATTGGGAGGGCGGAGAACATCGACTCGTATAAAGCAAGCCTCGTTCTTTGACGAAACTGAGGACGTGGGTCAAAATTTCAACAAAAATTTACAGCTAAATAGGTAAAGATTAGGAGGTTCAGGACACTGAGCGAGATCACAGGCTTGCTCCTTTGACGCTGTGACCGGGCCAGTGCCAGGTTGGTGTGACTACCACGTAACCGCGCGCCAGTGGCATCTTCTTGCCGTCGATGACGGTAAAATTGCTTCATAACTATTGTAAATAGTAAAAATCATGATTTTTATAAGCCGAATTAATATTCGTCTGCGTCAATCATGAAGCGATTCGCCTGGCTTCACCCACTGCAGCCCGCCGTAGAGGTGTCAGTGGTGTTGTGGAGCCTCTATAGGTAGTTGCTATTTAGCAGCAGATTTATTATGATTAATGAGTTCCCATGGGACACTCTTCTATTCGACAACTGCTTAAAACCGTACATTTATCACAGGCCTACTGTTCTCAAAAATATCCAATGTATGTAGTTGACTTTTATATACTACCAATGTATCATGTACCAGTAAGAACTAGTACCAACTCACAAAACTGTCAATTGAAGATTCCCAGCCGATTGAATGCCATAAAACAAGAGCAAAAATATTACAACTTGGTTGTTCCGAGCCCAGCCTGCCATTAAAGCCCAAAAAAAAAAGAGAGAAAAAATTCATGAACAAATCATTTCTTCTGAGCCCAGCCGAGGCGATTGTTACCAGCGTCAAAGACGACGTGGGCGGCCTTCAACGCAACATCGCCAAAAATACTAAAGGGGATGTTGCCAGCGGCCTGAATACCACCAAAACACTTGGAGTCCGATGCCTGGGCGTAGTTGATGAGCTCGCCAGGGATGGTGATGTTGCCACCACCAACGCTAAAGGAAAAGTTGGGAAGCGTCTCTGCGCAGTCAAAGACGAAACCACCCTGTTGCTGGTCATTCTCGGCGCTCTTGACGTCGGCGTAGTATCCCTCGACGGTCTTGTCGTCGAGGAGAAGGAGAGTCGTGCCAGTGTCGGCGATGCCCTGGACCTCGCCAAAACTGGTTGAGGCGTTGAAGCCCCAAAAGCCATCGCTGCTGTCAACATCGACGTAGCTGACGTCCCTCACCGTGTCGGGAATAAAGCCGAAGAAGTATGTGCCGGGGACCTTGTGGCGCAGGTCGGCAACGAAGACGGGGTCGTCGAGTTGAGGCTTGACGTTGTCAAACCACGTATTTTGCTTATGGGGCTTGACAGTGTTGAGACTGGAGAATGCAAGACCGAGAAGACCATCACCCTTGCCACGAGCAAACTGCCGAGAGACTTCTCTTGCAGACTCGACAGCCTGATTCTGGACGGTAAGACCGCCGATTGTAACGTGGTCGGTGTATACATCGCCAGAGCAGCTGGAGCCATCGCCGTAGGATATCTTCCAATGTGCGCCATGCATCTTCTTGGCAGTGGAGCTCCTCTTGGGGCTGTACTTGTTCTGGGCACCGGCATCAATGGTCTCGGTAGAAAAGACCCATAGATCAGAGCTGCCAGTGTCCAAGTCTAGCCTCATAAACTGATTGTTGTGGCCAACATGGACGTTGACGAGATACTCCAGGTCGTCCATGATAGGCTCGGCAGTGACGCTGCCCCTGCCGCGCTTAAAGTGCTTCTTCTTCTTCTTCTTGTTGGCGTTTTGGTTAGCAGCAGCAAGGGCTACGTGGTCCGGAACGACCTTGCCGTATTTGGAGTAGGCATTGGCGAGAGCCTGAGGGCCGTTGCGGAGATTCCATTTGGGCATGCCGGTCTGCTTCAGCTCGAAAGTGCCAGATTTGCTGGACGTGACACTACCAGAGACAAAGCCGGCTGCCAGAGCGGCGACGAGAAAGCTTCCAAAGGTCTGCATACTGATAATGTGTAGAGCGGTGTAGAGAGAATGGGATAAAGAGAGATACTAATCAAAACTTTCCCTCCACCTAGGACGCGGACAAGGCATCTTTATACTAGTCGCTTTTCGAAGACCGACTTTGACAAAGTTCCAACTGGGCATCGCAAGAGCGCCACAGAAGTGAAAGACCATTTCGATGAAAGTAGTGGCTGACGGAGTATACAAGCATAAAGTGGTTGGAGTCTAGAGGATTAGTTGGTTCGATGGTGGCTGGGAGAACTGGAGTCTGGCTTTTGGTTAAATAAGCGAGCCCCGGCTCCTATGCGACGAATCAGAAGCGTGTGTCATGATTCATTGAGCCTTTTCTTCGTGGACAAAAGGCAGGAGCTAATCGAGTTCTGGACTAATATTCGAGTCCAAAGGCATGCGCCAATGTACATCTCGGCCGGTGTTTTGAGTTTGATGGTCTGCTTGGTCTGGGGTAGGCAGCTTCGAGAGCGAAATACGCCAACGAGGAGGCTGGTTGCCATTTAGCCATTTCGCTATTCGTCGAATCTGCGCCGTCGAAAATGAAAGGGGTCGTCAACGGTCTCCATCCGGACGATTCGACAGAAAGAGCTATAGAGCTTCTTCCTTGAAGCCATGGACCTCGATGTCTCAAGAGTCGCACAGCGGCAGTCGGATCCGAGGCGCCTTCCTGAAGAGGCAAGACAACATGTTTGACAGGGAGTCAATCTTTGCGGCTTTTGGTAAATGCCACCGGCGTGCGGTACAAGGTAAACTTTATTCCTAGTCCCACCCTTTTGTTGACCTCGTGTCGTCTGACCCTAAGCCATCGCGCCACGTCGTTGCCGTGTGTCGCGTCAGGGGCCGCTGGAAGATAAAAGGACGCCTAGCGGAAAGTCAACTAAACTAAATAAGAAATGGTGTCAGGGAACTTTAAATTGCACGCCTCAATACCGATCATCTATGATGCACCCCAGCCACAGTGCCACCGGCCACCTTGATTCGCTTAGGCGGGCATCAAGGACCCAGTACTCGGCAATAAGGCACATCCACGATCAGACGAGATGCCAAGGGTATATTTCTCCATCTAGAAGAAACATGGGCACGTGGGAGCAGAGCACAATCGTCGGCCAACTAGTTGCACCACTGTTGTTGATTGGACGTTCGCCCCAAGTCTGAAGAAAGATTAAAGGACCCCAGCCGTACGCAAATGGAAACGAAGCGTCGCATCCTTCAATATAAAATTCATTTGTAAAGTTTACCGCTTCCCGCCCCCCGGCTTGGCGATTGACAGCTTGGCGATGGGCGTTTTGGAGTCCCGTGTGCTCGAGGTTGGCACAATGGCATTGTTCGGCCTGTCTAGTGTCGTCGCATATCCCTCCCCGCAAAATTCGTCTGCCATTGTGCAGATTTTTGAGTTTCAAGTCGGGTTTATTTCCGAGTCTAATCACGCCGATTCTTTATCCCCTCTGGTCAAAGCACCTAATAATGGAGGCTACCAATCCGTCTGTCCTATGCCACAGCCCAGGGCTTATCTCGCAGAGCTGCAGATCTTAACGGCGAGATAAGCCCTGCAAATTCTATTCTCTTTCATCTCGCTCTAAATAAATGTTGTTTCAAATTTCCCGTAAAGCTCACAAGGTGCTTGTTTTGGTTTGGCCAGGATCGCCAATATGGTGATGCGGCAGAGGACTGTTCTAGTCATGGCTCGCACAGCGCGACTCAGCTGGCCAAATACCTTTACAATCCGTATATACCTTGGCTCGGTGTCTGAGTCGACAAGAGAACTCGCCTTCAATCACCGCTCAAGTGCACATACGCGCGGATTAACCGCTTTCTAAAGGGCCAGCCTTGCGAAATGTACTTGTTTAATCACAAAGCGCTACCCTCGTACGTCAATCCGCGTTAAAGTCTTGAGCCATCTCTGATAAAAGTACATATATCTACTAGAAGTTTGTCTAAACGCGTCGCGGTTGAAGTAGTTGGACCTTTTTTTAGCGTTTGCTCTTTTGGTGTGCCACCCGTAGCTACAGACATCATCTATCGCGGCGCTAAGTGAGCTAGTCAGGTCAGGTCAAAGACAACATTTCTACAGATCTCGCCTCTGTCACGTCAAAGACACATTCCTATAGATTTCGCCTCCATCGTCTTAGGCATGCAAGGTAATCAGAGTCGCATAGAAAATGCGGCAGGCGACGCGCCGCCCTTGATAAATGCAGCACGAAGCGCACAACAGACGGGACGGTCCGCCGTCCCATCATCGTTTCGTTCTCTTTTGCAACAGTCTCTGTGACCCCCCCCTGCTATGCGTCTGGCATTTGGCTTACGACTCCTTGCAGCAGCAGCAGTCGTCTCAGCATGGCGGCGCATGTTCCCTGTGCCCCCCTCGTCGGATAGCTTCTATCACGTCCCCCGCCTAATCAGCAACTACGCCCCCGGCAGCATCATCAATTACCGCCTTGTACCAAACGATGTTGGAGCCTTTGGCGTCAAGACCAATCTTGCTGCCGCGTACCAGATCCTCTACCGCACCAACGACGGCAATGACCAAGCCACGGCTACCGTCTTGACCGTCCTCATCCCACCCAACGCAAATCACAGCGCCGTGTTGACCTTTGTCATGGCCGAAGATGCCGTGAGTATCGACTGCGCACCATCATACGGCATCCTTCTCGAGTCGGAGCTGCTCCGTCGTACGAATTCGGCCACCACCCAGCTGCAGCTGCTGCTCATTGAGGCCGCCATGGCTCAGGGCTGGGTCGTCATCATCCCGGACTTTGAGGGGCCCCAGGCTGCGTTTGTGGACAGCAAGCTCGGCGGCCAGGCTACCCTCGACGGGGTCCGCGCCGCGCTTGCGTCCGGGTGGCTCACCAATATCCAGCGCGATGCTACCCTGACTCTCTGGGGCTACTCGGCCGGTGCGAGCGTCGCGCTCCAGGCTGCTGGCATGCGGCCGACCTACGCGGGCGAGCTCAACATCGCTGGCGCTGCGCTCGGAGGCATGGCCTCTCCGAGCCTCTCCTTGTCCATCTTCACCGACATCAACAAGGGTCCTCACGCGGGCTTGATTCCCGTGTCGCTCATCGCCTTGGGCAGGGCAGACGCCACGTTTCAGGCCTCGCTAGACAAACATTTACGTGCGAGCGCTAGGAATAAATTCTACCTGCCCACGAAGCAGTGTCTGGATGCCAACCTCGCAACCTTCAACAATGCCGACATCTTTGCCATGTTTGAGTGCTGGGACTGTGTGGTGGCGGATCTTGTCACTGCGATTGGCACGCACCACGAGCCCACTCCCGTCCCGCGCAGTGGTCAGATCTTTGTCTACCACTGCGTGCATGATGAGCTGATCCCCATTGATGGAATCGACAAGCAGGTGCAAGATTTCTGCCGGGACAGCGCCATTGTGCACTACCAGCGCGATAATGGCCCCAACTTGAACCACCGCAACTATGGTGTAATAGGCGCGCCGCACGCCATCGAGTGGCTGCGAGGCATCTATAATGGCACTACGAGGCAGACGACCTGCTCCCAGGAGACAGTGACCTCGGTAGATCTACCAGATTGGTTCCTAGACACGTACCCAAACAGAGTTCGTGATCCGCTCGTCAAGCTCGTCGCTGGCGCAACCAAATGACGGCTTGTTTTTTGTTTATAATGTCCATTTCCTGGGTATTCCTCACGACGCAAAATTTTTAGCCGACTGTCATGTAAAAGCTTGTCGTGGTCAGCAGAAGCAGACCCAACCTCATGGCTTTGCGGTTCAAACGGACAAAGTCCTTGTTCTTTACACAAATATTACTGCTTACATAGAACCTGAGCTTCCGAGCTCACCACTGCTTGAAAATTGCAAAAGCCTGGATTGCATTGCTATGGAAAAGCAGTCAATCTCAGTTGACAAAAAAAGGTCAATATTTGGTAGTCTATGTTGCTATTTTCTTGCAGTCATAATCATATCGTCGACTCAGCTTCGACATGCTCCTCCACCCTCGTGTACTCGCTCTTCCTGCGCCAATTTTCACCCCTATAAAAGAGGGCGACCGGGACTGAAATCGCCGCAAAGGTGGCCAGTGCATACGCGGTAAAGCCCCGGCCATAGCCCAAGGCATTGACAAGCTTGTCTATGGCAAGCGGCAGAAAGGCGCCCGCGAGGCAGCGAATGACAATGACGGCAGTCAATGCGGAGGCGGAATAGAGTCCGCAGGCATCAACGACATAGGCAGTGAGTGGCGCAAAGGACATGATGAGGGACATGCGGACCCAGACGCAAGTGATCAGGAAAACATAAATGCTCCAGTTGTATTCGGCGCACCAGCCGTAGAGCGCAACGCCAGGGACAATGGTGATGGCGCCAAAGATGGCAATCGGCAGACGGTATTCCGGGAGCCCGACTCCATTATTGTTGTCGCGGAGCTTGACATAGATGGCATCCAGCCACGATCTGCATACCATGATGCCAATAAATGATCCCAGAGCTGCAGACGTATTAGCATTACGCTTTATGTGGCATACTGAGATTTCTTACCATTGGAGAAGAAAGCAAATCCAGTAGCCGTCGGCGACAAGTGATATATGTCTTCGAGTATGCGGGGCATAGTAATGGCAGCCACGTAAAAATGGGAAAACATAACGGCAATATAAGCGGAAATTGCCATGAGCACGCCGCTGCTGACGAGGACAGTTACGGGCCGCGCAATGGATAGCCACAAGGATTCGTACGTATGTCTGCTGGCGGGCTTATCCGTGTCCGACGTCGGGTTAGCAGCGATTAGCTTGGCGGCGCGACGGCGCAGAATGGCGGGCGTGTACGTCTCGCGGAAGAAGACAAACGAGATGGAGTAGCAGACGGCGGCGAGGACGACGCTGACGAGGACAATGACGCGCCAGCTGAGCGTCTCAATGGCGGCGCCGCTAAAGGCTGGGCCGATGGAGCTGCCGAGGAGCGGCGCAAAGAGAATCATGCTCATGGCGGTGCCTCGCTGCTCGGGGACGAAGATGTCGCCGATAATGGCGGGACCGAGAACGTTGATGGCGACGGCGGCGCCGGTGAGGACGCGAGTAAAGGTCAGGAAGCGCAGCGTCGGGGCGAGGGCGCCGAGGGCGAGGGCCAGGACGAAGACGACATTGGCCGTGTTGAGGACGGGTGCGCGGCCAAAGAGCTCCGAGAGCGAGCCGATGAGCAGCGGGCCGGCGGCCTCGCCGAGCTCCCAGATGGTGACGAGGAGCGCCTCGGAGGAGGTGTCGCCGGGGCTGCCGCCGAGGTCGCGGGATATGCGCCGGGCAACGGGGACGACGGAGACGCAAGAAAAGGTGCTGCAAGCATTGGCGTTAGTACAAAGTTATGCATTATCGCCCGGAGAGCGCGCGAGCATGAGTGTTGCCATGTTGCCATGGCGGGAAGCAGATGCGTACACGGTAAAAGCAGACATGGACAGCAAAAAGACAATGAGACGCTTAAACGACGGCGTCCACTCGAGCGGGTTCTCCCGGTCGCCGTCCGCGTTGAAGCTAGTGGCGCCGGTCCAGTCCGTCAAGGTCTCATCGGCCTCGCGGCGCCCGGCCAGCAGCGGCGCCGATTCGCGATCCGCAGCGGAAGCCATGTCTGGCCTGTGTGAGAGTTGGGCTCGTCGACAGGTTTCCCGGTTATTAGGAAGCAAAGAAGAAAGTCGGAGGGTGGCGGGCCCGAAGAAATTGTAAAAGAATCTGACATTGCGGGTCGAGTTGGTTAGTGTCTGACGGGGCTGAAGCTGTATCATGGCACCCACAGTTTGCGTGCTTTGCGGCGTCAGGGATTCTGTCGATGAAGCAAGATGTTTGTCCTCCCCTTCCCCCCGCCCCTGCCCCTTTCTCTTTGTTGATTGATCTTGAGAAATTGGAAGGAGATACCCGGATCCGATGGACAGGCGTGCGGCCGCGGACAAGTCAGATCACCAGCCTGACACGCATAGCGGCCGCGCGCCAATGACACCGCTAGCAAGGGCTCATGCAGAGTTGATGCGGGAGACCGAGTCGTGTCACGGTGGGATGATGATGCCGTCGCGGAGGTTTCCCGGCTGCGGGCCCTGTGGAAGCTGCAGGACAGGGGGTTTTTCCACATATGCACTTGGTTCCGGCATCCGCTCCTAAGGTCGGCCGATGATCCCAACGCAGTGGCCTTTTGCCTTGATTGCAAGGAGATTGTTGAGATGGATGGGCGTTTGATAGATTTGAACCGATGCTCGCTGATGATCATTAGATTTGTCTCAGGCGTCCGTTTCGTTCAAACGGCCCATGTGGATCAGGGACAGCAAACAACGGTTCTTGCCACACTTGACGAGATGCAGATACGCCAGGGTATATCACGGTGTCATCGGCAGCATAAATCTATGTAAAGTTGATAATAATTACTGAAAGTCTAAAAATATAGACTCGCTATTTATTTCCGACAGTCAGGCTAGTTAGTTAATTAATTGAATCAGGTCTTCCGTATTCGTGTATGTGAGTTGATAAGAGGCTTGATGTGGCTGAGGTGCTGCAGAAGGCGCTGCAGCCACTCTTTGTTTGGCATATATTATGAATTCGCGGAACTGGGTGGCCTCGACACACAAACGGCATGGCACTCTGCTTCGAAAGATTGCATCGATGCATCTGCATGCACCCTGCAGCAAGCCTCATCACCGCATAATGCGCGCTACATCTTGGCGTTTGCCTTGAAAGTAGCTGGGCTGTCCCCCTTGTCCCCCCCAGCCCAGTATGCCCAGCAGCCATTGAGTAACTAGCGGTGAAAGCCTCGTCCCACGTCCGTTCTACACGGATTTCTTCCGGGTGTGACGCGGTAGTTACTGCATTGCCGGTGCCACCAGTCAGACGCAATTTGTGCCATGTAGGTTTGGTAGATGCCTTGAGGCTGACTAGGCAGGTGCCGGCCAGCAGCCCGCACCTCGATCGCCGACTTGGCGGCAGTTCGCTGGCAGGACTCAACTGGTCGTTGGCATCTTTGATGCGCGAGGAGCAATTATGAAATATTCTTTTCTTGTGCATACATCACTATCAATTCTCTCGCACCGCCCAGGTCCCACAATGACTCCCAGGCGTTTCACTGTGCGCCGCCGCGCTGCCTCACCCCATTAACGGCACAGTGGGCAGCAATCCCGACACTCTTGTAGATGCACAGCAATATATACATCCGAGACAGAAAAATTTCGCTCTGAACAACGATAAGGATGCTTCAGGCCTAGTGCTGCCAGCGGCTGACGGAACCACAGCAGCCTGCAGTCACCCCAGGACGCGTGAGCTGAGCTGGGTGCACCTCTGTGTCAAATCAGGTGGCTGAAGTAGGCTGATCATGCCTCATACAATGTGTCGCCCATTTAAAAAAAAATGTATTTACCAGCTCGGCTGGAGCTGAATCGGGCATTATTCACCTCGAAAATGTGCATGTCCTACGGCCCTATGTTAAACTTCATATACTTCGTAGCTCTTCGCAACAGGTGCTTTGCGCAACTGCTGTGAAGGCTGCGGATTCTTGGCCTTTTCGCGCTTCTCATCCTCGACCGACTTTTCTACCCACGCGTCAAAAATGCCAGCGGCTGCCACCAGCGCCACTGAGAGCTGCAGGCCCGCCAGGAACAAGTCCCTCTCAACGTCAAAGCCAATGCTCTCCCCTACCGGCGGCAGCAGATCAAACATGTCTGCAATAGCAGACCAGCCCGCCGCCGCCGGCACCACCAGCACGTCAGCCATGACGAAGCAGTGCGCAAAGGGCAGGCCGGCCGCGCGCGACAGCAGTAGAGCCATGCCGAGCGACAGCACGTCGAGCAGCCGGTAGCGGTGGCCCGCGCCGTACGTGGCCGGCATTGTGCGCAGAATGTAGCGGTAAACGGCGTGCGCGAGGATCCAGACGCGGCTGGCGGCCGTGTAGACGAGCACGCGGTCGTGCGGCGCGAGCGTCGTCCAGCCGCGGTACCGCCCCTGCTGCACCAGCGACGCCCACAGCCAAAACGCCGCCGTCTTGCTGCACCACCCGCGAAAGGTGCCCTCGGCGGGCACGAGCATCCCCAGTCCGACGTGCAGGTACATGGCGAGGTTAACGCAGATGGTAAAGGCGCGGAAGTGGCGCGCGCGAAATGAGGGTGGGGCGCAAAGAAAGTAAGTCACGGAGCCGAGGCATAGCGGGAGCTTGGTGAGCAGCATGAGCATCTCGTTCCAGCTCGAGGTGCGGTCAAAGAGAAGAATGACAGCACTGGCGAGGAGCACTGTGAGGAGCAGCAGCTTACGGCTGACGACAAGGCAGCCATATGCAAAGAGAAGGATGGCAACCAGCCAGAGGTTGAATGGCCAGTCAACCTTGTACGGTGACACGCCGTTGGGGGCTTGCGCCTCTGCCATTTCGGTTGGTTGGTAAGCGGTGGTTTGGTGGGTGGTGAAGTCGGCGGCTCCGCGCCAACCACCGTGGTCATATTCCGCAGGGTTTGTCACGTGTAAGCTTTACATGCAGGCTCTCGTAAGCATCTGGAACGGGCTCTTAGTAATATTTCAATAGAGCAGAACGGGTCAGAAAATAGAAATGGACAAGATCATGGCATATCTCTTTGCGCCGTTTATTGTTTTAGTTAGTTCGATGAGGCGAAGCTGGGCCTCTCCACAGGCGGCGCACGGAACCGAACGCTCGGCAAACAAGCGCTCGCGGTGTACCTGAGACTCGGGATTCTGCTACAAGTCGCATGGAAAGAAAAGATTGAGAGAAGAGGTACAAAGCTGGGCTTCCAATGATTGAGATTGCCAAAGTTCCCGGTAATTGTTGATTTGTAAAAGGCAGCGCAAAACGTCGAATTTTGTGCCATTAGAAACGCAAACGGGCGGGTAACCAAGCTCTCGAAACGAGGCCAAGGCCTGTGGGCGGGAAAAAAGCCAAGAGCCTTATTTTTGCGGAGTATGTAAAGGGTAATCCGTAAACGCCGTTTTTTTACTTTCTCTTCTTGGGGAAGAGAGAAAAGGGGCTCTTGTTGCTTTTGTTAGAATGGGGTCGAGTTGGTTCAAGACGCGCTTTTACCGTGTTCGACGCGATAGATATCGGTACGACTATCGATTAGATAAGCATGGAAACGCCACAACTAGACTAAATGGTTGCGATTAATTGAGTGCTAGGAGGTTCTATTATTCTGAATAAAGACCTACAGTAATAATAATAATAATAAGTATGGCTTTCAAGATGGTCGTGTCAATATGGAGTGCGTGCATCTCTAAATTAGCAAACGCGAGGGATAACGTGGGGCTGGCAACCATCTTGTCCAATGAAAGGTCTCGAGGCCATGAACCCGACCTGCAACCGCTTGAAACGGAAAACTTGCATCCCTTCCTCCTCCTGAACACGGTTTGCTCGCTCTCAAGTCATCTCACATAGACTTCTTGTCAAGTCAAAGCACGTCTTTGTAGCGCCATCAGACGTGTCAGACGCGAAAACATGACGGACAAGGATGACGCCAGTTCCGCGTATCGCTCAAGCATGAGCACCATAGTCTCTACGGCACTACGTGATCTTCAGTACTTTGACCAATATGAGTCCAAGATATCAAACACCAAGCTGAGAAAACGTTTGGATCTGTTATGGCAAAGTAACCAGCACATCAAGTCCGTCCGCAGGCTGACTTGTGAGTTTCGGCCACTGGATGTCAACACTGAAGCCTTGCAGCAAATCAGGTTCAGGGAGAGGGAGTTGAGTCGCTCAGGGTCCGTCCCGACGCCTCCAAGCAGCATCGAGTATCCAGAGCAATCCAGTGTTCAGGCCAGTCTACAAGCCAGTGTGTGTCAGAAATTTCAAGACATGACAATGATTGAGGAACTCATGTCAGAGGACATTGAAACATCGCTCTGTGAGCCCCCCCCCCCCCCCTTGTGCCACCGTATAAACGTCCATTCTGATACCCAAGCACAGCAGAAGCCCGGCTGCCCGTATTGGTGCCCTTTATGGTGCAGCATCACGTCTGTCTAGCTGTGCAGAGCGCCATGGAGGGCGTCTGCTTCGCCCTCGCGCAGAAGCACCTGCCCGAGCTCTTGCGCGAGCGGCAATGGGACTGCCCCGAGGCCGCGAGCCTGCCCACCTGGCTCGACACCATCAACCGCAGCCCCGACGACCTGCGCCTTCCGCCTTACATTCTCAGCGACTCGCGCGCGCACTGCGCCCTGGTCCTGCACGAGGCCGTCGTCGAGCGCCGCCGCCTGTCCTACGACACCCTGCGTCAGGGCATCCACGGCGCCCTCGGCATCATTCAGTCGCTGCCGTCCGAGACGCTCGCGCCCGCCAGGATCTACGCCCAGAACCTCTGCACCGTCGCCAAGCAGCTCCGCGACCAGATGCGCGACCTCGAGCCCATTGCCGCTGGGTACCAGGCCGAACTCGACGAGACGCTCGCCGAGATTGCGGCGAAGCGCGCAGAGCTCGATGCCCAAGAGGCCGAGGCCCGCCAGCATGCCAGAGACGCCATGGCCGAGTACGAGGCCAAGTGGGACGCAGAGTACAAGGCGACCTTTTCTGCCCGAGACGCATTCTGTTGACGGCAAGCTGGCAGTGAATTGTGAAAGGAAAAGGAGGGGCAAGGAGCACACGGCACCGTAGCATTGACTAGTAGCATCATAATAAGCGCGCGAAAGTGCCATAAGCATCGATCTTTATTACCACGTAGCCATTCTGTGCCCTTTAAGCCCCATTTCTCGCTAGCATAAATCTACAAAATTTTAATTGATTGATAAGATATTGTTACTCGTTTCCCTGTGTATGTACTCGACCCAACGCTGAGAGAATCAACATGTTGACAAGGACGAGAGCATGCATAGTATACAGAGAGCAAACGCAACCAGAGAACCCCGCTGCTCCCCTTCTTTTCTTCTTTGCTGTCTTGCTCTTGCGCCTTTCTCGCTGAATAATCCATATTTGAATGCAAACGCGGCGACGAATTGTCTTTTCTCAGCATCAATCTCAGCGAAAGGGTTCTCAGCGAAAGGGTTGCCGTTGCGCTTCAAGAATATCCCGACTCTGAACCTGCATCCAGTTGTGCCGGCAAGGTGCTAGACATGGGCCTCAGAATGCAGCAATGCCTTGAAGCTTCTAGTCAGACTGCAGATAAACTGGGATTTGAGATCGTTTGACAATCAGGGTTTTCAACAGCATCTTGCCAACGTCAGCACAATGTGAGCAGCAAACGAACGCAGGGCGTCTGGCCACACTCGAGCGGTGACTATGTGAAAACTTTCCATCCACCTCTAACCGCACACAACTCTCTTCTCTCTCATCCCTCCCTCACAGTTATTATCTCTTTTCAAAAGACTCATTCTACCCGGCAATCAACAGCACCAGCGAAACGCAGAAAATGGCGATCATTGACCACGAGCTCAGCGCCAAAGTTGCTCAGATGCTGGAGCAGTTCAAGGTCGTTGCCAGGACCAGAAAGTGCCTTTCCACCAGTCAAAAGCGGCTTACGGTGAAGAATCTACTACACGATTGGTTGATGACCTATTTGAAGGCTATAAGATGTCGTTGTTCTAGACGAAGCCGTCCGCCAACTTCAGCACGGCATCACCACCGCCGCGAAGTCTCCACGGTCGCCGAGCATCAAATCAGAAGACTTGAGGGACGTCAAGGAAGAGTCCATCGAGAGTGATGTGGAGGGCATCGAGGCCATTCAGACCACGGTGTCGCCAGCTGGTACGTGCACTAGACGTTGGCAACCTACGCTGAACAACATTCTGACCACAAGCACAAAGCAGAATCGTCATCCGCCGCCGCCGAAGTCGCGCTTTGCACGAGACCCAATGCCATGGCAGGTTCAGCAACACATGCTCAAGAAGCTCGTCAGCGCGACATCACCCTCGCCGCCATATTGCAGGCGCGGTGTGCGTGGGTGCGCGCCCACCTTGCGCTCCTTGACCATCTGGTAAGTCCCTCTCTGCGATTTCCCGGTGACTTCGCCACTCACATACAACAGGACATGGAGAAGAAGGAGAAGCAGGAGGAGGCGGCCCGCCTAGTCGGCTTCCTAGACAAGATGCCTGAATTTGAGAACAATCTCCGACGTCCATGTTGAAAATTCGCTCTGGCGATCCGTCCGCAGTTTGACGAGGGAGCCCTTACCTACTTACTCCAGATGGGGTGCAAATCCTCCGCATTGTTGCTCCGCATTGTTTATCGCAGCTGTTCCGTAGATTCATTTGATTTGTTTTTTCTGGGTAAGGCCGCTCGCTACCGAGGATAGAGGGCTGAACCGCACCGCTTTGTCCGGAAGCACGTGCATTTATCGTGGTCCGGCGCCGTCTTGGGCTGTCTGTGCGGAGGGAGCTGGTGTTGCGAGTTAACGCGAGTTCACGGCCCACTTGGAGGATGTCAAGAAGCAGTTATATAATGAGATCCAGCCTAGACTTGGCAGGTTCTGGGAAAGTTGATGAAATACACGGGCATTCTACAACACTTCTCTACACATATTGTAGCCGTTCTACAGGCGGCGCACACGGTTTCTCCCACTCACTCACATGCGCATCTCGGCCGCCTTTTTGGCTGCGGCCCTCGCAGGCACAGCACATGCGATCCCAGCCTCTGCGCTCCTGCATCGCGCCAGGCCAACCCTCCCGAGCAAGGACTCTTTTTATTTTCCCACAGGCGACCTTTCCAACCACCAGCCGGGCGCGATCCTGCAGCAACGCCCGCCGCCCGCCGCCGTCGCCGCGTTTGGCCTCGTGGCCGCCAAGCTCAACCGCACGCAGCAGTTGCTCTACCGCACAAGCGACGCGCATGGGCGGCCCATTGCCACCGTCGCCACGATCCTCATCCCTCACAATGCCGATCTGGGTAAGCTGCTGTCGTACCAGATTGCTGTCGACGCGGCGTCGATTGATTGCGCGCCGTCGTACGCTTTGCAGCAAGGTTCGGAGCGCGGCCCCCTCGCTGGCACGCTGCTCTCGCAGGCCGAGTTCCTGCTGATCGAGGCCGCGCTGGAGCAGGGGTGGGCGGTGGTAGTGCCCGACTTTCAGGGCCCGCAGTCATCTTACCTCGCCAACACGCTGGCCGGGTACGCGACGCTCGACGGGATCCGCGCTGCCCTGGCGTCAACGGCGACGACGGGCATCCGGAGCGATGCACGGGTGGCCATGTGGGGGTACTCGGGCGGCAGCCTCGCGAGCCAGTGGGCGGCGGAGCTGCAGCCCTCGTACGCGCCGGAGCTGCATGTCGCCGGCGCGGCGGTGGGCGGGACGGTGCCGGATGTAGCGAGCGTTATCAAAGCCATCAACGGGCAGCCGCTGGCGGGCTTTATCCCGACGGGCGTGCTGGGGCTCGTGTCGCAGTACCCTGAGGCGGCGCCGCTGGTGGACGATGCGCTGAGACCAGAGGCAAAACAGCTGTTCTATTCGCCGTTGAAGCAGTGTCTAGCAGCCAATGCGGCTGGATTCCTGTATAAAGATGTGCTGGGCATGTTCAAAGACCGCGACTTTTTGTTGAAGAATGAGGTGCTAGTGCGAATTAGCCAGGAAAATAACCTCGGCAAGACGACGCCAAAGATTCCGCTGTTTTGGTACAAGTCCACCATGGACGAGGTCAGTCCGGTGGGAGATTCCGATAGATTAGTAGACAAGTACTGCGACGAGGGCGCGGATGTCGAGTATGTACGAGACGTCTTGTCAAATCATGGCAGCTACGCGGTGATTGGCGCGCCGCTGGCATTTTCGTGGTTGAAAAAGGTGATGAATGGCAAAGATGGCGTGCCACGAAAGGGATGCAGCAAGAAGACGCAGCTATCGGGGGTGCTGGACAGGACGCAGTTTGAGGTGCTGCCCAAATTAATTGCTGATGCGCTGCTAGATCTGCTGGGTAAGGATGTTGGTCCGATTTAGCGGTGAAGATAAGGCCAGTTAGCTGAGAGATGTTCAGAACAGGCGAGGGATATAAAGGGAGGAGACGGTAACCTACATAATAATTAGCGTTTGGTTTGTAATTCGGGTACTGGTACGGATTACTCCGTAATTTAGTGTGTTGTAGCCGTGCGTTTGTCGAGTGGCCTCCGCTACATCAACGTACAGGCATCACGACACTGCAGACAAGCTCATCAGCAGAATTTATTTCGTTGATACATTCCGGTGCTCTGAGACGTGTGCATTCTCGTATTGGCCATCCCTTTACATGGCTCCGTTCATTCAGCTCGCAGGGTAAGGGTTGGCGGTGTGTGGGGAAGAAGTTGGAGAAGCGGATGAAATTCTGGCACATGAATGCACGGTAGGTTTGCTGGGGTATGGAACCTCGGGGATTGCATTTTGTCCTCGGGGATTTCAGACTGTCTGTCCTCGGGGAATTGATCACTGAAAGGTGTCTGAGATGATTTTCCATCTACATAGGTACGGACGTGCGCCCCGAATTGTCGATCAATCAGTAGATAAACTTACAGGGTCACGTATAGAAGAATTTCGAGGCCGATGCATGACACAGACTTCCCCACATGGAAAAGAAGGCTTAAAAAGCGCGCCAACAGAGTCCAGTACTTGCCAACACCTCGGCCTCAGCCATTGCAGCACAGGCAGTCATGGGTTGACCATCGCATTTGCATACAAAAGAGTTTCTACGACTCTCATTCTTTCGGAAGCCATGAATATATGCCCTTCCGTTTTTTTATAAAGCCCAGGACATGATATGACTGTCCACTGCCAGCTGCCAACTCAACTGTCAGCTGCCAGCCAGCCGCCAACTACCTAGGTACCAACTGCAAACGGTCGCTCACCTGCGTTGCCCCGGGCGTTGTACCCCACCAGAACAGGGACCGGACCTGAGGGACTCTCCCCGCTCTAACTTTTTCCACGTTACCGGTTTCCGCTCCTCTCTCCGGGCTCGAGGCCGCCGCGGCACCTTGCTGTTACTTCAACTTTGACCCCTACACTCAACTAGGTTCAATAATGTCGCCCTGACACCCGCCACGTAGACTTGATCCTTTTTTTTCACTATTTTACTTAACATGGGTCCCAGCTCTGTTCTTTGCTGACATGTCTTCGCCTCCCGTCGCCAGCATGGACACAAAACCGTCCAGAGTCAAGCGCACACTGACCGAGGAGCAGTTGGACAAGAAGCGCAGTATCGACAAGATCAAGCACCGCGAGAACCGCGCCGAAAATAAGGCACGCCTTGAAGCCATTGAGCGCGATGTATCCTTTCTCCGCCACAACATTGGCGACCTCGTCTTGCAGCTTCGCCAGCTCAATGTTGTCCAAGCGCCGCCTCAGCACCGCCTGCCGCCTGTCTTCTCCCACAGCGGCCCGTCAACCTCCTCTCAGGACCACTTGCACAACCTATCCAATCCAATTCTGAGTCTTACCAAGCCGGAATCATGGAATTCACCCCCAGGCTCAGGCCCGGCCCCGGTCGACGCCGCCGCCGCCGCCGCCGCCTTTTACACCTCGGCGGCCGATCACAGCACCACCGAGCGCCTCTACGCCCAGCACACCTTCCCGCAACGGCCCCTCGAGGCGCAAATGGACTTGGAGGCGCTGCTGGCCGAGGTTCGCGACCAGGGACTCATGATCGAGTGCCGCTGCGGCAGGCCGCACAGCGCCGACGTGCAGTGCACCGAGCGCATTGCCGTCATCATGGCCGTCGAATTTAGCAGCATCTCTAGCCACAACAGCCAACGCGTCATGACGGCGCCGCGCAATCCTACCCTGCCGGAAATGCTGCTGCACCACACGGACATGTCGAATCCGCTCGCGGCTATTGTGTCATCTATACTGCGGCAGTACGACATGACGCACATTGACTCGCTGTGCGGCGTGTTTCTCCTGGCATATAGACTTTTACGGGCAAGTATCCCCATCAGTTATACATGTGCTGGGTAGCCATTACTAACGTGCGTGCAGTGGCGCTACTACCCTTCGGCCGATTCCATGGCCGACGTACCTGCGATTATGCGTCCGACGCCGGCGCAAATGACAATATCGCATCCCAAGAGCCTTGACTTCATCCCATTTCCCGCGCTGCGCAACTATCTGTGCCTCAACCAGAACAAGGACGCGCGGCACTCGGTGGACCTATACCTGCGGTCGCTGCGCCTGGTGCTGCCGCCGGGCCAAAGCCTGCTGACCAAGACGGAGCGCGGGTGCGTCGAATTGAATCCGGAATTTGAGATGATGGCGTCGGACGTGCGGAACTGGGACATGGGGCCGCCGTGGTCAGAGTGTTTTCCGCATCTGCGACAGTTTTTGTATTAAGTGTGGGAGTTGGATGTGTTTTACGGCACCCTTGACAATGAACAGTTTTTGTATCGAGCATGGCGGTGGGACGCGATATTACGGCATATTTCTGGATAGCGTGGACGGCTATTCATTATTTGAAGACGGTTTTGTTGGTGGCGTTTTCGGGAATTTTCCAATGACTGGATGGTTCTGGGTTGAGTATCACAAAGCCGTGACATTGACGACTGCATTTCTGTCAATATGTACATATTCTGGCTGACATGTTTCGCACATTCAAATTTTTGAGAATATTTGATAGCAATAAATCCTTTTGACAAGAATCTGACTCGCTGTCGAGGCTTGGCTATTGATTTACACTGCCTGATTGACGTGTAAAGGTGTCCACCACGACATTACATATATACGTCATGCTTGCGATGCAGCCTTTATTAGTAGACTGTCCTTTCTATTCACAATACGCTTCCAAAGCCCCGTAGATGACGTGAAAAATCTCACCTGCCCGAATAAGCAATCTAGCAACGCAGTCATCCGCTTCCACATGAAGCTGCCACGTCAAGCGCCACAAGCCAAGCGGCGGCGCCACACTTTAATAATAAGTTCATGCCCAAGTACGGAGCACCGAACAAAGATAAAGTGGTTGCTAGCTTTGAGCGCGCCGCGACTAAAAAGGCTTCTTTGTTACGCGACGAGTACCCTTTCCCTTGTACCACCTGGGACAGATTCCCTACTGCAACCCTCCTTGCGCCCTTTGTATTTTTTTTTCATCTATTCTGTATTCTTGCGACCATTTCTCTTCCTTTCTTTCCTAATAAATTACTCTCTTTCCTCATCACAGCCACCCCCCTACGGCACACACATTACAGCCTCCCACACACACACCCCGCTTTGCTGTGCCGATTTGCAAGGGGCCGACCGACGGTCGCAAAGCCACACACCACAACCTACCTACCTCACACCCAACCACCACTACCACTACCACCACCAGCACCACCACGGGCATTCTTTTCTTCTTTCCCCTTCTTCTGCGACACGCGACCTCCTGTGACAAAGTGCACCGCAACAAAAAGTGACGGCGGATGTATCGTCGTCTGATTTCTTACGCGCTGGACGACTCTGCGGCCCCAACGACAGGTCTGCACCACCTGCGATATTAGCTACCTAGAGCTCCAGCTCCTCCTACCTACCACACGACACGCGACACAATCGCCGCCGACAGCCAAAAACCGACACGCATCATGGCGCTCATTACAGGCAAAACCATCATCACCTCCGTCTCCCTCTTCCACCTCACCATGGCCTATTTCATGCTCTTCAACCCGCAAACTGTCGACGACCAGATCCTCGTCTATATTCTCGGCCGCAGCATGGGACTGGTACGCGCCCCTCTCCCTCCCTGCGCACAGTATCACCAGATACAAGCCCTCTTCCCCCCCCCCCCCCATATTGCCGCGCGCATCACTAAATCGTTTACAGCCACCGGCCCGCGGCCTTGACTCGCCATCCCCTGCCCTCGCCTTTCTCGGCGTCGTCCTCGCCTTACTAGGTCTGAGCGACCTCGTCTCCCTTTCCATGCCCGAGGAGCTGGGCGCGCTCTACTACTGGGGCACCCAAGGTAAATCTCTGGTTTTTAGTTTTCCTCGCTTAGCTCGCGTTTATTTCTCTTTGATTAGTTCTCGCTTTGCTGGCTCGCTTACCGCCAGCAGAAACGGGGAAAAAAAATGCTAACACATCAAAACCACAGCACCCGTTAGATTCATCTTCTCCATGACCCTTGTGTTTTACAGCTACACCTTTGGACCGACGGGCCCCTTGGGCGTCTACACAAACGGCACCAGCCGTAAACCGGGCTTCTTTGGCGGCGGGGGCGGCTCTGCGACTGACGGCCTCAAGAATCGTGTCATCTTCACCTTTGTCTTCATCGAGATGGTCGCGTGGTTCTGGCTTTGGGTCACGCTGCGCGAGGAGCGCGTGGGCGTCGTGGAGAGACTGCGGAAGCAGCAAGAACGCAACGCCCGGTGAATGACAAGAGTAGCCGTGTGTGTGTATGTGTGTGTAAGCAGAAGAGGAGGAGAAAATAGGCACGGGAACGACGGGTGTTTTGACGCAGTGCAAAACGGAACGAAGACGAGGAAACACTTTGTATACTAATGTAGCAACAATGAGAAACGAGTAATGGTGGGAGGTCGTCGAGGTTCCATGTCGGCACCGCTAATGCCGCGGCATCACTGAGACGTGTGCGACGATGACGGTACGCATCTATTCGGTACTGGGCGCTTGCATTCCCCTCTTGCCCTTTTCTTGCTAAACGCAGCACATGTGCGACGGCGAGTTATTCCGAGCACCTTTCCCGTGACGGCGTTTTTTTTTCTTCTTCTTTTAAAACAGCTGTGCCCCGGTCAAGATGATGATTTCACTCCCATCTCAAACCGTGCTGTCCATACATACGACACACGCATTACAACAACCCCGAGGCAAAACCAGCCTGCGACGACTCTTTTTCTTTCGCCAAGAAGAGGAAAAAGAAAAAAGGGCACTCTCGCTTCTCGAAACATGTGGTGCTATATCGTCCCTCTTGCGCCGCCGCCGCCGCCTCCTCCTCCGCCCATGGCGCTCGTAATCCCCGTCTACCCCGCGCCGACCGCGGTCTACGCCCCGGCGCCCCCGATGAGCCTCACGTCCAAATCGCACTGCACTACTCGCTGGAGCGACGGAACGACACGCAACTGCCATACCACTCGCTGGTCAGGCTACACCTCGTATCCATATTGGTAGAGAAGTCTCCCCCAGGCGGGCGGGCCTGACCTGGCCACCGTCATCGTGTATGAGCCTCTCTGCGTTGCCTCCTACGATTATATATATACACATACATACAAGTCGAAGGATACCCTGGAGGAGGAGGAGGAGGAGGAGAAGAAGAAGTATCGTGACGCATGACACTGTTTCGTCGCTAGTGAAGAGGTGGGGGGAGATGGGGTTTGATACGCTCGTGCATTTGTGCTTACACCAGCCGGTATGGTGTATTGGACGTTTGAATGTCGGCTCTTGGGAAGAGGGGGGTATTGGCATTAATTTACACAGGCTTGTCGTAAATGGTCATGGAGTTTTTTTGTCGGCAATGTTGGAATTCTTCTATTTCATTCTATTTTATTCTATGCAACTAGTACTTTCTTACAAGCAATATTGAGGGAAGCAGCCACGTCTTGGTAATATCATTTGCTGCATTTTGGGGTCGTGTAAATGTTGCTTTGTCAGAGAACATAATTACAGCAGCACATCTTGTCCATTCTTTTTTTTTTCCGACAAGTGTCCAAGTACAAAGTCCGACAGAGTCAAGCTCATCGCCCATGGTAAAGGCCATTTTGAAACAGAAAGGCGGCAGTTTTTCATTCTTCACTGGCGCTTGTGCGTCCAATGTCCCAGCCTCGTGTGACTGTTTGAGGTAAATGGCCAACTTCTTCAACGGGGATGGATAGCCGGCGCTTTAACTTCTGACAACTGTCCCACCTGTACGACGGACCCTTTTCTTTTTCCTTTTTTTTTTTGCTCTCTCTTTCTTTTCTTCTTCTACATATTTCCCTCCCTCGCAGACCGTTTACAGCAAAGAGCAAAGTTTTGCATGGCCTTCATTGGATATGAGCGGCAGCGTTGTCAAGGCGCAAATGCATCGCGGGACTAGCGCATTAAACCGACAAGCTCTTTAACGGGTGCTAACGACTTGGTAGCTGGCCAACGATTCTTTTTCTTTTTTTTTTTCCACCTGAATAAATGCTGTCTGGTTCCATCTGCAACCTCAAAATTAAACATGTACAGCACAGATGAATCAGTTTGCGCGAGGAAGATGCCGCATTCGAGTTCTCGGATCCTCGGGCTTATTACTTTGGTGACGATTGGTGGGCCCCTAAAGTTAACGGTGACGCATAACGCTATTCCTGGACGGGGCATGTGAATGTCGAGGAGATCCGGAGACTTTTCCTTTTTTTAAAGAAGAAAATACATAAAAAAAAGTCTAGTTTTTTATTCCAGATAGTTGGGCTGGAGAAATTCATCAGTGATAATAACAAGGACAATGCTCCGGGACATCGAGGGCAGCGCGGATGAGGGTCGATGTTCCGTGCCACCCTCAGTTGCATCGCAGTTGCATCACGGACCTTGATGGAAAGAACAGCCCCCAACAAAACCAAGCCTTGCCAAGAATGAGTGGATAACATTTCCACCTAGCTATAGCTACAGCTGCTTGTTGGCAAAAGCTTTAAACTTGCTATTGCCGAGTTTTCCAGAGTGCTTTTTCTGCGGGCCTTGTACCCAGCCCCAAGACCATTTGCCCACGCTTTCCCGAAAGAGAAGACGGTCATCGTCATCGATCGCGCATCAACAAGCGAAAAGTTCTGGGGGCCACTCAACTATTCGCCCCCCTCGATTGCATCGCAAAAAATCCGGTTTCACATTGTTACGCGGCCCGGAGGCCTATTTCCCCAAAATTAAGAGTTCATATAAACCGCCTCAAGTACCTCTCTCGCTGCCCGTTTACATTGGCCCATTCTTGTCCCAAGAACATTATCAAACGACCAAATTCATCAAAACATAAAATCACCATGCATCTGCCTACTTCTCAGCAACTCCTCACCAGCGGCCTCGCCCTGACCAACGTCTTTGGTACATTCTCCCCCTCATTCCTTTCAATTCTACAACACCCTTTGCTGACACTCCGTAGCTGGCGACACCGTCTCCAAGGGCAAGGTCCTCGACTACGCCGTCGAGAAATGCATCGATTCAGACGGCAACGTCCGCTGCTCCAAGCCCTTCCCCGTCAAAGAGGACGGCTGCTACCACCTGTCTTGGACCACCGACGGCACCCTTTCCCACACCACGGTCGAGGTGCGCGACGCCGGCTCCGGCGAGATTGTCTACTACCGCGACACAAACGGCAACTGGAAGCCCGAGAAGAATGAGCTCGTCTACCTCGATTTCAAGCCCAAAGTCTGGAAGACAGGCAACGACACGGTCGAGTACGAGGTGACGAACTGTGAGAACAATGAGTTGTAAAAGAGCAACAACCAAGGGGGATCACCGAATACAGGGCATTGGATAAGAAAATCAGTACCTGATGTACATGACATATATGAAATACTGGCAACAGCTCCGTAATAATCAAATAGCGTATACTTGTACATGATACAACTGCTAACACATTGTTTTTTTCTTCAAATCCAAATCTACAGCGCGCGCTTTGCATAATCCTTTCCATGTATATATTGCAGCATTTTGTAGCTGCAAATCAGCCCGTAACTCGATAAGTCTGAAACAAGTGGGTATAGTCGGTTCCAGCAGAAATAAAACGTCAAAGAGGTCGACGAAAAAAGAAGAGGGAAAAGAAATAAAGAAAAAGGGGGGGTCAAAAGAAGAAGGTAGAAAGAAAAATAGTAAAAGAAATGCGCAATGCAAATGCGAATGCGGATTCGTCAACAGAAAACATTACTTGACCCCAACAGCTGGATGTGCATCGTCAAGATCCAACGCAGACGGCAACTCGTCATCTTCGATAATCTGCTCCTCCACAATCTCACCCGGTCCCCCCACAATCGGATTAAACGCCTCCACCTCTTCAATCTCCTCATCTTCTTCCACAACGCGATCCTCGTCCTCTTCCTGAATCTCCGGAATAGCCACGTCGGTGGATCTTCGCATGCCGGAGCCGCTACCGCTGCGCGAGTGCGACCCCGCGCTCGACGTGCGCGATGAAGACGAAATCGTCGGCAAGTTCAGGCTCGGGCCTTTAAAAAGGTTTCTCTTGCGCTTCGCAAATTGCACGCCCCCGGCGAACGGGTTCGGCGACCCAGGCGCGCGGCTGCTGCTGCTGCTGCCGCCCGGCATGCCCTCATTGTACAGCTGCAGCGGGGCCGGCGCGGGCGAGCCGCGGACAAGACGAATGTTGGAGGGGAATGCGTGCGAAGTTGGTGTGGCGGGGAGCACCTTGACCGAGTGGTGCGGCGAGTGCGTCCGGCCGAGCGGCGTCTTGGATGCTGACACGGATCTGGTGGAACTAGTCGAGGAAGCCTTGGAGTGTGTGTGGTGGTGGTGGTGCAGGGAGCGAACCGACGAGACCGACGAAGACGTCGATTTACGACCCCGCAGGCCAGCCGATGATCGACGCACTGTCGACCGAGGCGTCATGGGCGCGGGTGAAATAGATTGTCGCTTGTACGAATGTGAGTTGTTGCTCGAAACACGCGGTCGATGTGGGTGCGACGGCGTCAGGCTACTCGTGGTGCTGCTCCTAGACAGCACCCGGCGACCTGGCGAAGCTGCCTTGCCATAGTGCCCGTTGGCCACCACGCCCTTGGGCAGCGGCGCCGTACCGTGGGAGCCTGCGCCGCTCGTCGAGTTTGGATACTTGCTCGTCTGCGGACGAGGGCTCACATCCTTTTCCGTGTTTTTCCGTTCCTTGTTATGAAGATCAGGCGTGCTCCTGCTCGCGTGACGTTCGTGGCCCTTGCGCCGCACTTTGGCATTCTCCTTGAACCAGTGCGTCCAGTGCTTCCAGTGGGCCATGATGCTGGGCTTCTTCTTCCACTTGGAGATGCCGTTGGCCTTGCCGTTGCTCATTTCCCCAGGGCTGGGCTGGGCTCTGCTGTTGAGGGAGTCAGCTGTTGTGATGAGATGCAGTGTTGATCCGCGTGACCTTGCACTGCGAATCACGCCTTCCTTAGGCGGCGGTATAGGTCGATAATGAGAAGTTGACACGGACCGGATAGACTGATTATCGGCTGGTCGCGCAGACTCGCCTCCGCTCGCCGAGCCATTCTCCCGAGCCACTTCAGTAAGCTCCGGAAGGTCTGTTATAGTAATGTCGTAGTATCCTGCGCTTCGTCTGTCGCTGCGGCCGCGTCTTTGCGAGTGTTGGTCTCCGATTCGGATGAACTGGGAAGTGAGACCAGAATCCTCGTCAACATCCTGTAGAGTCGGGGCTAGGCGCTCAAGCCGGCTGGATGCGGCCGACAGACGGCGCAGACTTCGCTCAGTCTCCTTTTCTCGACGCTTGATTTCGCGCCGCTTCATTTTGCGCTCCTCTTTTTCCAGCAATAAAATCCACCATCCAGTCAGCGCATCGCATCGCTGCGACAATACGCTCTCAATCACCGCGTCAATATCCACGCCAGCACTTCTCATGCGTTGCAAACAGTCCTTTTCTAAAGGCGAGGTGAATGGAGGTTGTGGCATGATTTCGAGGATAGCTTGCTGGGCTGGGGCATGTTCGGCTAGAAATGGGTGAGCCAATATCTCTGGCAAGCTGGGTCGCAAAATCGGTCGTTTTGAAAGGAGCGACTTGATCAGCGCCACGGCATCGGGCGACAAGTGGTCCGGATACTTTGGTTCCTGGCCAAGAATTCGTGATCGCGTGACATTGTCGTCGTCGTCGTCGAATGGCAGCTCGCCACAGAGCAGCGAGTAGAGAATGATGCCCAAACTCCAGACGTCGACCTTTTCACCAGCATACTTTTCGCCCTTGAGCATTTCGGGGGCCGAGTAGCATATCGTTCCGCAAAAAGTCTGAAGGTGGTTCACCCTGCCCTCATATTCTCGCGTGAAGCCAAAATCTACCAACTTGACATTCTCGTGCTTATCAAAGAGTATGTTCTCGAGCTTGAGATCGCGATGCACGCAAGACTGCAGGTGGACGTAACTAACGGCGCCGACGAGCTGGGCAAAAATCTTTTGCACCTTGTCGATGGCGAGCGGGCCGTGGTCGAGTAGGTAGTTGTACAGCTCGTCGCCTGTAGTACATTAGCATGCGGACCCGACCGTTGTCGTGTGGCACAGCTTACCAGAGCAGTATTCCAGAACAAGCCATACCAGGTTCTCTGTAACTATGACTTCGTAGAGGCGGGCAATATGAGGATGGACAAACTGTCGGTGGTGGTGGATTTCGCGGGCGAGATTCGAATCGCTCTTGTTGGCCGACTTGAGAACAACCTGTAAGGGCGTAAGCAAGGGTGGCAGGGGTAGGCGGCGCAAAGAGAGAGCAGCGCACCTTGGAGCCATTGGTGAGCTTGTGGGTGGCTAGATAGACTTTTCCGAAAGAGCCTTTTCCAATCAAGCGGCCAAGAGTATAGTTCCCGACCGATTTGAGATCGCTGCTCGAGAATTCGCTGGAGGCTGGTTAGCGGGCGCGGTCGAGGCGATGTCGTTAGAAGGTGATTACTGACTTGAGCAGCTCCTGGTAGGAATTCGCCAGCTAGAGAAGACAAATAAGAGTAAAAAGTCAGCATTATCGATGCGATTTGCATTGTCAGATACGAATGGCCTGTCCGGGGCGCATGCAGCACCGCCAAACAAACAAGAAAGAGGCAAAGCAGTCACAGGGGTGGTGGGCGCAAGTGACGTACCTTGGTCCTACGGCCCTGGTGGTCGGGCTTGCCTTTGGCGGCCGCCTGCATTGCGGTGCAGTCGATTCACGGTGCGAATGTAATCGGGCAGCGTCGAGTCGAAAGAAAACGCGTCGCTGACGTTGGGGAGGGAGAATTGAGGTTGAAGATCGGATGCGCGAGAGATGGCGGTGGTGGGCGCGTTTAACCCTTTCTTTTGCGCCGGGCAGGGGTATGTGTAGTGGCGTGAGGATGCTGCCACCGAATTGCAGCGGACTGAATCAAAAATGAAGCCGGTCTGCCCATCCAAAGAAAAGAAGAATGATGCTGAACAAGTAGGAAAAGGAATGGACGCCGTAAATCGGGCTGGATGGGGAGAGGTAGAGCGAGAGGGAGAGACAAGAGACAAGGCCTGCGCGAGTGTTTGATGATGGACTAGAAGGACTAGAAGAGCGGTGGAACGATGCGGCCGGCCAAGCAAGTCCATGCCAGGGCTATTTTACAAGGAAACCCCGCGCAAAGAGGCTATTTTCCACTTTCCATCTATTTCATCTATTGACCTAATAGTTAGTATTTTTAGCTCTTTTCGCGCAGATTTTGGCGTATCAAAACAGCCTGCAAACGCGCCAGCCAATATAATCAAAGTTCAATCCATGGCGTCACAGTGCCTCGTCAGGCAGCCTCAGGCTATATCAGGCACTGATTTCAGCCTCCTTCACCTTCCTCTCCTCCTGCCCAAAAGCCCATCATTACCACCAATGACCTCATTTGCACCTGATATCATCTCCTCAATATTATTATGTTCACCTATTTCTTCTTTATTTATTACAATTCCAGTTTCCAACGTTTGCAGCTTTTCTCTTCCTATCGTCAACTCCCCATTGAATCCAATAGAGCAGCAACACTATGCAGGACCTAGACGCCATGCAATGAAGCAAGTGTACAAAATCATGGAGAAAAACAATTCCCTATGCAGTGGCGTCACTATTTACTAATACAGCCCTCCTCTTTGAAACGCCCGGGTAGTATACCCAAAAATAAAAAGGGGGAGGGAAACCAAATCACCGCTTTCGCGTATCCTTACCCTTCTTCTTCGCCTTCTTTTTATCCCTAGGCAGATCCAGCTTAGTGTACCGCAGCGCTTCCCGCATAAACGCCAGCATAAACTCGTCAATCGTTCCTATCCGCTCCCCGTACGCATTAAGCTCCACCTCCACCACTTGCCCGTCCTCGCCAAATTCCACGTCTGCCTTGTCCAGCGGCGTTCCTTGCCGTGCTGTCGAGGCTCCCGACGCTTGGCCGCTCGCCTTTTCCGTGAAATCAGCATCGTCGTCGTGTATTTCCTTTTCGGCTACACGAGCCGCCGCCACATCTTCTCGGTCTTCGGCCTGCTCCAGCGCTCTGCCCACGGTACGCTGATCACGGCTGCTATCTGGGCCGCCCAGCACACGATCCAAAGCAGCATCTGCCGCAGACACCCCTTCGCTTGTGTTGTCGACCTTGTCCGCCAACACATCCTTGATGGACAGTTTATTGAAGTAGTCTGTAGTAAACTCTCCCTCTTGGATGACAACATCGTCGAGCATCTGCTTCTGCGACGCCTTACGCAGAATATTGGCCTCAATCGTGTGCTCGCTGACCAGTCGGTAAATATGCACATCTCGCGTCTGGCCAATGCGATGACATCGATCCTGGCACTGCTTGTCCATGGCTGGATTCCAATCCTGGTCGTAGAAGATGACCGTATCCGCACCAGTCAGGTTGATGCCCAGTCCACCAGATCGCGTCGATAGAATAAAGCACAAAATGCGTGGGTCCCGGTTGAAACGATCAGTCAGAATTTGGCGTTGCTCAACTTTGGTCGCACCATCCAGTCGCAGGTATTTATGTCCGTGGATATTCAGAAATTGCTCTAGAATATCCAGTACCTTTGTCATTTGCGTGAAGATGAGCGCACGGTGGCCTCCAGACTGCAGCTTGCGCAAGAGTTTGTCGAGAGCTTGCAACTTTCCGCAATCATACTGGAGTAGCCGCTTGTCTGGGAATTGGATCGTATGCCGCATTCTTGCTTCGTGCCACGGGTCCGGCGGCGTCTGCTTTGGCAAAAATGGTGCCCAACGCACTGGTGCAGACAGCTTCAAGTCCTCGTCAGTAAAGCGCACGGCAGCCTTGCGACCTAGCAAGACCTCGTTCATGTCTCTCGTCACCACTGCTGGCGTCACACATGTGAACTTTTCAATCAGTAGCTTGTACTCATCTGCACGCTCATCCAGGCTAGGCGTAAGTGCATTGATATACGACGACTCATCCTCGAACCAGCGCATGATGAACTTGGATAGCTTTGGGCGAGGTCGACAAGGTCGTTTATGCGCATCCATTGTCAGCATTTGTACCAAGTTGGATCCATATATGGGCTTCTGCTGGCGCCGAAGCGCATTGACATAAACTGAATGCTGCAGTTCCTCGAATCTGCCCCAGCGCGAAGCGCTCTCTAGATAGCCCACAGTGGACGCCACCGTCAGAGGATCCAAGTCCGAATATGCGAGCTGTGCCCGAACACGCTGCGCTTCTTTCATATCAATCATGATGCGGTACGAGCTGAGCTGAGCAACACGATCACAGGCAGCACTCGACTGCGACTCATGCTTCGTCGGCACTAGATTGAGGAAACCAAGGTCAACTTTACGCATGGGATTGTCTTTCAATAGAATCCGCTGCACACGCTGCTCTGTCACTTGATACTCTGCCGGTACTGAGCTTCTTTGGCGAAACGACGTCATAATCGGCCGGTCGATGAATAGATCCGGATGATTGCACACTTTACGCAGTTGCATCAGGCAGTTGATGATGGACAGGTAGTTGCCAGACGACAGTGTTTCCTTCGTATCGGATCGGGAAAGGAAGCCGTCATATAATTCACGTTGACGCTTCGAAAGTCGGCAGAATTCAACGTGCTCATACTTGGCTGGCATCTGCTTCTCCACATCGGCCTTCAACCGCCGCAGCAGATATGGTCGTAGGACTTTGTGGAGCTTGGAGATGATGGCCTTGGCTTCCTCGTCCATCTGCTCGCGTCCACTCTCCAAGATCTGAGATTCAGGCTTGTGAAACCACTCGTGGAACTCTTGAAGGTCCGCGAACCCGCCCTCGCCATTTTGTGCAGGCATGAGGAAAAAGAGTAATGACCAAAGTTCCGTTAGGTTGTTTTGGAGTGGCGTGCCAGTGAGCAACAATCGAGCTCGGGTATTGAAACCGAGCAAAGTCTGCCATCGCTGTGACTTGAAGTTCTTGATGTTGTGCGCTTCGTCCAGAATCATGTAATGCCATCGCCGACGTTTGAACACTTGCTGGTCCTGGAGCACCAGCTGGTACGAGGTGATGCACACGTTCCATACATCATCGTTATTCCATCCTTGTCGCTTTCTCTTTCTTTCGTCTTGGGTACCGTAGTAGGCGAGAATCTTGAATCCAGGGCACCACTTTTTGAATTCCATCTCCCAGTTGAGCATGACACTGGTTGGCACAATAACCAGATGCGGTCCCCAAACTTCATGTTGATCGGCCAGATGAGCCAGAAGAGCAATTGTCTGAATCGTCTTGCCTAGACCCATTTCATCTGCCAGGATACCATTCGTGTGATTGGCATACAGTCCTGCGAGCCAGTCCAACCCATCTCGCTGGTACTCACGCAGAGTACCTCGCAACAGGAAAGGTACCTCAGTCTTGTTTGTCGATTGTTTGCTGGGAGACTCCGATCTGGTCTCATCCACAGTGCTCTTGATTGGCACAAGCGCCGAAAGCGATTCCACTTCGGAAGCCTTAGCATTAGTCGTATCTGGCGACTGGCTGGGCTGCGACATTCGCGGGTTCGAGATCTCATCTGTCTTGGGGCTCACGAGATTGTGCTCAAGATCTTCCTCTCCACCTACATCCACCATTGTTTCCATATCCTCCTCTGGTTGCGCTGCCACTGGTACAGCCTCTTCTTCCACCGGCTCTTCGTCCAAGTCCATCGCATCAGCTTCAACCGGGCTCGTAGGCAGGTTCTCTTCATCGCTGTGTTCGCCGTTCACCAAGCTTTTAATCTCGCTCTTTTCAACTGGCTGCTCTACGGTAGGCTGGTTATCCGCTGGCTGCATTTCGGCTTTTTCAAACGCATCCGGGTGTTGTATCAGAGTGACTTCGTCGTCATCCTCGAAAGCATCGCTAAAGTCGGACTGTTCCTGTTCAGCGTCGACTGTCAAAGCTGGTTGGTAATCGTCATCTGCAGCTGTAGGTGCTTCACTATCGACTTCTTGCTCAAGCTTCTTAAGCTCCGATTTGTCAAACAAGAGTCCCAGCATGCCCCCAACGTCATCTTCAGATACTTCTTCCTCCGACTCGCCACTGCCAGCAGCTTCGCCCATGTCGCTGGACCCTAGGTCATCATCCATATCAATCGATTCGTCAGTCGTCTCGGCACCGACATCAGTTGTTTCTGCACCAAGTTGTGTCGTCGCAGCGTCGGTGGGTGCATCAGTAGGCGCGTCTGTGGCATCTTCGTTGCTACCGGGGTCTAAGTCGGGAATGTTGGCGTATTTCAAGCGCAATTGCTCTTGCGTCAGTCCCTCATCCGCAGCATCCTTGACATCCTCGCCGTCCTCGTCTTCCGAAGATGACATGACATCGCTGTCTTCGTCGGAGTCGTTTTCGCTACCTTCGTCGGATGCTAGATCAGAGTCACCCTGCTCGAGGACACTGATGTCGTCGCTCATATCATCGCTGAGATCATCAAAACCGTCATCGTCAGACAGCGGCTCCGAGTCAAGACCAGCTCGTCGAGCTTGAAGCTTCTGCTCAGAGAGATTTACTGCTTCGTTCAAAGCAGCTTTGACTCGCTTCTGTTCTTCGACTTCCCATTCCTCGAGGCGCTGTTTGTTAACGTAGGCGCGCACATTCTCCCAAGTACCGGTCATAGCTTTCAAGACTTGTTTGTATCGAGCAAGGCATAATTCTCGGGCTTCCGCCTCCAATTGTTCTGCTGACTTCGGCTGCCGTCGTATCCATTCATCGCGGCAGGCTTCTGCAAGCTTTTTGGCGACGAATCTATGCCGCTGCTGTTCTGCCACAAGCAGCTTCCGGAAATTTGCGACGGCCTTTACTAGGTGATCTTGACGGGCCCACTGCCTGGGAACATCGTCGTCTCCTTCTGGCGCAAACAATGAGCAGCGGCCAGGCGCAAGTAAGCCACCAGGAGTTAACTCGTCTTCAATTCTCATGATTATTCTGGCATCTCTCAGAGCCAGTTCGTCTGTATAGTATGGGCCATCTTCTGAGGCTTGTAGCCCACCTTCCTCAACTGGAAGACCACCAGCACGCGCCCAAAAATCTTCGAAGCTGGCGCCGAGCTTGGGTCGTTTTGGTACTTGGCCAGGGTGTACTAGTGGTATCTCTCCAGAGCCAAGAGCACGCAAAACGTTTCGGGGTGATCGTTTCAAATCGATTCCATCGTTAATGTCGGTATCGGTGTGTCGAGATGATCGGGTCGGTCGTGTGGAGTGACGTGTGTAAACTGGGGGAGGAGAAGGCGAGCGCCTTCGAGCCCGTGTCGCGGATTTTGGTGTTGCAGCTGATTTCTTGGCTGATGATTTTGATGAGGAGTTTGGAGCAGGCTGTGAGATTGACGATTTGCGAGTCTGGCGCGAAACAGGGGTTGCTGCTGCTGTTCGCGATAAGCGTGATGACGCCGATCGTTCCCCCTTTTTGGGCGTCTTGGTCTGTCCACCAAGAGAACCTCTAGTTGTGCGTCTTTTAGCTGGTGGTTGCAGGTCCAAGGGAAGCAGATTGATGCGCCCGGACTTGCGACGGCCGTTCTCCGTGAAAGACGTTGGTCCATCTGCAGCCGCCTGCTTCCAAGGTGGGGATATCGGCTTTGGCTTTCGTGCACTGGATGTCGGCGTCGTATCTCGAGTTCTCTGTCGCTTGGCCGGGCGTTCGGAGTCGTCGGGGTCGTGATTTTCAGCATCGTGTCCGTTTGGGGCCAGGGCCGCGTTTTCGGGATGGTGTCCATTTGTTTGAACGACCACAGAACCACCGTTGGACAGTCGTTCGCCTGACTGCGGTTCATGGACACCGTTCTGCTCTGGTTTGAGGGTTGGGGGATCCTCACGGGGCTCAGGCTTGCGTGGCGACGCGGTGTCGGCCATGCTCACGACACGGGGCCAGGCAGAGTGGGAGGCGTTGAGTTCCGCGCGGATGGCATTTATTGCAGAACTTCAAAATCTACAGATGCGTGATGTATCTCCGAGGTTCTGCACAAAGTCTGCCCATGATTTGCGTTCCATAGGCGGCGTAGAACCTCAATTCTGCTGGTCGGCGATGACGCGGGTAAAACTTTTTGGCGTGATGATGATGGTTGAATACTTGCCAGAGCGCGCTGCACCAAGTTGGAGACGAGCATATTCTAGTGGCAACCTCCCTAAAAGACAAGGTAGATAGGTACCTACCTAGGTAGGTAGGCAGCAACCAGGAAGTGTTGGTGGGGCTTTTAATGGCAGCATAGCTGGGGGGGGCAAACAGCTGCCATATTGTAAAAGATGTGCCCAATGAGAAAAGACGAAGAATGGTGAGAAAATAGACAAACTTTCTTACTGACATTTGATGCCGTCAAGACACTTTGATTTCTGCTTTTTTTAGTACTGCTCCGGGATTGCCATTCTTGCCGTAGGTGAAGCAAGTCCCAACCTGGTTAGCCAGTGGTGTCGCACGATACTTTGTTATGTCTGCCTCAGGCACCAATTCTTACACAGAACCTCAACGCCAAACCGACCTACGCTCGACAACTTGTCTGGCAAAGTATCGATTTCAGAGCTAATTGGTCGCCGCAACGCATTCAATTCGCTCAACGTGCGTCGCTATACCCTTTTCCTTGACTGCATTGTACACTGATGACTAACTTCGAGGCCCGGCTGCAGATGCTTCCCCAACGAATTGTGCGCTCCTCGGCCCTGCGCAACAGCCTCGCCGCTGCCCGCCGCGCACCCATCATCCAGCGCAGAGCTTACCTGCCGACACACTATGCCGACAAGAAGATTCTTGACGAGAAATACCCAGACCCTCACACGATGACCGAGGCCGAAGACCCGGGCATGGTCAGTTGAATCGACTCAGCGATAACCGGTGCACTTCCGTTAACGTTGTACAGAATGGCGGCTACATCAACCCTCCCCGCGTCAAGCGACAGCACCGCGATCCATATGCTCAATGGTGGGATCCTCAGGAGCGCCGAAACTTTGGTGAGCCGGTCCACGAAGATAACGATGTGCTCGGCATCTTCTCGCCTTGGGACTACACCTGGACCACAACCGGCCCCGGCCTCATCATGATAAGCACCTTTGTTGCTACCTTCCTCGGTGTTTGTGGACTCGTCTATCTAAACTACCCCGACAGGCCTTCGTTTCCCCGTGAATTCGAGGGTGGTCTGGAGAAGGAGCTTGGTGGGCCTGGTGCCGTGAGAGTAGGTCTCAAATAATTGCTACGGCCTCTCCGAACGCCGCTAACCTTCTTTCTAGGCACGCATGGAGGGAGACGAGGAGCCTTGAACCTCACAACAAAGACTGAATTGAAGTTTCTTTTGTACATAAACAGGCATAGTATCAGTCGAGGAAGGACAGTTGGTTGAGCTTCTTGTCGTTCGACTTTCTGGTCTTCACGGAGCGCCACGAGGCTTAGAGTCGTTGAATAGCATACTACGGGTATGGCTGTATAATATGAGTCTAAAATTCTTCACGAAGAGTGGAATTCCTTAGAAAATACCTACTGTGCCGTGGCGTTTCATTCTAATCGGCGCAGAGATGTTAAAGCTCCAATACTTTGCTATTGTAGATGTTGCAGGAGGAACATGTTTGAAAAACATAGGTAGCTAAAAACCTGCCACTTCCTGGCAGCTGGCAGTGCGTTTGGCAAGCTGCTGACCGCCAACCCTGGTGTCAGCATACTTCACCAGGCAACGACAACGAATCTTCTTCCTCATAGCCATGCTCTTACAGGGAAAATTGGCACCGGAGATCCTTTCCTTCCGCTCAACATGCCATCATTTTGCTAAGGCTGTCCGCTTGAAGCACTGATTGGTCTGGCAGTGGCGGTCCGCCGCACTCTCCATTCGGTGCGTCTACTCCTGCTGCAGTTAGTCCTCGCTTCCCAACCTGCGCCATCGGTTGCTGTGGCATTCCAGCTGATCGTGTGTCGGTTCTGACTCTACTTTTCTAAGTGGCTGACTAAGTTTTGCTCTTTTCATGCAGTCTGCACTGATGTCGACGCCAGCTCGGGCGATTTCAAGTCTTCATTCGTACAATATTCACAGAAGCTCCTCGACCTCTCAGCATCACCTTCGGCTATATACAGTCTTGATCATCATCTTTGGGAAGCACTTTCAACATGCGCTACGAAGATTGGGATATACTTCTGTTCCCACGCGATGGCCAAGTCCCGCTAAAGGAATTCAGAGTAGCCTGCCATGTGGTTCACGACGATGGTAACGCGTCGGCTCATCGAATTTCTACTTGGCTAACAATTTCCTAGAGCTCTCACACATCAACGGCTCCCCTGGACTACCAACTGTCTGTTGTTTCGTTCCCAGTTTACCCCCTGGTGCTCCCTACAAGCTGTCGATACACTCTTGGGCGACACCACCGATAAGCCAGTCCACCCGATCATACGGCAAATTCGCCGATCGAGTTGTCTTTGAGGTCCGCCTGTTTGTAGACGGAAGATTCGTGTCGTGAGTTATCTCCCTCGAGACACCAGCCATTCTCTTCGTGCTGACACTGTCCATAGGTCAGCTTCGATGAATCGAGCAGGGCCATGGCCAAATGTCTTAAAAAACTCGTTTGGTACGCTTTTTTCTCGCAGATGTTGCGCCATGCTAATATTGATAGGGTTTTCTGATGCCGGGGAACTCCCTCTCAGCTTCCCCAAATTTCAACGGGAGCTCCTCGATCAAAGCTACTGGAGTCCAGCTGATGATCTCGGTCGTATCAAAGTCATCATCAGCGAAAGCTACCCGCGGGAGTCCCTTTCTGTGCCTTTCGAGAGACTCAAGAATATTGTAGCATTCTCTTTTCAGCATGCGCCACTCGGTACGACTCGTTTTCCTTAAACCCAACTAATTCTAATGCTACAGTAGAGATACTTGAAAGTTCCGCGATTGCGTGGCCAAATAGCGCAATGTGGCGCGCCATGCCATTTACTGCATCATCATAAACCCTGAAATTTACGACGTCAGATTTGAAATTTGCAACGTGGATTGAACCTGTTATAGACCAGCTTCACATTAGTGACGAGCGCTGCATCAGCGTGGCGGTAACAAATATATCTGATCAATCAGAAGCCAGAGCCTTTCCGGGCCACAGCATCGTGATACGCATAGTTAGTGTGCCTATATTCCTTCCATCAACAACAGAATAACACAATAGCATCAGAATAGCCTCGCTAGCCGTGATACTCCAGGGCTTCTAACAGAGGCAGCAAACGCGGAAGAGGCAGTTTAACGTGGCGGCGGTGGCGGCATCACGGCTCAAGGCGTCAATTAGCAGCCACGCATGGCAGAAAAGCAGAGAGCTCAGCTGCAGGGGAAGTCACGTGGGAGGCCCGGCAAGAGAAATGATACGGTCCGACTACATAGGAAGACTCAATTGAAAGGCAAGTCTGCAAAGCGCATTGTGAATTAGGGCCTATACGATGTTTTGTTTTCTCTAGGCCACTATCCGTATGCCTTTGACCATGGGCCGACTTTCACTCTCGAAGACCAAGGGTCCGCCTGCAGGGCCACTTGCGTCAAGGCTGACCGTGAGCGCCTGTTTATCACTAACAACTCGCACCGTCTCGCCCAGATTTTTCCAGTCGACTTCGATGTTGTGGCCCAGCGCCGCATGCCCCGCGCTTTCGACCCCGCCCCGAGGCGGTGGATCGGTATTGATCTCGCGAATGTCGACGTTCGGATAGGGCAGCCAGCCTTCCTTTTGCGGGATCAGAATCAGAGGAATCTCAGCCTCAGTCGCGGGTGTCGACGATGACACGGCATTGTCGTCATCGTCGGTGCACCCGGGGATGACAAAGTGGCCCTTGCGGCGTCCGCCGATGAGCCAGGTCTCGGCGCTCGCGGAGACGTCGTAGCTAAATTCAAGGTCCTCAGCGCGCGGGCTCTCCGTGTCCCAGATGCGCGTCCACTTGAGGTGCAGGGTTGCATGGAGGACCTGGTTGAGGAAGACTGTGGGCGTGGCGGCGCTATCGCTTGCTGCGTCGTTGTTGATAGTGGCGGGGAGGGGCCGTCGGAGACGGATGTCGGCGGTGTGGACAATGGTGAGGGAGGGGACCTCGACGGGGATGAGGATTGAGGCGGACGGTGCGGCCGAGGCGGCGGCAAGGGCGAGGCGCTTGTGTTCCGCCTGCCACTGGTGCAGGCACGCGGCGAGGCGGTGGACTGTGGGACTGGGGGCGATACCCTGAAGGCGCTTCTCCCAAGGGATGCCGTGGAGGAATGACGTCGACACCGCGCCGAGGAGCGCGGCGCGCTCAAGGTCGCACGGCTGTAGGCTGCGCTTGAGGTCCTTGGCAAGGGAGGCGACGACGGCGCGAACGTAGGGAGCAAGCGAGGCGGCGCGGAGCGCCTCAGAGACGGACGTGCGGATGAGGTTGGCGACTTCGGTCTGCAGCTGCGTGTAGTGCAGCTTAAGGTACATGGTCTTGGCGGCGCTAGTGGCTATGCGGGAGTCATTGTTGCGGTGAATTCGGTAGAGCATGCTGGCAGACTGCTTGGGGAACACGATAACGGGTGGCGCCGCCGCCGCCGCCATGCCCGACGTGGCGGAGAAGAGTTCCGAGTCAAGGAGCTCACTCTTGTAGAGCCGCAGCGGCCCACTCGTGGCGGTGGTGACGTTGAATCGCGAGAAGAGCGCATTGTGCTTGAACACGTCCTGGACGTTGACGCCGACAGCGAGAGCTACAGGGACGCTAAACGTCTTGGCGAGGTGGTAAGACTCATCGGCGTCGGTGACGTAGGTGACCTCGACCTTGGCAAATACATCGTCGAGGTCAAGCTCTGTGGAGAATGGAAAGCGCAAAGTGACAGACGTCTGGGGCGTCATGGCGTTGAAGAGGAAGAGGCCCGACTCGGGCGGCTTGGCTAGCTCGAGAGACGAGTCGACGACGACGGCCTCGGTCGTGAGAAGGCGCAGGCCGCCTGAGCTGGGCTTGATGCGGACTTCGCAGTGCTTGAGTGTGTTCCACCCCGTGCTGATGGAGAGGTCGAGGCTGTTGTTCTTGTCCAGGGACGTATGCTTGGTGGCCTGAAGGTCGACGTCGAGGGCGTCGGCGTGCTGGTAGAGGGTGAGCTCCGGCTGTTTGAAAATGGCCGAGGTAAGTGGCTGGGACGTGTTGACGTCGGCGTCGTAGTGGAGGAAGATGCGGCTAGAATGGAGGCCAAAGTGATTGACTTTGTATTTGCCGGCAATGACAGACTGCATGGTTTAGCAATGTGCAACAGGCAAAGAACTGAAATGAATGCACTCACATTGGTGTACACCGAGAGCTTGTTTTTGCCCGGTTTCAAAACCACAGCACCCTTATTCGCGAAAGTCAGGTCCTTGACGGGACCCTCGTCTACGCCAGATACCTTCAGTTGAACTTTGTCCAGAGTAATGTCGTCAGGCAGCAGGCTCCATATGCCAATTGAGACGGCGCACCCATCACGGCCTTCCTCGTATTTTGGCGTTCCTAGGATGTCTATATTTGTAAAGAAGAGGGGCAATGGTGACCGAACATCGCTGCGCAAAGAAGACGCCAAGTCGCACAGTTTGGCTACAATGCCCTTGATCGGCGAGTCCTCTGATTCCTGCCTGGGTCGCAACTGGCGCGCCGATGAATCCTGAATGCGGGACAGTTCGGCAGAACTCGACATTTTGAGCAGTTTCAGTGCAGCCCTCACATATTCTAGGTTGGCGTTGCGCTCGTTCAGACACTGGAGATACATGACCAGCATCGAGAGCTCAATCATGCTCCATCCTGACTCGCCAAAATACTGAAGTGCCTTGTCAAAGTAAGACTTGGCCGCAGCGTACTCCTTCAGGGAAAACTTCAGGATGGCCAAGTCTGCAATTGCAGTCTGTACCGCGCCATGTTGGTCAGCCACTGTATAATGACGAAGAGCCTTGTCAGTCATGATTTCATAAAGACGATAAAAGTCTTGAGAATTATCCATTGCAGATATCAGTAGCTGGCTGCGGATCCCAGCGCTGGTAGGTGTCGTCTCAGCATTTAGCTTCTTTTCGTTATGCGTTGAATCGTTATCATTGCTGTCGTTATTATCGTCATCGAGGTCGATTTCATCCAGTGCCTCAATGCCGGAGTCGTGCACAATAGGCGCTTCATCCCACCCCGCACTCCAACCTCGAATCTTACCCAGTCTCTGTAAAATGCTTCGTGACATCATATACAGCTCTGCGCGACCAGCGGCGAGCTCCTCGATGCCAACTTTGAGGAATTGGCTACTTTGGCCATCGCCGGCTGGTGCTACGGATGCACGACCAGGGCCTGGGAATCCTGGGCTAGAGGGGGCTCTCGGCGATCTTTCATTGAGAGAAGAGTTCCTGGCTGGATGCATCATCGTCTTGGGCTCTGGTATGGAAGCTTTTTGCTCAACCCCATCCGTGGGCGGCAACGATGATGGCGGAATCGGTAGTGCCTTGGTGGCCGTTTGAGCCAAGATTTGCTGTGTCACGGAAAAGGCAAAGGACGAAACCAAGTTGTCAATGACTTGGTACGCCTCGACACTAAATTGCTCCTTATTCTCTGGGGAGTCCGCTGATAAAGATGTGATGATGTCGTGTCGCATGACATTTGACAGAGACGGAATAAATTCAAGTGTTCTGCGACAGACTTGTGCAAGTATAGTTAGGTTTTCAGTATCGTCCTCCTTGTGGGGAGTAGCTTTCGCGAGTGGCGCTACGCCGTGAAGAATAGACTCTTGTTGTTCCTTGAGCCGAGAAAGCAGTTGCTCTCTGGTCACGGACGTGTTGGCCTGACGCAATAGCAGTGCAATTTGGCGAGAGAAGATATAACATCTAAAGTCGAATACAGAAACCTTGTTGGCCAGGATCATGTCGCGGTATGCCTTTTTCGCAGGGCTGATGGGAATATCATCAACATTGACTGCTACTTTGTTGGCAGATTGCATATCGACAGCCTCTTCGTCATTCGAGGAGCCTGAAGCCTCAGCAAGTGCCTTTCGGGCAATGTTTCTGAGGTCGTCGCTAAATGGCAGCATCGCGCCGCCATGACTCTCAGGCTCACCAATCTCGGCTTGTTCAGCAAGAACCAATTCGAGACCAACATTGAGTTCGTCATAGCCAACAAGCGCATCTTCGACCAGACCAACATTTTCGAAACCGAGTGCTAATCCCTCTTTAAGAATAAAGAAGGTGCAAAAGTTCCAGCCCGGCAGCGTGCGTTGCGTGTCCTTCTCCTTGATATCTTCTTCATATTGTGTCACGCGTTTGTCAAACGAGCTTAGAATCAGATTCTTCAGCTTGTTAACTAGTTCGTTCCATGCTTTCTCAGCATCCTGCTCAGTTTCATTGTACCCTGACGGTACGGCAGGGACAACTCGCGGTAGCATATCGTAGGGAACATCATTGATGCCGATGCGAATCTGCGCGATCCTATCGGGTGCACTCTTGCTGGAGCTGTTGAAATCGGAGCGAAACTTTTCTAGAAGAGGCGTCGAGCCTGGTCTCCATCGCGACGTTGTGCTCTTATCTGTGCTGCCTTCAGTCTTGCTAGTGCTGCGCGGTTGCGTGGATGCTGCCGTGTTGGGGATAACAACATGCAGGATTAGCCACTCGTACGCATCATGTTTCTCTTGATTGCTGGCTTTTTTCGAAGAGGTGGTCGGCGGGGTGTGTTGTTTGATCCATTCGCGAACCTCGGAGCGAACCGTATTCTTGTAGGAATCGTTATCGTCGCATCGAACCAAGAGAACCTTGAGGTAGGGTGTGCGGCGCAAACCAGGAATTTGGTGGCGTCGACTTGCTGCGCCTTTAACTGCGACAGATTTGATCTCGGTGGCTTCGGTATTTTCGGTCTGACCACCTACAACCTGCGTCTGAAAACCGTCATCCTTCGCGTCGGACACAGCAGGTTGCTTGGGCGGGGTGGGCTTCTCGTCTTGGTGCAGCTTGCCGCCGTCCACGAGCTCAATATGCAGGGTATCAATCGAACGCAACGGCCCCGAATGTGATTGCCAGTGAAGATTGTGCAACGGTAATCGGGGGATCAGGCCGGGCTTCAGGAGCTCGTAGACATTATGAGGGTCAAAGTACTCGACTAAACAGACGGTGAGACGTGGTCATAGGAACAGCACCCGGCGGAAAGCGACGACTGGACCGCTGGAGAGTAGGATACTTACCGGTAACTTTTGACGTTGAAGCTTGCTGCTCCATGGCAAAGCACTTGCCATTGGTATTTTGTGAGCAGCGTTGGAAAGGAAGTGTTAGTATGCAGTGAGGTTATCTGTCGCGACGAGCTGTGCTTTGTGTGGCGCGGCCTGAACCAGCGCGAAGCTCCCCTGCGAGGCCCCTGATAGCAGCGCCACAGTTCCTCCATGGAGAGGCGCTAGCCACAGGGCGGTGAGCGCCAGAGGACAATTATAAAGGGGGCCACTCACTAAATCTAGTTAGCCTGACGCCATCAACGCGAACTTTAGCGGGGTCGCGGCAGAATTCGCCATCAAGATGGAGGGGCAAGTGTAAATTCATGTCGACATCAGCTTTTATTTTCGCAGCAGCTTAGGTATCTCTGAATTTTCTTTTTTAGAGACAACTGCTGCAATCATGTCGACTTTGCAAGCTGTCAAGTATACCCGGGGTCAGCTCCAGGTCCTTGACCAGCTCCGTCTACCCCATGAATTTCACTACGACAATGTCGCAACCCGCGAAGAGGCTTTTGACAGCATCGCGAGCATGCGGACGCGCGGCGCCCCGGCCATTGCCATTGTCGCCAGCTTAGGTCTCGCTGTCGAGCTACACAACGGTTCAGCTCCCGATGGCTCAACACAAGACATTGTATCCTACATCGACACAGCCCTCGACTATCTCAAGGAAAGCCGCCCGACGGCCGTTGACCTGACCAACGCCATCAACCAGCTCAAGGCCAGAATACGCGCTGCTGGCGACGCTGCCACTAAAGATGAGGTCGTGCAGGCTTTCATCGACGAGGCTGAAAATATTTTCGAAAAGGACCTCAAGACCAACTTGGCCATTGGCGACTACGGTGCCGAGTGGCTACGCGCGCAGGTCGGCGCCAGCTCCGACAAGCAGATTTCAGTGCTCACTCACTGCAACACTGGCTCACTTGCCACCTCAGGCCACGGCACTGCCCTCGGCATCATCCGCACGCTCCAGTCCAAGGGACTTTTGCAGCACGCTTTCTGCACAGAGACTAGGCCTTACAACCAAGGCAGCCGCCTGACTGCCTTTGAGCTCGTTTATGAGGGCATCCCCAGCACCCTCATCACCGACTCTATGGCTGCCTCCCTATTCCGCACGCGAGGCGCCGAGAAGAACATTGCGGCCGTCATTGTCGGCGCCGACCGTGTGGTTCGCAACGGCGACACGGCCAACAAGATTGGCACCTATCAGCTCGCCGTCCTGGCCAAGCATCACGGCATCAAGTTCATTGTCGCCGCTCCCACAACGAGTATCGACCTTATCACGGACACTGGTGACGGCATTAAAATTGAGGAGCGCAAACCCTCCGAGCTCACCCAGATTACGGGTGCTGTCATCAAGCCCGATGGCACCGTCGACGAGACGACCAAAGTGCGCGTGGCTACTGCCGACCAGCGCATCAATGTCTGGAATCCGGCTTTTGACGTGACGCCCGCTGAGCTCATTGACGCCGTCGTCACCGAGAAAGGCGCTGTTGAAAAGGGTGCGGACGGCAAGTTTGACTTTTCTAAGATCATGCCGGAACGCTGGGCGCAGGTTGTCAAGGCTTAAAACGCAAGATGGGATAATTCGTATAATTCGTATAATGAAATAGTATATAATGCAGCAGATGTGACGCCCTTTCTATTCCTACGCTATGATCCTTTTTGTCAAATTTGCCAATGCTTGTCGTTCATACCTTTTTGCTCAGCGCGTGCTCAATCAGCTTTCCATAATTTTCAACAGCCAACTCCAAGTCGCCGACTGTCAGAGCCTCGTTCTCGCCGTGCGCAACGAGAATGGAGCCGGGGCCATACAGATATCTTGTAAAGTTTCCCTTCAGGTTGGCAACATCAGTGCCATAGTTGACGGTGAGAGTTTCGAAACCTATTTGGTGTCAGTTGCGCTCGCAAGCTCCATGCATGAAATGCACTTACCCTCAACATCGCAATTGCAGTCTACAGTGCCGTAGCCAGGACTGCAAGTCATCTCAAAGGCATCCTTGTCAACTTGATCCAAGATGTCCTGGATTCTCTTCTTGACAATCAAGTGTCCGTCCTTCTCTGGTCCAATTGCCACACGGGCGCCAAACTTTCCCGTCGCGGACGCGGGAACCACATTCGCCGCCACGCCGCCTTCCATGAGCCCGAGATTGAACGTCGTGTTGCCGTAGAGCTCAGAGCTGCCAAGGTCCGTCTCAAGTATCTTGGACACGGCGTGAATGAGTAGCTCGTTGGCCGACTTGCCGAGCCAGGGGTAGCCGCTGTGGCTGGCACGCCCAGTGACCTTGAGTTCGCAGAACAGAGCGCCCTTGTGGCCGCAGACGAGCTTGCTCTCGGTGGGCTCGCCAAAAATGACCGAGTGCCATGACGGCGGCTCGTCGCGCGCCAGCGCGGCGTCGGAAAAGGTAATCATGCCGTCGCCGGCCACCTCCTCGCCAACGACAAACACGAGCATGACGTCGTCGTCTTTGACGCGTCCAGCCGCCACGAGTTCCTCCACAGCAATCGTCATGGCGGCCACGGCGGCCTTGGCGTCAACGGACCCGCGGCCCCGGATGACGGTATCCTTTGTGACGGGGCCGTCGTCAATGCCGTAGGCAATGTACGGCGGGACCACGTCAATGTGGCTCGATACGAGCACGCGCGGCCGCGACTTTTCGTGCTTGCCGGGCCAGGCCAAAACGTTGAAGCGCTGCGCGCCCTTGGGCGTGCCCTCACGCGGCGCGACAAGTTGGACATCGGTGCGAAAGTCTTTGCTCACGAGGTAATTGACGAGCCATTGGCCGACGTCATGCTCGGCGCCCGAGATGGACGGGATGCTGACCAAGTTCCGGTGCAGGTCGAGCAGGGCCTTGCGGTACGACGGCGCGTGCTTGTCCGCAGCGGCGGCGCCATGCAGCTTGCTGTGGCTGTTCAAGGGCGCCTGCTCATGGAGGCAGAACGCGGCCGGGAGAGCTGCGAGCGCAGCGGCGATTGATAAGAGATGCATGGCGCTTTGATTTTCCGAGTATACGCGAAAAGCCGGCCCCCGTCGCTTGTGTTTTGTTTGGTGTGCGGAGGCAAGCACGCAAGATCGAGGCAAGGATGGGCCCGCTTAATGATCTAAAATTAGCTGCGGCCGGGGGTGGAGACTATAAACGGTCCGCGAGCACGCAAGCAAGTCAATATGCTCAGAGCCAATTCCCTAGTCTTGCAGCTATTTGGCTTGCACGAATGCCGAAGGCTTGATTTACATCTGCTTAGGTTTTACGCACAAAGTGTCGTCGAAATGGTTCGTGTTGTGACTACACCAGCAGGCCATTTACCGGCCCCTCGTTTAATAGTCGAGAAGCCATGGTGGCCCATTTTTCTTTTGTACGACATAATTCTGGTAATCGAGACACCACAACCTAGAAGGAAAATAATCATCAATCATGCTTGAAGAAGCCCTCGTCCTCCCAAGCAAAAAATATCTATCGCGGCCTGTATCAACAGTTAGAAGTGCTTCCAGAACAAATAAGTGGGCCTGGCCCTCGAAGACGATTTAGGTTCCGTAACTCGTCATTACTTGATGCCCGGGTGGTAATAGAAAATGGGCCCTTATTTTTTTATGTAATTATATAGCGGTAATACAGGCGGTTGAAACTTAGTATATAGCTTTTCGCAAGCTCTGCCATAGCTCAACCTAGTTTGGTCACACCCAGGCCGCTAGGTATAAAAAGTGTTGTTGGCGAGAGTGATAGAGAAAGAGTTTAGGTGTACGAGAGCTTCTCACCCCATGGCTGTCCAATGATACTGGCACCTTCTGCATGAAAATTCCATTCGCAGCACTATGGGTGTGATCAGTTCAGATACTCGGATTTCCCAATGCTTTCCGATCGCTGTTTGGCCGGATCGCCCCCGGTCTGGACTGCGCCGGGATGTACTCTTGTCAGTCTAATGTCGTGGTGGTGGCGTCTCATTTCCGACAAGTTTCCGATCGATGGAAACTCTAGAGAGTGGTACCAAAATTTAGGAAGTTATACTTTCCTAGCTCTCTCCTACTCTCGTCAATTCGATCTTTTACTCGGTCCTTGGCCGAACGTGGTTTACCGTTGATGAGGGTCCTTTTTAGCAGAAGTTTCTTCTTGGACGAGACTCGCCAAAGCGCTCGCACAAGGCGACTGAAGAAGCTTTCACTGGCCTGGAACTCTTTATACCCTATCCCTGACCCTTTTCAAATTCTCAGCCTGCTATGAACCGTTGCATCCCTTTGAGTGCGGAGAAGCTCCAGTACGGTCACTCGTCAGGAAAACCACTGATCCTTAACGTTTTGGGTACTTGGATGAGTAACATCTTACATCAGTATTGGCAAAGCAGATTCGACGATCGGGACCTCCGTTTACTTTTGCTCTGTCAGTACATTCTTGTTGGGGGGTAAGAATCCCGCCTGGAGGAGCCTCTTCGCATCTAAAGGATAGAAAGATGGCTAGGTGCATATGTGCACGACTACTCAGAGATCTTTCTAAAGAAAGATTCAGCCCAAGTATGGGCTTATATGTATTGTGCTGTCTTCTCGCGACGGCTAGCTAAAGTCACAAGGCCAATGCAGAACCTTCTGCTCTCAATTGTGCGAAGTTGGTGAAGCCGTACCCTACACAACCGGAGAAAAGTTTACAGCCGCTGTGTCGAGTTTACAGATCAGATGTAGATGCTGTAAAGGTATCTTTTCTTAAAATTAAACGTCCACGTTCCCAGCTGCAAATACACGGGTGCTTCGCCTACCTTCGTCCTTCAGCCAGATTGCGCCCGGACTGGGCTGCCCTAGCCGGATCTCACTCAAAGTTATTACAGACGCCAGAAAGCGCCGACACGACTTAATATCATACTTGGGTAACACCAGTTAATCTAACTTTTTCGGGTTGCCGCCGAACGGTCTTTGTCTGTCTGGACTAGTGCCTTTCCTGGTGAGCTTTTATTCTTCAACTTGACACACAGAAACAACATCTTGCAGAAGAACAGGTAAAACAGAAGGATGGCGTTGATGAGGAAACGTCTAGACTCGATCGTTTGAGACCTGCTCGTGCCGCTGTCAATTAGTCAGGCACCCTTGACGCAACGTTCGGTCGATGTGAACAACACCGGGTTTAATGAGGGACTGTGATTTCGACAAAAGTAGCCTTGTCTCAAACGGCCGCCAGTTCTAATGATGGCTCTTGTTGTGGTGGTCAGCGAGGCTCGCGACCGCGTTGCCACGCCATTTACCAAAATTGAGCAGTGTTGGTCTTTCGCATAAGCACACCCCGATGCTCTGCCCGCTCGGAGTGCGCCGAGTTGTTTGACATATTTGCAATCCATCAAGCTCGTCAAGTTCAAATCTTTCAATGAAACCAGAGTCCGGGTCAAGGCGTGTGGACTCGAATAGGGAACGTAATAATGTCACTCTATCATAGTGATCAATCAAATCAAAAAATTTAAATTGCCGTAAGGTGGTTTTAGGAGCCATGAAATCCACATTTTAGTCTTTAATTATGAGGCAATTATTTAGATCGATTTACGTGATCACTTTACACGCAGTCAACTTGGCGGCATCTACAAAGCGTGCCAGTTTCTTCAAGCAACTACTCAAATCAACACACACTAGGTCGGTCCGTAGATTTGTCTGCGACAAGTTGGCTAGCAAAGAAAGATCATGTCGTTGATCTTTTGTTTTTGTCTCTCTTTTTTTATTGTATCTTTTTTGTTGTGTTTCTCTTTTTTTTTTAGTTTTGTTTTTGTTCCCGAGTTTAGCTTCATCTGATGCAATCCAGCACGCTCGATTGTCTGGTATGAGCCAGACGCATTGTCGTTGAGGAGCAAAGACATCTCTGGATAACAATTTCGAGCTCTAAATTTCAGGCCCTGAAAAGATTTTATTGCGGCAAAAGACGTCACCAGGAACTTTGGAGCAAGATTGCACCAAAGCCGACTTTGGCCGGCCGCCACATCTTAAGATTCGTGCCGTTTTCATCACTTTCTAAGATGTACCGAAAGCAGAGACCGGATATGCGATAGCGCGGTATGCCGATCTCTGCACTAAAAACCATTGATGGAATGCTTGCAACATCAGCAGTAGATGGGCGGCTGCTTATGTGGGGGAACTATTGGCCTGCCCCTGCTATCCCTGCCAACAGCTGAAGCAATACTTGAGGCAACAGCTGAATATTATGAGAGTAAGCGCGGCACGACCGTAGTAATTCGGATGGTAGATAACATAATTTATCTAGCAGGCGACCGATGTGTAGCGAGCTGGAGAACATACCGGCTTCGAGACAATTCGGGTGGTGAAATTGCCAGCGCTTTGTGCCCATGTACTCGAACTGTCGTCCCACGTTCTGGGTACAAGACATGTCTAGGAAGCGCAAACATAGGGCTCGTCAGATGGCCTGGCTGCCTGGTAACAGTAACTATGGCTTTCTCTCTTGGTGGGTTGGACCCAGTTCTGAGACAAATGCTCCGCGTCGGTGAAAGCGAGAAATGCCATGCCGTCCTGTCATATCCGTTCGCGCAGGGCCGTCGCTCTCTGAAGAAAGCCTGTCGGCTGATCGCCATTTTGCACGGCATGCGCTCCTCGGAGACGAATTTTAGAGTTCATTTCCTCCAAAGCGTCTAGCCACGACTTGTGCATTTCTTTCCGCATTGCTCGCGAGCAATGCTACGTCATGCATATCTTGCTCCTTTGGGCGATGGTGGTGTTTGGAAGCGGCGGCATCAGGTATAAAGAGTCCATGCGAGCGACCTCATGGTATCCGTTCTTCTTTTTCCTCAACCCATCACAGTCTCTCGTTCTCACACAAGAAACCTCTTGACACCTCTTCCACATCCTTCAACCAAATAAACAATACCGTCATCATGCGTTTCGCTCTTGCCATCACCACCCTCATCGCCGCTGTGACTGCTGCTCCCTCCGGCCACCATGGTGGAAAGGATCTGCACAAGATGACTCTCGGCCAGGCTGGCGACAGGTGCGGTGCCGACCAGTCCATCTACTGCTGCAACGAGAAGACGACCAAGATCGAGCACTCCTCCCCCGAAACCGGCCTCGGCGGCCTGCTCGGTGCCACTGTCGGTGCTGATGGTCTTCTTTCCCACCTTCTCGGTACCTGCACCAAGATCCCCGTCAATGGTAAGCCTCAAGTGGTCGAGAAAGTCGCTGAGCCAGTACTAACAAGTCTCCAGTCCTCGCTGTCGGCAACCTTCTCCAGTCCGAGTGCACCAACCGTGCGGCCTGCTGCCACAACACTCCCTCTGTCGTAAGTTATATCAAGTCTCTAATTGACTGCTGTTCAGGATCTAACGATACAATTAGGCTTACGGTGGTCTTGTCAACCTTGCCCTGCCTTGCGTCGCCATTGGCAGTCTTATCCAGTAGGCTGGTGCATGGGCATCACTAGGAAGAGATGTGAAGAGTAATGTATCTCAATTAATGGATGTATCATCGGTGGATAAGCAATGTGTCAAGATGGTTCAGGGTTTTATAGAACTGTGATAGTTATCCAATCTATTATCATTTATTTAGCATTTTCATGCGTCAAAGAAACTTTTCGACTTGAAGTTATTTTCATCTTCTGAGCCTTTGCTTTGGTATTACCCTCTTGAGATATGTCCATCTGTGGTTGTCTCCCTGTCTCAGTCCGATGGCGCGAATACTTGCAAAGCTCTCGTAAACGTTTTGATATCAATATGCTGACACTGATGTTTGAGTTGGGATATGCCGTTCATCCATTCAATGTCCACATGCAGGTGCAGAATGGGAAGCCAGGTCCAGGGTGTGTTTATTGCACTGGCATCCATATGGCGGTAGTCTACAAGTTGGACAATTGCTATTGGAGCGAATCTATATCACATCTGCATCCCTTGCGACGCGTTTGACGCGTGACCGAGTGGAGAAAGCAAGACATATGTAGATAAGGCACATCCACGTACGGATTACGGATACAGCAGACTCGTTTCCAAAAATCGCGAAAAATTTGTCTATACGCACGATCATAAGTTCCTCAGACTTATACAATCATTTAAGGTTTACCGAAAAACAGAAAGTTGGGGGGAAAGCGACAGTTCATCTGGTTACCCACTTGCCACCCACCGAATAAAAACACTGGAGATGGACGGATGTCGTTTGGCGGCCCCAGTAAAGTGCCCCGGGACTAAAGCCGGATTCTCCGTAATAAACGCTCTGGTTTGGATGAACTGTTTGGCTGGCAATCTGTGTAGCAAAGTGGGTAATGTCCGAAAGCATTGGGCGAGGCCTGCTCCATTCCGCGTTCGATGCGCGACGCCCCGCGCCCTTGTCAACTACCTTTTCATCAAAGGACATCGACATGGCGGTCTAGTTGTAGAAGATAGTAAATTCGTGGTGCGTGCGATCTGATGAGATATTGTTAGATTTATGTGAGTGATTGGTTTGCAGCTCAATTTTGCGCCTTGTTGTTTATGTTCTTCTGGATGAGACAGTCAATTGGCTGTCGTGTAAATGTACGCATTCTTCGAAATACTCGACAAGCAATTCAAGCTCAGGCAGTATGCTCGAATCAGCCAAAAACTTGCTGCTTACATAGCTCTGAACTCTTGAAGTCAAATACACACAAAAAAGAAAGAAGCCCACCGCGTTTGACACTTGCTTGCGGCGACGGAACTCGTTTTATGTTGGGAGCAACTTATACAGGGTATCATCATGACATGCGCTCAGAAGCCGCCTCCATTTGATTTTTTTTTGTCGCCCCACCCACAATCGAAGAGAAAAGGCAGAGGCAAAGAAACGCCCGGTAAGCGTTTGAGAGAGGAGAGTTCTGAATTCTCACGTCTACTCAGCATAGTTGGTAAGCAAGTTCAGCAAGGAACACCGTGCGATGAAGTGCTAGTGGTGTAAGTATTGAAATAAGTCACTCTGTCCCCACTGCCTAATCGGCTTTGGTGGCCAAGTGGTAAGGCGTCGCACTTGGTTAGTAGCCCCTGAACATGCCCGTTTCTAATAACAAGTCCCATTCTAACATCTCCAAAAGTAATGCGAAGACCGTGGGTTCGAATCCCATCCGAAGCAATTCTTTTTTTCCCCCCTTAAATCACAAGTGCCTATATATCATTTTTTTTTTCTTGAGTAATCCGCAGTATACCTATCATTTGTCTTCGTTCTAGGTTGGTATCCTATTGTATTTTTACTGAGATGCTATCATTCCTCTTATTGTGACATTGGGAGAATTCGTGTGTTGGGAAGGTCGTGAATGCATACGAGATATGCGACATAGCACACTATCACATACCGTCCATACTTGCGCGTCGATGCGGGCCGCCCCCCACACCAAGTAACTACTCATGATGCACCTTTGCGCCTTTGCCAACGAATGCTCAAGATAGTGTGAGCCTTGCTGCTTGCTGTAATTAGTTCGGCCATGCTATAGCGTGTCTAGTAGAAATATAGTTAGAGACGTTGCGCGATCTTTGTGTACAAGGACACTACAAGCTGTACGTATGCATTTGGCAGGTGCGATCAAGTAATGCTAGGCCAGTAATACATTTCTCATTAGCAATCGCAGCCATTTCTCTTCTGAATAAAATCGGCGTAGAGTGTCTGAGATAAGCCTGAAAACTGCTTCTCTTCGAATTAGCGTAGAATAGTGTATGGCCGACTTTGTTTTTCACCTGTCAGCCAGTATAATTACAAATAAGCACGATTGTTGCCACAGAAATCAGCTGGCTTTGGTGGCCAAGTGGTAAGGCGTCGCACTCGGTAGGTCCCGCCTCTACAAGCATGTCAACAGTAAATAGTCAACTAACAAATGATCAGTAATGCGAAGATCGGGGGTTCGATTCCCCTCCGAAGCAGACATGTTTTCTTTTTTGCCACTTAAAATCATGGCACTTGTATTCTACTTTTTTCTTCTTCTTTATTATATTTTTATGTCTTAGATTTCTGGACTGTAACTCAGGTTCGTTTCTCGTCATCTTTAGAACGTTATTCACATGTATAACGTCTTGATTGCTCGTCATCTTGGCGTCTAGATACACATTGGGAGTCTTTGCATTCGCTGATTGCTAATGCGTAACCCGCCTACACGTCGCGGGTTATCATTATACTGGACAGTTTTCGGAGTTGTCTAATTCGGCCTCGTATGACGGTGGCGAGCGCAGAGAGCTCCTTGTTTCGTAACTAGGGGGCACCTACGTCATTGCGGAAGCGATCAGATTACACAAAACAGCGCATGGGGATTGCAATAGAATGTATTGTATCGGACCTCTATCGGCCTACTGCCCTAAGCGAAGTAAAGAAAAACTCATTTCCGAGCATAAAAAGATGAACCATATTTTTTCCGTCAGCTGTCTTGCGCCATGAATAAAATGCTAGTAGATTCGGAGCCTCGGACTTTGCAGAGCTACTGTGGGTAGGTTGCGGTTGGTGTTGAATCTACAGCCGTAGAATGTCGTGATCACCGACAAGAAAACAAAGACAGAGGTAAAGATGATGACAATGGAAACGCGCAAAAATCAAGTTATCAAAAGAACGCCCGCCAGTATGCTTTGTTGGATGTTTGTTGAGTGGTTGCATAATGACGCGTCGCAGGTTCAGGGTCCGAAGCTCGACGCATGATTATGCCAGACGATAGTGTACAGAAAATAAGTGGCATCGGTGCCGCAGCCGATGGAAGGAAATGCATCAAGGTAGAAAAGCGCCAGCGGCAGGGGTATCGTGCCGCAGAGATGTGGGCTTGTTTTTGCAAAGCTGGCGCTTCAAGTGCTCGCTCGAGAGCCGAAACGAATCGTAGAGGCGTAGTGTGAGAGGAATCGGCGAAACGGATGCGTAATCTAGTCAATGATTGCCAATGGCGAAGGTAGATTCGGTCAAGAAACTGCCAGTGCGAGAAATGGCGAGGTCGCGGGTGGGCAAGTCTATTTCTTGGCTCGACTGGTGGAGGCTGTAATCTTGCTGGTGCTCATGAGGTCGCCAATGTACTTTTGCAGGAACTTGTTGTTACTGTCGAGCTTGTCGTGCTCTTCACGAACAGCCTCTATGCGGTTAAAGATATCAATGAGCGATTCTTGCAGAGCTTTGGCGTGTCTGGACATGGTTAGCACGGCGATGCCATGGAACGTTGCATTGGTTGAGGCGAAGGCTCACCGATGCAGCTCTTCACGAGCTTCTTTGCCGAGCTTGTCAATGTCTTCGCTGGTTCGTCGAGGGCTCATGGCGCGGACGTCGTCGGGACCAAAGTGCGAGTCGACGGGGCCGACTTCTGAGCTATCACGGGGAACAACGAGCGGCCCGCTGCTCTTGCGGCTCGGCAAACGTGGACGAGTCGGGATGGGCTGGTGAATGATGGGCTCGTTATGGTCGGAAGGAGCGGTTGATGTGGATGAGTCGGAGCGGACAATGGGATGCGAGCTCGTAGAGCAAGTATCGTGATCGTCTGCCATATTGTGGTGGACGCGCTTGATTGAGCAGTGGGAGAGAGGTTGGCGAGACGGATGAGCGAGTGCCGGCCAGACGGAGATTGGCAACAGTATATTCGGCACGCCTGAGGTTGACAATGATAGACTAGAGGGTAGTCGTGTACTCTTTGACAGAATTCGGCTCGAATGGTGGGATTGTAGTAGTGCTTGGGGCAGTTTGTTTGCCACCGACGTAATCAGGGTCCTGGCAATGGCGCAGCGTGACCAAATTGAGGGGGGCGTGGGCGGCAACAGAAACGGCCAAGACGAAGAAATACGAGTGACGCACTGAGCAATGCAGAGCAAGAAGACTGAAAACGAAGACGACGGAGCCGCGTAACAGTGAACACACAAGAGAAGGTTGCGGAAAGGAACAAACCAAGGAAAAAAAAAAAGAAAGAGAGAAGATGGGGAGATGGGGGGCTTTCCAGGGGGGGTTGAGGGATGCTTGCTAGGGGAGGATCCCAGTGCGAGTTCGGTCTCCAGATTACAGCGGTCGGAGGTCGCTGGCGGGCGAGCGAAACACTGTGACGTTGGTGCGTCAGCCAAGTGCAGGGAAGAGCGCGTGCTACTCAGTAAAGCGGTGATCGACACGGCACGGTGCACGGGAGCACAGACAGGTAGAAGAAAGAACACAGATGTTCGAGAAGCGAAAAGGGTAAAAGGTAGGGATATCAGAGAATGATACGGATGAAAGAATGAAAGAATGAAAGAAAACAGTAAATAGCGAGTCGTGACAGGGACTGACTTGCGTACCAATAATGAGCTGTTGTGCCATGCGTCGTTCTCTGTCAGAGCTGCGTTTTCCACTGGTATTATTAGGTAGGTACTTATTATTGGTACTGGTATTAACTACCGCTGGTCACGCAGCATTGATGTGGTCACTGGTAATCTGTAGGGCCAACCAAGAGGTGCCAACAGTGAGAGAACGCGCCGCGCCCGTCATCATCTTTGCAAGGCCAGCCAGTTTGCAAGACAAAAGGGGAAATATCAAAAAGGTCATTGATGAGTGACTTGAGTGGCCGCTGATGATGACGAGCAAAGACCAGGTACCAGGACAACAACCCTTATTTTTTCTTTTGCGCCAGCGAGGTGGGTAAGTGAGTGTGGGGCAGGCAGCTGCCTGTTTGGTGCCAGCCGGGTCGTGCGGGTCCACAGGGAGGGGGCTCTTTTGGCAGGGCAGAGCAGGGGATTGGCGGGCCCGGTTTAGGGGGAATAGCGTGTGCAGTGTGCAGAGCGTCGTGGCCGCTACAAGAACGAAATTGCAAAGCCCTCAGCCAATCTCGCAAGTGCCGATATTGAACAGGTTCCTGAGATGCACGCATTGTCTGGAAGGATGGCTGGCATGGACGCCTGAACTATGATTGAGATCACTGCATACGATGCGAAACAAGCATCTGGAACAATATAATGACTTGAAAAGTTATACTAACAACCCATTATAAAACATCGTGTCAAACCATCGTCACTCCGATGGTACGAATAAATGTCAAATGTCGTCAGGCCGTGCAAATACGGTCAGATACATAAGTACCCGACACTGTAACAGGTAAGGTAAGGTAGTTATGCCAACGCTCCCTTCAACGGTCCCACCCAGCCGCCATGCCGCACCAACTCCCAATCTGCACCACCAGTCCATCACATCCCAGTCGACCAGTATTTCACAAACACCCACACATTCTTCCATCCTTCCACGGCTTCCATGCGGTGCAACTTGCAAGCCACTCACCCACTCTGCGCTAGACACCACCAACAAGCCAAGAGCCAAGATCACAAATCAAGCACCACAGAAATTCTACCAGAGAACAGATAGGCCTCATCATGTACCCTCTGTTTGTAACGGCACTTCAACAAATGACCAAGCTAGCGTCTAACCTCATTACTTGGCAAACAGTGCGCGGCGATGGCCAACGTCTAATCAGCATCAACACCACCCATAGTCACGATGTTCTAACCGAGGACCAGCGCACAAGACTAATTTAGGCGCCGATCTTGCCACATTTCGGCACCGGCTCTCTCCCAAGTGTTCGTCTGCTGCCACCATTGTCGCAGAAGGACCGTCCGACAAATCAGTGTCTGTCAAAACGCGACATACTTTTTACACCTACAAAAGAGACAACATGTAAACGCAAGAAAATCAGGGATCGGCTGGAATCTGCCAACAAGAGAAAGTTGCGGTGACTCGTCTTACTCCGTACACGGTTCAACATGCCATTGTCCAGAAGAAAAAAAGCAACTTTGCAAGGCAACCCGCACATCCTAGATCCCTGCGAGAAGAGAGAGAACAACAGACCAACTACTGATACCTCTGGTGCATTTGCAAACACGTCCCAGCGTCATGATGCAGGGTCCATCCTGCTCTGGACAAATCAAGACCACGACGGATGTTCAAACCCCATACCCGCGGGCCCCCTGTCCAGGCTCATCCTGCAGTAGGCTCAATGCGACGTCGCAGTGCGCCCAAGCACCTGCGCCGGTTGCTGTTGCGGCAGTGTTGCCCTCATCAACCAGGTGCTAGTTGGGGAAAAGAAACCGAAAAAACCTACACCGATAGTTAGTCTACGACATGTGGCAGGCCGTCCACCTCCGAAACTGCGCCCTGGGGAAGCCTGCCAGTTCTCAGAAGCCTCCTCACAAAAGAGGAAACTGGTGGGAACAAGAGGCTTGGTGGCGGCGGCGTGTAAATGGAGACACCACGCTTCTCGTGCATCATCGCCAGCACCGCTGAGTTGATACCCTAAAGAGATGATGCATGCTCTGCGACATGAGCACGTATATCTGCTGATTCTGGCTGGCATATATCTGGCTGGGAAATAACTATTTACTGATATGCATCGTAATAAGGGCAATCTGGATCAGAGGAACCAAGCCCTTCCACATGGCCTGCCTTGCTGCACCGCCGGACAAGCCCACCAGCCTGCAATAGCATGCAGATGCTTATTATAATTTATGGGTGGCTGCATTGGGTTCGACAAGACACACGGCGCATGTCCCAGTAGCGGTCCATTTTCAAACTCACTGTCACTGTTGTGTGCTGTCCAGCGACCGTCTCGCAATTTGGGCTCTGAGATTTGTGATTATCGCTGCAAAATTATTATCCTGCATAGTTACTGTCACTGGGATGCAAATCTTTTCAAGATTGGCCCTCGGCAAGGTGACGCCATAGCTTACATTGGCTTCACGCAACGCGCTGCCCTGTGGGCATGTGCTGACCATTTCGGCGAAAACGCGCACGCTCGCGATTCCTGGGCTGGCTAGTTCAGAAATGACGATGTTCATTGATGAAGAAGAGTTGCAGCACGCAATGGTGCAAAATTTCTTTACTAGGGCCACTTTTTATCAATATTCTAGCGGCTGCAAATAGTTCCCTCCCCCATGTCTCTGGGGCCACGATTCTTCATCACCTGTCGCAACGCCGTTGTTCCCACACTACGGAGCATCCATACCGATATTGGATATAAGCGATGGGTGGTGTGGGCAAAGCAAATTTCCATGGCCAGAAAAGAATGGCCCGCACGGGAGGCCACCGAATTTCGATTCGTAATTGACGCAATGTGCTGCTGCCAGTTGTTCATGTCTCTAATAAGTCCCCCTGCTTTCTAGGTACAGTTGCCAAGGGTGAAGCGACGGCAGTTTGTCCCGCTAACAGTCATCAGGCTCGCTCGGCTCATTGAGGACCGACACGTGGATGGGACGACACAGGCCTGGCGATTAGGCAACAAGGCTGAGCCTTCCTTCATCAGTGATCACACCTGGGGTCTTTTTTGTTCTGTCAGTCGGCTTGGCAACAGGAGCCAGAAGAAATGAAACGCCATGTCACGTAAAAGCAGTTATTACTGAGTACACCAGCTCACCAACGCCACGACAATGCTACCCCCACAAACCTATCCAGCTATGGGAGTCTCTGGCTAGTACGACGAGGAGATAGCTCGCCAATGAGACACCAGACTAACGAGCAACTAACCAAAATAGTTACCCCAGAGCTATTGCAGCTAGCCGGATGTTCACGCACCTTTGTCAACCTTCTGTCCAACCAGCGAGCAAAATGAGGACACTGCATGCTGCAAATCAGCGCAGCCTGGTCACGCAAGCGTTACAGTCAAGGTTCTCGGCGTCAGTGCAGCCCTCACCAAAAGTTCAAACCACATCGACCTGCAGGCAGCTTCTAGATTCGTGGCCGCCTCACGAAGGAGCATCCGCATGACCTAGCACCAGCGAATGCAAGGCCTCATTCTTAACTGGCACCCGCTTGCTCCGGGTGGCAGTGCTGCGCTGCTAGTCTGGGGATGGCATCTACTTCCTCCCTTGCTCAGATCTAGGCAAGCCAATTTCAGAGCCCGTTCGGCGTCAGCTGGCAGACAACTGTCGGCCAGTAACATTATTGGTGCATTCCGGGGTGGCCAGCGCTAAATCGTACTTGCCTTTCGAAATCGACTGGCTGGCGCTGGAATGCTGGGCAAGTGCATAGAACAGCAAGGCATGTCGTTGTTCACTGGCACCCGCGCAGAGATGAGGCGATGCCAAGCTTAACTTTGAGAGGCGTCGTATCTGCCTTGCACAAGTTGTGCGAAGAAGTATACTGCTCAACAATGGCAGCTAAGTTATAACGATACGCTGGAATGACACGGTTGACACCGTACGATTGGATGTCGTCAATGTGCTACGCGCCGGACGGTCAGCAAATGTTGATAGCACTTTGCTTTGGTTGGTTGGCGCAGTCATTGGTTCCACCATGATTCCTTTGCGCTCGCTCCCTTGCGACGGGCCGTGTCTGATGGATTGATTGCTTGGGCGTTCAACGGCGCCTGCGCTCGGCCTTGCCGCTTATTATCCACCTGCTTTGTTTCTCACTCTCACTCACGACACAAAAGTGTAGAAAGTCATATAAAATGACGCATTATGCTGACAGAAATCATCTCCGACTAATTACTGGCCATGACTCTGACCTGGTGAAGGGGAGGAGGGGGAGGGGGGTTGGCCGCCTCAGTGATATTCAGCTTGACTGACCCCTGGCCAGCCCCGCGCATCATGTGCTGACAAGTGACAACTGGCTGGTTGCTGGTGGTGGTCACTGCGACTCATCACCACACCTTTTTCTCCAGCAGAGATGAATGTTGGCGGTTAAGATGACAAATGGGTTGGTTCTCCCGTCGCCACCGCCTTTGCCGAACGAACCGCCCGCTCTGTGTCTAGCCCTATGGCTTGGACAAGGCCCAAATATGTACGGACAAAGAATCATGACGGCGCCTCGAGCCTGACGATCGATGAATGGCTATCCTTTCCTCATTCCTGCTGTTCACTCGCACCTATCTCTCTTGACTCTGACAGTCGCTGCAACTCCCCCCCCGGTGCAGCGCAATGCAAGAATGCAAGGCTCTCTCTCGCTCTCCGCTGGCATGCTGCCATGCTGCCCAATCCGTCGTCATGTGCCGCTTCTCGTGCATAGGCACGACGCACCATCGTGCATGTATGCAGCTTTCCATCATGTCTTCCCTCCCCTCTTTTATTGTCCGAATCATTTTTTCGGAAGTGCTCCTGTCTAGACTTGTTGAGGGGCCTTGCAGCAGCTGAGGACTACAGGCATGCGGGTGCATGCGACAAGAGTGATGATTTTGTTGAAAACTCCACTAGCTATTGGGTCTTGTTTTCGATTATAGATATATACACATAACACAACTCTCTTGTATGTGCATAAGTCCTTTATTAATTATACTATGGTATTATCTGATTCATTGAGCAATGTTCGGCAAGCTAGCTAATATGACTAACCCAGGTTCATCGTCGGAGCTCTAACTATGTGGATGCGAGGTGATATCCTAGAACTTCCCTTGCAAACGGCCATAAGAAGGAGCAAATAGTTCAACAGAGTCTTGTTTATGCCTAAAACCCACATCTCTTGCTTGGCAATCCTTAATTGAACGGCTGTTGATTGACTGGCTGTTTGTTGGCAGGCACGAGGCCCGCTGACTCAGCCAGTGACCCCTCATCATCCACCTCGCCAGATAGCTTCCTCTCTTTCTCTCTCCTTCATATCACGTTCATGCCACATTTTTCCAGGTCTTTGCTTCAGCTCGTGCCCGGTTGTGATCTCCTCATCTCTCTTTGCTCTCGCTCTCTGACACGCCACATTGTTGGTTGACTGGCTGTTTACTGATTGAGTGGCTGTTGATTAATTGGCTGTCTGCTGATTAACTGGCTGTAGATTGACTGGCCATCTGCTCGCGCAAGTTGGCCCTTTGTGCCATTTCTTCTGCCCCCGTACAGTCATTGAATACGTCATCCATCTGCTCAAGTGTCTTGCCGTTTGTTTCGGGCACAAAGTAAAATGTCCATAGACCCGAAAACAGGCAGAAAAATGCGAAGAAAAGGTATGCTCCCCAGCCGGTGTTTTGAACTAGCGGCGGAGTCACCAGTCCCTGTGTTATTGATGATTAGTGTCCGTGACAGTGATTGATGACGGCGCTAGGATTACTCACGATGATGAAATTGTTGATCCAATCTCAAATAAGAGTCATCGTTAGAAGGGCTGAACTTCATGGCAAAAGGCATGTATACGTACTAGAACATGTTGAAATGGCAACGCCCTTGGCTCGTAGCGATGATGGAAAGATTTCGGCAGGCATGGCCCAAGGAACCGGTCCCCAGCTAGCCCCGAACGCGAGCATGTACACGAAGAGGAAGGCAACACTCGTCCACCCGGCAGTAGTGTGCTGCGGCCAGTTGCCCGAGTACATTCCAACCAGAGCGGTGATGATGATATGAGAGATGCACATGGCAACGCTACCAGTCAGGAGTAGCTTGCGCCGTCCAAACCGATCCATAGTCCAAAGACTGGAGACGACGCCCACAAGTTGCGCGACGTTTACGACACCGGACATGATAAGGCTCATATTGAGGTCAAGGCCCATGGTGCTGCCAGAAGGTTAACAACGTTTAGTAGCATTCGCGAGGACAAGACACCAGCCTACCCAAAGAGAGTCGGGGCGTAATATATGAGCGCATTGATGCCCACGAACTCGGCCAAGTTAGCCTTTTGGTCAATAGTGTAGCTCGAGAAGCAATTCTCACCTGTTGGAAAAACATGAGGCCAGCGCCAACAAGAGTTCTCCTCCAGCACCCCGGCCGGACACAGTCAACCCAACCGGCAAACTCTAGCCTGACTCTGCTGATTGTGCCGCCACCGGTGAGGCTGGGATGGCGCTGCTTCACAATGGCGGCCTGGAATTTTGCATCTGTTATGATATCCGACCACTCCTTTTGGACCCTTGCATCGGTCGCCGGCAAACGTCTCAGCTTCGCCAGTTCCACTAGAGCCTCTTGTTCCCGACCCTGGGATGCTAGCCAGCGCGGTGAGAAAGGCAGAAATATGGCAGCGAAGCCAAGTATCAGACCCGGAACAATCTGAAGAAGAAAAGGCAGTTGCCAAGACCAGTGCGAGTGAATGTACTGCGTGCCGTACGTGATCCAGAACGAAACGACGATGCCGACGACGATGCTGAGCTCCTCAAGAACAAGCAGGGTTCCTCGAATTTCGGGTGGTGATATCTCGGAAATGTATAGCGGAACAACCATACTTAGCCTATGCGAGGCGACAATCTTGTATAAGCTAAAGGCTGAATTCGTTCGAGGCAGACTCTACTCACATTCCGATACCAATACCCCCAATAAGTCGAGCAGCGACCAGCATGGGATAGTCAATTGCTGCAGTCTGCAACACTGAGCCGACTGTAAAAATGGCCACAGCGATCATGATGGAGTATTTTCGCGAATAGGCGTCGGCCAGCCAACCTTGATTCATGGCACCTTGGACGAGTCAGCCATCGGGTAATGAGAGGGTAAGTCAGTCGTCTCAATACCAATGAAAGCACCCAGAGTAATCATGGCGGTCATGAGTCCCTTGTAAAACCCCGATCCGGGAGCTGTATCGGATACCTCGCCGAATCTATCCAAGAATTGATCCATGACAAGAATGACAGATATGACTCCCTGGCTGCGCAACGATTAGAAGGCTGGCGCGCAACGGACTGTTGTGACAAGAAGACGTACTCGTAGCCGAAGAGGATGCCACCTATGGCACTGAGAGATGCGCATGCGACCACATACGGTGACTGAATGACACCACGGATTCCTAAATACACCCGACACCTGATTAATAACCTCAAAGGTTGGAGGGGTATCTCCCAAGACTTGCAAAAACTTACCTCCAGGCCCATAAGGCTCAACACCATCATCCCGGACAGCGTCGGTGTGCTCGCTATGTTCTGATTCTGGCTGCTTTCCCTCCATTGGGTCTCATGAAAACTCGTGTTGGGCGATTCACGTTTTTTTTCCCCTGAAAGGCGAGTACTCGAAACACTGTTTCTGGGAGTAAATGGCAAAGGCAGGAACAGTTGAGCAGAGAAACACCGGTATTTATAAAAACTAATATACTATTACGCGCATGTCTTGGGAAGCCGCCGGGGTCAACCAATTCAAGCGAGAGGGTTAGAGACGCAACCATTTGACGCTGCCAAGGGGCTTGGGGACCCGGAACTTTGTTGCCGCTTCCAGGGCTGGGACTGTAGAGTAGCTCGACGCCAAGCCTGGTAAGGATGCTACCCCAGATTACGTGGGAATTGCAGAGATGCCATTCGCAGCGGTGTTCTCTGTCTTTCATGCGCTGGCCCAGTCAGCAAGTGCCCAACGATTCGTATTGGACAAGGACAAGAGATTCAAATGGTGGGGCAAATCGACTGCCCGCATACAGTTACCTGCCCCAACGGTCTTGAAATATATCGGGTTAGCAGCGGCGAGACATTCCCGAATCGAGTCTAATGAATTAATTCCCCCACTTGTAGAACGCGGGGCATTTCGCTCAGACTTGCCTCGTGTTCCTGTTCTGGAAGGGATCCCGGTCTGCTGTCTCGACAATACAACATATTCGTAACAACGGCTTTTCCCTGGTACATGGTGAAGGCAACGACAAGATTCTACGAGAAAGACATGATTCGCAGTAGGCGAGATGTGCCAAATGCGCCCTGCTCGGTAAGCCCACCCATCGCTCTTCGGGCGGGTTTGTCTTGGGCATTGAGAGCCAGCTAGCCAAAGTTTGAGCTGTGATGAGGTAACAGCTTCTTAGAACTGTCGGAAGAAACACCTAAAATGCGACTGGAATGCGCATTTCGAGGATGGAGCCGGGCAGGCGATGGTGTGCCGCCGCTGCTCACTCATGGGAGAAAAGTGCATCCAAGGCTTGAACATACGATTCAAGCACTCCCCCGATGAGTACTAGGAATTCTACAATCTTGCCCCTCTAGAGAAAATACCATGAGCAAATATTAATTGCTCTCCCAGGCTAACCCTTGATCCGCACCAGCCTTGGGTCCAGTGCCCGCGAGAGGGTAAGGACCGTACTTGGAAGCTCACATGAGGCGATCCCATTTTCTGACGCAATTTACAAAAGTGCGCTTCGTTGACGAGACCCCCTACGTTGCGGAGGACAGTTATCCATTCATCCCGGATCCTGTCTTTCATTCGCTCGATGACGTGGCTGTGTTGCGAAATGGCCCAAGAGGAGGAGGAGGCATGGCCAGAAGTCCTGCGTGTTCGCTCGACATGGCCTTGCAACGTGGCATGCCCGATCCAGCAGAGCGCCCTTTGTGCTCCCCTCCAGAAGGCTCTAGACTTTTAATTCATTCGCTGAGCAGTAGTAGTACGGCGCATTGCGTTGCCTTTCCTCTACGGGACCCTGATGAGGCAAGACTGATGAAGTACTACCTCGAGTACATGTGCAACTGGGTGAGTAAGTGACCTGCGCCGTGAAAGTGTATGCCCAGTTTTAATCGTCAAAAGTTTGATCTATGCGATGTCTCCCGGCAGTTTGCGCTCAAGGTTCCGTTGCGGGCCATGTCGTCCCCAACACTGCGCAACGCCATCTTTGCGCTCTCCAGCCGGCATCTGAGCCTGCGCGGGCAATTCGATGAATATGCATCCACAAGATATCACCAAGAATGCCTACGGCAACTGAGCAGCGTGTCGCATGGCTCTCCTGACTTGTTGGACGACAATCTTCTCGCAGCCACCATTCTACTGCGAACGCTAGAGGAACTTGACGGTCAGTTTCTGAGACCTTGACTACGCCCGAGCTTTTCGGGTACCATCATAGACTCACGTATGTGTTCCTGCAGTTCCTCTTCTGGGAAACGACTACGAGTCGCATCTTCTAGGCATTCAGGTATTCATGAACACCCATGGCCCCGCCGCTGTCGCGAGCGACCTCAGAAAGGCGTCCTACTGGGTCGGCTTGCGCCAAGAGGTGACAATGGCTTTATCCAGCCAAAGGCCGATAAAAATATCTCTCTGTCACAGTTTTATAGATCAGTCATTGACGGAAGCAAGTGACGACATGTGGGCGAACCGCATCATTGTCCACTGCGCAGACGTTGTCCAGTTCTGTTTCGGTGACGACAACCAGAGGTCTGCCGACTATCGAAGATTGCTAAAGTACGACGATGATTGGCTACATTCTCGGCCTTTGTCCTTTATCCCTGTTGCTTTTTCGGCCGCCGATCCTGGCATGGGTGAGGCGTTTCCTCGCATCATGTACTTGAGTCATTCTGTTGGTGGGTTCAACCTTGGCATGCCTTTGCCATTGTTCTTTCTGGTGGGCTTGAACTGACCAAACATTCGTATGTTTTAAAAAAAGTCATTTCTGTCATGCACAGTCTTCTTGCACGAGCGCTATTATTATGCCACGACCCAACATTGCCCAAGATTGGGGTAACTCGCCAAAACGTGCTACAGACTCGAGATGACGAGGTTCGCCAACTAATTCGGGAGCTCTGTGGAACGGCACTATCAAACAAAGCGACCATACCAGCTATGATTACGGCGTCGCTGGGAATTGCATCTTGTGGAGACCGGTTCACCAGTTATGTAGATAGAAAGGCTCTCCTGGATCTCCTGGTCATAACCCACACGGTTCATCTGTGGCCAACGGAACATATCCAGACTAGCCTCAAGAAAGCGTGGGGGTGGATCTAGATTCAGTACAAGGGAAAGTATATGAAATACATTATAATGCACGCCTGTCGACGAAGAAAGCCAAGAACCCGCTATGACCCAGGATCCAGGTCCAGCGCCGAAAATCACCAACTAATCAGCTAAAAGCCAAGATTTACTACATTATGCATGTGCCATTCTGCCAAGAGACTGTAGCAGTCACTACGCTAACCATAATGAGAACGGGTCATGGGAATATGCTCCTAACCAGCCGGGAGAAGTTGCCATAAATTCCAAAGTAGGAGCATTTCGCCGACAAAGGGCACACCACAACCAAGCCAACCAAGCCAGCTTCCGTCACAACGTCAAGTACAACGTCAAAAGTCGATCCAGAGTAGTCAATCCCGTAGTCGGCGTAGAAAAGCCATGCAAAAAAGCCATAGAATTTCAAAGAATATAAACAAGGACCCGGGAGGCCACTTGCGCCACTCTGTTTGCCCAACCCTCATGCCCAGATCGTTTTTTTTCGAATCAATTCACCAAACTTATATACACACTCAATAGTTTCAAAGCGTCCAAAGAATGCCCCCCCGAAAGCTCCAGGTTGGCGTAGCCGGCCTCGGCCGCATGGGAAAGCGGCATGCCCTCAACTTTCTCCAATCTGTGCCGCGCGCCGAGCTCGTCGCAGTCTCTTCGCCCGACGCCGACGAGAGAGAGTGGGCTTCCGAAACCTTTGGTCCGTTTGGCATACGTGTCTACGAGAGCTATGACGCGATGCTCCAGCACAAAGGACTGGACGCCGTCTGCGTGGCCTCGGCAACCACCGTACACGCGACTCAAGCCATCAAGGCCATTGAGGCTGGCAAAAATGTCCTTTGTGAGAAGCCGCTGGCGACGACCGCAAAAGTGGTAAAAAGTTACCCACCTTGCTTTCCCAAAAGAAAAAGAAAAAAAAAAGAAATGTCGTTCGGCATCATGCTTACAATACTTGGAAACAGTCTCAAACGGTAGTCGACGCAGCGGCGACACGTCCGGACCTCAAAGTCATGTGCGGCTTCTCACGGCGCTTCGACGAGCACTACCGCGACGCGTACGCAAAGATGAGCCGCGGCGACATTGGGCGTCCGTCCGTCTTTCGCAGCCAAACCTGCGACATGCTGGACCCTTCGGGCTTCTTTGTCGCGTACGCCGAGTTTAGCGGCGGCATCTTTGTCGACTGCTCCATTCACGACATTGATCTCGCGCTGTGGTTCTTCAACGAGCACGACGACGCCAAGATCAAATCCGTCTGCGCCATTGGCATCACCGCGGTAGAGCCGGACCTCTGCCAGTACAACGACCGCGACAACGCCATGGGCCTGGTCGAGTTTACAGACGGCCGCATCGTACATTTGTACTCGTCGCGGATGATGGCTGCGGGACAGGACGACTCGACCGAGATTATCGGGACAAAGGGAAAGCTGAGCGTCAATAGTCTCCCCGCCGCCAATCTCGTGCGCGTATATGAGGCTGGTGGAATACGGCAAGAGGTCCCGCAAAACTACTGGGATCGCTTCAAAAACGCCTTTGCGCGCGAGGCTGTCGAGTTTACCGACTGCTGCCTCGACGATACAGAGGTTCCGGTAAAGCTGACTACTGCCGTGGCGGCTGTGCGCATTGCGGCGGCGCTTCAGCAATCCATGATTACGGGAGAAAAGATTTGGTTCAACCAGCTCGGTCAGCAGGCCATCAAGGCTCAGCTCTAGTTGGACCGAGTTATAGAGATATATAGATGTTTGATCAAATATGATGCAGTTTCAACGGCGCTACAAGTAGAAGAGTATTAGTAGTAATAGTCACACATAGGAAGTCTGCTGTGAGACACAAAAGGATGTTGTTGTCCTCTGTCTCCCCACAGCACAAGTCACCGGCCTTACCCGCTTGTTGTCCTCCAAGCAAGTCTGGAACGGAGCCATTTCCATACTCACAAATTCGGCATTTAATTCGTACCCAATGTAAATGACATAATTACACGGTGGCGACATCCTGAATGTCAAAGTCCAGCAACACTGTACACTTGGTCTCCCTGCCTTGCATATCCAGAAACCTCACAAACGTCCATCCCGGCCTTGTATACGACAGCCGCACCGCCGCCACGGCAAACATGGGGTTGCGTGCCCACGCATCATCGCTCTTGATGAGCATGCGCAAAAATACCAGCTCATTGTCCTCGTAGGTCCACTCGAGCGTCTCGTCCCAGATGGGGTCCGTAGCCGGCGGGTTGTCGCCGCGGTGCAGGAATCCCAACTTGTGATGCTTGTAAGCGTCCGTCTTGCGCTTGGGCGTGTCGGCGGTGCTCTCGGCGAGCGCGCTGTGAAGCGTGCACGTCAGGTACGGCTTGAGCGTGTGGCCCTCGCGATCGGCGTGCAGCGGGATGTCGGTGGCGCCGCCAACGTGCAGCCGGAGGCGCTTCCGGCGGCCCGTCTGCAGCGACCCGTCGCCGCCCTGTCGTAGCGCCGGCGGCTTGAGTATGTAGCCGTCGGACCCGGCAAAGAGGGCGTCGTTGAGCTGGTTGCTGGTGCCAAATGTCTGCCAATTGAGGGCGCAGATTTGCGCGCCGAGGCCCCAGAAGCGCACCGGCTTGAGGTTGGAGGAGCTGATGCGCGTGCCCTTGGGGTACACGCGCATGAGGTGTTTGCCGTTGTGGCGGGCGATGCTGGCCGTGTTAACGGGGAGGTGTCCGGCGAGGCCAGACTCGGAGACGTTGATGAGGTGGTGGTGTGGTCCTTCAAGCAGCTCGCCGGGATCGAACCATGAATTGTCGCGGGGTTTGACAGATTGCGCGTACACGCCGAGTGCAGCGAGTTCGGGGATGATGATTTGGCTGTTCTTGGCTTCGTCCTTTTTGTTGGCCTTGTACGCTTCGCGGGCTTTGCGCTCAGCTTCCTGAATCTCTTCATCTTCTTCGTCTTCGCTCTGAGAGTCGCTGTCGAGGACGTCGTCGCTAAAGTGGTGTTCAACAATAACGGCAATTTTATCGCCCAGCTCTCTGAGAGTGACATGCTCAGCTGGGTCGTGGTCACGACCGTCGGCCTCGTGTTCCTCTGCATGGTGCTCTACAAGCTCCTCGCGCAGCGGCGCAGAGAGCAGACGCTCTCCAAAGACTTCGTGCATGATTTCGACGAGGCGCTTCTGGCCCTCGGGTCCGCAGTGGTTTTCCAAGGACAGCAAGATAGGTGTCGGGGCGTGGTCGGGATACTTGGCGGAGATGGCGGCCTCTTCGTCGTGCATATCGCGGATAGTCTCGCACACGGCGCGAAAGGAAATGTGCGACACCAGGGTGTAGCCGTGGGTGACTTTGGGTTCGTTCTTGTCGTCGCTGTTGTCCCAGGCGTCAATCTCGACGCAGCGGGAGCCGGTGCGGATGGCCGTCTCGTAGGCCTCGGCAGAGGACTTGCCGTAGAGCTGGTGGGCCATGAGGTAGGTGTTGTGGGAGGAGCTCACAAAGTACTCGGGCAGCGGGTGATTGCGGTCGACGAGTTCCTGGGGCGCGACGAAGTCGCCGCGAGCGAGCAGGGCGGTGAGAGCCGGGGTGCGGACGTCGTCGCTCTTATCGTCAAGGTTGGCATCCTGTTCCGAGAGCACACCGCGGTCGACGAGAAACGAGCGCAGGGCGTGGCTAACGCGTAACTTGGCAATTTCGTGGTCGGCGCGGACGGTGCTGCGGCCGCCGCCACCGACGGAGTCGTGGCCGATGGCACCGCCGAGATCTTCGTCGACGACGTCGCCACCCTTGAGGGAGACGCGAAGGTTATGAAATTTGGAAGAGAGTTCAGACATGATAGGTGGATGGTTGATGTTGTTGGCAGGTTGGTTTGGGGGTATGTCGTTTGAAGCTAACCCCGCCAGCAGGCACAATATGTCAAAAACCGGGGGAAATTAGATGTAAAATGATCAAGACGGATTGAGAAAGAAACGGTTAAGTAGATGTTTCAAGCTCCCTGGTAATGATTCAGCGCCACAGCTGGGCTGTGTAGACGTGCCGAGCTTAATGAGGCGATGCATGGCGGGGTTCAAGCTGGAGGGGTTCTCTGCAAGTCTGCAAGGGAGCCACCGGGGGGGGGGGGGGTAAATGTGATTTGGCTTGTAGCACAACATGATTTCTTTTCTTCTTCTCTTTCTTTGTTTCTTCCTTGTTCACGCTTTGACTCGTCAGATTCTCCGTCTACTGGACCCCTTGTCATGACACCTCATCATCCGTCAACTACGTAATGAGGGGCACCTAAAGCTTCCTTAGGGGCCATCATGAGGGGCTCAAGAACGCACACTTGGCACATCACCCACCCACACACCACCACATCGCACCACAATAAAGGCAAGGGATCAAGGCCATTCCCGCTACGACTCCCCTTTATCCACCACTTGGACTTATCAGAGACAATGCGAACCCAGAATATTATCCGCAAGCCTGTGCTCGGGGCAAGCGCCAAGCTAGCCGGGCCTGGCCTGAAGCATGCCTTGCTAATCGATGCCGGCCCAGTTCGACGCCTGACGCTGCTGTGCCTAAAGACTGCATCAATCTGCGCGTCAACGCCACTCTCGAAACAAGTCGTGTAAAAGGACTCGACTGGCCTGCTTCCCTGCTTTTTGTTCTTGTTCCCGGGACTGTAGAGAGACGGACGTCTGCTAAAAGCCAGATGCCTCGATTGTATCACCCCCAGTCGCGCAGCAACCCCCGATCATCCATGCTCCATGGCAGGCCGTCTGTCTGGATGGCTTCACGGCTTCGTCCATGATGGCCCTCCCACACTGCCAAAGAAGCGCAGATACGCTCTCACCCCGACGTCCTCGGCCACCGATCTCTCGCTCCCACCAAAGCAGCACGCCACGGCCAATAGCCCCCTCTTCCAAAAGCTGCCCGCCGAGATTCGCATCCAGATCCTGACAGCCGCCTTTGGTCAGCGTACACTGCACATGGACTTGCTGCTCAGCCACCCGCCTTGTCGAAGTCGGCCCAACGCCCGTGACCGCGCCGTCCTCGGCCACGCCGGCCTTTTCATCGAGCCCAGCAGGGCCGGCGACGGCAAGTTCTACCCCGTGCTCGACACGACCTCACGCCAGGCCTGGCTGTGGTACGGCTCTGTATGTCACCGCAACCCGCCGGGGACAGACTTCAACGGCCACGAAGTCCAGCCTTGCCAGGACCAATGCCGCAGCGGCATCACGCCTGACGATACATGCGGAATGTGGCCCGGTGTCGGTCCAGAAAAGTGCCAAATCGGCGCTATGGGATGGCTGCGGTCCTGTCGGCAAGCGTAAGTAATAAATTAACCCTATACCTTCCATCTTGATGCGGTGGCCTTGCTGCATGGGCTAATACTTGGTATTGCAGCTATCTGGAGGGCATCGATATCCTCTACAGCACAAACACGATACATACCGCCAGCAAGGCCGTGATGCTCGACTCCAATCGACTCCTGCTGCCGCAGCGCGTGGCGGCCATTACCTCGCTCGAGGTGCTGTGGGATTTCGGGTCGCACCCACCGTGGGCCGACAGTTTTCCTAGCAAGACCAGAGAGCTCATGGAAACGTTTGAAGACATGCTGCGGGCGGTGCTGTCGTCTTTTCGTGGGCTCAAGACGCTATACATCTCGGTGCAGTGGACCGGACGCGATTCCTTTGTCGCGTTTCCGCGGCAGCTGGGCGGCGGCGGGCCAGACGACCCTGCAGAGGGCATGCTGATGCGGCGCGTCGACGCCATGGTGCGGCAGCTGCCGGCGCGTGTGACGGACTTTGCCCTTGCCATTCCTAGCTCCATCTACGCGCAACAGTGCCAAGCCGCGCGTGAAACAACAGGCAGGACGGTGGAGCATGTCTCAGACGGCGCCCTGCATGAGCGCTTCTGGCGGCCGGTGGACAAGAGCGTCGCGCACGCGGGATACTGGGTGCGGCTGGGCCAAAAGGACATGAGGATGAGCGAGCACAGCAGGATGGCGGACAGCCTACTGCCTCATGAGTGGATTCTGTACGCACAATAATGACAAGAGATTTTATGTGTAGATGGTGTTGGATATGCATGTTTATATATAGAGGGAATAGAAAAAGATGGCATTAGTTATGGCTGTATGTATGTATGTATGTATGTATGTAGTGGTATGCTCAGTGCAGGTGATGTAGTCGTGACGATGAAGGAATGGCACAAGATGTTCGTCTCGTGACATGATATGTGTCTCGTGACGAAAAAAAGATTTCATCACAAATCAGAACCAAAAAAGGTGTACATGTCCGCCTACTCGAGGTATAGGCGATGCAGCTTAATGTATTTAAAGACGGCGCCGGGGATATCCATCGACTGCTCGCGGTTCTGTATTTGCGCGCGGACCTTTGTCGAGCTGACGTCATTGTCAAAAGCATCAACGACCCAGATGTTGTCGCTGTACTTGCTCAGCGGCGCCACGGCGTCGCGCACGGCGCACTGGTGCGGTCGCTCGACCACGAAAGCGCCGTAGTGGCCGCCGAGCAGCACGTCAATGTCGGCGGGCGCCCATACCTTTGGGTTGCTCATGGTGAGGGCGAGGTCGGCGCCTATGAGCAGGACGATGCGGGCGCGCAGGCGGCGGGTGCCGTCGACAGACAGGATGCCGCCGAGGCCGCCGCCGCCGTCGTCGTCGTCGTCGTTGATGGCGGCGTCAAAGTGCCGCAGGACGTCGGCGGTGCGGCTGTACAGCGGGCGGCCGGCGTCGTCGACGCGCGTGGCCTCCCAGTCGTCGACGTCGGCGGCGAGGTTCTCGACGGCGAGGGAGCACATTTGCAAGCGGTGGTGAGCAGGAACGAGGGAGGACTTGTTGTACGCGTCGCTGAGTGTGTATTAGCATGGGGGGGGGGGGTTTTTTTTTTTTGCGCTCTTGATTTCTGTTTCTTCTTCCTTCTTCAAAGTGTCATCAGAATGGAGAAAGACGCACCTGCATGGACTCAAATAATTGCCGACAATCTCAAAATCGGTCCGCGGGATGTGGCGGGCGGCCAGCTCAAACATTTGCACGTGCAGCTTGGTAATAGGCGAGAAGCTGCCGCAGGCGACGAGCACGAGCGGCGTCTTGCCGGGTTGTGTGAGGCGGCGCTTGAGCTTGCCAGTGGGAAAGGTGTATGTACCGAGGGGTGGCGACGGCGGCGGCGTTAATTGATGCTGCTGCTGCTGCTGCTGCGGTTGTGGCGCTGGTTGCTTATTTGGCGATTTTTCGACGCCATTGTCGCTATCCTTTTGTGGCGATAATGTTGATGATGATGGTGATGGTGATGGTGGTGGCTTGGGTGTGAGCGCCGAGGCCGGCGGAGCCCGGCGTTTGGTGTCGGCGGCCGCGGGGGGCAGGGACAGCGTCGAGCCCATGACTGCGGAATAGCAATAATGGCCGCAGAAGGGAAAGAAAGGGAACACTGTTGTAAAGTGGAAAAAAATTGGCCTGATGTGTGCTGAGAGGAAAGTTACTGCAAAGGACCGAGGAAGAAAAGGTTCCGAGAGCTGTCGCGTGCTCGAGGTGGCTGTGTGCGGTGCGTGCGGTGTTTACGGCAGTTTTTTTCCTCTTCCCTCTCTTGGTCACTGATGCAATCTGACGAGCAAGAGATTCGGAGAGAGGGGCAGCAAGAGTAACATAGATGGGCGGGCCCTGGGTTTTTAGCCTTAAAGAGGGGCAGACGAGAGCGGGCTTTTTACTGACTCTTGTCTCGGGGCCTTTATTTTTATTTTACTTTGCTTCATCATTAGACACGGAAAGGATTCAGTCGTAGACAGAAAAGCAGCCATGTCTTTTTAAGTTTTGAGGCTGTTGCTTTTTTTTGTGATGCGCTCGATGCGCCGGGGGCGGCGGCTCGGAACAATGGGCTTGCAGGAATGATCTGGATGGACAAGCCCATTGACAAACTCGAAGAAGCCTGTAACCAAGAAGAGAGAAAATCGGCACTCCCGCTGTGGAGTATGAGTTGCGTGCGAGTCTGCAACTATTGGGTGTGTCGGGGGTCGTTATCAGTGAACTTGGCTGAGTCAGGCTGATGAAGCGGAGAAATAAGTTTAAAAGGAAAAGAAATTAGACGAGGCAATAATAAATGGGAAAATCAGAAACAGACTAATAAATAGATACATAAATACAACTGAGTACGGGTACGGATACACGACTGTTCAGCTCGCTCTCAACGTTAGCTCAACGGCTTGCCCTCCCGTTTAGGCTGCGACACGGTTTGAGAGGCTGGCTGAGACATCCAGTTTCAGTTCCAAGCTGACATCAACAACTTCCATTATTTCTTCTCCTTTTACATATTGCTTCAAGTACGTCGAAGTTGTGAACCTGCGATGCTGCTAATTATACATTCACGACAATAACGGCAACGTTGTTTTGCCTCTGACCAGGATGATGTAATCCGTCATTGTCCGACAACCGGAGGAATCCGAGCCCGTCGCTTTGCACGGACGATGAAGAGCAACGACGCTCTTCCAATCCTGTCATCTGTTTACCCCGGTTGCCCGTGCTGTGGGTTCCAGTCCAGCTCGGCCATGGCACGATGATCCGGCGGCAACGCGGGGTAAACCTGGATTTTTTGAACGAAATTTCTGCCTCTATTTTCCTCTCACTTTCGCAGAAAGGCGAGGGCCCGATCCTTGCATTTAAAACAGCCGCTACTACCGGTACACTACAACTTGCAAGAGACAGGTCTCGGCTCCCTACGAAAAATAGCATCCAAACGAGACATAATCCGTAGTATACATATTTATATGCCCGGAACAGGGAAAGAGTACCTAATTACGTACCGAAGAAAGACCTTTCAGACGCAACTTTTTCATACTGGTACGGAAGTATTGCGACATATCTTTCCATATCCGCGGTCAGCATCCGCCCTCGGACACCCTCATGGACCCTCTCTTGATCGCGAGAACAGGACAGGCCCACAGGAAATCGGAATACAACTTCGAGTCAATGAAAGTAACTAATTGATTTATGCGATTAAACTTTTGGTAGTTTGTAATATTTTGGTAATTACCTACTTTTTCTCTTGCGTTACCCTACTTGATCTTGGTACGCGCATGCCGGATACGAGGCACGAAATTTGCCGGCCCTGGATGCTGACATGGAGCACAAGAAATGCGCGATTACAAAAGAATTCTTCAATGCGATATAATTATTTTCTCCAATTCAAGAATACCAGTTGTCTTCTCCAATGTCAAACTTTCATCGCGTAATGGGACTGCCTGCTCGTCCCCAGCCCGACAACATAAATTGCTGACCAATGATCCTGGTCAAATGCGCCCCACATTATCCACACGCAATAAGAAAACAAAAATTTGACGCTCGATTTCCTCTTTTCTTCTTTCTTCTTCATAAATAATGAACAACGCAAATAACACGTTTACGCTCCCCTGAATGCGCCCGGTGTGAGGTGGCAATTTGTTGCTACCCAAGACCTACCGGACCGCGAGGAACACAAAACGGAGAAGAAACCGAGCAATCTTGGGTGCGGTGCTTCCCGGCCACTGGCCACATGGGGAGGATCGCAATGATTGAGCGTACATGCCTAGATATTTTCACCATTCTCATCTTTGCCTGCGACTGCGACATGTATCGAAAGGAAGCTCGACAGAAGCTGCTCGACGGCTATACCACTGGCGACTGGCTCGACGACACTTTAATAATAATAATTAGACTGGAGAAGGGAATCAAAGCTCTCTTCACCCATAACGACTAGCCCGTTGATATGACCAACCGAGTGATAGCAAATCGCCACCGAATGCTCATATCATGCTGCGCAGAATCACATAGACGCGCTTTCCCCCACACTGCACCAACGTAGAGCCGAGTGTACAAGGAAACACGAGACTAGCCGCGGTCGGCAACCCGAACCACTCTCGGTGAATTCGAGACGCACCGAAATTACATGCATCACTCCCCGAACTATTGATAAAGCGTAACTGCTTAAATCGTGTCATATTTGATCATTCGGCTCTGGTGCGAAACCACCACCGCCAACGAACCCTGAACCCTGGCAAAAGAGCTATCACCATTACAAAAATAAAAGAACGGGCATGTTTCTGTATCCCATGACCCGCCATCGTAGGGGAAAAATATACACAAAGGTGCGAACACACTGAAGAGAAGAAGGACCATCCAGGGCCAATATCGAAGCTGCCAGTTTTCCAGAAAGCATACGGGCTCTCATCCGAGGCGCGAGCCAAGGTCTAAACCAGTGTCAAGGTCTAAGCGAGTGTTAGTCGAGCGATGCACCAACAAAAAGGCTGATGATTGGGAGGACTGGGAAGGCATCATACCAACTTAGAAAGCCTCGACAATTGCGCGCGCAACATGGTGAAGCCCATCGAGATGTCTCTTTGCGACGGAGCACTCGCCGTCGTCACCGCAGTCCTGCTCCTGTGCGTCGCCGTCCTCCTGTCCCGCATTCAGAACCGACTCGGCCGCGCGCTTAGCCTTCCAGCATGGCTGACCGGGTCTCATGCACCAACGCTTGGCAAGATCTCCATGTTCATCGACGCTGCGCTTCCAGCACGGCTGACCGGGTCTCATGCACCATCGCTTGGAGAGCTCTCCGTCCTCGTCGGCGAGGAGCTTCCAGCACTTGGGAGTCTGCATGCACCACCGCTTCTCGAACGCGCCCTCATCGTCGACATTGGCGGCGTCGGACGAGGCGAGGTGCAGGAGACGGTCGTGGGCGCCCGAGGCAAAGAGGCCGATGTTGTCGGCGTCGAGTGGCTCGACGGGCGAGGGGGCGGGCTCGCCGAGAGCGTCAACGGCGCGCTTGAGCTTCCAGCATGGCTGGCCGGGTCTCATGCACCAGGGTCGAGGGGCAGCGATAACGGTGGTGGCGGCTGTCGCCAGCATAACAAGGGAGAGCTTCATATTGAAGAGTGTTTACGATGAGTAAGTGCTGAGGGTGTTGATCTGTCGATGTGTTGATGAGTCGTGCTGCTCTTGGTCTGATTTGCAAAGATATCGAGTATAAAGCAAAGCAAACGAGCTCGAAGTTGGCTCTTGTATATAATAAGAAGATAAAGAACGAAGAGAAAAGTTTTTAAAAAGTTGTATGTGAGTTGCGACAGCTGTTCACACGGACCTGTCCGTGGTGTTTATACTTTTGAAGCTGTGCAGCACACACCACGCTCAAGTTCCGAATATAACTACGACCCTTTGTGCATCGGATATTTAGCCAAGGTCAAAGATGAAGAAAGAGAGTCTGGACCCTTGTGCTGCGCAAAAATCAATAGAGACTGAATAAACAGCCACGTCCGCCACGCCTTCTTCCCCGCCCTGGGCCGATGTGACCACGGCAGTTTAGCGAGAGCAAACCCGATTGCATTTTTTAGTCTTTTCCCCTCACGAACTGAGCACGTAGAGAAAATAGCGTTTCTCATTGAACCAGAGAGGGAAAAAAAAAAGAAACCCAACGGCTCCTGTTGGACCGTGTTGTCGGTTTGTGGTTGTGGCGTGGCGTTTGGACAAGGGTCAAAATATTCTATTGATGCCCGAATTAGGAAATACCACCCCTGCAGGTCCTCGGCACTCCACGCGCCACTGACGAATCAGAGAACAGGCCCGGAAATCTGGTATAGATTCGATCACGACTCAGTTACTTATTGTTAGAATTGACTTTGGACTATTTGAATGTCTTTTGAGCCATGTGAACCGTTGGAAATTCTATGCTTCTTGACTCGCGGGAGCATGTCAGTGGCATACCAGTAAGACGACCACCAATTTTTTTGCCACTGCCGGTAAGTTCCAGGTGAAATTGCCATGTGCGCGCTAGAACATGAGGCATAAGTGCGTGTTTGCCCTTTGTTTTAAGTCTTGGCTAGGGACCGGCCGACGGGCCCCATCAAAGAGCAAGCCGTTTATACGAGAAGAACGACTTGTCTTGAGCAGACAGCTCTGTGCGGCCGCTCATCACGGAAGCTATGGACGAGGTGCCAAGCCATACAATACTCTTGTTTCTCAGTAAAAAGCATGGTGGAAATGGGTCCTTGATGGGGTCATCGTCTGGCTACTGAGACGGTCTATCATTTCTGCTCTACTGTGCAGTCGGGTATCTGCAACGGTTTCCCCCCCACCGCTCGCGGGCACAGCAAGGTGGGCTCTTCCGGGACGAATGATTAACATATTTCCCGGCTGTTGTAGTAGTGGTTCAAAAGTTTGACGAGAGTTTGAGATTTATTAGCTTGAATAGAAGCATAATATTGTCCTTATACTCGTTGCGCCCGAGGCTGCATCTTAAACTTGATGCCGGCTACCCCAACATGCAGGGACTCGTGCCTTGCCTACATGCATGCAGCGTTTGTCACCAGATTGCTTCCACAAGCCACGTTATACAAAGACGTGCGACATGACTTATTAAAAAGCCACCTGCTCTAAAACAGAATAGACAGGGATTCTGGCCTAATGCACCTCGGCTGACCACTGTGCTGACGCCAGCAGCCCCCTCCCCCCGCTTCCCAAGCCAGCTTGTTTTTGCTGACGGCTTTTCTCGCAAGAGCCTCCTCGCCCACCAGAAACTTGGAACTAATATAGAAATGTGGAAATCATGACTGGCTGCTCCCAACATACCCGCTCTCCACCATTTTGGCATGTGCTTTGCAGCTGAGAGAGTACGAGGCAGTGTGCACTTCTTGTGTAGCTCGGAGGCTAGCTGGACTTAGCTTGAGGCATCAGCTTCCCCAATCAAGTCAACGCCGGCCAAGATCCGAGTTAAATAAAGCGGGTGGAGGCGTTTGACCGGCTACCTGCAGCTGTGGTTACATTGTAAACGATCCGTCGACAGGAACTGCACAGTGTAAAAAAATGTCTCGTGTTGACTTGCAGCATGTGGGCTGTCGATGCAAGGAAGCTATGTCACTCACCGTTGGCGTGAATAAGGGAGTCGGCGGCGGGGAATACCACAATTCCCATTTTCGTTTTAGAGTGAGAAGCAAATTGTAATCCTCATTTTTGATCAAGTATTCGATCAAAATCATCAACATGGCCGACGAGACCAAATACGAGCAGGTTGGCGACAATGCCAGCGACTACGAGAATGGGTACCGACAGCCGGCACCGCACCGTCGTTGGATGCCAACAATAGCCGCCTTTGTTCTCGGCCTGGCCACTACGGCAATCGCCTTCTCCCTCGTCCCAGCCCTGTCAAAACCGGCTCACTCCCACGCACGCACTATACCGCGCGCGTCCAACGGCACCGACCCTGTCACCGGCCTGCCCCTCGCCTGGTCCCACGGCGACTGCGGCAACGCGCCTGCCGACGCCCGCGCGCGAGGCTGCCGCTACAGCATCGTGCTGCACGCGTGGCTGCCCGCGTCGTGCCTGACGGCGGCCGACGACGAGGATGCGAGGGACATGTACAAGGACCGCGGCGGCCGCCGCTGGTACTACGAGACGGCATCGGGGGGGCGGAATTTGACGCTGGAGGAGCTTGGCGCGGGAGACTATGAGCATTTTAGCACAACGTTTGACTGGCATGTCGCGCATTGCATGTTTGTCTGGAAGAGGCTGCATCGGATCTTGCTGGATCCGACGCAGGAGCTGGATACGTACACGGCGAATTATCACCACACGAGCCATTGTGTCAAGATGATTGGTGGTCATCCAGAAGGGATGAAGGACTCGGGGACCAAGATATTTGTCAAGTATCCAAAGTGCGCAAAGTAGAGATGCCTTTGACAGATGAATTGGCAGTACAACTTTTTTTTGGTTCAACGGTTTCTTTAAGTCTCTTGCTCGCAAATGAAACCAGTCTTACTCGTTGCTGTGCTTTCCGAATGTGTTCTTTATTTTTATTTATTTTCATTTTATCTTATCCTTTTTTTTTCCTGTTACATAGATTTACTACTCATTCTCAAAAATTGGCGCTCCCTCGACATATTCGAAAAAGTTTAGTTCCTGCGCCGCTACATTCTTGACCGACCACTCATGAATCTTGTCAAAATTCCTGCACGTATGCATCGTGTGCACATTCCCAACAAACCCCTTTCGCTTCCTGCTCCACTGCCACGTAATGGTAGCGAGGTCGGACGCGCACTGCAGCGACTGCCTCAGCTGCTCGTAGCAGTGCTCCAGGTGAAACACGTTGCCCTCGGCCTCCTCCGAGCCCGACAGCAGATCTGTCGGGTAGGCGTCCGGGTAGACGAGCTTGCGCAGCATGTTGAGGCAGTGCAGCTGGTGAAAGACGTCGAGCTCCACGATGTGGTAGTCGGTGTCGTTGGAGAATCGCGTCGTGGCGTTGGGCAGCTGTGCAGCTGCGTCGGGCAAGATTTGCGAGATTAAAGTTTCTAAACCCATGGTCAATAGAGAATTTCTTTTTTGCGGAATCTCTTGGAATAGAGGAAAGCGTACTGTTGTAGAGATCATCCCATGCTTCATCAACCTCTGGCGTAGAGCCCAAGTATTTCGAGCCATCTCCCTTGAGACCACCCGCGAAGAGTATATTCTGATACTCAATCGCCGACTGCGCAGGTGCTATTATTTCTTCAGCATACGTACTTTCAACAATTCAGTTGCTTGCTTACTGTAAATCTCATTCGGAATGTAGTGTTTTCTGGCGTCGTGCCTTTGCATGTTCCACAGGCCAAGAAGTGCCAAGACCAACAACACCACATTCAGCGCGACAGAGTAGGGCAGAATGTTTGCCCATCTCTCTCGACGATTTGGGCGTGATGGCGGTTCGAGACTATTCTTTTCCTCGCCAAGAAGAAAAGGCACTTCATCAGAGGCCCATTCGTCAGCTTTTTGCTCCATTGACCAACAAGTCGAGTAATTCTGAACCCTCTAGTTTTTCGAGCTATTTTCTTGTAGTGAGTACTGTATGTATGATGGAGCTTTCAGCCTCGATTGTCTGCCATCAAACAGCAAGTGCAGGGATCCCGTGTAAGCTGCCAGAGACATCGCTTGCTGGGGAGCTGCCTCTCTTATCGCAACTGCGCACTGTGTAAGACGCGCCTCCTCTTACGCCCCAGATGGCAGCTGATCTAGAACGTAGCATTCGAGATTTCTCTATGGGACCGACCCCGTAATCTTTTGGTAAACGAACGTCGACAACATTGTGATTATACTACGAAACGTAGGGCGGCCAGCCCTGTGGGGGAGGGGAGACGCTACCTCTAGTTCATGCGGGGACATGCCCAGAGATGTGGGAGCAAAACGCCATCATTTCGTTCAATAGAGTATGACGATTGATAGTGGAACAGACTTGAGCTCGTGCAAGGTTAGTATGCATGTCAGAACTTGGAAACAGTTGCTCGCAAATCCCACCCCCACTTCCCCGACTTACATGGCTGGTCACGAGCACCAAAACTTACCAGCTGCTGTCGATATTGAAAAATCGCTATCATGAGGGAATAGAGTCCGAGGCCGTGTCACATGATTACATGTATGCGATTGCAGGTTGCTATCAGTGTACTGAATCTGCTCTTTCGGTCTTGTCCTCGGATCCATACGCGGCATCTACGTCAGTGTGAGGCGACACTCAGTCTCAAAGCCACCATCAGTTATAAAAAAATCCTGCTTTGTTCGTTGATCCTGAAAAAATATCTATGCGCATTGATTGAGTTATGACTGCGCCAGCAGAAAAGATACAGTGGCTGATGCAGGTCTGTATGACGAGGGGCAATGGCGTGTCATCCGCCCGCCCTCGCCCCCCAAACTGGCCAGCTACGGTATCCATACCGGAGAAATCAAGACATACGAGGATTGATGTAACATGTAAACTATAACAAGAGACTAGCAGAGTGCCGACATTAGCGTAGAGCAACAGGCGGGATTCCTGGTTGTTGCTGATGCGAGGAGGTAGCCATCTGGTCATATACATATGATGACACTCACCAAACGGTGTCGCAGATTTTGATTTCGCAACAGAACCACTACACCTCTCAACTATACAAAAAAAATCGAATCGAAATGAAGTTCATCATTCCCGTGGCCTTTGCCCTTTTCGGCGCCGCCCTTGCCGCGCCGGTCGAGGCCGACGTGGTCAGCCGCTCGCCCAAGGGCGACATCCTCTACAACAACGCTGCCGGCTGGGGAAAACGCTCCGAAGAGCTCGACGCGGCCAAGCGCGCCCCAAAGGGCGATATTCTGTACAACAACGCGGCCGGTTGGGGAAAGCGCTCTGAGGAAACCAATGAAGCCAAGCGCTCGCCCAAGGGTGACATTCTCTACAACAATGCCGCAGGCTGGGGAAAGCGGTCCGAGGAGACTGATGCAGCCAAGCGCGCTCCCAAGGGCGATATCCTGTATAACAACGCTGCTGGCTGGGGGAAGCGCTCCCCAAAGGGCGACATTCTTTACAACAACGCTGCCGGTTGGGGAAAGCGCTCGGAAGGTGCCGAGGACGCGGCCTAAGACAGTCTAGAGAGCATGTAAAGACTTGGCATGGTGATTGCGCATCCGGGTACCAAGACATGTACTTGACTCTTTACAATGGAAATATCTCAAAATGGTGTATTAAAACCATCAATCAATAAATGCTCGCTATAGACCAAAACTCGTCCCACATTAAAAGGCTCCAAACAATACTTGAGGCCATCCACATCAGCCCGAGGCACTAACAACTATGACGCAAAGCACCCAAGTTCCAAAGTAAATCCAATATATAGACAACAATACAGAGAGACTGGAAGGTGTGCGCATGCGAGAATTCTCACCCATGACTGCCGAATGTAACCTTGCAGATCTGCTGGAGTAAGGGAATGTGGCTGACGCCTAGAATGGGGGTCAACAATGTTACAAGTGGTGACACCATAGTGGTAAGCACTAGTTAGATACGCAACTCTATGCTTGGTTCCTCAATTCCGCCCCCATTCTTTAATTCGCCTTGTTCTTCATCTTCTTTTGGGTGCTCTTGCCAAAGAGACTGAAGAGTGTGACTAATGGAAAACTGCAGTTTTCTGAGCATTCTAGTTCGACAATGCTCTCACAAAAGGCTTCAAAAAAGAGATCCAACGATGTTACGGATGAATTCGACACAGAAAGTCTGCTGAGCGACCAATTACAAGAAAATCTTATACTTGATTCGCGATATGAGCGATCAAAACGAAACGGACGATTGAACATTTTACTACACAGTGCAATTATTTCTTTCTACGGTATCATCGCAATTCTGCTACTGTTATGGGGTGCAAAACTCCGTGGTACGAAATGCGCATGCGAGAATGGTGCCGTTTATTGTAAGTGAAGATGGCGAGATGCATGTGGTACCAGCTATTGACAGGTTCGCTCAGCTCCCGCAAACACGGCTGTCGAATACCAGAAGCAAATCATAAATCACAAGGTGTTTGAAGAAAGCAACTTCAAGGGCATGCCACGGCCAGAAGTGGATGATGCCTGGGCGAATCTATTACAGTGTAAGTTCTTACTTTCCCCTGTCCTTGGCCCACGTACTCACTCACAGCGCTGCAAGACAACGACATTCGCGTACAAAAACAAGATCTCGAAAAGGCCAACCTGAAATCGGTGCCTCTCAACGACGAAAAAGGGGGCTATTTTGTGACCCTGGATGTCTACCATACTCTGCACTGCGTGAACCACATTCGCAAGTCCTACTACTCCGACTACTACCACAACCCCAATCCCGTTGCGCAGCAGCGGGAGCACTTTGACCACTGCATCGATTTACTTCGTCAGACGCTCATGTGCCATGGAGACATTTCCCTGCATCCGTTTGAGTGGATAGATGAGTATAGGTTTCCCTGGCCGACGGAGCAGACAGAGCACCAGTGCCGGAACTGGGACAAGCTGGTCGCTTGGTCCAAGGAGCATTCCATTGCCAACTTGGAGGGCCCGATTCTGACACATCCGACCCTAGGTTAGGGCGCGCACGAGACGAGGTCGTCAATTGAAGCAGGCTAATAACGCATACGCAGGTACTTCATGGCGCGGCGACGAGCCTGACTGGGCTACTGGCGTAGCAACCAGCCGTAGTTCATTCACTCCCCCTTTCAATAAGAGACAGGCCTCGGTGCACATTTTCTTGACACAAACGACGACGGGGTCTTAATCCCTTACTTTCTCCCCGGCATCGTCTCTCGCTGCCTCAGCCCAACGTACACGTCTGGTCGGTTCGGGCGCTAATAGTGAGCGACGTGCCGCCTAGCGTGACTCAAATAAGGCGGCCCAGGCAACAGGGCGAGCTACACAAGGAGAGGACGAGGAAGGGAAGTGGCGGTGTACACTTCATTAAATATGCTGTTTGCTTCGTTGCTACAATAACTGTTTGTGAGGGCGTCAATTCTTCCCATGATTACGTGTCGTAGCTACGGAAGATCGTTGTTCCAGCTTCCGTGCCGTTTGTACCAGGGGCATGCTTCAAGATGATAGCTTGCCGTGTTTCTCGCAACAAACGTAAACGCAAACATGACTACTGGCGGGCACAATTGGCTCTAACGACCCTAATATTGTCGAAGGACTGCCAGACCGAGAATCCGAGTAAGAGGACCTGAAAGACGCCACTCTATAACGATAATAACGCACTCTGGGCCATGCGTAGTACTTTGTAAGCCTTCAGAGATGACCGACCAGTTGGCTCGCAACCCCAGTCCCCTCTAACGCACTCAGCCTTGTCCTTCTCGACATGACTCACAGCCATCCTCATCGCGACCGACAAGCCGCGATCAATTTCCGGCATTCGGAAATTCAGCTCGGCAAAGCTAGCGGCCAGTGACGGTCGCGTGCTGAAAACCCAGATCCTGCATGCTCATCTCGACTTCCATCTTCAACCGTCACCGTTTGCATCGTCGTCATGGGGCGATTTACAACGCGACCCATTTCCAACATTTTGCATCAAGAGGAAGCTACTATGGCGGCCTCGACCCGGTTTGCTTTGGTGACGAGTCCAAAGACGGCCGATACAGAGTCGTGCACAAGCTAGGCCGTGGCGGCTTTCCGACCGTCTGGCTGGTCAGAGACACGCAGTACAAATTTCTCCCTTTACTCAGCGGCTTTCTTTGGTAATCAGAAGCAGAGTCAATCGCTGGGCGGCTCTGAAAATACTCAAAACCAAGAGCCGTAAGAAGGACAGCCCGAGGCGCGAAGTGATGATCCTCGAAGCACTCCATCTGACCATTCGACGTGCAAAGACTTGAGTGCTGCCAACGTCGCCTTTACAACCCGCAATCTTGCCTCCCTCTCTGAGCAGGCCCCTTTGGACGTCATCGGTTTGCCTGAAACAGCAGAGCTGCTCAACGCCAACGGGTCAGCCGCGGGACCGCATTTGCCTAGGCAGTTGGTGGGCACGGCGCGGTGGGACGACTGGACCAACGAGTGCGAAGATGACATTTGCCTCGTCGACTTTGGCGAGTCGTTTCGTCTCGAAGCCGTTCCTGACGCTCTTGCCCAACCAATCGACCTGCGCGTGCCAGAGACTTTGTTTGGCACCGAGTTTAATTACAAGTTCGATCTCTGGCGGCTAGGCTGCGTCGTAAGCTAGGACGTCCACGGTTCTTACTATCCCGGCTAACAAGTGCCAGATCTTTGCGCTCATACTTCTGAGATATCCGACTCAGTCTCTCGAGGATAATAGCCTTGCTGTGGCGCAAATGATTGAATTGTTGAGGATCTGCCACCTGAGTGGGAAGAAGCGTGGCAAAAGCTCAAAGCCAAGGTTTTATTTTCACTTTGTGAGTTCCTTCATCGAATTCTTGTTAAGTATGCCGATATACATTTACAACGTGTTCATCATTTCAGATTGTCCTCTGCTTTGATCCCCCTCGTTTCACATGCTGACTCTATTGTACAGCACCCGTCTTGGAATCCAAGCTCGTCACCATGTTTACGGATCGGGTGCCGGACAAAGAGTTGGCGCCGCTGCTACTCGTCATCCAGGGACCAGTGAGGTTTCGACCAGCGGAAAGAATTTCAGCCAGCGCCGCCTTAGAGCTCTTGCCGGAAGAATATCTGACGAATCCGACGCAACCTGATAAGCTTATGTGGCATGGCTGTGGTCTCCTGCTGCAAACCAGATTGGGTTCTATTGATAGTGAGAAGGGGATAGCTTCTACTGCAATCAAGGCTGTTTGCACATCCCAGCATCGCTTACTTTGCGCTTGATCGCGACTTGACCCGAACATTCAAAGGAATCTTCTCCCACAGCCCAAACATGCGCTGCTTGGTCTGCCAGTCAGATTGACCCTCGATAGTGACCTCAAAGCTGCGCAGCACTCGCGCCGCGAGCAGGCGCATTTCTGCGTAGGCCAGGTTCTTGCCGATACAGTCGCGCGGGCCGTGGCTGAAAGGCTTGAAGACGGCCCTGTTGTCGCCGTCGAAGCGCGCCTCATATCGCGGGTGCGACGCCGGCAGCCATCGCTCCGGCAGAAACTGCTCCGGAAGATGAAAGTTTGCCGGGTTGCGGAACGTCGCCCACTGGTGCACGGAAATCAGGGTCTGCGCAAGTTAGCCAAGGCCATCAGACAGGTGAACAGGACAACTTGCATCTTTGGGAATGTAATATCCGCCGATCTCGGCGCCGGGTGAGACGCGCGGCGGCGTCACCGCGACGGGCGGGTACAGACGCAGCGTCTCCTCCAGGGCAGCGTGCAGATACTCCAGCCTCGCCGTGCTGCGCATGTCAATGCCGTTCTCGTCCGGGAATGCCTCCATAATCTCTGACACGACCAGCTCCCTCTTGTCCGGATTCTGCGCCAGAAAAAAGAAGAAGCCCGCCAGCGCCGTAGCCGTCGTCTCGCTGCCCGCGACGACCAGGATCGGCGAGGTCGACAGGATCTCCTCCTCGTTCATCGCAGTCTCGTCCGTCCTCGTCTTGCGCAGCATGTACGTCATGAAATCACTTTTACCCGCCGGGCCCTCCACGCCCAGCCGCATCCGCGCCGCCGCCTTGTCCCGCGCCGTGTGCCGGTTGTGCTCGGCCACCTTAAAGTCTCTTGCCAGGCCGAGACGCGCTGCGATGAATCCCAGGCTCGGGTAATGTCGCAGGAAGCGTCGGAGCGCGTTGCCACGGATCCCCTGGAAGATGGACAGCACCCACGGGTGGTATGCGCTGCTGGCCAGGCTGCCGAAGGAGTCGCTAAAGGCCAGGTCGCCGATGATGTCAAAGGTGGTGAAGTTGAGCCACGGGATAATGTCAAACTCGTCACCCTCGAGCGTGCGCAGGCGGTCGAGGAGAAGCTCGACGTACTGCGTGACTGTGGCCTCCTGCTCAGCGAGGGCGCCGGCGCTGAAGGCGTGTGCGAGCTGGCGGCGGATGCGGCGGTGGCGGTCGCGCGGCGCGCCGATCAGGCTGGTGGCGTCGCCGGGGAAATACTGCTCAAAAGGCTTGCCGAACTCGGGCAGGGAGCCGGTGGAGTGGGCAAAGACGGCGGACCAGCCAAGGGAGCCGTCGAGGGCGACCTGGTCCGGGCCGACGCGCACGACGGGGCCGTACTTGCGATGCATGGCCTCGATGGTCCGAGGAGCGGAGGCGGCGACGTTGGTCTGCCACAGGAAGGGGAACCACGAGGCGGCGTGCAGCTTCGGGCCGGGGACCTTGGCGAGAGGGTGAAGGGCGAGGCGGTAGAGGATGATGTAGGCATGGTAGATGACGGACTTGTGAAGTGTAAGCTCGGAGTTTTGCGCGCATCTGAGATTGAGAAATTCGACATACCAAAGCGATCAGACCGGCAATGGGCCGCCACAAGGAGGAGAACAAGGGCTGGGGTTGTGGCAGCTCATCGGAGAGGGAATCAAGTGGCAAGTGCTGCGAAGAAGACATGGTAATGGTATGCACACAATGATGATAGAAGATGTGATGATTTTTCTATTAGTACTACAAGAACAGCCGTCCAAACCAGTTTATCTATTTTCATCCGCTTCCTCGGGTACGCAGACCTGACCAGTCACAAGTAACCTAGGCCGCCGGTGCTAAACGAGGAATACCCGCGGAGGCAGTTGACGTAGGTGACACTGTATATGGAGCGGGATGCACAAGAGGCCAGGATCACGTCGTTCCCAAGCCAACTGCTGCAGTTGGAAAGTAATAAGTAGCAAGTAAATAAAAACGCCAGTCTGCGGAGTGACTGGGGTTCATAGCTACAATGTAACCCTACCAAACTACAAAGCATCCCGCGGCGATCCCCCTCCCCCCCCCCACGCGGTGTATCGGAGGGGCGATCACCACCCGCTGTGGATTTTGTAAGTAGGTTTGCGGGGAAAGATTTGACGTGAAAAATCAACAAGAATGGATTGAGACGGTGTTGCCAGCCGTGGGCGGACTTTTTTTATGCATGTAAGCTGCATATTTTACGAGCAAAAGGCCCCGCATCTCGGGTGTTACTTGGGCGGACATGACTTAACAACCCGAGATACGAGCCAGCCAGCGACGGGTCGATCGAAAATGAACAAGACGCGTAAATTTGTGAGCAGTAGGATAAGAATGCATACTCTAGTTTCTGGAGCCCTTGATCATGTTCTTGTTGGAAAGCGCAGTGCGTATGCAGGGCCATCTGAGTCCCATCTCTAACTACAACGACAGCATCAATTTGTATGCTGCTGATTCGTAATAAAGCGCTTCTGACACATGTGCCAGCTAAAAAGGGCGTCCTGCTTGGCGGCATGCGAGAAAGTGTCATGTCAAGATATATTGCTTATGATATTTAGCATTACCAGCCACGAGTTTCGTACTTGTAAGAAACCGTCAATCAATTCGTCTGACCGAGTCATTGGGCTACTACTCTTGCTGCTCCAATCACCGGACACGCCGGACGCTTCCACGGTGGGGATCTCGGACTGGAGACGGGACGGGCCCGGACTGTCCGTAATAAAAAAAGAAAAAAAGACGAAACAGGCATAAAAAAAAAGGAAAAAAAAAAAGACCCGAGCCGCTGTTATTATGCATAATGCGCAGTGTCATGTTGCGCAATCTGGACGGGGGGCTGGGTCTCGTCTCTGCGCCTCGTTTCGCGACCGTGATTGCCGTCACTGATAACATAGACCCCATATGCTGGGAAACACATCTCTTTTGCCCTTTTAACTTGCCCGAGACAAGCAAAAACTAGGCACGCAGTTGGATGGTTTCTGGGCAGGATTTTTATGATCACAGTTGTAACCTCAGTAGAGTTGGAGAAGAAAATTGAATGAATTGCTATGGTCTCGAGTTGTAAATTGAAGAAAAATATTGACCCAGTTCCCCCTGGGATGATGATGGCAACAAGCTAATCACTGCAAGAAACCTTTCATCTTTTTTTTTCCACCACGGTGGAAAGCACCGGATTCCGCTCAGAGCATGGCGCGCTTAGCAGCCTTGGAACTGGCGCAAGCCTGAGCCGTCTGAGCCGCCGGAGCCGTGCTGTTGCTCTGCGTAGGAGGCGCTGCTGCTGCAGCATCAGGACCACCACTAGCTACAGTGTCAGCCAGTTAATCTCTTTTCTTCGTCTTCTTCTTCTTGCTCTTCAGCTGGGGGTGTGTCATTTACTTACATGTCGTCGTCGCGCGGGTTCTTGCCGACCGCCGGGCCCATCTTGGCCTCGTACCAGAAGCGTCTGCGCTCCACGGCGCCGCGGTCCTCCATAAACTTGGCAAACGCGTTGGGGTCCGTATTCTTGTTGCCCTTGAGGTCGGGGAAGCCCTCGGGCGTGGGCATGTCGGTGCGGACCGACCAGGTGCCCATGGCCTTTTGGTACTCCTCGGACAGGATTAAGTTGTGCAGCAGCTTGGCGCCCTCGGGGTGGGGGGCGTTCTTGAGGATGGCGGCGCGCTGGGGCCACGAGACGTACTGGCCCTTGGTCGGCTGCGTGAAATTGAGCGTGCCGTCGGTGCCGAAGCCGCCGCCGGTGGCGAAAAAGGCGGCCTCGGGGTGCTCGTCGCTGGCGGCAATGGTGGCCGGCGTGGCGGTGCCGCGGACCCAACGGGGCTTCTGCGCAAGGAGCTTGTCGAACCACTCCTCGCCAAACTCCTCGATGCTACAGGGGCATTATTAGACCAAAACTCACGGTTATATAATCAAGGCTGCCCCCGGAGGGGGGGGGGGGGGGGAGGTTGAGCAAGCACCCCCCGGTCGGCAGTCGTTACCTAATCCAGTCGATATAGCTATGCTATGCTTTCTGTTATACTCTAGTTATTAACCAACCTAGTTAGTTGGTTAGCGTGTAAATCCTTTTCCATGTGACGACTTGGCGTCTCAGCCTTAAACAGTGGACCTTTGCGGAAGTTGCGGAAGGATGAACAGCCCTGGAAGAACGGATGAATAATAAGCTTATTTTTTCCGGACATGTGAAATGCAGAGGGTGCCAAGTTTCCAGCTCGAAAGATGACGAGTTCTCCTTGGGTTTGATGTTGAGTAGTCGACCCTTCTAATCAGCCCTTCTGATACAGCACGGGCTGTAGGTTGAGGCGGGATAATGGGGCTGACAGTTTCATCCCAGCTGACGACATTTCGGTGAAATCCGCTGGCAGTTTATATGCATATATACATAAACACATATATATACCAAGGTGACACTGATCCATCTCTGTCTTTCCTCTTCCGCGACTATCGCGCGACAGCCTGCGCCACGGATGCGATGGAAAGCGCCAAAACCTTGCGGCCCAATCACCGTCATGCCAGCGCTACTGAAGACTAGCTGGCACAACTTGCTAGAATTGTGACCTCGAGAACTAGTTTTTGTCTTCTTTCACATGTAGCATCGAGGACTTTGATCATCTCTCCGAAATTTTCGATCATTTCTTGCCTGCGGTCCTTGGCTCTTCTCCTTGCTCCTTTCCATGGCAAGGAAGGATGCCTCCCTCCGGCGGCCGGGGTTCAAGGACTTGGCCAGCGAGAGCGGGATCAGGACCAGCGAAAGCCCGGCCACGAGGAGGACCAAGCCCGGGCCGGTCAATCTCAGTCCACAGTAGCCGGCAAAGCCGCCACCCCCCACGCGGACGGCGCCGCCATGGCCAAACCTCTAGGCGGCAGCAGCAGGTTTTGCTTCGCGGCGCGGCAGCTGCAGGAGCATCACGAGTGCCGATTAGGGGCACGGATACCACGGGCACCACGACCGCCCAGCTGCCATACGCGCACCTCCATCTCGTACGGCCGAGAAAGACCTGTCCCATCATCAATCCGAGGTAGAGCGCGGGTATGGTGGTCAGTGGTTACCGGCAGGGTGGACCAGAACGCGCGGCCGACAAGGCTAGTCGGGTCAGTGATAAACACCTAAAGCTACTGCGTGAGGCCAAATCCAGTCGAGCCTATGGGGTCAAAGAGCCCGACCGTCTGTGCAATGCGGGACTACGCGTCAGTGCGGCGATCTCGGAGGGGGCTTACAAAGTAGTTGCCGGTGTTCTGGCTCGACGCTGCACTTTAACATGGCACAAGAACTTCATCTCGAAATTTTCCAGTTAATTGATTTGAATGGCACAGCAAACATGGGACGCTTCCGAGCAAGTGATGAGGAGAGGCCAAAGTACAACAATGTCGTGTCAAAGACTAACCAGTGTAGAGGAAATCAACTCATGATTCCAATAAAGATTAGATTTGACCAATCACTCGGTTTTATCGGTCTTACTCACTTCTACCGAGAAAAAAAATATTTTCAGCTTCTTCCAGTTATCTGGAGATCGTGGGAGGCAAGTCGCCGCATGTCGCGTGGTGATTCGGCACCCTACCTTTTTGTGGCGTCCCAACAGCTTAAGCTTAATAAAAGTCTAACTTGTGGTGACTTTTTAGCACCTAAATCTAATCAATCCAAGGCATGAGCTGAGCTTTCGAGCACACGAATCTGGGAGAATGAAAAACCCCTTGACACGGGCTTGGTCACAGTATCGCCGAGTCTCAGAGGTCAACGACTGCGACCAGAGATTACGTTTCTTTCCGCCAACCATGTCTGACTAGGAACACATTGATCATGCATCACCAGGCTATAAGAGACAGAGAGCGAAACCGGGGCGTTTGAAGCCGCCACACCGTCGCATCCTCGCGTAGAAAATGGAGCAATGTGCGCGCAAGCTGGCTCTTGTTAATATGCGACTGACAATTTGGCCGCATGTATCAAATTCTGAGGAATAGAAAAGAAAAAGCAGCACCATAGTCTTGAGCATTCTTTTCTGTCCATCTATCAATTGGGAAACACCCTCGCTCTCCCTTTTATGTTGCCAGCCACCACCCCCTCTGTTGCCAATGCCACCATCGTAAAACTGCCATACCCTACAGGTAATTAGCTTCTACCAAGTTTATCCCTTCCTCATTCTGACTGCTTATAGCAAGTCTGGGCCACGACACTGCTGTCGCAATCTCTCGGACTGGATTCGTGCTTCAATCCTGTCGGCTAGCCTTGACAGCGTCATACAGACGCGAGGGCATCTGGTACTGCGGCGCGTACTTGTCCGTCCAGGCCCGGAACTCTGCAGCGTTGGGCTTGGGGTTGCGCCAGTCCCGGAACAGGTCGGCCACGATGCTAAAGACGCCGACGAGCTGCACGCCCGCCTGCTGCATTCGCGCGTTGGATACGTCCCGGATCAGCGGCGACACGGTCCCGGACGCTTCGACGTTGGCCCAGACGCTGTAGCCGGCCTCTCGGAGAGAAAGCGACAGAAAAGTCACACCTGCGTGCAGTGTCAGCACTTTTTTTTTGGTCGTTTTCCGGTCAGAATGCTATGGAGTCACTCACAGACGTCGGTGACGATTCCGGCCAGGATAATCTGCTTGCGGCCAGTGGCTTCGACGGCGGCCCGGAAATCAGCGTTATCCCATGCGTTGACTTGGCCAGGCCTCTTGATCAGAGTTGCGTTGGGATGCATGTCGATGATTTCCCTTGGAAGCGGGCCGTTGGGGCCTAGGAAGTAAGAAAGCGTCAGCTCAGCAATCGTCACGACTTCATTTGTAAATCAGTGTTTTCTGGGTCGCGACTTCTTACCAGTCTCGTCAGAGGTGGTCATAATGACAGGAATGTCAAAGAGCTCTCCGATGGCTGCGTGAGTGACCATGTTGCGGAAGAATAGGCCGCCATCGAAGTCTCGGGCAAAGTCAAACAGACCAACTTGATGATCCACGATGAGGAGTACCTGTAGACGTCAGTGTGTGGACAATCTCATCTTTAGCGATGCATCGTGCTCACCGTGTCATTGACGTTCAAGCGTTCATACGGGACAGCTGTGCACACCCAGGTCAGTTCATGCCGAGACGGGTTGATCGCTTGTATACTGACAGCTGGCTGCAACTGGGCAGACGATGCCCATGACAAGAGTTGCCAGTAGCTGGGTAAAGGGCTTCATCGTGAGGAGTATTGGTGTGATATGGAAGGGGTTTTGAGATGGTTGTTCTCTGTTCTGGTCTGTATATACGGGGGATTAACGCCAGTTAAATAGATTTCGATTCCATTTTTTCAACAGGCAGGTACGGCCTACATCTTGGATGTAGGCCTTGATGAATCTCCGTGATTATGGCATGATTAGATAATTGTAGGTAAGCTGAAGTGCATCTCACATCCGCAACAAATGATGCTTGGTGAGTACTCGACCATCGCAATGTCGTTAATCATGATTATCATAGCATACAGGATCATGCCAAGCATGCTCAGGAGCCAAAAAAGTGGTGCTACACGATGAACTCCATGCCGGAAGTCATTTAGCCAATTAGACGTCAGGAAGCCCTGCAGAAAGATGGTGCTCAATCCGCTTTTCTCAAGACCAGCGAGGCATAAATGGGGTGACAAAGCAGATCGCCCGGTATAGCTAAGAATACTCACTTTTCCAAGCGATAGAGTTTGACCACTAATAGCTATCAGTGCTTTAAAAATTGAGTTGGTGTAGAAGGTAGACTAAAGAAATTCATGGTATTTATTAGACATTTTATAATGGTTTGCCTAATACTTTGTCGTGCGCAGAAGGCTACCGGCGGTCTACTTTGTGACCCTGATGGGGCGTGACCCCATGCAGTCTAACCGCACTAGGAATTGACCGGTACCAAGTGGGTCATCCGAGATCAAGGAGCCACGTGGGGGCGCTTTGGGGGTCAATTCGGGACGCTAATAATCAGCCTTCTAGACGCGGCCTGAACATTTCTTGATGGACTTGCTCTGTGTCTGATTGCTGGGATAATATCATGCAGGAAACAAATACTCCGCTTTGTGAGTTATAAATGCAGGCCTGAATTAATTGAAAAGTTCTTGGCGCTGCAAGTAAGGCTTATACCATCATGACCAATAACTAAATCACAAAGAAAAAATTATTATTCTCGCAGCTTTTCATCCAACGAACGGTATCCTCACGTGGAGTTTGACGGGAAGAGAAAAATAACTTCCGGTCAAAAACATATGAACAGATGGCTCCATATCAGCAAGTAATAAAAGTCTATTCAGCCTACCGCCCAAATTACGCAGCAGCAGCCGTGCTAGGTGCTGCTTTTCCAGTAGACTATTCAGCTCATGTGCAATGTCCACAGCAGGCAGCCCTGTAGAGCGGCTGTACCAGTAAACAGATTCCAGCCCCCCGCTTGCGCCCCGACCATCGCACAACACGGTAAGACTACTAGTCCATCAGTAAGTTTCAATCTGCCAGCCTGAAAAGCCAATAAAATGCTGGCGTCGATATCGTCTCCGAACAGCCATCCACGGGGCAATTTTCCAGGCGAACGCTACTTTGTCAGCGGAATGGTTTGATGGGCTGGTGGGCTAGTGGGCAGCTGGTGGGCTGGTAGACTACCACTCTGGCGTCCCGCTGCGTTCTTCTCCTCCGCCTTGCAACACCTCGAATCGTCTTCCATCGCGACCTATCATCTCGATAACATTGTTTGTTGGCGGCAAGATGTCTCAAGACGTGACGCGAGCTCACAAACGCGTGTTCCATGACTGACAATCATCTAAACCGTACCAAGGAGCGCCTCACTTGCGCCAACTGCCTGACTTATCCAGTCATCGTGAGCTAGACTTTTTGCAAAGCTACGCTTCTCTGGCTCCCACTACGACGAGGACAGGACTGCAAGGCCTACATACCAGTCTGTATGACCTGAAAGCCTGTGTGTAGAAAACCCAAGGACAAGAGATGCGCTGGAAAATTTATGCAAGTGAGACTAACTGCGGTGAGATTACAATGTCATAAAACTGTTTTTTTTTTCTACTTCTGCTCCTTTTCCCCTTTGCGTGACTTGTAGCAGTCGCCTAGCTTGGTCTTTCAATATATTGAGCCTCGACCTTTACACAGGGCGGGCACTATGTCAAAGACGACGGCTAATCAAATGCAATCAGTGAGAGCTATTGTAAAATTACTGATGATGCTGCAGTCTACCATTGAAA